CATCAGGCCACCTAGCTCTGCATTTGCGCGCCAATCTTCCCGCGGCATGCCAGCAGCATCGCCCAACGTGCAGACAGCCGTGGCGCCTCCGTGCCCTGGGAGACGCAGGCATCCAAGAGCTACCATTGTCACGGGACAGGGACCCGGGGCTGAGCTCGATGCTGCTGATAATGGTTAGCAGGCAGGGTCGCCATCTTCTCGAAGCAGGCTTTATTCTCCCGTCAACGGCCTTCGTTGACTCAGTACGAAGGAGCCGGTGGCGTTGTATGGCTGGCTAATTTGTGGCCGTCCTCACTAGCCGCGTTTGTGAGATGAAATATCAATTTGATATTCTTCCTAACAGGCACTTTGATGAGGCTTGAAAGTCTAAAGGCTGCCACCGGGCAATTGCACTGCATTGCATCGGGGCACTCCCCACTTCAGGAGAGTGGAGTTCGCGGAAAAGTCCATGGATATACCGGCCCTGCCCTATACTCAACGACACCCTCAGGTAGTCTCGAGTAAGGGCATTCGTGTGTAGCGCGTACGAGTGTGTGCACTAACTCTGACAGCCGCTTCCAGAGCAGCTTCACATCACGCCCCATTCGCTGACGATTGACCTAGCCCCATGGCTTCTCTAAACGCCCCACATGCCTCACCACCTTGGTGAAATCGGGGCCGATGCACATCATGTCCCAATTTTGTGCTTGCCTCCTATTAGGCTGGGTCCGTCTGCTGCAAAGGCGATCCACGACCTGCCTCAAGCCGTAGCTGACTGAAGTTTATAGTCGCCGTGGCAGCACGCCTAAGAGTAGTTGACAGGCGGGATCAACGGCGGGGATGTGTCAAAATATGGACCTATACGGCATTTTGGAGCGACTGTTCCGGACAGACCCTTCTATTCTCCCCAGAATTCATTCCATGTGGATGCTGGCGAGTGGACCAGTTCGCACGGTGATCAGGAGCGATCAAACCTGGGATCGCAGAGGGCGTCTTGCACGGAGCTAATCCATGGCTGCGCGGAAGGCGGAAGCGTTTAGGTGCACGGCCATAGCACAGCGGCCTGGGAGACAACTCAGCGGCGTGCGGCTTGCTTTTTCCCCTTCACTGCACCCCGGCCTTAGATGCAGACGTTTGATAAAAATTGAGACTATCCATTCCTGGCATTGGACATTGCTTCTTTGTCCGAACTAGACACAAGCCTCCTGTCACGGGCTGACTCTCTCACACGACCTCTGCCTGCGGCTGCTGTACTCTCTCTTCCTCAACGTTGCCCAGTTTCAGTCTCAGACTGGTACTGCACATGCTTCCGTCATCAGCAATTGTGGTGCAGGAGACGGACTTGCTCCTTTGTGGACGAGACGCAGGTCTATCGCATACTTATTCCAGGCTGCTTGGTCTTGGTGCTAGCTGGGGCCAACACCCGCGCGCCCAAACCAGCGTGCATTGAACTAAATCACGGCTTCGATCCTGCAAGCGTGCTTCTACAAGTATATCCCTCCAAAATCCCGTACCTGGCGCCCGAGCCATTGTCACACCCGTGGACACGGCGATCGACCTCGGACCCTTGCAACTGGATGACGTTGATCCTTTTACGGCAAGCTTTACCGTCCACGGCTCACCAACATCTACCAATACAAACAACCTACACTCCATCAGTTTTCTATCCTCTCCAACCCTCCTAGGCATGTCTGGATACTATCCTCCTCCTGGGCATAACATTCCGCCTCAGTACTACAACCTTGATCCGAATGCGATCCCCAATTCCAACATTCAGCATGCCCCACCAACTATAATCTCACATGGCTCGTATGCACCCACCTTGCCAGACAACCCGTTTCAACCTGGTGTTCCTGGACCCTTTGTACAATACGAGAACATTGGTCAACCAAACTACGTTGATCAGTATGAGGACATATCTGGGCCAATGGGCTCAGCGCATGGTGCTAATGGGCGCGCACGAAGAAGGCCAGCGCCTGGCGAACAGGTGAAGCATCGCAGAACACGGAGTGGCTGTTTCACATGCAGGCAAAGAAGAGTCAAGGTATGCGCTCTACCTTGTGGGATAGAGGCTTGACTGATAGGTAACAGTGCGACGAAAACCATCCCGTGTGCGAACGTGAGTATCCGCGCTTGCTCTCACACACTCAAGAACTGCTTAGTCTGACGTGTTTTGCTAGGATGTCGCAAGGGGAGTCGCGAGTGTATCTACCCAGATTCACAGTCCAGTCAGAAATCGACACGCAGTGGATCAAAGTCAGGCAAGTCTACATCCGCGGGGGATCAATCCTCACCCGAAGCCCATGAAGGAGAGGACAAGGAGCGCCTTCCTGCGATCATGGATGAAGATGAAGAGGACGATTACGTTGAGTATGACGATGACGACGATGACATGTCGAAGAGTCAAGATGCTCGCGATTCTTCACACACACCAGGCTCTTTCCTCGATCAAAGTACGTCTCCATCCACTGAAGCATCCTCGATACCGCCTACGGTACGCCCATCCATGTCTCGGAAAGGCAGTGCGCAAACCACCAAGGGCGCTTCGGCTATGGCGCGAGACCTCCAGTTTTACTTGAACTACTTCCGGAACCACATGAGCGTCCATCATTACTCTCTCAAACGCGACACGCATGGCTTCCTCAAAGGCGATTTCCTGAGTTGGGCGACCAAGTTTGAGCCCTTGAAGTACGCTGTAGCTGGTTACGCAGCGTATTTCCACACGCTTGCGCAGCCTGATGGTCGCATGTCCACCTTCCTCCAGTTTTACAACGAATCTGTTTCGCGACTGAGGATAGCCATCACGAAGAACAAGAAGCAGGGGCTCGCAACGTTTTTGACCATACTGCAACTTGCGAGTATTGAGGTATAGACCCTTGCAGAAAACCAATATCTCTATGCTGACACCGGTTCCAGGAGATGCTCGGCGACTGGGTCAACCTTATGGGCCATCAAAAAGCAGCTTTCGAGATGCTCACCCGCCTATACACGCCGGAGACTATCGTCAAATCCGATTTCCTTTGCAAGGTACTTCTTTGGTACATCCGATTCGACCTGTTTGTTGGCTTTCAGTCCGGCGGTGAAGCGGTGCTTGGTCGCGAGTGGTACGAGGCGGTACACGAATGCTACGTTGAGAAAGTACGCGACAAGCCAGATGACATTGAGATGCTGTACGAAGAGCGCTTTGCGCATTCAAGACTGGTAGCGAAAGATTCGAACGACCTGTTTGCAAGGACTGCCAAAGGTCTCGTCAATCCTCAGGATTTCATGACACAGCTGCCAAAACTAAAGGAGAGGGTGGAGGCACTCCGAAGAAACCTAGGCGACAAGTTGACGGATCCTAGTTACAAGGTCCATCAGATTCCAGGAGAACCCGACCCGGAAGACTTCGTTAATCCCTACGAGCCGGATGTCATATGGGGTGGTCCGCTGTGGACGTCGAACTACCTGCAGCTGGATTTGTGGGGCATCCAGTTCATGTTCGCCATTTCGTCTTCCATGGCGCTGAAAGTGCCTCTTGATCCTGAAGTTACAAAAGAAGCATTTAAGGCAGTGCAGGTCTTCGAGGCTATATGCGCGTATCCGGAGGCTCCCCCAGGCGCACTACTGGAGGCACAGGTCAGTTTCGCGATTGCGACCTTGTTCCTGCCGAAAGATCAGAAGACTGTGCAATGGCTTCGACGGACGTTTGCGAAGATTGAAGCAGCAGGGTAAGTGAGATCTTTTGTTCGTGTAATGACGGGAGATTAGAGTGTTTTGTTCTAGGCACAGGCTAGTAACGAGAAAGTCTTGCCGAAACCCTACTAACAGGAGCATCAGGTATATTTATTCTGATGTTCTTCGAAACCGCATGCTCGAATCCATGGGTCTCGGTCCATCAGACTGGTGGCTCCCTAACGACGAAAGCTGTCCACCGATAATCCGATCCATCAAAGATTTCATCAAGGACCGCACACAAGCGCCTAAAGACCAAGTCTCGGACGATCTACGAGAGATGCGAGGAATTTTCAGCTCCCTGACTATCTCGGACTCACCGCCATCTGATAATATGACGGTAACGAGTGCCGAGGGCTTGGGTTCGACATACGGATCTCCGGACTGGCAGTCATCAGGGTACGGAAGCGACCGCAAGTCGTCAAGCGCAGAGGCTTATCCGCCAGGGTCACAGCAACAATACGTTGTGCAGTAAGATGTGTGGCGCGCAAGAAATACTGAAGTTATTTAAGACAGTTGCATAAGACATCAGGACTGGTGTCCATGATGCGCAATGCCACGTCGGCAGCGCATACGCCCACGTTCCTCAGACGACGGTTCCGCGCATGACAGTAGAGAGTATTTCTCGTCTAGAACGCTCTATCAGCCCTGTCTTGCCGCGGCCCATGGCCGAGGTGGCCCTCCGAGAGGCGTTCTGTGCAACGTTGTTCCACAGATATGGCCTGGCTTGCCTACTGGTACCACTGCCGCAATGCACAGCATGAAGGTTTGTGTCCAGATGCCGAGGCAGGTCAACACCAAAGAGGAAGAATGGAGCGATGGTCAGGGAAAGCTATGTGGTGTAACGTTTGCTGGCGCATGTTAGTTTCAACGTCCCATGGAGATCGGGTGTTCGCTATCCTATCGATAGAAGCACGGAGTAGCAAAGGCGGATCTTATGCATACAGAGGGAAAGTCTGGTCGTGATGGAGGAGGGGACCAAGTTATCATGTGGACTGCTAGATAAGCACACCGTCACCGTAACGCATTGTGGCTCACAAGCGACATGCAAAAGAAAAATTCAACAAGATGAAATAGAATCCCTGTGCATATGATAGCTGTGCAAGCTGTGCGTACCGTGAGAGAGTGTTTGGGTGAAGTTGAGGCGTGGCTGGTTCCGTTGCGGCGCAAGTGGAGCGTTGGAGATGGCGCCCGAAGCAGGCTAGTATGCAGGGATGGTGGGCGGCCCTGACAGGAGCGGGCAGCGGAGACACATGAAAGTCGCAAGAGCACCCCGACCACGACGACGACGTTGACAACAACAGCAACAACAACAAAGACGACGACGCCGCCCAGCCAGAAGACGTGAACAGGGCTCTGAGAGACATAACACGCATTATTATTCGCCATGGACAACCTCGGAAAGATCTCAGCGTTCGGAAAGAACATCTCGTATGCTTTTTCCCGCAATGTCGACCCGCGAGCTGCGCGACGGTTGGGCACGAGGTGGAGATATGCTGACATGGCTTCTGCAGCGCTTCCTTTACACCTTGGGCTGCCCGGACGCAGCAATATGTCAAGGAGCAGGTGGGCAATGTCGAGGACAAGGTATGGCTACCCTGGCAGCACACTTGGGCAGTACTGATACGGGCTCTGCAGACTCAACTCCCCCCGGACTACATCGAGCTCGAGAAGCGGGTCGATGCGCTGAAGAAGGTGCACACGACGATGCTGCAGGTCACGTACGACACCTCCCTCGACGTGCTGGTACTTGGTCTGACTGCCTAGCTCACAATACGCAAACGAAGCCTACGACTACCCAGCCAACATCCGCGAATCCTTCAACGACCTCGGCCGCACCGTCTCCGAGAAGGTCAACCTGCTCTCCAGCGCCACATCGCCCGCCGAAGCCCAGGCTGCCCTAACTGCTCCGCCCTCAGCAAAGCCCCAGCCCAAGACGTTCAACCATGCCATCGCCCGCGCCGCCCTCAACTCGTCGCACATGCTCACCTCGGAGCAGACCAGCTCCAGTGAGGACCCCCTTGCTACCGCCCTCGAGAAGTATGCCATTGCCAGCGAGAAGGTCGGCGAAGCCCGACTAGCCCAGGACGCCCAGATCCAGAGCCGCTTCCTGGCCGGCTGGAGCACCACGCTCAACACCAACATCCAGTTCGCTACACGTGCTCGCAAGGCAGTCGAGAACTCGCGGTTGAGCCTGGATGCGACCAAGGCCAACGCAAAGGGTCCTGCTTTCACTCTGCCCGGTCAGGCTCCAAAGACAGCCATGGACGACGACATCAGTGAAGAGGCGAGAGCCAAGATCGAGCAGGCCGAAGACGAGTTTGTTGGCCAGACTGAGGAGGCCGTCGGTGTCATGAAGAACGTACGACTATAGCTTCCAGCCCGCACCCCCATGTACTAGCACCTAGACGCTAACCAAACAATAGGTCCTCGACACCCCCGAGCCTCTCCGCAACCTCGCTGAACTCATCGCCGCCCAGCTCGAGTACCACAAGAAGGCATACGAGATTCTGTCCGAGCTGGCACCCGTCGTCGAGCAGCTGCAGGTCGAACAGGAGGTGCGTAGACACCAGTCTTCGGATTACTAGCATGTCTTCACCGGACCCGACTAATGCATTGCACTGATAGGCCAGCTACCGCAGGGCTCGCGAGGAGTTGTAGAACGCCTCTGACGCACGCGGCCAAGCAAAAGGAAAGATTGGAGACAAACACTAGCTCAATTTTGGTCACGTCACAATGTCGTCTACGGACGTTCTTGGTGGTTTGCTTCACATTCGCACGGCATCTAGTTTATTAGCTCAGTCAATTCCTTCTTTCTTCCGCCATTCCACTTCTGTGACGCTACATGCCAACACACCGTGACTGCCATACCGATATCTTATTGAAATACACCACTCTCATCCCTGAATTCTGCCGCTTGCCCTCTAGCAAACTCCGCCATCCTCTCCCTTTCCCCTTCTTTTCCATCGTCATCTTCCTGAGCCGGAATATACTTCCTCATGACATCCCTCACATAGTCTTCTGGCACACCTAGCTTCACAGCATCTGTGATCCCTTGGTTCATTCTGTAGATATACTCCTCTCGCGGCTTATCCGGCTGGACACGATTCCTATCGATGTAAACTAGCATGTCCTCCTTCTTTTCCGGATCTTTGCTAGTATCCACTTTGTGCTCTGTGTCAGAAGGCCAGAACTCGCATTGTAGCATCTCTTTTGTGTAAGCCACGGGCACGCCTTCGTTCTTGTCTAGTCTCTTTTCATCTTCTGCTTCAAGTGAATAGACGAGACCAAAGACTACGTCGTCGTAAGGAGACATGGATGTGCTGTTACTATCGGTCACTTCGACGACGTTCGCGTAACCGCGGTCGTTTATTATCCACTGGTAGTTTGGTAGGCGGGCGACTCCTAGGTAGGTCGACGTCGGGCAGCGTGTCGTCATTTGGTGAAGCCAGAGATTTGAACCGTAACCAAAGTATATTATGGGAGATGCGGAGGGCGCCATGGGTAGTTGAGGACTTGCCATGTTGAGATTGGCGTAGATGGCTTTGATTATTGAAGTTGACGACGCGACTCTGTTGCGTACTTTGGGGCTGGTGCAGAGTGAAAGTCGTAGACTATGCCTTTTTGGGCGTTCCGAGGCTGACGGATTACATCATTCGTCTCGTCTCGCGATCCCGGCCAGAACTTTTGGAAGGAACGCGGGACACGCTTGACAGTCTTGCGGATATCTTTCCAAGTACGTCCATCCATTGTGCTTGGACGCATACAGAGCAATCTTTCGTCCTCGCCTAGCTCACGGTCCAGCAGCTTTACTGGTGAAGTAGGAGTCGTCCTTTGAAGGTACCCCGCTACACATTTTAGCTAGCTTTGACACCAGACAGCTACACGCTGCGAGGAATTGAACAAGTAGTGACTGTCGAAAGATGCCTTACTCCCACCACAGCCATTCTGGCCAATTCTGTGGACATGCGCAGAACACGCTTGAGGAAGTCGTCCAGGCAGCAATAGCCAAACGCTTCCATACTTTCTCCTTGACGGAGCATATACCCAGGCCGCAGGAAGACTTCTATCCTGAAGAAGCCGAATCTCACACCGAGCAGAGTCTCGCGAAGCTATTCGATGACTTTATCGTCGAAGCCCACCGACTACGAGACGCGTACTCGGACCAGATCCAGATACTCATCGGCTTCGAAACCGAGTACATCCGCCCATCTACGCTGCACATCATTCGCAGCATCCTCGACAAGTACACCTTCGATTTCTTCATGGGCTCTGTCCACCACACGCACACGATACCAATCGACTTCGACCGCGCCATGTACGAACAAGCTAGAGACAAGGCAGGTGGGACCGACGAGCGCCTCTTTGAGGACTACTTCGACTCCCAGTACGAAATGCTTCAGGAGCTACAGCCACCAGTGGTCGGGCATTTTGATCTTATTCGCCTACTTAGCGACCATCACGACGCCGATTTCCAGGGCATGCCTGGCGTTTGGGACAGAATAAAGCGCAACTTGGAATACGTAGCCTCTTATGGCGCTCTTCTCGAATTGAACTCGTCTGGGTTGCGAAAAGGTTTGGCCGAGCCGTATCCGTGCTTGCCCATATGTCAAGTCAGTCACACCGCCATATGCCCGAGCTCGGCGTCGAGTTTACTAACGTATGTCATAGATGTTCTTACGCATGGGAGGTGGTTTCGTCATGTCTGACGACAGTCATGGAATCGACCAGATAGGTACAAACTATGCGCGGCTATTGGCTTTCATACGCAAGGCAGGGATAGACCAGATACATTATGCTGACCGGGCCGGTGTGCGCAAAGACAGCCGCTTCCCCAATGCGGGCTTCTCTAGTATTGCTGTAACCGACCTGGCGCAATCGCCCTTCTGGGCGAACCTAGGGTGATATCATCTTCGCCATGGGTAGCCCTTCGGTAGTTGGAGGCGCCACTGAAACCCTCCTTGTTGAAAGTTTCGGGCCACGAAGCCGGCGCCACGCTATCAAGGAACTTTTGTCAACGGTTGGTTCGAGTGAACATGCAGCGCGCATTGCCTTTCGGGTATTTTATTTCGAAGCGAAATTGTCCGCTGATATGGTAATGTGCAGTTGGTGTAGTCCATATCACTAGTCAACTGGGGCTACATGCTCTGCTATTACGATGCTGCACTCCAGATACGTGGAGCTTCTCCACGACTCAGTTACCGCTGCAAGCGCATTTAAACTAGCCAATGTGAAGCGTGCAATGCTCCCAGACCACGCTGTTGGGCTCCCGGCTCAACGCACAGGGCTCGCGATCGTCTTCATCGTAAGTTAGCTGATGGACTGAGAAGGGGATGGTTGAAGCACGGTCAAAAGACCACGTGTAATGGCCATCGGATTCACACTCTTTAGCCCCACACTACTTGCGCTCTCTTACCCTGGTCCAAAATATTTATTCGTTTGCCGCGAGAAGCACGATAACCAGCAATCCCGCATTTGGCTCTCTTGACGAACCGCTGCAATACGGTTGTTCTCCGGGTGGGTCCAGCACCGTACGGCAATCGGCTGTGATCCCGCTATGCCTCTGATTGGCAAACCATAATAGACTTGAAAGCAGAAATATAGCTAGGGTTCTTGGGTCCGCATCTTGTACATGGATTAGAGGCATTGATGAGCAAAGAAGGGGTCTTCAGTTCGCACATTAAGAGTGTGATTTATAGCAGCAGAGTGGATTAGAGGAACGATCAAGTTGTACAAGACCATGAGAGTTCTGAAACCGTGGGGGTACATCTACCGCGGATGAACAAACATTTACTTTTCTGAGAACGGTTCTGCGTTCTCTCACATGTACGTCACCCTTGTCCATACCCCATTCGCAAATCTGTATGACCGCCACTTGTGTCCTCGGAGCTTGAGGGGAGTTTTGCAATCAGATTCTTTTGCGCCCTACTCAGGCTTGATAACAGCCAATTATGCAGGTCCTGATGTGCTGCCGAATCAAAGTTTACACATAGTCTCTGTGACTGTGTACCTAGGTAGCGCAGCGGTCGTGTCCTATTCGACGAGGCCGAGGTTTGTAGCGTCAGAGGCGCTTTTTCTTTTTTGCTTCCATCATGCCACTGCTGATGAGATAGGGACCATGGCCGGCTTATTTGCGCCTTCCGGCTTCTTGGAAGGGATTAAGGTTCTAGCGCCAACGCCGTGCGCACATTTGATCGTAGTGACAGTCACCGCACTTCGCGAGCTTAACCATAGTCTCTTGCACACCACCACCCCTACTTCGATCTACTACCCCTATCGGTGTAATTTCGCACAAGGTTCTTCATCATTGTGCCCGTGTCAAACTAGGAGTGAGGCCGTCTTCGGATGCGACTAAGCCCGCGTTGTCACAAAACAAACGTCGGTAGGTATCCAACTTGGCAGGCCGCTCGGTAGTCGCGGGAAAGTTTAGTACGGGTACAACCTTCCACCATGTCACTTGTGGAGCCCCAATCGCGTGTCAGCTGGGATGTTGCAGATGAAGAGCGGTTTGGAAGGGCTAGACCAACCTTACTTCTGACATTCAAAACGGCCTGAGCTTCGGGCAGGATTCCCCGAGAGACGGACACGTTCTGACGGCTGTGGGTCGTACCATACGTAGCCCGCAATTGCCTTCGAGCCAAAGATGTGGGACAGGCGCATATGCGAAGGGGCTAAAAAGTATGCTTGACGCATCCGAGCAGGCCAATCTGTTGCACAGCTTCGCGGGAAAACCCTGGTATGCTTTTGGTCGAAGCAAAAGCCATGTAAGTCTAAGCTCCAGTCAGAGCCTCTACGGAGCTTCCTGTTCTTGGGTTCACATATCGGCACCACTATTAAAACCTGGGATCCACCCACTTCCCGACCTACACATCCATCTTTACATATTCTCGACTTCTAACAAACGTCCTAGCTCTTTGATCACCACCAAGCGAAGTGTATACTCTACATATTCTGCACATTGTTCGCCTTGAGCTTCACAACTTCCCTCCCCAACCAAGAAGGAATCCTCTATCCTGAACGCTATCCATGATCGACTCCTGCAGTATGGGCGTAGAGAAGCTCGTTATCAAGCCGGGCAACGGTATAGACTACCCGAAGAAACACGATGAAGTCTCTATGGAATACACTGGTAAGACTAGCGTTTCACCCGATATCAATATCTAACGAACGATCCAGGTTGGTTGTTCGACGATGATGCTCCAGACCACAAAGGTGGACAGTAAGCAAGCCGGCAGAGTTCATTGCTTTGGACTCCAAATGGAACGTCTCATTGACTGTATCTCAGATTCGATACTTCTGTAGGTCGGGGTGACCTGATTACTCCCATCGGCGCAGGCCGAGTTATCAAAGGTATGTTCTTGCTGTCCGAATCATCCTGCTTCGTACCTGGTGCATGTGCACTCTGCAAATCTAGATCTACATGTCGACTGACGCTTATGCACAGGGTGGGACGAAGGCATTCTGGGCTCCGCAGAAGCGTCACCCATGACGCTGGGAGAAAAGGCAACTTTGATCATAACACCGTAAGTAATGGTCTGATCGACATGCCTTCTCACGCGGATGCACTGTGCTAACGACACGTGCGATACAGTGATTATGCATATGGTCCTCGGTGAGTCCGATTTACATTTCATACAGCCCGTGACTGGGACGGGAACCAGCAAGACAGGATGCTGCCGAAGTACACACCACTGCGGATACGAAAGCCACACGGAGCTAAGGACCAGCACGGCTTACGACGTTCCGAGGACCCTTTGAGCCATTCTTCTCCGAACTTCCCGCACTTCTGGACGTTGATGCCGCCGCAACCGCGAATCTTGTACGACGCGGGTGTCTGCAGCCTATGGCAACCCCTGATTCTGGAACCTCGATGATCTGATAAGATGATGGAATGCAAATGCTGACTGCGGACAACAGTGGATTTCCTGGACATATCCCCGCGAATGCCAAATTGATCTTGTAAGTGCTCAATTTTATCTCGTTTGTCATTGGAGATACTGCAGCACGCTTGCGACGCCTCTTCCATGGGCTACTAGCGTGGGTTGTTCTTCTATACGACGCACAGCTCACTAGCTGTTCATTTCATCTTGCTATCGCCAAATCTGTGCATGGGTTGCAACAAGAATGCTGACGCTATGACAGTGACGTCGAGCTGAAAGCCATCAACGGAAAGAAAGCATAAAGCGCTTCGCCTTTGGTATGCACCATTGCGCAGCTGCTGAACATGTTCGTCCACATATACCCCGTTACTACCCGACCTTCGAGGCGCTAGTATTTCATAATTGAGGTCAGCACATGTGTGAACAGGAAATGTCCACCTGCACCGAAGATCAGCGCATGTGCTGCGCCAATCACTCCAGATCCTTAATGATCCTTCGCATGCTTGCAGACGCAAAAGCTTTTTGGTTTCTCTACCCTTTCGGAGTTTGGCGCTTTATAGAGGTACAAGAGACCAGCAGACTCAGTTCAACCCGAGCTGTCCTTGTGGGTGTATAGATACGGTGTTCGTGGCAGAGCTAAGGAAAGCTCATGTTTTTTTGTATCCGACGAACCATTTTCCTCTACACACATAGTGTTACTGCAGCTCTCAGATTTTGTTTCTCTTCCCGTCTGGCGTCACACCGCTCATTGCTCCTGGCAATGGTCAGGCTGTAGAGCATGATCCGTAGGAAGCTTACACAATGCTCGAGTCCAAATATCCGTCAATCAAAAGCAAGCGCTTTGCTACGTGCCGCAAACATTTTAATCTCTCATTTCTCGCTAACGAATGAGCTTCTCAAATGGTAAACGATTTACCATAATACTGTGAACCAATGGTATGCAATAACCCGAGTTAGAGGTTTGCCTCGACGCGGGATAATATTCGGCTGAACACCATACGGCACGAGCCGATGGCAAAGCTGTACACCGATGATCTTTTCTTCAACCTCACTGGACCACGTTGCCGAAGTCAGATACAAGCCGCTGTCGGTATGCCGAAGACCAGTGGCATGACTCAAATCGCAAGTGTTTCGTTGGCTGGCGGTTGTGGCGGCTTACATTCAATCCGGCAGATATGGCATGCTTTCACCGCAACCGTCGCGCTTGGTTATCAAACTCAACCTTCGCGAAAACCTTACAACCCCCCTTCTTTGCCGTTTCTTGCCACGAGTGGGGAAATGCTACCACAGGCGAAACGCATCCTACAGAGGGCGTGCCACCATCTGACCTACCAAGACAGACAGCGCATCCGTCGTTCAAAAGTTAGGTGGCCTCTTACCAGAAGCGACTTTCTCAACATCCGAGTTCTAGACCTGTTGCTCTCATAACGGGTTAAAACTTCCGAATCTTAAAGTCTACATGGTATCTCAGTGAGGCACTTGGCACTTTGCCATCGCATACAACCGGCGCACGAATTCACCGATCAGGAACCGAGTATGTACCTTTGTAGGAGCCTCATCACCACGTATACCATGTCAAAACCTAGCCCTCCCGTATCTTGAGCTTATCCAGGCACCGATCACGGGCCGTGGCTTTGGCCGTTTGATCCATCCTTGAACGTTCCCGGCCGTAACGATTGCGGAAACGGCTCTTGCGCTACATGCGCGCCCGTAAACCAGATCATCGCTCAAGAGAACCTAGGTATGTAAGATGGCTACAGGCGGCGTATGTCAGATGCATGTGGAGTTGGGCCCATTCAGCTACATCATGCACGAGTCGATCATGCGCGTGCGTGGCACGGTAATGATGCGGGTCGAATTTTTATGGGGTTCGATGCAATACTACTTGACTGCATAGCTATCCTGCTGTCGTTTAGTTTATACCTTGAGCTATTACTTGCGTCCCGCGCGAGCCGCTGCTTCGAAGTAGTACTCTATTGGGTATGAATATGCACGGCTGCTTGTGTCTGTAGCGCCAGCAACCTTGACTTGTTTGTTGCACCAAGGTTGGTCCATGGTCTTGCCATCTTGACAATCAAATTTTGATGGTACTACACCTTTCTCCTGCCTTGATCAATTTGATCTTCACGATATCCAAGAGTATCGATGTTATGGGCGGAAAGAGGCCTGCTAACGAGTATGCATTTGTCCTATATACAGAAGAAGAAAGATAGAGAGAGGAAGAAGTAATAGTACTTTTCTCTTTTTATAGCGTAAAGCGTTCGTACGCTACTTGTGCTAAGAGTGTACGGGGAAAGGTTCCTCCCTTCCCGGCGTCTGTCGTACGACTCACCGGCGTAGCCTCTTACAATCGAGATGGTCTCGGGAAGTGGCGTGTAGACAAGTTGGTCATGTTGGGCATTGAAGATTGGTGTCATGGCTTCCATGGCCCAGCTCTTCAGGCTCTGTAGATACTAGGACGATTGCACAACGCCATTGCTAACAAGCAATGAGCCACCGCCAGTTCATCGAATAAGGATTTCGTCATAGGTATTTGCTCGTCCCCCGGATTTCTCAGGCACATCTTTGTATTGGCAATGATGAGCAAGCGTAAGGGGTAAATGTTTTGTAATCGAAGGCAGTCAACGCGAACCTATCCCCACCGCACAGGCGCTGTTGTATACTACAAGCAATCGTAGAATTGCGTCACCACTTACTCAAACCATGTATCAATATCCAGTGCTGCTGCGAATCGTGTGGGCACTGCAATATGACACACGATTGCGATAGACGAGCATGTACATGATATCATAGGAGCGGATTGCCTCGTTCTCGCTTGAGAAAACACATCACTATTGGTGTACATCGATGATGGCGAACTGGAGTATACCAGAATTAGACCGCGACCGTTATGGTTACCTAGGTACTTCCAACATCGCTTAAGAATGATGTCTGGTTTAACCAAGTTCGACTTCGTACATGCCTTGCGAAATGCAAGAATTCTATGCGTGCATTGCCTCCAGAAGATCTCCGCGACGATCGCTACCTCCGCCATGCGCTTCGAGCGCACCTGTGGTATGCTGGTATGGTCCTCCAAACTGCCGCGTCTCGAACTGCTGATCATTGCAGCCCAACCTACTTTTCCATTGGAGACTGCACTTGACAGCGCTAGTTCGTTTACCTTTTTTTTCCACAGTCATTCCGTCCACTAAGGTACTTGTGAATCTAGTCCTTCGCGTATCGTTCACCGTTCGACACGCCAAGTAGTTCCTCAAACCGCACCGCTGGGCTATTACGCAGTGTTCTGCAAACGGAAGTGTAGTACGTGAGGGGCAGAACCAAGGAGATACGCCATAGGATAAGCGCAACAATTGCGGGGTGCCATTAAGGCGACCAACCTGTCCTAAACGGTAGAGAATCCGGACATGATGCTCCATCCTGCTAGAGCATTACATTCTGACGCACCCAGATCTCATAGTATCGAAGGCGACTATCGTACAGTGACGGACGTGTCAAGACACTGTAATCTTAAGCTTGCGCTGGATACTCCTGATCGGTTCATCTCTCCCGCGGAGAAACAATGACTTGATAAGGATCCGCATAACGAAGAGATACAATCTGCCAGAGATGAATGCTTGGTGCAACTGGGCCGTATGTATCCGGTCGCTTCGGAGGCGGCTGGAAACACAATATGAAATCCACCGACGGGCGGCATAACCATGACCACAACACGGAAAGAGTGGCGCCTACCACGTCTGGACGAGTAAGCATGCAGCTTTCTCTAGCTACATGCAGAGCCGCGTGATACCTGTGACATGAAAACGCATTCGCTTATCTGCAACGATTGAGTATGAGTTAGGCGCTTTGCTTCAAGATATTCTCTGTAGAGCGCCTCTATCGACGCAGGACAATACGCCATACAGCAATGGATATGATGGCATGTTTTCCGTGGTCAGTATCTGATAGCTGGTAGGTTTTGGTTGGCGTAGCCGAGGCCGATCCAAAAGCAGGCCAGCAGCCCGACTGATGTGGTACCATAACAGGTGAGGAGCGTTGTTACTTGGATCGTTGAGTGGGAGCGGATACAGCGGCCGACCATTACTGCATTCCGTTGATGTCGAATCGAGCCTGAGTGCAAGTCTGAGTGGCCAAGATATGGTGTGCTGAACAGCGGCCGCTAGGGAGCATGGCGAAAGCGTTCAGAGCCTAAGACAGATATTGCTCCCTGAATCTTGTCAGTATCTCCTGCGATACGTACAGCTCATGAATGTCTTCACAAGAGCCAAGATACTACGCGTATTGGTCGACTTTCAGCGAACCAACGAGAACGTAATCTAGACGTCTTTAACGAGTGTTTTCGTTTACGCAACCGGATCTTATCCAGACATGAGGAAACTCGATGTCAAAAAGGGCGTATGCTCATAGCTTGGTGATGTGCATGGTGGCCCACCCGGGAGCTGGCCGCGTTTGACTCTAGCCTATTGCACTTTGGACTGCTGTCCAGCAGTCGATGGTCGCCATGTCGTACTATGGCTCAAGTTGTCGTGGGACGTCACTCATTGCGTCATCGGGCAAGACACACTTCTATACTAACCCAAGGCCTTTAGCTCCACGTGTGCCGAGTTATTTGTGCGCAAGTCATATGGCACAGGTTTGTTCTTTGAATTGATGTCGTGAACTACGCGGTGCTTGACATAATAACCGCTAGGACCTTGCCTGCATGGATTCAGCGTACGACCGGTACCATTGGGCCATAAATTCCCCTTACAAGACTCGGAGCAGAATAACGAAAGAGCATACGTCGAATTGCGGCGCATATTGTGTGGCGTGTTATGCTCGGGTAGTTGAACTTGCACTGTGAAGTTTTCCGAGTCGACGCGATACGGATCAACGAGGCATACAGGCGAGATGTCTTCTTGTGGAGGGAGGTTCCGAGGAACGTTTACTATTTTCTAAAAACATTGCTCTCAGCTGTACTGTCAACTGTTTGTTGCATTCAAGGTTCGTTTGTCGGATAAATACGATAATGGATAAGAAGCTGCTAGCTGAAGAAGCAGATCTTTGATGAGCAGACCTTTGTCACGTGCCGAACAAAAGGGCCTCACCAAGATTCTATATGTGAGGCCCAAGTAAAGTGAATTTGTGAAGTCAGGCAAACGACAACGCTTCTGGACAAAGTGCACAACCAGAGCACAACTATGGACGACTCGCTGGCAAATTACTCTGCATACTCAGGTATGAATCGCGTCGCCGAGATGGTCTGGTCGTTGGGCGACGACATTCATCGCACGCTTCACAGCGCTACGCTCCACCTCCAAGCCAGCCAAGGTCAGTTTCTGTTTGCTTCGATTGAGCGCAATCAGCGCAACAAAGAACAGAGAGCTGTCATGTGTGACTGTATTGATCTCATCTTGCACCGCCTATCGTGGGAGACTTCCGGTTGGCGAGGCCGGGAAATGAAAAGTGGGATTGGGCCCTTCCTCAATGGTTCGAACTACCGGCTTTCTGCAACATTGCGACAACCCACCGGCCTGGACCTCGCACTTGATGCATGCTCCTGCTACGCATCCTACGCTCGTCGTCATCACAAAGGATCGCGCAACTCAACGATTACAACATGATCACGACAGCTGTCTTACGACTTGTCCTTGTAACGGTTGGACTACAATTTGTCGATCCAACAACTTGTCCTAAATGATCATATTCTTGAGGGATTGACAAGGCCTGGACACAGCCCCTATTCAAGCTTTGCGAACGGGAGATGTATCGCTTAAGAGGATAGTCAGGCTTGCCAAGCGGACTCATCTCGGGATTTTACACCACCAACTCGAACACTTTCACATTGCGCACCCTAACAAAAGAGCGCTCGACTTGATCAACGAGCCAAACAACTGCTTCGCATCTATGTTGTAGTCAGAGTACGACGCGCCCAAGAAGCTGCCTCGTATTAGCCGAAAATCTCTGCAGCCAGTGCAATCCAGCAAGACAACAACGTCGATCGGCGACATCCCTGCCGTAATTTACTCTGCTTTCGTACTTTACCCGACATGAGATGGTCAAAGTTACAACCACTCGCACTGCAAGTGCCCTGACGATCAGGCACTGCGCTTGGCCGACTGGATCGCCCCTTACCTAGCTTGTTCAGAACCTATCCGCTCGCGGCTAGCACGCTGTCCCATGCATGTCCTCCGGACTAGCTACGACGTTTGGCCCCGTCCTAAAGAAGTCCATGCCGTGGCGACGACTAGTTCCATGACGGACGGGCTTCCAAGTGGGCCTGGGCTGCGTGGACTAGGATACAGCCATCTTATTTACTTGCGCATCCCCCAGGTCCCAAACTTCTTCTCTACCGCCCGAGCAAGACTTCGTCACCCACGTTCATTCGCTGAATAACTTCACTCTTTCAGGTGTTCAGCCGACATTCCTTCGATCGATTTCTTCGAGTCTTAAGCTTTTCGTCCAGTTTTATACCGGTCCAGCTTTCCAACAATGCAGCTCACTACCTTCATTTCCGTCGCCTCGGCCGTGGTCGCAACCGCTTCTGCTGACAGCTTGAGGAGCGCCGTCACCCTGAACAAGGACTGCGACACGAACCAGCCCCACGCTCGCATCGTCAACCGTTGCGACTACGATGTCAATCTTTGGTCCGTCTACAAGGGCGACGGTTGCCCTTCATCCGGCATGGTCACTTTGAAGACCGGCGAGAGCTACGCCGAGAACTACGCTACCGCTGAGGACGGCAAGACTGGAGTGTCTATCAAGATCTCGAAGACGCAACAGTGCAAGGGTGTTGATATCACCCAGCTCGAGTACTTCCTCCAGACTTCGGGCGAATACTCGAACAACTACCTTGACGTTTCCTACGTGGACTGCGAGGGCGAGGAATGCCCAACCAGACAAGAGGGATATTACCTCGTTGCAGGCGACCAGACTGGAAAATTCAAGGCAGCCTCTGAGAACACATGGTGCCCCGTTCTGTCTTGCCATGATGTTGCTTCTTGCAACAAATGCTCCTATGTCCTTCCCGACGACGTCCAGACCAAGACCTGTGATCTCTCCCAGAGCATGACTTTCTACATGTGTGGTGGAGAGGCGCCTACCGACGACTACGAATCTTCTCCTATCGAGTCCTCCTCTGTTGAGCCTTCATCCAGCTCCACCAAGCAGGCCGAGTACTCCGCCGCAAAGCCTACTTCCACCTCCGCTTCCGACGAAGATTCCTACACAGCTGATATCGAGGTTGCTGCTGCCGCCGTCACCCCTGCGCCCGCCAAGCAGGAAGAGAACCCTTACCAGGGTCTCACCAAGACCAAGGTTGTCTACGTTACCGCCTACGAGTACGTCAACGCAAAGAGGCACGCTCACGACCACGCCCGCCGTCATCAGCCATTCCACGCATAAGCATCCCATGTCACTTGTTTAATATGGCATCGGTGTTAAATGGACTGGTTTCTTCAATATTCTACGAGCCGATAATTCAGGATACCAATTTCGCGATATACCCAGAAAAAAATAGGCAGGGGAGATTAGAGTTGATCCGACTCGAGTAATGACAGAGGTAGACAGTGTCGCAGGCCCAATCTATTCATTTCTACACTACGTTATCGATCCGCATCTGTCATGCTTGATTCTCTCGTCTTCATTCTTATCCCACGCCTTCCATGCTGTCCGAGCGACATACTGGGTGCGTTACTTGGCCATCCTGGAGGTCTGCACCTCTATTCTCTTGCGCATATTATTTCTCACGAAGTCACGATACGGGATACCATCTTGGGGTTCTAGTTCTACTCAGCCGGGCTAGCGGGGCCCATTTGTTTCATACATTCGCTTCGTCGAGGACTTTTGACTCCTTCTTATTTGAACATGGACGTGGGGTTGTACGCAAAGACGTCTTGGATTGGTGAATTCATTTGTAGCTCAGAAATAGATTCAATCGCTATCATCTCACCGACGCTTTTTGGCTTGCGAACTTGACTAATTTCGGATGTATGCGTGGCTGATTCGCGTCCCATTGCGTATATCTCAAAACCTGGTGCTTTATTGCAATAGATGTTTGTGCAGATTGCTGGTAGCAACCTGTTTTCTTTTCTTGTCACAGGAATCGAGCAATGTGTTTCAAGCCGAGTCGTGGTATTAAGAATACTTTTCGAAACAGTCAATGCTTATTCGACTGCGCCGTCTCCTGATGTGTTTTGACCACGCGAGCACCCTGCAGATCACATCGCAAGTGAGTGCAAGCTATTTCAGACTCAGATCGCTCCAGTCAACAAATCCATTGAGGTCCTGCGTCAGATCGTTCTGTGGCTATCAGCGAACCTGTTTCCAAAATCAATTCATGTCGCAGCTACCACACTCCAACCCCCTCTCAACGGCACGCATGACGCGCACAAGCAGCGTTCCCACGACTGACAGCGGCCGGGAGGGCCAAAGATAGCAGCTCGCGCACTAGCCAGATACAGGCCACGCAGCCAGACCTGCGTTTCGAGCCACGGTTGAGAGTTCTACATGTTGCGCGTTCGTATGCCACATCGGAATTTCTAGACATCTGGGCGTTCAGGCCCGAATTCCGCGGCCCGTAAGTCGCCGTTCATTGCGTCAGTCGCCCAACATACCACAGTTCTTAGTGCAAAGACGACTGCCGGTGCCTTGCAGTGTGCAGCACTAAGACGGTCGTTGGGGAGCCGTTCAAGCAGACCATGCGTTCAGCTGGCATTGTGGGCCAACTCCAGCCTGTTGTGATTTGGTGAGCCAGGATTATTATCAATCAAGCAGCGACCATCGAGCCTGCGAAGTCAGCCTGCACTTGCAACGATCCGCGCACCAAATAACCAGCAGAATTTGCATCAGACTTTGCGTCGTGCAGTAGTCTCGTGTTCCAGAACAACATTGTAGTCGGTCACTTTGCTCCACGCCGTCATACTTCTCCACCCATCCATGGATCCACCCCACACTTACGAAGTCCAGCGTTCCCGTCTGCCGTTATCGATATCGATCGGATGCATCCCTCGATACGACTCTGCACGGATGTACGTCAGCAACAGCAATTCAGCCACTCGTCCAACCTCCAGAAATCACGGATCGTAACGGGTAAGGTAGCCCGATACTGCTAAGTCAAGGAAGTGTCTAGTTCCGTGAACCATGGGATTCTAGAATGTTGACACCGTTCTCAACGCAAGCATTCGGTGTCTCTAGGGAGCAATCTTATACTTTGGTTGAACATCATCCCAAACGCTGTGGACAGGCATATGGGCAAACAAGCTGATCCGTCGCTCTAGGAGCACACGGCGTCGATCTCAAGATTGTGAATGGTTTTGCTCCTATGAACCTCTGCACTCCTGATCATAGAACATGTAGACGATGCGCAGCTAAGATAGCGACTGAAATAAATCATTCTCTCTCTATTCACTAAAGACTAGTTTCTCCTCCATGGAAGTAACCATCCAGGCTTCAGCAGACTTTTCTCCCGGATATGGTTCCCTGTTTCTGGAGCGTCCACCCATTGAACTGGATCTCTTCCACCAACCACCTCGATTCCCCAGCGAACCTCGCCGTCCTTGTCCTTGAACCAACCCAGCATTGTCTGAACTTCTCGGTCCTTTTTTAATGCGATGCCGCGCTCTTCCACGAGCTCTAAGAACTTGTCGCTGCCAGCTACGAGAACCAGCATGTCGGCAATGAGCTGTACGTCGCGAACCATTGAGCTCGTATAATTTCGCTGCAGACAGATGATGATGAAGGTTGTGACTGTAAGCCATACCAATATTGCGGTTGACAGGTAGGTTGCAATGGTGTTCAGATGTAGAACACGGATGCGGGTCGACACTGACGCCGAGATGTTCCGTGTCGGAATAGTCTCACGTTTCGACAGAACTGTGCCATTCGCGTCAATTGGACGGCTCAGATCTTCTATACTTTTGTCGTTCACTGGTTGGTATGTAAAGCCACCCTCTGCCAAGGACAACCCACTATTGACAAACTGCTGAAAGAACGTCTGGAATGTGCGGTCGGCCAAAACTGTGAAGGTTGTATAGTCGAGTAGTGCTTCAGCATCTTTGCCGGCCATAGCATACATTGTATTGGTCATAAGATCCATGTCAATGCCATACTCTTTGTCTCGAAACACGAAGGCATTGTCATCAAACTGTCGATTCGCAGACCCCATCATCGAACCCAGGAATAGTATACCAAAGGACGTAGTGACGTTCAATGGCCCTCGATAAGTATTGTTGGCGAGTGCCGGAGTATGGCCAGGTACCTCGTGCCGTGTGAAGGCATCGTCCCACGCGAGATTCATCGGCTCTACCGAACTGTCAATTCTCGAGGAAATTATGGATCCAGACTGAGCATCGACAGCTATAGTAGCTTCCGTAGTCTCAATAATTGGTTGACAATTAGCAGCCTGCATTCGAGGTACTTCTCTGAAATACACAACTTGGTATCCGTTGGAATCTTTGACACTGACGGGCTTCCCGACGATCCATTTCGGCACGATAGACAGCGGCCATGAAACGTATTCGGCATCGTCTTCCCATATAAATCGGTTTCGAACTGCGGTCCAATAGCCCATGACGCTCTGGCGCGGTTTCTCAATAGTTCCATTGGCGCAGCATGCGACATAAGTCGATGGTGAGAAGGTCGTAGTTTTGGATGAACTGTTCTCGAAAATACTAGATGGCAATGTGTAAACTTGAAGCCCTCCTGTACTCTTGAGTCGTGCGATATCTTCTGGCAGCATACTACTTTCGTGTTCGGTAAGATTGACGGGCTCGAGCCACGATGATATGTTCGAAATTTCCTCGATAGGGTTGCATTCCAGTCTTGCGCGGATAGCAGGTACTTGAAGGCTTACGTTAGTCGATGCGAACGCTGTACTGCTGGAGGGGTCCTGCAGGGTTTGCGGGCCAGTCATGTTTGAAACATGCGACAGGTCGACCGGTAGAAAATTCCAACCTTCTGATGACCAGGGCAATTGCGAGCCGTTGAAAGCATGTTGTATCCCTGCTCCGTATAGCCAGTTGTTACGAGCATCAAGATACAGCTCGTTCAAAACGCTTTGGGAAACATCGTACGGCCTGTCGCCCCGAATTACGTCGACTTCGGCTATCAAGGCATCATGGCGCATTTCCAAGTTCTGGAACAGCGTTATCTGCCTAGAGGTGTTTGTGGATGTTCTCTCGAACAAAGCAGACATGGAGACAGTAAGGACCTGGGCCAGAACAGAGCCGACGGCGACCATGAAAAGAACCCAATGCCTGAAACGGGCTGCTTTAATGGCTGCACCAACCCATGTCTTGGATTTGTACGTTAGACCTGCCCCGGAGTTGATCGATGTCGGGCCTTGGGACATTGATATATAGGGCTGAAGTGTCCTGAACGTCATGTCCAGTTGATCCCACCAGAGTCCGATCACGATACTGGCGACGGTCGGTGCGATTGAGATAGGTGCAAACGTCGGGAAACTAAGATTCAACTTAGAGATGTCGGCCTCGTAAGTAAAGCCGGCTTGAGATAGTAGTGAACGCGCGGAGAAAGCGTTCAAAGTCAAAATTGCGACCATGATAGACGTAAGTAAGACACCCAAGGCGAGAAGCATCCGTACTTGAATTACACGAGGTCTCCAATCAGATTTCGCTTTGATGAGCGGTGGGATGATTGCTGTACGTCCGAAATTAGCAAGTCCGTCACACCACATGAGATACCGTCTTAACATACTAGGTTGTGCGCTTCCTTGGATCAAATATTGGCCTGACGTCAAGTAGTTCTCCTTTCGTAACGAGTTGTAGAAGTCATCTCTTGAAGCTGCGTGCAAGCTCCTGAAGGTAGCTGTTCGGACCTGGTGGGATTGTAGTAGAAGACTCAGACCCGCGATACTAGACGGATCCGAGAGAAGATTAAGCGGTCGATGAGACAAGCGAGACGCCCAAACTAGCACGGCGAGAAACACAGCTGAAGCGTAGAACAGCGCCGCCAATGTAAATCCGATTTCAGTCAGAACAACAACCCTTTCCTGAACAACAGTGGCAGACCCTTGGAGTTTCTCTTGTTGAACGAATTCTGGTAAATCGAGCGCCTCACGTATCGTCTCCATAAAAAACCGTCCCTTGACTCTTGCTGCTGTCTGGGTGATGTTGGGGTCGTTCATCAAGGCGGTCAGATTGAAGCCTGAGAGTGCGGCAAGCACAGGCGCCATCCCAGAATAGCTCAAGGCTCTGCCGGCATCCTGCGAACCTTGAATCGACCCTGTTGCCCTTTCGGAATCAGTAAACATGCTCTTTTGGTCGAAGTACGTCTTCCAATTGTCTTGCATGCTTGTCGCCTGGAAATTGGAAACATTCACCATCTTGTCAGCAAGTTCCCGGCTACTTGAATCGGGTTCGGAGCTTGCGTTGAGGTAGTGGCTCTGATCTCCAAAGCCCGTTGCCCTTGTGACATTTGTGAACATGGAGTACTGGGAACTGCATAAGATGCCTCGCATACGAAAGTCGGATGAGCGTTCGTACGTCACGTTCTCGGGAATGAAGGGACCCATTTCCGTTCGGTTCAAGGAGGCGGTCCATGGGGTATTCATAAGAATGATGTCGTGGTTGTTACATTCTTGAGTTGCTTTGACTCGTGCGTATACGTGCGTGGAAGTAACATTAGGCGGGACAACTATGCCACCAATACCGAGTGTGTTGCCAGTAGGGAAATAGGTAGTCGCATTGGACCAGGTCATGCCTCCATTGTACGCAAGGTCAGCAAAGGGGTGTATCTTCAACTCGTATCTGCACCCTTGATCGGAGTCCAGCACGAACGTGACCATGGGTTGTGTTCCGTTGTAGGGACCGTACTTCTGTACCGAGTATACTTCAGAGTAATTCTCTTCCATCAAATCTGCGCTCCTGAGTCTCATATCGTGGCAAACGTAATCTGACCTTAACGTAGTAGTTTCTGCATTCCATGCACCGTATGACGATGTCATTCTGGGGCCATACTGTGCCAGCTCCGACGATGGCCAAAAAGGGAATGTCAGAGAGGTGTCGGTGACCCAGACCGACGTTGACACATTCCTCATAAGCGCGGCCATTGCTCGAAAGTAAGTGTCTCTGGTCGCAGTTGTTGGAAGTTGGGTAGCGTTCTTAGGTACCAGTCTCGTGAATTCGGTGGGTCCAGCAATAATGACTTCCTCAGAAGTAAGTAGGGCCGACGAAAGGGGTGATACAGCTAGCAGTGCAATGAGGTTGACAAGTGCAGCGCAAACCAAACTCCAGCTAGTTCTGCCAATCCGCCTTCGATAGAAGCAGATGTCCATAAAGATGGACCACCATGCTCTTGGGGTCTGGAGAATGGTGCCATATGCACTTGTACCTTCCGTCGATGCTTTAGCAAGTCGCGCAAATGGTTCCGTTCTCTTCACATCTTCGAATAGTATGACAGTCATCTGCGCGTAAAGCACGGCGATGAGAGTGGGAGTAAAGCGCCATCCGAAGAGTATAGCCGACGAGCCGTCATTACTCCCCAGTCCATGGTTGCTCCTAGAGTGACAGCTGAGCCAAACGATCAAGGAACCCAGAATAAGACTGAGGCTAGCTAGTATGACCAGGTAGTACCATCTTAGAGTAAAGGGAAGCCACGAGGCGCTCCCTTTCCGAACGTGTGGTGCTGCTCAACGGTCAACATTGTATCCCAAATCTCCTCAAGTTGTTTGCTTACTAGAGTGTGCCACTAGCTGGACGTCGCTTGGAGATCGGTCCTGGGACAGTCTAGTGTTCGCGCTGTTGTTCTGGTGCACCTCGAGTGGTGCTTCGTCTACCGGAGATATCGAGCCGAATCGATATTGAGTCATAGCGGTCAATCACAGGTTCGCGTCTTTCGAAGCGAGCCAGTGCAATGAAGCTTTACTACGATTAAAGTGATGGGCATTTCAAAGTACTTGAGGACTTACCTCGACCCGCCCGAAACTTTCAAGCGATCCGCCCCCTCAGGGTCTCCATATTATACATTGCGGCACGGCTCTCGGCAAAACCATGTTCGAACTCCCATTTAGTTAGCCAGATCCGATACTCTGGACGCGATCACGTCTCTGAAACGTTGTGCAATAGCGTAGCAAGCTAAGCGCCCGGACGGAAAGAAGCGATTGATTGAGCGGTTACGCTAATGGCCGAGCGTTAAACACGCGCCGGGGTGGGGATTTTCTCGACGAACTTCGAATGGGAAGAAGCCCTTGAACGTTGCATGCTTGCTTGCTAGACATATCGAAAGAGAGACATTAAAGCTGCGATAGAAAAGTAGGTTGGCGCGTGTTCGTCATATGGGGGAAGACTATCTATGTCCCTGGTCGCTTCTTGCGCAACCCCAGTCGAGTTTTCCAGCGGCCACTAACTACAGATAGCGTAGCGTCCTGTCACGTGAGCCAGTCAATCACTAAAGACCAAGTTTCAGGTAGCATGTTTCCCTGCTCTAGCTGTGTAACGAGATAGACTTGAAGTATGCCGGTGTACTGGTTTCACAATATCACGATTTCACTTTCACTTCGCTAATCGCTGCGACGCTATGCCTTCTTTCCCTGCCTGACACCGTACGAGCATCATCTGATCTACTCAGAGAATTGGGAGAGCGTGTTTCCCTTTTAAAAACTCGCAAACATGTTCAGCCCTGATCTTAATCCCTGCGCGCCTTTCTATCCTCTTCAACTCTCACTCTTTTCAATACTCACAACTTGATATCTGGAATACTTCTGCCCTGTATAACATGAGAAATCGCATACTCAACGATTCCAAAGAAGCCACATCATATGTGAACAAGCACGTGTGGGATAGGGGAAAGTTCTTGCTGGCGGTTGACGTCGAGGTGATAACGCCTAACTTCGCCGATATGCCACTGGGCAGCGACCTTTCGACGCGCAACATTCAGCAGATTCATAGGCCAAAACTGCATAACAAGGCTGATAGAAGGTTTGCGGAAGCCATAGTAACGAGAGTGGAAAAGGAACGCATGAAGCTACTTCGTGAACAGCATAAGAACTTGGTGGTACTTCTCTTGCGGATGGTCGAGACGAAACCGAAATCAAATACACTCATTTTCGATTTTGAGAATAAACGAGAGACGTAAGAAACTCCATACTAACGTTACTCTGAAGGCACATACTAAAGCTTCCAGTTCTGCCGATTTGGTTACCAAGCAAGTGGATGTGGGCGATCTGCAGGCTGAACGTGTGGAAATCAAACGTTTTAAGATCAACCGAGCAAGAGACGATATTCTCAGCTCCAAACGAAACGCCGGGGACGCTCGACGCGGAAATCCCACTTGACCTGTCTTGAGCCGTGCGCTAGCCGTCGAACACTGTGCTCTTGTACGCGACGCTATCATAGAGGATTCGACCGTCGACACAATCATCCACGAAGACGACATAGACGGCAATACTGTCGCACGTTTCATCGCGTGCTTCTTGGTTCAATCTGCCTACTCACGATGTGGTCGAGATCTCAGACGCAGGTCACCAGGGTCTGCTGGCCACAAAGATAGAGTGGTCTATGAAAGAACTGAAAGATCTTTACATGTTCGCACATGCAATGGAAGATTCCGACGTGTGCGACATGGTCATTGACCAAATTCACGAGGAGCTACATCACCCCTGGTATTGCCTAAGACGCTCCACAACTGGTATGAAGGCGGCGTTCAAGCTTCTGGATATTAGTCCTGCGTTCGTGAACTCCCTTTCGAAATATGAGAAGGAGGGTTTCGAGTTTCTCGCCGACGTTTTGGTTACGACAGTTGAAGACACACTGGAATTGCTGAGGACGTCCGGAATCGGTAGTTGGCGCCACCAAGTCAAGCGTACGCTAATCGAGAAGCTGGAGTCTAATGAGGCATCCGAAGCGAGCAAGAACAACACAGCCGTAATCTACCCACACTACCATCATCATCAAGGCTCAGAGGTAGGATGCTACAAGTCGAAAGTACCCGAAACGCTGACGATGGTCGCCAGCGCTATGCAAGAGCTGCCCAGTCCACCACCAACACCCAAAAAGCAATTCGAGCCTTGCAAGTGTCAGCAGTCATCTAAGAATTCCAAGCGGAGGAGGCTACGGACTGACAAGGTAGCCTTTGAAAAAATCGAACGTAGAGCCAGAGAGGCGAGTGAAGGTGTACATTCTGAGTCGAACGACGAACGACCCAAGTCAAGGTTCCAGAAATCTCAACAAGAGCTTCATGACAACTGGAATGAGTACGAAGACATCTCTGATACCGAAATCTTGTCAGAAGACGAATACTGCAACGCGATCATTGTTCGTCTTCCTGGGGTGTATAGCAAGGCTCGTGATTTCTTCCGAAGCAGCACTGGAAGTTATGGAGAACCATATAAACACGCCCATGTTTCATCTGGCGCGAAGCAATGGAAGCAGAGTAATCGGAGCTCCTATGGTTTAAAGTATCGCGACAAGGGAATGAACCTTGTCAAGGATACGGCGGGGGTGCAGCGCAAGAAGGTAGCAATCGTCAAAGAGAGGCTGCAAATGTTTCGCGACTACGGTTGTTTCGGACAGCGGAAAGGTTCGAGGGCGATTGAAGACTATGCCTAGGCTGGCAGATGAAGACGTTGAAATGATGGACGAGGATGAAGGTGACCATAGGATCTGAATACTGGTCAAAGTAGCGCGGCGACAAAGGTGGTGGTCGTTGAAGCCAGGATGCTTGTGGTGGCGTTTGGGCTGAGGAAATGTTTACGCAACCTAGAGCACCTCATGTTGATGCGGTATGTCAGGGTATATCAGGGACTGCCTAGGTACCTAGGTAATGTGCCTAGAAATCACCACAGCAGATGTGGTACACAAACATGAATTCAGCAGCCGGCTTAGAGAACAAGGCCTACCCAGTGAATCTAAAGAGGATGCTCTTGGAGCTGGTTTGAAGTAGCGCAATAGAATACGGTAAACACAATGCTTCCGTGGTGCACATGCTATCGGTCAAAGAGCAACGACCGATGGTACCTTCGTGATGTCGTTATGGAAATACCTACGTAGTGCAGGTGGTCAGTACCTAGAGTCTCGGGGGATTTACGCGCGTATTGTAACATGGCCAAGGGGATGTGGAGTGTCGGTCAAACTGGTTTCAGGAGTCCAAGCCATCGACCTTCCGTCTTGCGCTCCAGAGCACTTATCTGATGTTCTGCGGCGAACGTGCAGGCGTTGATTGAGTCAGCTCTCCCGAGTTCTTGGCCCCACACACGCGCGCCAACGTCATCAAGCCTCGGTCAAATTCGCGTCCCCTTCTATCTGAACCTGCTCATTTCCTAGCCCTACAAACAAGCTCAATTACAAATGCGCTTGCCAAAACAACTGCCGACCTCTACACAAGACGTCGATAATATACCAAGGCCACGACGAAGCTGAATACCACAAATGGCGATAGCGCCTCGAATGTTACCCCGGAATACAGCCGGTGGGGCAGCTAGACGCATTAATCTAGGAGATTGCGCCGTAAATTGTCAGTTTGGCGTTAATCGCAGGTCTGTGCAGGGGATAGCGATGGTACTCAGGTACATGCTTGTGATATAAGTGTACTTTGTTTTGTGCATCGTTTCCCATTTTGATATCCCAGCTTTACATTGCTTCAATATCGTCCTCAACATGCAATTCACCATCCTCGCCTCTGCAGTGCTTGCACCTCTAGCCGTCCTAGCTGCTCCAGCCGAGCTACACAGCAGGTCAGACATACTGGCAGCACGCCAGGCGCGTCCCACAAAGCCAGCACCATGCGTGCGCGCGATGAACACGACCGAAGAACAAACTGCGAAACGCGCTGACGCCTTTGCCCAAGCCTTTATCTACAAGAAAGATATCAGTGAGGCATTCAAATACATCTCGCAAGACTATATCGTAAGAGAATTGTGACATCGATAAAAGGATCATCGACGACTAACTAAGTCATGAATAGAACCACAACCCCCTCGCACAGAACGGATCTGACTCCGCCTGGAACATTCTTTCCCCAATTTGGGCCTCGCAAAACATCACACCGTTACGTACAGCTTTTGAAGACCCACAAAGCTGGCTCAATTACCGAACCGGGAGTTTTGGGGAAGTTGTTGACCGGTTTCGTTGGGAGGGCGGATGTATTGTCGAGCACGTAAGTTTTGCATTGGTGCTGAAACCGAATTCTTGCTAACTCTGCAACTTCTAGTGGGATCAAGGAGAGAGTTTCCCAACGCTATACGCTTAGAAAGCCGATAGTTCATGTATAAAGAGACATCTGGGCGTCTAGACTAAAGAGAATGTGTACATAGACGAAATTGAGACGACAATATGAACGTATGTCAACCGCGGCCGCTAGAGTACCATCACAGACTGAGCAAAGGAAAGTCCTATACTTTTTTCATATGTATCAAGCGCCATGACGCCAAACTCATCCCTCTAGATTCTTAACAGACCACTACGTCCGTGCATGGGCATCACTTCTTACCATATCCAATCTCACTAAGTCAAACCCTCCCTCCCTTCTCCTCCATACCCAGGTGTTGTGTCCCATGACTAGTGCAGATGTCGCACACTCACTCGATTGAGCCCCAGCTCATACATCGATTATGGACTTCCCTTTACCTTCGTCCTTAACATCACACTCAGGCCGTAGCTGTTCCTCGGAAGGTCTGGCACTTGCATCGATGTATGGCTCCGCATCAGCATCAGTATCAAGGTAGTCCTCTCCACGCAACAGAGTGTAGCGCTCTCCACCCTTGTTTGTCTCCTTGATCTGCTGGGCGCCCACTGTGAAGTTGTTGTGGCAGTTAGGGCATTCGTGCACCAGTGGAGCAGCGAACAAAGCCCACACTGATCGAGACTTGTGAGCGAAGAAGTAGAAGTGAACAAACCTAATAATGTGTTAGCTTATGACCTGCTTGTTGGCCCTCAAAAGAACTTACATGTTGACGATCATAGGAGCTGTTGTATATCCAGTCAATAGACCATATCCTGGCGCCCCTAACTCACCAATCTCGACCGCCCAAATCGGAATGAGTATCGCCAGATACGTGATACCCGCCAGTCCGTCTAGAAGTGTGAATTTGGGCCCTGGTACACTACCACGCCTTCGTTGGTGGATTATGCTCACAGCAGACGCAACAGCGGTCATAGCGAGTGGAATATAGCCAAAACAGAATGCCGTTACATCGCGGTGATTGTACCAGGAATTAGACTCGAGGGATATGATCGTCGTAGCAATGAGAAGAGGTGTTGCGAGCGCGCTGGTAAAGAGAGTAAGGGTACGCAGATTGCGTTCTTGAACCGCAGCCATCTTTCTTATAGAGTGGACTTTCAGGGTTTCTGGATGGAGGTCGGGGTGAACAGTGTTGCAGTTTGATAGAGATGAATGATACTGTATAATGAAAAGAAGTTGAGCCTACCAGTCTGATAAGTCAAGTATGAAGTATATAGCTGTTGCACCATCTCCCAGGCAACAACAAAAGTACATGTAGCCGCAGTCGCATTGGAGCCGCGTGTACATACATAGCGCCGTGTAGCACTGCCATCCAATTGATCCCATCTTTTCCGATCAGCAACCGAAAGACCCAACAGTCGTGAGACAGCCGAATCGTGTGTTCTCCCGAGTACGGGTTCTGACCAATCAACAGTACGAAGGGGGTGGCTGTGTTGGCTGTATTCGGTATAGCGCAAATGTGCGGTTTACTCGGGTCCTGTTTGGACTTGCTACTCTGGGCCTCAGCGCATGGATGTGCGGTCTTTGAGAAACTGCCTTGCGAGATGGATTACTGATTGTTGTTATGCTGTCTTGCTTAACCTTAGAAGAGCCTTACGAAGCACGTGCCATCATCACTACCGCATCTACTCTATCATCACGGATGCGAAGAAGTTTGTTTTCCTTTTGGTAAGACGTCTACAACAGTTCCGAAGGCGATAATCTCGGCATCTATGGTGCACCCTTCAACATCTCTTGGAAAGGTCTGTGAAATCGCCTTTCTCAATGCTTGAGGCGTGTCACCAGAAGTAAAGAGAAATAAGACTTGTCAGCAACATCAAGACTGAAGAAACGCAGCAGACTAAGAGCGGCTTAGATGAGCACATGGATACAGGAAAGCGCGATATGTGTAAAGACTGTGGGCCTGACTAGAAATCCTTCGAACTCCGAGCACTCGCGGCCGACTAGCAGGCTCGTTATTGATAGAACCCTGAACGACTGTAACAACGCACGCGTAGTAGTAGATTAAACGAAGTATACCCAGTCTTTCGTCGTGGTAACATTGGTGTACTCCTAATCCTTCTAAGTGGCAGGTGGGAACAATTCATAGAAGGCGGTCGGAACACTTTTCCTATCTGGGCCAATGACGCACTTTTATCGATAAGATCGAGTTCTGTCCATAACAACGCAAAGCCGACCGTTCCGATACATATGTTGCGATGTAAACAAGGACAGAACACTAAACCTATGGGACGCTACTCAGGTCACTATGACCGACCAATAGCCGCTAGAGAGATTCTTTACCTTCGCATGCGATCAGCGGGCGGTGGGTGAATAGAGAACCGCCAGCCTAATTCCAGGAACGCGTCCAAATCTAAAGTCACCATCCAGGTGCTCGCCCGTGATTCTAGATACCGCGTCTCTTACTTCATCTACCGCTCCTGAGAGACAATGGCTTCTCGAGACAGCAACACTTCCCTGAGGCAATCTTACTAGACACTAATTTCAGCTAGGACAAGTATGCTTGTAGTCATGCGTTACAACATCACAGAAGCTTCAAAGTGTGAGATAAAGTGGCTTGCAACTAAATTCAGATATATACAACTTGCGAATCCTACTAGCCATGTCTTTCTCGACAACCATATCAAAGACTGCAACAAAGAACAATCTAACCACGGGCCAAGGTGAGTCCGTAAGCCGACAGGATCTCGTTGACGGGCTGGAAGTAGGTTGTGCCACCGGATTGGCAGTTGCCAGAGCCTCCGGAGGTGACACCCTGGGCTTGAGAACCAGAGTACCCTACAAATCAAGTCAGTATGTGTACCATGGGGAGTTGGTATAGGATGTTGCTTACAAGAACCGCCGGAGTCACCGGGCTCGGCGCAGACATTGGTCTGGGTGAGGCCAGTAACACGGCCCTCAGCGTAGGAGACAGTAGCTCCCAGAGCGCGAACGGTACCGCAGTAGACACCAGTAGTGGAGCCGGAGCGGCAGACACTGGATCCAGTAGCGCCAGCGGTGCTGCCTGATATGGCGATTGTACCGCCATTGTAGTTGTTGACCCTGCCAGCGTAGGTGTTTCCAGTGGTACCGCGGATGTAAGAGTAGTCTCCGCTTCCTGGGAAGACGGATCCAGCGAACGTTCCGATAGTGGTACCGGATGAGGTAGTGGCGGTGTTGCCGACACTACCGCAGTGACCAGCAGAAACGAAACCGCCAGTGACAGAGAAGCCGACAGAGCATCGTCCAGCTCGGTTGATGTAGTAGGCATCACCGCCATTGACCGTGACAAAGGTGGTTGGCAGAGCCTCAACGGTCTTGACCTCGAACTCGGACTCAGTAAGACCGACCTGCTTGGCCAGCTCCTCAGCCTGAGCAGTGCTGTCGGCAAGGGCCTCGAGGATAAGCTTGTTGGCGGCAATGTCGACATAGTATGACGCAATTCCGGTAGCAGCCTCTGAGCGCTTGCCAAGGGCCGACTCAATGTCGAGGTTGTCAAGTGCCTTCTGGGCGTCCTGAAGCTTGGAGAGAGGAGTGTCAACGACCAAAGCAGTGGCACCAGCAGTGGTAACATCGGATGTCAAGGCCTCGTCAGTGACAGCGACCTTGAGCTCGCCATCGACGAGCCAGGCACCACCGAAGGAGCTGCCAGCCTTGGTACGGAGCTGCTCGATGACCTCGGTGGCCTTGAGCTCGCGAGCAACACGAACATGAGCCTGCTCAGCGTCTAGTCCCAAGTCACGCTTCATGGCAGCGAGGATCTCGGGGTGAAGGCTGTTGGCGGCCGTGGTAGGGGCGCCGTAGACGATAGGCAGGAAGACTGCCAGGGCAGCGAGGAATCCGGTGAGCTCCATGGCGATAGTGTTGAGAACAAGACTGAAGAGACGAGGTGTCGATGTTGCAGAGACGAGATCCTAAGAAGATGAGTCTGCGGCACTGATGGAGTGATTCAACTTGGACGAGAACACATACCTATACTTATACTTGGTCCAGCTTCGCCGTTGTGAGTTGCATCATGCCCTGACCATCACCATCCAAGATAGAGCCCTAACTTGGATCCGGCGCTACGAAAAGTCTCCTTCCTCATCCGCTGCACGGTGTTGCTACGCGATCCAGCGGTATCAGAAAGGTAGTCCGTAATAGGCATTTCATAAGAGATCCAAATTGCATCAGCGGCAACCAAAAGATCTCCTTCCTCATCGGCCACGAGGTATCGCTACGTGTTTCAGCAGCATCGGAACGATGATCCCCGAAAGGCACCTCACAAGACACCTATCCCATGGTGTTAATCCCCAAAAGGCACCTGACAAGACATCGACCCCAGGGCGTGACTTCGTATCGAAACAGCACTTGTTGACAGGAAACTGAGCAGACTGCATGTACCCCTACGCTACACCATGCCAGTGGCCTAAAAGGAAGGAGGTAGAGATATCGTAGAACTCCAGTAGTATGGAATTAGAAAGTCGCTCGGATCATGTGCCAGCCTTAGGCCATCACCCCGCACGGACGAATCGTAGATGGAGAACCCCTACACACCTCTTTACCATACCTTCCCAATTGAACATACATTCCGATGCCAAGAGCCAAGACCTTTATCGCTTGTAATATCGAAAAGACGTCTAGTAGATAGGAGCTTTGCTACGGCTGCTCTGATTGGCCGACCCCTCATGGCGCCATATTCGGGCGTTTCATCCTCTTGGCAAAGATCGAAGGCATAGTCGACCTCGTCCTTTAGTGCCTTGTCGATAGCAAGTTCCGCCTATAGCAATAGCTGTGCATCGTATCGGCAAGGGTCGCGCTACACATGAGTGAAGATCATAGAGGCTGGATTGCAGCAAGATGCCCGCTTTGGCCGACCAGAGGGTGCGCAACGTCCATCGCCTCCCACGCCCGTCGAGGCTAGCGAAGTACCGGATCGAGCACCTTCGTGATACGCCTCAGTGAACGCCTTCCAGCGGAAGCGGCCTTACCCGCAATGATCGACCGGTAGTCTTTGGGCGATGCTGTGCCAGGAACGCTCCCCGTATCGCCTGGGTGAGAATAAAACAAGGCACCGTAGAGATATCGAAGTGATTGATGATTCGACAGCTTGACGAAAGGCGCGCACGTACGGATTAGGAAGTTGAAGACATCGATGCACTTGTGCGCGTCGAGCCAGATGCGCCGGAAGGAACCTCGTAAGACCCCACATGGACCCATTGCCGTGCGGGCTGCGCCGCTGCGGGCTTCACCTTATCGCATCCTACTCGCATCCTGCTCGCCACGTTGAGCCCATCTCGAGATAGTCAGGACTATCCTACATCTTACACGGACCAATCAAATATGAGGCGAAGAAATGTGGCCAAGCTTGCATCAACAACAACGGTTTCTAGCTGTCTGTCTTGACATCCGCACAGCGCGCTTCGATGGCATGGTCGCTCACACCATTGTCCTACTTCCAACTATGCTGATCATTGGCTATATGTAGATTTCATGTATCCTGATCATGCTGATTACTGATATTCCTTTCACATCTCTCGAATCTCTCAAACTTGTCCTCTGCACACTTCGAGCGCCCGCTTCATCGGTAGCTGCCATAGCAGCATCGTCAGGCGGTGGCTGTGGACCATCTGCCACGTGGAAGCAAAGAGAAGCGTCGACGAAGCTGAGGTCGTCATCAGTTTCTGGTCTGAAAACGGTAATCTTGGTGATAGTCTTCTGGCCGAGCTGCGCTTTGTGCTGCATGAGAAAATATGCAAAGGTAGCACCGTTAGGGGAGCCTCTTCTGTCTTAGTCTTTGGAATCAGTTGTTGGTGTTAGAGGAAACCTACCGAGAAGCGCATGACCTTGGTCTGTAGTAGTAGAGAAGCTAGTTCCAGGCCACTCGCTCAGCTCGGCACCAGCATCACGTAGACAAGAAGCGATGATCTGGTTGGTCAAGTCGTTGGAGATGCCTATCATGAAGAAGTAGCGAATGTTTCTGACGTTTGGGTTGTTGCGAACCCAGAACGCCCACATAATGTCTGAAAAGGCACGGAGCTGGGGAAGATCGTCTCGGTTCGGCTCTTTTGTACCACCACCCCAAATGCTCTTAGCAGAGGCTAAAGCACTCTCAAGGAAAAGACCATAGATGGCGCCGCCTTTGGTGTTGATGCCAAACTCGAAGTGTGCCTTCGTTGCCTGTTCAGATATCAGCGAGAATGTGATTATCATGTGAAGGGAGACTCACGCGGTACTGCTTGTCGTGACCTGGGACGCTGTACCACTGGTTGATGGCCGGAATCTGGTTGCCCTTGTCATCCCTGTTCTCTGGATTCCAATGTTCGATCCTGTAGCATTGATTGTCTCCGCCTTCTGACGCTGGTTTTCCATCAAGTCCGAGTGACCGCATCGCGTGCGCAAGGTGCCAGTGCTCAGAAAAACTACAGCTGAACGTCGATGGGTTAGTTTCTCGCCAGTACCAGTCATGAAGCTCAGTCTTGAGATCGCTGTTGTACCGACTCGCGGCAGATGGGGGTTCGCGAGTGTCTCTAATTTGACGACCTGCAACCTGGTCGGAGCCCTCGAGAGCGCACATTAGGGCTCCCCCTTTGGCTGCGCTCTTCTTCCAATCCACCTCTGTAGCGTGATCGTCATCCCAGAAAGTGACCGTAGGGCGTTCTTCGTTCGGTTTGCGATTGATCAAAGCTGGGGATGTGCCACTGACATTGCTGTTGAAGACGCGTGTGGATGGCGAAGGAGTCTTGATGGTTCCTGTAGTGACTGAATGTGTGGCAGCGGCGATGGCGAGAACCAAGGCGAGCTTCATGTTGTCGGTCACTAGAAGAGGAGATGGAATACAAGGGAAAGTGCTGGATAGGACAAAAGTGCAAGGCTAGCGTCCGTTTCGATGCTGTCGCAGTGACTCCATGAGTGGATGAGCAATTTTTCAACGTCGTGGTCCACGCACAGTACTAGAAAATTACTGAGATTACAACATAGTCAGTCAGTCGCATTGATTTGCACTTCCATCAGTCTCGCGCAGCTCACCTCACCATCAGTCTCGTCCATTGCTCGTCATCACCATACGACCAATGCCATCGATTCGACTGCTGTTGCGGATCTAATTATCCGTGTTTGTGTCTCTCTAAGCGTTCCCTACCTTTCTAAAACACCACGTACAATGCCCCCATCTGCTGCGGCATCGCGTCTCTTTGCTACCATGGTACAACATCCGGTCTTACGTTTGCTGTAAACATCCAATGAATAAAGCGTTTCTCCATTGGCTGTCTGAATCGATCGAAAACTACGAGAGTATTCACTCCAAGTCACGATTGCATTCAATCGCTGTTGTATTTTGAACGTCTGTTAATCCTGCCTTCCGACTTCAATAAATATTCATTTTACAATACATATGACCATCAGGCTTGAGCAAACTGATTAGCAGAAGACCAAGGCAGAACAACCCTTCCAAGAGCACGGAACAGTAATTTGTCGAAGCCAGCAGGAACCGTTGATTGCTTCGAGGGCCTTGTCTCAGCACTAAAGTATAAATGGCTGACTGAAAAATGGATGGCAGGATGATTGATAGGGAGTATTTCTGACGGTATGCAGCCGCTCGCTCTTTCACCTGAAGCACTGGCCACGCCTCTGCCTACGAAGAGTTGCCTCACCTTCTCGCGCCTTTTTCACGGACCCTTACCCTCACCAACTTACTAGTGCGCTTGCCTAGCACCTCCCTTCCATATGACCCCGCCATCCACTCGCATAGTCTCTTCTGCACCACACCGCTCACTTACTCTTTCCGCCCATTCCTCAACTCGTATATCTCCATCGCCCTTTCCACCACCAGAGCAATTGCGAACGACGGCTGTAGCTCCCAAGGATGCGGTTGTCACTCGTCACTCTGCTGGCATTAGCCTCCACCGGTAGCTATGCCAGCAGCTTCCCGTCCATCGAGGCAACTTCCACGACTGAAGACCCTCTGCTTCCTAGGGAGCCTCAGGATATACCAACTGATCCGATTTTGATCACATCATCTGTGCGCGGTACCCATATCAAAACTTCCATCGCCCACAGCAACCCGCCAGTTGCCTCGAGTGTCGTTCCGCCAGGTGTCTCGAGCGTCGTCGTTCCGTCTCACAGCATCATAACATCGGTGCAAGATCCTGCGAAACCTTCTTCTGTGGTTCTGAGCAGCCAGTCATCATATCAGATGACCTCGTCTCACGTGGAACCTTCGGCGCCAGCGCCTGCTCCACCGTCTTCAGCTACATCATCCCCTTGGCTATCCTCAGTACACGCACCGGCCCCACCTTCCTCTGTCGTTTGGAGCGATCAGCCAAGCTCTCAAGTTGCATCTTCCCAGTGGGTACCTGCTCCCTCTTCATCAGCGACTTGGAACAATCAACCGTCTTCCCAAGGAGGTTCAAGCGTTGTAGTTCCATCTCAGACTGCGTCTTCAGGCCCAGCAAACTCTGCTACACCATCCTCTGGGATCTCTACTCCGCCACCTTCTGGAATAGTTATTCCAACACCTTCTGGAACTCCTGTTAAGCCATCTTCTGGTACCAATGCTGCACCATCTTCAGGGACCTTCGCTGCACCACCTCCGGCGAGCTCTGCTTCCGGTTCCTCTACACCTGCAACCTCTCCACTCGCAGGGTCATCGGCTTGGTCTAGTGCTGCAAGTGGCTCTGTACCATCTTCTGCCGTCTCAGCAAGCTCAGTTACTGGATCATCCGCGATCTTGTCCTCTAGAGTATCGAGCTCTCCTGGTGCCTCTGCCTCCCCTTCAAGCGTCTGGAGTAATCCTACTGGTAGTACTACAGCTACTGGGTCTTCGGTGCCACCTGCTAGCTCTGTATCTGTTCCCAAATCATCTGCTCAGCCTTCTGGTTCATTTTCCACGGTGACTTCTAACTCGCCAAGTAGCTCGGCTGCACAACCCTCGAGTAGTGCAATCTCAAGCGACAATCCAACTTCGGTCCAGAGTAGCAGCACTCCAGGAGGTATCATCGTCATTCCTCCTGGTATCTTGACCAGCAGCACTTCAGGAGCTACCCCCATTATCCCTTCTAGTATTTCTGGTAGCAGCACTCCTAGCGGCATCCATCTTCCGAGCGAAAGTAGAAGGCGTTCTAGTAGCACTCCCGGCAGCATCAATCCTCCAAGTTCGGCTGGAAAGCCAAGTGGTAGCACTCCAGGCGGCACTAGCCCATTCCCCATCGTAATACCGTCTAGTAGCAGACCAGGGGGCACTGGGCCAGTTCCTACTGGAACGCAGTCTAGTAATCCTCCGGGGAGCATTGGGCCGTTTCCTATTGGAACTCCATCTAGTAGCACTCCAGGAAGCATTGGACCAAGTTCTAGTCGGACCCCAACTGGCACCACTTCGGGAGGAATCTTTTCCAAACCTACTGGAACTTTGAGCAATATCCCCCCTTCGCCCACCACGACGGGCTGTCCCAAAGAGTGCTCTCCGTTTGACTGGTGCAAAATCTACTGCGAGGGATGGCCATTTCCCCGCCCGATAGATGAACAGCCGCCAAATGAATGCCTACTGCCCGAGAATCGTGCTTGGTGCCACCCTTGGTGGTTTGGTCCGGTGGACATTGACGGTAGTGATGGCGATCCAGACTCTCACTCGGATAGCGACCCCGGTTGCAAAGAAAACAACTGCATTGCTGATTGCATCTCGTGGAAACTCATGACTTTCTTGCTATTCAAGCGGCCTGTATGTCCTTGTATCCCGACGAAGTGTGACAAGGATGGTGATAGCGATAGTCCAAGCGATAGCGACAGGGACGATGACAAGGGACCCAAACCCAAGCCAACGTCATATCCCAAACCCAACAAACCAGAGTGCAAACTTCTCGGTTGCGGATGCGGGTGGATGGGTTTGAACTACGGGCCTGGATGTCCTGGTGTAGACTTCGAGCTAAATATCCCTTGTGGTCTCTTTGGGTGTTCCCCCTGCACCTTCTTTGGTAGTTGCCCGGGCGATAAGCAACCCGTCAACGCCATCTTGGGCTACGGCGGATACTGTCGAGGAGAAGGATGCTCATCCTGCCCACCGGAGCTCTGTAGTCGTCCAGGATGCACGATTCCTGGAGGTTGTGGACCGAAGCCTGGTCCTGCGCCAACTAAGCCTGCGGATGCACCAGATCCGGATCGTTGCGAGGACAAGCAGCGCACTGTTATCATAGAGCGGGTTGTATTTTGCACAGAGGGGTTTGATATTTCAGCTATGCCTTCTACCTCTCGGGGTACTGGTAGCACATCGTCTACGATGATTTCATCAATATGTGTACCGTTAATCGATGCTACTCAGACCATCTGCGGGCCAGCCTTTGGATTCGATACTACTACGACGAAGACCGGCACAAACAAGCTCACCTCCGATGCTCCAGCATGTACTCGAGCGCCGCTTTCTCTAGATGATGACGAGGGAAATAACAATCCCGACGATTCGTTGTTTGAAACGTCGAGCATATTTGCCAGCAACACCACAATGTTCGCAAGCTCGACTTCCAAGGGCACTTCTAGTATGACTCCCCGCAGCTCTTCAACAGCGCCAGCACCGAGTCATACGCCCATGGATAGGAACGGTCATTGGAAGGTGAATATCGGTCAATGGATGTGGGACGACTATTCGGAAGTGGGATGGACGCTGTACGATCCCAACGGCTTCGAGGCTGGTAAGCACACGACACGTGGAAATGGCCTCAAGGAGATGAAGGAATATATCCAGTCGGTGAATCGTCCTTTCGGTGACTCCATGCCTTTTGGAGTCGACATGACCGTCTCACAGCGTAAGCAAAACTATACAACTTTGTCTTTCTTGTGCTAACCTTTTGCAGCCCACGACCACGATCACTCTAGAATCACCTTTAAAATTAAGAAGGAGGTCAAAGGCTGCGGGGAATGTTCGCCTCACATGACGACGGAGGACTACACCGAGAGCCGGCCATTCGAGATCAATGCTTGCGAAAAGTCTTGCTCAAAACAAGGAAAATCTAGTCCTTTGAAAGCCCTGTCGGATTTATGGTGCGATGACCTTAATACAGCCGATTGGGAGACTTTGGCCAATGGTTGGAAGCGCAGTTTTAACTGTGGTTGGAAGGGTTTTGATTAAGGTTTTCGTCATTTCTGAGTCAGTGTGATAGAGCACGTAGATGGAAGGTTGCTTTGTGCAGTCAATAGAGCGTAACACGCATCAAAAATTTGGAAGTACAAGAACGCAGTGACATGTAACGATTATCTCGTCGCTCGAACTATGGGATGGTTATTTGAAATCGAGCAAATTAATACGACAAGCTTGAACAAGAGATCAGGCTTTGTTGTAAAGATTGAAATGCTTCTCAATTTCCCTCTCTTCTCTGCTTCTCTTCCCCCTTGATATTCTTTCGATCAACGTACTCCATGCCTGTTCCCGAGTGCGTGTTACTCCCACTCTTTGAGTGTTCTTTTTGCGCTTCATAGTCTTCTTGATCCCGCGCTGCTTTCTGGGGAGTCTTGGCGGACTTCTGAACGCCAAATGTGTCCTTGTGGTGGGAGGGGTCGTTGACTTGGTCTGGAAACCTGGGTGTCAGCGAAGAAGCACTCGTGGCATTGAAGCCCTGCGGGAGAGAATGTACCGGGCATGGTTGCTAGCAGTGGGCTGTAACTATTGCATGAACTTTCCAAGATGATGCTTTAACTTTGGTTTCTAAGGCACCTCTAAGTATATGAATACTCTTTTGAAAGGCATTGTGTAGATGTCATCAAAACCTGGGATTTTGTAAACGTCAATATGATGGATCGCGACTCGGTCTAAGGCTCCTTCTTCGCATCAACATATTTCCACACACCGCACATGAGGGAGAAGCTTAGGATTGTCAACTTCGATTTATTCGCGTTCAAGAAGTTTCGCTAATGTGTTCTCGAACACCGCTGACCCGATGAGGTGGTTCTGTGTAGGTGTTCCTGATCGACGGTCCTAACCCCGCATCTGCCAACCACCTCATTCCCAATCATATTAACCCTTCTTCTCCTGACCCTTACCGCTGTCCTTTTTGTCTGCGTCTTTCTTGGATGCATCGCCCTTGTCGTTGGATGTCTGAGGAGCTGGTGCGCCACTACCGCTGTTCATGAACTTGTCATCGAGTTGGTCTATAAGAGGATTAGCTATGAGAACATACGACATCGAACACAGAAGGCGTACCAGACATGTTTTGGTATACGAAGAGAAGGCGAAGTAGAGTCGAGTTTACTGAGAAGGCTTTGGTTTGTAGAGGAGAAGGGGAAGGTGGTCAGACTTTGGAATGCGGACTTGCAGTACCTGTCTTGTGGTACGGTATGCGACATGACGTTGTTGCGTCTTTCCCCCCTCACTTGGCTACTAGGCTAGGATCTAGATGCTGCAGGGCGTTAGTCTGGCCGTTTAGCCGTTCCAGGACATCTGTGCAAGGTCTCACAAGGGAATATTACGAAGAAGTGGGAGGCTGGGGACGATTTGAGTTGTTGTTCAAGGTAGGTACTATTCATCTTGCAAGTGAAGCTAGGAATCGCGCGAAGACCAGTGCGATTTGCAATCGACCAGAGAACCTAACATCATCCCTAACGACGGCCTCTACCACCGCGCGACCCGCGACTACCCCTGTCACCACCGTGACCACCCCTGTTTGGGAAGAACGACGGCTTTCGCCAACTACGGTTACGAAACCACCGTCGGTCATTGTACGTGACAAGCACACCCTCGGCGATGTCTACATCAGGTTCCTTGGCCTGGCGCATGAGGAAAAGCTGACTCTGGGTCAACGGCATGATGGAATAGCCAGCGGCGATACTGTCAGTAATGGTGCGACGCAAGAACGCTGTGAACTGTGACTGGGACGGGAGTTCCTTAAGACCCATCTTAGCCAGGAACTGCGGAAAGGTGTTGAACTCGTGGATCTCACGGATGTCCTCAGCCATGCGCGTTGATGTGCCTTGCGGAGGAGCCCCATGCGCGTCGAACAAGGAGTCGCGTAGCTCGATAAGATTCTTGTTGGGCGGGCGAGCTGCTGAGCTGAACATTTTCATGAACATGATGAGGCGGTACGAGGTGGGCGAGGCAGCGTACGTCATCTTGGTACGGTATCTGGAGATCGCTGAAGGCTCCAGGTATGCAAGCTCAGCCATACCAGCACCTTTCTCGTCGAGCATCCATACAACGTTGCGTAAAATTGCTTCTCGGATGACTTCGTACGTCAGTTCTTCGGTCAACCCCGCATCGCAGATGAGAGTCGCTATCAGTACATGGCCAAGATCAGGGAACTGCGTCTTCGTACGCGGGCCGACCATAAAACGCTGGATGATCTTGTTAGCACTAACGACAATCTCCTCATGCTCGGTTGCAAGGCATAGCAACAGATGAAAGAGACCGAAATAGGCGTCAACGGCTTTTTCCGATGCGTGACTTAGGGTGCTACGTTCATCAGGACCAGCATAACCTTTTTCCGCATCGGATGAGAACTGAACGACAACCGTGTTCATCATGCGATACAATACGTCCACATGGTAAGGCTCATGGCTGGGCATGGTCGCGGTGTTGTGAATGTTCCGGAGGCATGCATTCACCTCCGTCTTGACTTGATTCCAATGACGTCGGCTGAGCGGCATAGGTAGCCAGTTGTCGAAAGAAACACCCTGAACACTGTTTCGGACACCGTATACGGAGAATGCCTCCCAACTCAACAGATCGAACTCGGATCGGAAGACTGACCGATTGCCGCTCTTGGTGGAGACGCCTATGCCGAGCTTGCTGTTCAGGAATGATCGCTTAAGGCAAAAGCATTGTAATTCGCGGATCCGAATAAAGTCGTACGAGCTGACCATGGTCTTGATGGAAGGAATAGCCTCGGCAAAGGCCAGAATGTCACGAGTCTCGAGCTCAGTGAGTAATGCGAGAACGATCTCATCTGATAGCATGAACAACCTTGAGAGCGGATTTGGATGTCGTAGTGGAAGAGATACAAGAGTGGGCACGGGCGCTGAGTCGACCTCCATTTCATCAGTCCGTGTCGACGATGAGCTGATTCCGAATCCACAAGAATAGCATACGAACTGATGTGTAAGTCTCCCATCTGCCTGAGTAACTTGCTGCCGGTACTGAGTCAAGTTGATGGTATTGTTACCATGGTCCTGCTCGAGGGAGTCGCTGCAGAAGAAGCTTAATAATTGAATGACGATACCCTTCAAGGTATACGCTGGTGTCCAACCCTCTTTAGTATTAAGCATCGTAGCACAAATGTAGTCACCGAAGACATTGGGATGAATGATTTGACTTTGAATCTTGATTTCTGGCGCAATCAGTGGATATCGGTCTGGAAAGCTGATCGTGAGGTGGAGCGGCTCCTGTCTATCCGGAGTGAGGACGAGGCACGCCTTCGTGACGTCGTTGTCATTGAACTTGAGGTTGACATTAGGATATGGATCTTGCTTGGTCTCTGCGATGTCTTGAAGGAGCCGACGACGCAGGGAGTTTGACTGAACCATATTAGCTTGGTAATGTGCCATGATCGTGAAAGAATAGTATGAGGTTGAGATCGCAGAGTTGTTGTTCAACCGAGATAATGATGAAGAAGATTTACAAAGAGAAGGGAGAGGTTATAGTACCTAGAGGATGTGCAAGTCCAGGCTGAGACACACACGTGACTAGGCAGCGGCGATAAACGAATAGGAATGTGGGTCACAACGCCCTTATGGGCAAGCTACCACATCGACATCTTACCGCTGTATTGAACATCTGTGGTCGGTTCTGTGGAGTCATAGCGTCGTTTTTCTAATTGGTCAGGTTGTCTGCATAGCACACAGGCATGTTTCAAGCAACCTTCTGTAGGACCATGATGGAGTGGAGTGAGTGAGGGCTATAAATGACACGCGCAGCCTTCTTAACAAGATCAGTTCATAAACTGGATAAGGAAGAACCACATAGACCTCATCTCCTTCAGCAAATTCCGCTCAAACGAGACATTCTGGCGCCCTTCCGCTGCGGAACTTAGAAAAGGGCGCTATGATGTCTACTTGTTAGGCTCCAGGAAGCTACTAGTTAGTACTATACTGAGCTTGCTCCATTGAGTTTCGATAGATTTGGTCTATAAATCCTTCGTAGTACGAGATCCTGTCGAGATGGAAATGAAGACAAAGTAAGGTTGGCACATAGGGTATGCCATTGCTCATAGGATATTATCCTGACGAGCGTTTGCCATACATTTGAACGTGTTTCCCCAGTATGATCATGTTCACAGGACTAAGCCCGCCTAGGCATGTCGTTGTTCTCGGATATTGCGTTTCAAGCCAAGCTGAAGCGATACGAGCAGCGAAATTAAACCTGAACGTTTGTGCAACCGGACACAGCGCGCATTGGCATATTTAGAAAACTGAATGCGAGAAATGCGAGCATAAATTATATAGCTTGACATACAAAGACACTCCTATTGGGTAGATCTGATGTGCAAGTGTTTGCTAAGAATGGTTGAGATGGAGAGTGAGTAAGAGATGCCGACAGTACCACCATCTCCACGTTGTGCGGTCAAAGAACACGAAGAATGCGAGAATAAATTGATACAGCCAAGGAAGTCATGATCGCATGTCTGAGATATAAGAAGCCCTTACCAGTCGACTATCTGAACCAGTCGCCATACCAAGACCTCATTGCAGTCAAACAAGCACATCATGAAGATCACAGCCCCGGCCCTCGCTTTTCTCACGTCCACTGCTTTCGCCCTAGACCCTACAGTCTATCGCGACCCTCTCGCCGGAATAGAGAAACGTGCCATCGTCGGCGCAACCGTCCTCGTAGACGGTCTACGTTACCGAACGTGTCCAAAGACGAGCTGCACAGCTCCAGGCCAGTACGCTAAAGGTACCAAGATCAAGTTGAGCTGCTTTACCAGGACGGATACGACTACGGTGAATGGCGACAAGTAAGTAACAGCATCAATCCGAAAGGTATGGTAATGAACTAAGCTGACGTGAATGAAGAGGCTGGGCCAAGGTCTCTGGTGGCGTTGGTAATGGAAGGTGGGTTGCATTGGCTGGGGGCACGTATGTGACTTGGGATGGTATGCTAATTCCGTATTCGACCTTGAGTGGAGGCGGTTCACTGACCTGAGACAGCACCATTGAACGCTTGTTGAGATTGGGGTCCATATTGGGAGGTAGTAATGCTATCATACTATCCTCGCTCACGCGTTTGCGACGGGCTTCATGATGAATTCGCTGTTTTCTAGTTGAGAATACGACAGACAGCTGTATTGGGATAGCAAAACCTATATTGGAACTCCCGCCTTTCCCCAAGTAACTTGTGCATCAGAAGTTGATCGTGCTACGAGCTTGTGACCCGCGATGGCTACATTCTTCCACTTCAGATTCGTGCAGTTAAATGTGCCTTTGAACTTGCGACAGTCATTGCCAGCGAAGACGATGTATCCTAGTTCTGTTTCGTGGCTGCCAGTCTTTCTGGGTACACTTTGAGCAGCATCCATAGATTCGCCGCTCCATCGAAACCAGAACTTTGGGGAGCGGAAGCTGTTCTTCTCGAATGTCTCGAAGCGTGTTCTTTCGGGAGATTCAGGCTCGGTATTATCGCTCTCCTCTTCTTCCTCGTCATCGTGCCCGTCGTCTTCCTCTTCGTTCGATTCATCCGGTTCCACCTCTGCAACCGTTCGCCTAAGACTGTCACGACTGCCGGCTAAGATGACCGACGCTTGTAATACTCCTGGCAAAGACAGTCGGCCAACGACACCCTCGCCACCTTCGGTGAGACGATACAACTCCAGCGATGCATCCTGTTCTGGCGGAGCATCTCCGTTGGCACTTAAAGCTTTCTGCCATGCTGGACATTTTACTGAATAGCTTGCAAATGTTTTGCGCACATCGAACGCGGCCGTGTGTTTGGACTTGCTGCCGCGACCATTGCGGTTGTGCATATGTCGCGACGAGAAGGCGGCATCCTGCCAGTCGTCCATGGCGAATGATTGGGGTACGTAGGGAATTTACACTTCCTTCTGATGGTTTTCTTAAACTCGCGTGCCTCGTTGCGAAAGTGAGTTGACGTCATAGACTAGCAGAAGAAGAATGTGGGCGACTAGACAAAGCATGCAGTCAGCCTGGCTCTTTCGTTCCATCAGAGTGGATGGATGAGCTACAGACACGAGGACCAGTGAAATGAAGGTGCATCGCGGGGTACGCATGCGGCACACCTCCAGCCTGTTTATATTAGTGTTTCTTCCACGATGCAAGCCATGTGCTCGTGATCAGGCCAATCAGCTGTGGCCTTCTGCGACAGATTTGCTAACTGTTCTTGTGTCTCTGGCAGATTCCATCGTTTCGTGCAATGGGAACCCAGCTGGAATGCCATGTTGGAAGACAGAACACCATATCTTCCGGGACGGGTCGACAATTCTTACTGTGATCATGTAGCTATATTTTAAGTTTTAAGTTAGTAGGGAGATGATGCTGCCACGTTAGGCCAGAAGATGAGAGGATGGTGTTTACATGTTATCGCTCACCTTGGCAGGTGCTCTGCAGTGCTCACGTGAACAGGCGTCCGTCGCAAAACGGGAGTCGCGAATCGCTCCGTCAGCGCCGACCCAATTACCAACGCCAGCGATGCCACCCAAAGGCTCCAAGAAGTCAGCGCCTGCGCCACCGAACAAGACGCTCGTTCTTGATAATGGCGCATACTCGATCAAAGCCGGTCTCGTTCCCAGCGGTGTCGAATATACCTATGACGAGTGCAGCGTGATTCCGAACTGCATCGCGCGGAGCACGCGCGACAAGTGTACCTACGTCGGCGCCGAACTCAACTCGTGCAAAGACTTCGGAGAGTTGGCATTCCGCCGCCCGGTGGAGAAGGGCTTCATCGTCAACTGGGAGGCAGAGAAGGCGATATGGGAGCACGAGTTCATGGGAGACGCCATGGGGGAGGGGCTGAGGGTGGGTACGCACAATCGCGAGCTTATGGCGGACGCATTGGCTAACGGTGCATAGTGTGACCCAAAAGATACAAACCTGCTTCTGACGGAGAAGCCAAATTGTCCAAAAGAACTACAGAAGAACTGCGACGAGATCATATTCGAGCAATTCGAATTTGCTGCGTACTACCGATGCGTGGGCGCGACACTGAACGCCTATGCTACCCCCCAGGCGCACACTGAGTCCTCGTTGTTGTCGCTACCGCGAGAATGCCTCCTGATTATTGATACCTCCTACTCAGACACGACCATCCTACCTCTCTACAATGGGAAACTCATACAATCGGCGGTGCGGCGGCTCACAGTAGGTGGGAAGCTGCTCACAAACTACCTAAAGGAGCTTTCTTCTCTGCGACACTACAACATGATGGAGGAGACATATCTGCTCAACGAGATCAAAGAAGCAGTGTCGTACGTCGTGCCTTCATCGCAGCACTTTGCCAACGATCTAGAGCGGACATGGAAGGGACGACTGGGAGACAGAAGAGAGCTAGATTCGAGCATTGTAGTCGACTACGTGCTGCCAGACTACGAGAACGCCATACATGGCCACGCGCGACCCCACGATCCTGCAAAATCACGCATGCGTCGAGGGCTACAAGCGCCACAAGGACCGAGGGAAGATTTACTGCCATTAGGGAACGAGCGTTTCGCTGTGCCAGAGCTGCTCTTCAATCCCTCTGATATTGGCATCCAGGAAGAAGGCATACCTGGCGCCGTCATGCAGTCGCTGAGTGCATTACCCGAAGCTCTCAGGATAGGTCTGCTAGCGAATGTTGTGGTGGTAGGCGGGAACTCGCTGATTTCTGGCTTTATGGAACGACTGCGAACAGAATTGAGGGCTCTGGTGCCTGCAGAATATCCGCTGAACGTAGTACAGGCAGATGACCCAATCAAGCATACATGGCTAGGAGGAGCAAATGTTGCTAGCCAACCCGAGTTGCTGAAGGAGTTGCTGGTCACCAAGGCCGAGTACGACGAGAGGGGCTCTACCTGGCTAGTAAAGAAGTTCTCATGATAGGCAATTCAAAATAAGCAGCAACCGCGACATCGTTTGTAGATGTACTGCATCAATTCCAGTCGTGTGACGATTTGAGCTGAAGCTGCTGCACTGCTCGGGGCTGCTGTGGCTGTGATTGGCTCATGTCCGGCGGCTTGGCGTGCTGGTCAATATGTCGAAGGAATTTCCGGTCCACGGGCATCACCCGCATCTCGAACCCAATGCGCCGAATACCGCGCCCCTCGCGGGCAACTGATCCCTCAAATCTCCTGTCCACATCGATACGGCAGACACTGTCGCCATTGCCTTGTCGCTCCGCCGTGTCGCCCTGCACCCATCTCCGCAATGCAACCGCCACTTTCTCCACAACCGCACCTCAGTCGTTCCTCCTACCGGGCAAGCAAGACAAGAAGAAGCACCAGCAGTTCGTACGGAGATGGCAGAAGCGTCTGCTCGGCGACTCGGAGCCCATTGGCGCACACGTTGACCCATACGACCCAACATCACCTGTCCGAATAGCACCCGAAGACCAGGGCGAATACGAAGAGGTGCTTGAGGAAGACCCCAATTTCCCCAAATACCGACAAGCAAAGAGCATAGCCGGCCTCCAGCGTGTCGGCGGCGACGAGTGGCTCAGGCAAAAAGTCGAAAAAGACATAGCCAAGGAATTCGAGAAACTGACACTACGCACTTATACGCCGCTGACGCTGGGCATGGCCGATGAAATTGAAGAGCTCACCGGTACCCCATACACTCTCAAGGACGAGAACCTGATGATGGCGCAAACGATGCACGAGAAGACGAACCGGCCGTATACCCAGTACAACTTTGGCCTCCATTCCAAAGCTTCCCGCGTTACTGACATCCGCGCTCGCTTTACGCAAGCTGTCGCCGAGATCTATGCTCTGAAGCAAGCCGGTCTCGACATGGACTTGTCCAAATTCGCCAACCGAGGTGTGTACGACCGGCCACGCTGGGTCAAGGATGTCAAGTTGGTCAAGACAGAAAGCGGCGAGCTTGCTCTTGCCTTGCCGGAGCACAAGAACCTGGATGATCTTCTGGCAACGATGCAAAGAGCACCATCTTGGGAGGCTGAGCAAGCGGAACCAGGTGAACTCCTTGTTGAGGAGGTCATTGAGGAGCTCGACGGTACTCATCTCCCACAAGAGCAAGTACCGACCATGGATCCCGAAACACCAGCATACAAGAAGGCAGCAGTGGTCAAGCAGGATGCTGAGAAGCCGTTTGATTTCATGTCGAACCGGCCAGTACCCCGCGCAAAGCCCGTGACCGAGCAAGTCAGTCAGCCAGTCGTTGAGGAAGTGGTGGTTCAAGAAACCCTCAACACCCCTCCTGTCCATGCAGCCGATTCTATGCCTGTCAACGAAGTCGCTCCAGCAGCAGCGAGCGAGTCGCGACATGCTATCCTCGAGGAAAGAGCGCAGCGCTTGGCCACCGACTTTGCAGCTCTGAAGAAGTCGGTTCAGCAAAGCAGGGCACAGTCTTCTGCCACCAGATCCGAAGACACCAAGTGGCGACATATCCCTGTCACTGACATTGACGTCAAGTTCGCTGTAAGCCTACTCACGAAATTTACCTGATATCTGCTGACATTCGTAGCTTTTCAAACGGCTTTACCAATTGACCGGCTTCCGCATCTCAGACCCGCACCTATCCTCAGCAAAAACCCTAGGCGATCTATACAGCTACCTCTTGGAGGCCGCCAAACCTCAACCGACCAGTCTTTACTCCGCTATCCACGTAGAAGGTCAGAAGGCACGTGAACGAGCGAAGCAGCAAGCCGCATCGGAAGCTGCTACCAAGCGACGGGCCGATCTGGGCGACTTGATCAATCTGGGCAATGTCGAGCTACGCCGCGTCAAGGCTAACAAGACCGAGAAGCGCAGCAAGACCGGTCTAGACAAGGTGGTAAACTATGCTCTGCGGGAGCGTGGTCTGGGTAATGGAGTGCCTTCCAGGATTCAAGAGATAAGAGCGAGGAAAGCACGCAGTGTAAGGCATGTGCGAACACAGCGTGAATTCGTCAATCCCTTAAGCAGTAAGGCTGCCAAATTTCTGGAAACTAAGACGCAATAGTTGAAATCAGCACAACAATCAGCTGTCTAGGTTGGATTATGAATACTCATGCACTCAATGTAAGGGTCATGGCATGCTTTGTGTCGAGCGACTCAAATACACTGTATAGTATGTACTCTATGGGCAGGATCTGGAATGCATGGAATCGTGCTTCTGCTGGCGCGCTCATCAGCACGCGTTCTACCTTGATTCGCAAAACAGAAACTAAGCAAATATGGTGAACTGCAACCTGCTGCATGACAGATAAACCCATCACGTAAGCTCATTTCAAGATTTCTGCACCTCATACCAAGTACTGCGTACCTGCATGGAAGCTGCAACACACTCATCTACTCTACACCCATGACATGAGAACGGCACCATATCACCAAGCTAACCAGCCCATGTAACAGCTAGGACAATTGCGGGGGCCGAGTCCTGATAAGCTGTCCACCACATGCAGGGCACACGCGCAGGATTTCTACCGAGGGAATAGTCGATGATTGCCGGAAAGCTAAGCTTTGCCCAGAATTGCTTGTCAAAGATAAGAGTGGAGCTACTAGCTCTTGCAAGCCACACAAGCTAAGCGGCATACGGCAACTCTTTTTTCTCGTGCCCTGCCACCGGCGTCAAACGGCTTTTCATGACGCGGCCGGAGCCGATTGTGCGCGATGGGTGGGGTAGTGTCTACTAAAGAGCAAGAATGTTTCGCTCGGTGCGGACCCTGGACGGTTCACACTCTTTCATGATTACTACTTTTGTACCACCATTTTTCTGAGTATTCGTTACTACGGTACATTCCATGATGTTTTCAGCGGAAAAGGCCCAGGACGAAACCAGCGTCTCAACTGACAGCGGGAGAATCGGCGATGCGACCGTCACCCGCGAAACGGGGCTCCTGGCCAAGCTACGCCGCTTCGAAGCCAGATTAGACGCGAAGCTGGGAATTGAATCAGAAGCCATCAGTCGCAAGCTGCCAGAGGAAAAGGGACACGTACCATGGCATCACCAACTCAACATGTTCTTCCTATGGGCATCCGGAACCATGAACACGTCTTGTTTTGCCACCGGCCTTCTGGGACCTCAATTCGGGTTGAGTAAGGATTTTGCTCCTCCCTCGCTCTTGCGAACTGCTCGACTGATTCAATTTGTGTGCCTATAGCGCTTCGCCAGAGTATCGTCATCACCATCTTTGCGTCTATCCTTGGTGGCGCTGCCACCGGATTCGCAGCCACTTTTGGTGCGCCGACGGGACTGAGGCAGATTTCAGTGTCAAGATATGCGTTTGGATGGTGGCCTAACAAGCTCATTGCTGCTCTTAACACTATCGTGCAGATTGGCTGGGCGTCTGTCGCTTGCATCACAGGTGGTTTAGCACTAACGGCTGTAGCGGATGGCCATATCTCCCTGATCGTCGGTATAGTCATCCTCGCTGTCGTTGCCACGATAATTTCGTTCGTCGGTCTGCGAGCGATCCTGGTATACGAACGCTATGCATGGTTCATCTTCTTTATCATCTTCATCATCTTCTTCGCGGAGACAGGCAAGTACGCGGACAACAGCACCAAAACCGACCTGAAGGGAGCGGACCTCAGTGGACAGGTTCTGAGCTTGATTGCTATTGTCTACGGAAGCTCAGCATCGTGGCAGACCATGGCCTCCGACTACTATGTCCACTACCCTGTCAACGTCTCGCGCTGGAAAGTCTTCCTCATGACAACCTTCGGCATCGCTATTCCCACTTCTATCGGTATGCTAGCAGGCTGTGTGGTGTCTTCCGGCATGCACAACCGACCAGAGTGGCAAGAAACGTACGACAATGAGGGTCTGGGTTTCCTCATCCAAACCATGCTCTACCCTCGCGGTTTCGCCAAACTGATTCTCACCCTCCTGGTCCTCTCCGGTATCAACGTAAACGTCATTTCCATCTACAGTGCCGCCATCTCTTGCCAGCAATTTGCCCGCCCTTTCGCACGCGTACCCCGTTTCATCTGGATCCTGGTTTGCTTCGCTGCCATCCTTGGTCTCGCTATCGGCGGCCGCGAGCAACTCAGCGTCTACCTTGAGAACTTCCTTAGTCTCCTCGGCTACTGGACTACGCAGTACTTTGTCATTCTATGCAGCGAACATGTCATCTTCCGTCGTATGAACTTTGACAACTACGACCTGGACGCGTGGAACGATCCCAGTCGTCTTCCGCTCGGTATCGCTGCTGGCACATCGTTTGTCATCGGTATCGTGGCGTGGATTATGGGCATGGTAGAAACTTGGTATGTTGGACCGCTGGGAGGTCTTATTGGATCTGATGGTGGTGATGTCGCGAATGAGTTTACATTCGTTGTAACCGCGCTTGTGTATATACCTGCGCGATATCTTGAGAAGAAGATCGTCGGGAGATAGGAGGATGGTTTCCGAAGCAGCAGTGTTTCCGGGTGCGCAACTGTAAGGCTGCCAGTAGGATACCTGGATATACACATAACGAAGAATCGATAGCGTATTGTTGAGCCATTCAAATCTTGCAACCGAAAAGTGGTCTTCCAAATATAGGAGAACTGCTTTTGGTCAGGGCTTACACAACCAGTTGCGACGCAGCCACTCAGCTCTTGATCTCCTAGCTTACCAACGATGAGAGATCTGTGGGCACGTTCACATCTCCCATGCCCTCTTCGCGACGTCAAGCGTGACATCTCCCTTCAAGAGTCCCACCATCCAGTTCAAGTCCTCAGACCCCAGTGCCGTTCCAGCAATGATCACAGCCCACTGAACGACAGGGGAAGCAAAGTCCATTTCCCCACGTGCACGTTTATGCTGTAGATAATCCGAAATGCAACGGGCAATATCCAGTCCTGCAGCCTGGATAGAGGGATAAAAAGAGCTCTCCTTTAGAACGCTTGTATCTGCGTGTCCTTGTAAGAGGTTGTCTGGATCATGGTGAGGACTGTGCTGTGTAGTTTCTAAAGTCGCCATGATCCTAAGTACGTAGAGCAGAGCCGTATTATACAGCATCAGCATCCGCGCGGCTGAGTCGTTGATGAACCTGTAGATAGTTCGTGGTGATGTCCCAGCTGTAATGGCCTCGACACACTCTTCAATATAGATGTTCTCCTCATTACCATCCCACCGAACTTTCCAAGCCTCGAGGAATATGAGTAACTCCTCGGCTCTGCACTGGATCTTTTGTCGTCGCCGCGGGAATTCGGAGCCAGATACACGCTGAGCTTTGAAGGTCTCGTCGCTGACAGCCATTAACACCGAGCAATCTGCGAGCACGTCATGTAAGTCTTGTTCTTCCGGAGTTTCCAACGAAAGCGCTGTCCTCAATACGGATTTCCACTCTGGTCGCGCAAAGATGGAAGGTGATCTGTTCCTCAGCGATGCAATCAATATCATGTGTCGCACGCCTTTGTATAGTTCCAACGTTCTAAATGACGCGTACACCAGAGATCCTGGGTCACGTAATGCCAGAAGCTGTTCAAGGCCAAGCATGTGTTTGAGCCAGTTCTTCGGGCCGGTAGGCATGAAAAGCTCAAGCATCGCCAAAATGATGACGGAAACGATGACATCGTCGCACATACGACGCTCAGGCTCACTCAGAGCTTGATTCAGTCGCTTGAGGGCTACACCATGTATGGTGTAACCCTGGGTGAGAATTCCATTCTGCTGGTAGCGCGAACCAAAGAATAGGGTTGCGAAGCTGAGCGCAGCCTGAATGAACAACGGGGCACCCTCTTTCGCTATCGATGAATCCTTGGTATCAATATCTGAGGCTTGGAGCTCCTGAAGCCCTAAATCGATCGGGCCATTGGGAAGAAGATGGCGGCGCAGATAGCAAATGTAGACCTCGTTTTCGTTGAATCTGAACCTCACTTGAGGAATGGCAATCTGGTTGTCAGGAGATAGAGATGCCGACTCTTCCACATCTTGCCTCCTCCAAGTTGTTGTTGCATCCGGGCCGGCCACACTATCCTTTGGCTTCTGGGATCTTCTAGATTTGACAATCTTGCCTTGTATGAAAACAGTGGTTTGCGGTCCGTCGCATTGGAACCCAGCCTTTTCGCATCTTTGACAGATAGGGTGAGTCTCGTCTTCAAAGTTGTCAGCCTTACATCTAACGTGCAGGTGACTGGCGCTTACCGCACTTGACACGGCGTCTGCGGCAGGTTGAGCATCCTTTCGAACGACCAGCTACATTGACCATGGCATGAACCTGATTTCTACGAGACACATATAGCTGGGACGAATGCGGTACATTGAACGAGATGGCTGAAAAGGAAGGTGGGGAGTAGATGGGCTGACTGCAGCTAGCACATGTCAGCCTAATACAGGGTCGAGCTAAACCACTTGCGGCTCATTGGGCGAGGTGACAGGCCCCTCACATCTGCACGTAACGCCCGGTCCTAGTCTCTCCCATCGCGACTCTAACACTGGATTTCTTGAGCACACCTGTAATGCCAGCATAGCTGTGCGAAAAGGCTGCAGGTGCATGCCCGCGTATTGAGCCGCAAAAGGTATAGCGAGCTCTTTCACCAGGCGACTTTAACTGTAGACATGTACGCACGAGAAGGTAGATACGCTTCTCAATATATAAGTATCGTCCAGTGTATCGTCTCCTCCCATCACATTTAATCTCAACTTCGCCTTCATAACACCAAATCGTGCTCGTCAGGCTTGCTCAATATCCACTGCATCTCAGCTGCCACTCCATAGCCATGACGGTCACAGCAAGCATCGACATTGCATCCCCACCAGAAACTGTCCGCGCGAAGTTCCTCGACTTTGCATCCCTTTCCAAATATCACAAAGGCTTCTTTACGTCCCTAAGCCCACTCGGCCCGGTCGAATCAGGGAACAAGATACGTGTCGTCTTTTCATCTGGTCAAAAGATGGACGCACCAATCGAAGTACGTGCCCACTACACTCTAGCTGAGCATCATCTGATACAATTACAGCACAACACACCCACCTCCTTTGCATGGACCGGCTCAATACCGCTTCTGTTTACAGGCACGCATTCTTTCGTTTTCGAGCCCAGCAGCACCGTTCCAGGTGGTACAAAGTTCACACAAGAAGAAGTCTTCAGTGGCGCACTAGCTTTCTTGATGGGCGAAAACGTGGTAGCCCGACAATTCGGCTTCCCAGAAAAGACGAGGAGAGGATGGGAAGGTTACAACAATGACTTGAAAGCGTGGTGCGAAGCACAATGATGTGGTTATTTATAGATTTCCTTTTTATGCCGAATATCTGCAATCGGGTATATCTCTTTTAATGTATAGATTGTGTACTTTGTTTTGATGATATATTCTTCCCCGTTTATATGCCTCACGCCTTGACCAAAAGCTTCCACCCTTTGAACGCTACCCGCGCGGTGACAAGCAGCACAGCGCTTCCAAACAGTAAACACCCTCCAAACACCCAGAGACTATCGAAACCGCTATGGCCTTGGATTGCGCCTCCAATCGGCGTTCCAACAAGCAGGCCCACAGCCACGACTCCAAAACTTTGGCCTAGTCTCGTGCCGATCTTGTCTCGTGCGTCGGTGCTCAAGTGAACAATGATGGTGGGTGGTAGCGAAACGAAAGATCCGGAGAAGAAGCCGTAACATGCCATAAGGACAATTATGCCGGCAGTGGATGAGACGGATATGAAGCATATACAGAGGAGGCCCGATATGATAGTGCAAGGAATTACGACGTTGAAGGGACCGACTTTGTCAGAGAACTATTGTACACAAAAGTCAGCGAACTGTAATCATCAAATGCAATGATTAGGAAGACGAGTAGGGCATAAGAAGCATACCAAGTTGGGTACTATACGACCAAAAACACTCGTACTGTTCATGACAGCGAGGAGGTAAAAGGCCAGACTCTCGTTGGTAATATGTTCCTGGATGGCGTAGACTTGTGCGTAGAAGAATGGCATATACAGTCCCATGAACCCGAGAAAGAATCCAGCAACTTGAAGACTATACGCTGGGATTAAGAAGGCGCGAAGATCGAGAAGCGAGCGTGATTTTGCTGGTAGGACGCGGACTCGCATGCATACATTCGGTATGATCATGGTGGCGAGGATGATGAAGCCCAAAACCCTCGTCGTCCATGCAAATCCAATCTGGGGGAGAAGCTTATGGAATACGATGGGATAGATAACACCTCCAAACGACGATCCAGATGCGGCGAGTCCAATAGCTGTTCCGATCCTGGTGGAGAAGTACGTGGAGAGGATAGCCACACTGGGGATGAACAAACAGCCTGTCCCGATACCTATGCAGAAGGCCTGCGCGAGGAGTACTTGCCAGTACGTATGACAAAGGCTGAGCATCATTTGGCCCAGAACCAACATGACACTTCCCACGATGAGTAGTTCGCGAAAATATCCTGCGTCATAGATTGGGCCAGTGAGTGCGCCGACCAAGAGAAGGAGGAAAGCCTGGATGGAACCGATCCACGATATAGACGAAGGGCTCGAGTCGGCAAGTAGGTTGGTCTCATAGTAGGCTTGATACGATCCGAATGTGTTGATGATGCCCCAAGAATTGAATAACAGAAAAAATCCACCCAGTACCTGTAACCACGCCCATAAGCCTCCATTTGGGATCTTGGAGACATCCTTCACGCTGGGATGCACCGATCGAACCTAAAAGCCGGTGAACGAAATCAGAATATGTCTCATATAGTCTAGACGGGGACATCACTTACAGGCTCCAGCGTCGTTCCTAAGCCTGCAGCGCGTTCTTCATCCGTAGCTTCAGTCACGTGTTGACCCTTCTCTTGACCCTGATTCGCCACAGAGGTGTTCGCGCTGTGCAGTGAATCCAGAGACGCCTGGTGACTAGGTTTCTCATCAAAAGTCGTTGATGCATCTGATACCGCTGCTGCTTGCGTATGCCGCTCGAGCGATGGGTCGTTGGCGTGTTCTATCCCCATTTCCGTAGCGGCAGCTGTCGTGATCGACAGCGCTGTTGACCCTTCTCGGTGTCACGACGGCGGATTGGTTGGGTCGGTAGTAAGCGTCGAATTAGTTTATTCCCGAGAATATGGTTATCACAACGGCTCAGCCGATTTACTGCGGCCAAGAAACGCGCAAGAAAAGAACGATGTGAATGTTATAGAGCTGACGGCACCGCGTACGGAAAGGAGATCGGAAAGGAATCTGAAGGAAACAAGTGGGCCCGGCAGATCATATATCAAGCTTAGGATAGTATGACTTGAGGCGTCCGGCTAGACGATTCTGAATACAAACACGGACTGCACCACACGCCCTTTTCCTCCCTTGAGCTTCTCCACCATAAGCAGCTCGCTCGAAGTTAAGACCGAGCAACACCAAGCGAAACGTGCTTGCCGCGCGACCATGACCTTTGCGGGTTCGGACTTCCGTTAGGGGTTTCTGTTATTAATAAAGTCTGATGCTTTAGCCGAACCTTGGGAAGTACAAACAACGGAGTGCGGCGACAAGCACGTCACGAAACGTGCTGGGCATTATTTCCGTCTAATAGCCGTGTATTCAGCCGAGGCAAGCTTTGTTTGAGACTGTTCGCTAAGGTTTACTTTTCTGTGCCTACGTAGTCATGACCTTTTATCATCTTCATTTGCGTGATTCGTTTAATACCATCAATACTATTTTTCCGCTTTTTGTGCGGTCTATCTAAACCTCCAGATCTCAACTTTCACAGTTGTATACCAGGCAGCGCCTAATTCGACGCATCTGCCCCAGACGCCATCATCATAGAGAAAGGGAAACATGCCGTAATGATGTACAAACAGTGCCAAGCTGCCATGCTATCGTAATCTTGGGGAATATGCTTCGTCATGTCGTTTCATACTTTTGGTGACCGAAGGAAAGGTTATGGTAGAAGGATTCGCTCACAACGCCTGCGTGAACGCCCATAAACGCTCACTATGCTATACAACCCAAGGAAAGAACCTACCCGATTTGTATGTTTCGGCCAGAAAATGTGTGCCGATATCGAATTTTGACATGAGAAAGAACTAACGTCGTTGAGGCTCCACTTGTTCGGACGGCCCCTCAGGTCTCACCAGCGACCCGTTTTGTCGCCAAGCGATGACCGGAAGGATGCAGCGGCGACGGCTCGACCTGTTCCACGCGCTCCTCGAGATAGACATTGCTTAGTAGCCCGGCAGGAATCGTGCCATCTTGAGTCGGCTTCAACTGGCTTCTTGAAGCTTTCTGGCGTCGATTTTCGCGCTCGTTGACGACATCCCGTAAGATCTTATTAGCACCAGTCCACCCAATCTGGCTAGCTGTCGCACGATGATTGAAGAGGCGCTCTACGAGCGGAAGCGGTAGCGATAGAAGAATGGTCGACAACACGACAGTCGAATGGCTGGGCTGGTGGTCGTCTTCTGTCGGTGCATCACCGAAGCGAATCTTGCTTAGCCGTGGATTATGCGCGGCCTGGCGATTCTCAACGACCGCAGGCAGACGTGGTGCGTCAGAGAACTCAGGCGCTATGGTGTACAGCTTGAAGTCGATAGGAAAGGTGAAGGCAAGGAACTCAAGAGCGTAGTTCAGTAGCGTTGAGATGAAGGGGTCGTCCGTATCAGGTCCTTCGGCTCTTGACCGTGGTCCAGAATTGGCTTGCAGTATGTATTGCAAGACCTGTTCCACAGTGTCCCATCGGAGAAGCATCCTTGCAATCTCGATGCCACGTGCCTGCATGCTAGGTATCTGGAAAGTCCTTGCTGCCGCAATATAACTCAGAATTTGTTGCATGCGCCGGCGAGCGTCATTGGAGGGAGTTGCTTGGTCACTCTCGTACATGTAAGGTGCGAGGCCATAGAGGAAGGTCTGGGCGGAAAGAAGTGGGGCACCATACAGCACTCTGACAGCCTCTCCCAGAGATTCGCCAGTGGTGAAAGGGTCCAGCGCGACGACATCGACTAGCCGACGCGCATCCCTGCTACGATGACTTGGGACAGGACTGCGACGGATAGCTTCTGCTATGACTGGACTGCGTACCACTATGATGCCGTGCACAGGCACTGATACCAGGACCGATTCCGGAGATCGGACTTGGAGGACAAAGTCGGCGAATTCTGGATTTCCAAACTGTGTAGAAAGATAACCCGCAAGCTCAAAAGGCGACTCCTCTAGGCGCTCAGCGGGAGGAGGCGCAGTGCCGTTCTGGTAGGGCAAGGCACGATGCTCCTCCCCATGCTCTGAAGTCGGTACCGTTTCGCCAAATTGTGCCTTGCTCGGTGACTGCGAATGAGAGGTGAGGGTACCATTTGTGACGAAAGGTGCCTGTTCCGGCGAGAAATGGCCGTTGTAAGGGTTCGAGTAGCCGTCCGGACCACTAGGAAACTGGGAGGGGCGGAAATCAGAGCCGTTTGCGTACGTGGGATCAGGCGGCGCAACTGTGTTTGGGGGCATGTGCCAGGGCGCTCCTGCCTGAGAGGGATGCTGAGCATGACCCGGAAAGAAGGGCGCAAATTGCTGGGGACCAAAGCCAGGCGGAGGACGCGGCAGCACATGCTGTTCGTGTGGATGCAGCTCTGGCTCTTGAGATGTCACAGGAGGTGCTGGTGACTCATTTGCGCTCCTGAAGACGAGGGCGCCTGCACTGAGCTGGTGTCGATGCGATGGAGTGTCACTCCCCTCTGCCGGCGGCGTATCGGTCTTGTTCGAGGGATAGAACGGTGGGGGCAGGTGAGAGGGTATGGTCAACTTGCGGTGCACCCCGTTGACGGCTGGCTTCGTTTCGGCGCTGGGCTCCGTCGGCGGGGAAGGCTTCTCGTCGGCATGTCCATTGGTATGTCCGTTGACTTGGTTTCCTGCATCTTCAGAACTTAGTGCATGTTGGACATTAGAGGCAGCCCACAGCGGAAACCTACCCTGAGCGTCTGATGGCGCTTTGTGCCCATTCTGCGATGGGCTAGCCAAGCCATCTGCTGGCAGCTCTCCCTTGTCGACACCAGAAACGTCCGACTCGGGTGTGAGAGGGGCTTGCACAGGCTCTGCATGCTTCTGTTCCGCGTGCTCTTCGATCTGCTTCTCCGGCACTCTTTGCGGCTCCGGCTGCGGCTCAGATAGCTGAGCGGCGGCGCCTTTGTGGGAGCCTTCTGGGGTAATGGGTCTGGCAGATGGCTGAGACTTGGACAGACGGTATGGGATGGCAGGCACGATGCGCGATCCTGGGCGACGGTGCTGCTTCTGCGCGAAGCCTGGGCGTGCGGCGGTGTCGGCCATGTTTGCTAGGAAGGTGGTAGTCTAAGTGCGACAGCGGATGCGGAAGCGGCTCCAGGTAATTGCAGCTTCGTGGTTCTTGCCAATTATCCTGGAGCGCCCTGGGACGGGAGATGTGTGCGGCGAGGGTATTTGCGAGGTGGGGTTAGTCGACAGCAAAGAAGTCCAGGCAGAGATGGAGAGATGGCTTCCCCACCAATTTTAGCTCAAGCACTCTGAGGTCATGGCCCTAGCTTAAGCTCCATTTGTCATCTCCCACCAGCCCTCACTGAGACACGGCGAGGCGACAACTTTTCTTTGTCTATAATGTGTCACTTTACGCGTTTGTCTTGTGTGGTCTCATGTTGTGTCCACTTTCAGCCAGGGTGAAAGACTCCACGCTAACCTCATCGGCATCCATACCTCAGCTTGCACGGGTCGTGCCTTCCTCGCCAAGAGAGAACGCGACTTCTTCGTGCTACGCTGGAAGGCATAACTAGAGATATGGTTGCACAGACAGCGTTTCCTTCCTTAGAGAAACAACCTTCCGTCACATGCGATCAACACTAGACTGTCTTTCGCATACTCCATTCTCCTACTATCACACGTCATAACACCGAGATACCAAGTCCATCATCCTGTCACCTTGTTTCCATTTGCTCTATATTTCCTAGTCCACATCGCCTCTCGTTACACCTCTAGCATGATCCTAGGACAAGCTCAACCATCCTACCATGACAAGACCTCCATGCCTGCGCGTCCTCATAAGGACTATCGCTGCTCCGATTGTCGAGAACGTGATATGGGAGCCATCTCTGCCAAGTACTGCTTGACGACTTGTCCTCATCAGCATGAATTCACCTCTACTCGTTCGTTGGCTCCCATGTTGATGCTGTCAAGTAACTAAGTCATTACAGCAAACAGATTTAGCATTTTGGCAGAGCTGAACCAGTCGACCGCCGAGACGAGATAGGAATTCGATCTCATACCCACCTCGAGTAGAAGCACAAAGCGGCGAGGCAAGCGGGGTGGAAAACGACACAGAAGCAAAGAAACGTCTAAGAAGGCCACTGCAGGGCGCGATCACAACAGCATTAGCGTGCTGTGTAAGAGACTCGCTGCGTTACGTCTCCATGATGACGAGCCGTCCCAACCAGGGATGCCAGAAACTCCCACCCATATCTCAAGTGCTGCAACTACCAAAGCTACCTCCTTTGATGTCGACAGGCCTCTCTGGGCCCCACAGTTCCTGCCGAACTCCATGGCTGCTGCGACCAACCCTGCGCGGACAGCGGTGATATCGGAGGAACACGGGCTGCCCGACGAGTCGCAGCCATGCCAGATCAAAATGCCGCAATCTCAACCCTGCTTCAGTGGCCCAAAGGCTGAACGAAAGAATCCACAATCTTTCCCACTTTCCGCGTTTCTTGCCTGCCCAGACCCTTCAGGACGGTATCCATCCAAATTCAGATTTCTGGGAGCAAGTTGTGTTCAGAAAGACTTGCGTTGTTCAGAGTCCTTCGTTCCATCCGCGTTCTCGTCTCATACAAAAAACGCAGTAAAGAGCGCAGCATACTGTGCACCCGCGTCGAAGAGTCTCGAAACAGTTCCTATCAGGTCCACGTTCGACTCAGATGTCCAGCAGGAGAAACCATCGTTTCCAACACCGTTAACACAGGGTTTGAAGGTGCCCCGTCCAATGCTCTTCGACTTTCCTACGAGATGCAACTTGCCACCCAATGCGTCTACAACACCCCCGATACAATTGGCGCCAACTGTTCTGTCCACCGAACATGCTATAGCGAACGATGGGAACCATGGTTCGCCTTCTAATTGCAGCTTAAGACGAGGACAGCCTTACCTCGATGATGTACGCACAATCGTCAACTCACATTTCCATGGCCGTTGGCAACGCCCTTTGGTGGCAGCTGACCCTGATACGCCTCCCGCATGCAATAGTTTTCCTTTGCAACCTAAGAAAAAATCGAAGTTCTTCGCCGATGGGCACCTGATCGGGCATGATAGCATTCCCGCATTTCAGCAACCTGTGATTGAGGCCCCAGTTCTCACAGACAACAATGCAGCCGCTCTTATCGACTCATCCGCCCCTATACCACCAGAAGACTGTTCTCGTTCACCAGTTACGGATTTGTACGATAAGCTGGAGACAAAGCGTGCGTGGAATACCGATTTCGCTTCAGGTGCACACGTACCAAATCTCGTAACAGCGGATATATCTCTATTGGACACTGTTACCTTGTCTGATCCATACGATTGTGGAGAGTCTCAGCAGTGCATGTCACCACTACCCGAATACCGCCCTGTAGACTTGGATCCAATTAAACAGAATTATCGCCGTTCGATTCTCAGTACCGTCTGCCAGCTGGAAACTGATATTGGAGAGAGTATCTCAGATTCAGACGCTGCTGAGTACGATGTGATTAGTCCAGTTTCCAGCCAAGATACATGGGTCGAGCTTTCAAACCCTGCGCAATGCAGCTTCGACATGGCGTCTAGCAGCGATGACGAGAGCAATGAAGAAAACGACGAGTCTTACTGCGGGTCTTACTAGGCGGAGACTTCTACTGCATGTACCAACGACAACCAATGGACACACGACGGAGTAGATACGAGTGCGATAGAATGGCTCACTGTGCAAGAGGCGATGGAATTGGAACACACTAGAAGTAGCGGGAGTCCAGGCTCGACGCTGGACGATGATGATGACCCCAACTACTGGGATGGTGTTACCGATTGGTTCATATGATTTCCCATTTTCTAGGTCGAAAACGGTCGTGCTTCGTGTTGTGGGTGCTGGGATCATGGTAGTCTAGATCTGAGAGTTGATCCGAGTCTGCTTGTCCCGTCTCCATGGGGTCTTCAAGATCCCTAAAGCCACAGTTCGCTTATCTGGCGATGCGTTTTCTCTACGGTCACTCTGGCGTTGTATATTTCTGCTTTGCAAAGCTTCAATAACACATGCACATAGGTCAACGATATACACTTGGGCTGTCTTTGACTTCCATTGGAACACATGAAACAATGAGCTGAATATCTAATTATCCCTGAATACCTCGCCTTCAAACTCCTGACACAACTCATCCCATGGTAGCCATTCACCTTTGTCCGACTTCGCTCCGCCCTTCTCTGCAATTGGACTCCACCACGCCTGCTCCTTCCCATCATCATCGTGCACGACAGCGACGGGACCAACCGGCCCGGCAGCGTTCGACTCGAATAACTTTCTAGAATGGTTGAAGTACCACATGCGATCCCAGACTGAGACGCGCAGCGACTTCAGTCCGTCTCGATGAGCATTGTGGTGAATGAGACCAGGAACGACGCTCGTCCACATGTTGGTATAGAGAGGGACATCACGCCAGGTTCTATCTTCAGAGAAGCTGGAACCGGGAGCAACGACTGCTGGGCGAAATGGTGGCTGCGAGTCTGTGACGTCTTGGGCGAGGTCGTGTACGCGTACTGGCGCAATTTTGAGCTCGGCGGAGGCTTGCGCGATGGACTTGGGGTCATCATATGTCACCCATGCTGAGTCCTCCTCTGCAAACACCGTTGGGTGGCCAAGCAGACTAGCATAATCCAACCCTATACCGAACTCATCGGGTTTTCCTCCTTTGTGATCGCGCAAGTGTCGCTCAGACTGTGGGTTGAGGATACTGTTCCTACCAGTTAACCAATCTCCCATCTTCTGGAAAACATTCCGATGCCGCTGTCTCATGACCTCTCGCTGAAACTCCTGGTCTCCGAAGATCTCACTGAAGATCTTTTGATCACTACCGAAGTTCCGGTCCTTTTCTGCCTTTTCCATCGCCCGCTCGAAGAGGGCCTTCATCGCCCCTACGCGACCCATCGCATCGCCAGAGTTGAGATAGCGTTGCCGGAACTTGACGTATGGGTTCTTCTCAAATCCAATATCCGTATCCGTTTCGGGGCCGTAGATGTCGTTTGGCAGCGAAGACTGCGGCACAGCGTAGCAAGGTGGGTCTTCTGGCTTCCATGGCCAGCACCGCTTCTGCGCAGAAAAGATAATGTCTTGGGTTATCCCTTCTGCAGCGGCTGCTTTCGAACCCATAGTCTGCTGTATCCGCGTGTTCGCCTCGTTGTTGATGGCGTGGAAGCGCGATACCAGCGCGCTGGGACGCAGTTGAAACCAGATATCATATCCATCCACAAGTAATAACAGGTCGTCGTCGCGCTCCGGTCCAAGTGTACGCAGATACTCGAGTACACCACTAATCTTGGCTAAATGTGAACCTCCAGCCACAAGCGTTTTATCGTCGAATTTGGCGCCCCAGTTGATCAGTGTTGGAGTTGGATATCCAGCCACTGCGGCGCTTAGCATCGTTTTGCAAAGATTGACATCTTTGTGATCCGCAGGAATGAGAAGGTGAAGGATCGCGGACTTCTTCGGTGTATCTTTCTTGCCAGAAAATGGAGAGGAGAGGGATGAGGGTATAGAATTTGGAACAAGGTGACGGTCACCGTTGACAGCAAAGAGTAAAATGACAAGGAGTATGAATGTCGCTGCGACGAGTACCCGGCGCCGTCGACTCAGAGTCGGTAGTCGTCCGACTGCGGCGTCCAGGTACTCGCTCGAGACTTGCTTGTACCCACGCATCGATTATGCAGATGCAGTCACACGGCTGGAGTGCGACGTTTGCACTATGTGAGCTGGCAAAGCACTTGAACCTGAGCAAGCGTATGGCACATGCCGGCGATGAGCCGTGTGTGATATCAGTCCGCTTTGCTAGTATACAATCTTACATTGGGACTAATCGGATCCCATAGCCGTGTGGCGTTGGTAGCGATGTTCGCTAGTGTATTGTCGATTCCACTCCGGGAAATGGCGGATGGACGTGCAGGGTGTGGGTACCGAAGTGTGGTTGCAGGCATCGGAACAAGTCTGCCGAGACAGGTCACTAGTGTTTCCACGGCATTTGACACCTATTCGGTCGATTACATATCATAGTAAGCGCAGGATTTCTAGTGAAAAGCGCTGATACGCGGAGGTGTGGAAAATGAGACTAGACGTATATTTGCCAAAGATAACATGTGGCGTAATCTTGGAACTCAACGATTTCGTGTAAGGTGTCTATGATGATATTGAGATGTAGTTAATAGAACGCTCGTCGCTTGAAAATTCAATGGTATATTATCTCCGCAAACGAGACATCTTCAGGTCCCGACTCTGCACTGTACAAAGCACGCTCGTGAGATCCGCAAAGGGCTTCCCATGAGAGCGCTTCTCCCTGATCACTCCAAGCTCCAGATTTCTCTTCAATCTTGCGTTCTGTCTCATCGTATGGTATGTTCTTTGTCCATGAAACCCCATCGATAAGGTCTGATCCGATCTGCGGATCGTGTATCTGAGCTGATGCACGCTGAAGGCGTTCAGCCTCTTCAAAATACCACATGCGAGGCCACCAAGTGTCTCGGAAGGACTTGTCGCCTGTGAAGTGCAGCAGTGGAAAAGCCTGCCCAGTGACAGTGTTGAAGCCGAGAGACACATTACGCCAAGAAGTCTTTTGTAATGCTGCGTCGTCAGAAATGGCAGCAAAAGGCTTCTTGGATTGTAACACGTCTTCTTGTAGATCTATGCGGTACGGTTCCACGGACGTTGATGTTGATGGAAACGAAGACCGGTTTGTCGTCATCCACGCTATATAATTCCTGTATCCAGCCGCTGTCTGGAATAAGCTTGATCGGTAATCTAGACCGATATGATATTCAGTCTTCTGACCCTCCTCAAGCACCGGTAGACCAGCTTCTTGGACCTCTTGAGGTATCCCATAAGGCACATCCTCATGCGATAATATACGCGAATATTCCTGGTCGCCCCATACATCCGCAAAATACTTCTGGTCAGAGTTGCGCAACACGTACTCAGGATCATACGTCTTATGGATCTTCTCTTGAGTCGCACGAAACATATCTCGCATTTCTGCCGCGGGTCCGATGATGGTGCCAGAGTTTAACCAGCGTGGTCTTGCGTGTAGCATATCGCCCCAACCGTCGGTATAAGGGCCAAATGCATCGGGTTGGAGGGGCGACTGCGGTACAACCCAGCATGCTAAACGCTGTATATCTTCAGGGAAGCATGTTTTGTCCGGACCAAAGAGGATGCTGTTGTGCATGTTGTGTTTCCGCATATGGCTCTTGCCATACTTGGCAATCAAACGCTCGTTTGCAGTAGCCGTTTCCTCGAAGTACCGTTTTAACAAAACGTCCGGACTGAGTTGAAAGGTGATGTCGAAACCGTCCAGGAGAAGGACTATGTCGTTATCCTGAATGGTTGTTAGGTTTTCGAGGTAGCGAAGAGGACCTGCGATCTTCGCAAGGTGGGTTTCTGCAGCATTGAATGCACCCTCTCCGGCCCAGTCGATCAAAACAGGGGTTGGGTACGAGAGAATGGAGGCGGAGAGAAGGAGGCGGCATAAATCGAGGCCGCTGCTGGTAGCCACTATGAGTAGGTGAAGACGTGACTCTTTAAGACTGCTCGTGAGCGCATCTTGTGCCGTGGCTCCACGTATGGCGTCGAGTGACCCAAGATGTAGCGCAGTCCAGAGAAATATTAGGGTCGCAAAAGCCACGATTCCAGCAGCGAGAGTCCTGGGACGAGGCATGGCGCAGGTGTGTTGAGCCACAACTCTCTAGAGTTGACTATGATATGATCAATGGTAAGTTAGTGCTAATTTTAGTCTGCTCACAGCCAAGCAACGCACGCCTTGCGGTGCATGCCGTGTGATCCCGTGGCAAGGCATGTTGTGGCGTCATGTATGGTATTCTACTATGGTTTTGCATGAATTGCATAATCCCTAAAGAGGTTGATGGAGCGAGGCAGATTCCGCTGGGAAAACGGGAAGAACGGAACGTTGGCGCTTCGCTTGGCGCCCCAAGCGATCGGTTGGACGTGCTCATTCATATCCATGACTAGCGTGCCACACTAACAAAAGCCTGACGCGACAAGTCATTCGTTCATCCACTGGCTCTCGCCTTTGCCCTAAGCTCTATGCTACTGTACCACGCTCCGCCTGCAAGAGCTAGGAGTATGCCGGCTCCATTCATGGGACTGACAGGCACGTCCCACAAGAAAGCTCCCAATACAATGGTTAGACATTGCTTCAAGTTCGCGCAGATAGTCAATGTCAGCGCGCCTGCCAGCTTGTTCGTCTCGAAAGACGCGACATTAAGGCCAAACGCAAGCAGGCCGTTACCCGAGACTGTCAGAATCCTCTCCGCTGTCAGATGCCCAGCTTTTACGAAATCAAGGAATTCCGAGAACTCGCCAATGAGTACGGAATAGAGCAGAGATTGCACAGCAGCCAAGGGACCCATGCGGAGGAGCAGCTCCAGTGCGGGTAGTCGCAGGCGCCCTGTCATCAAACGGTTGGTAACGACCGTCTATTTTAATTGTCAGAATCCTTCGTGAATAATGTACATGATCCTTCGGATTCTGCTTACCTTTATGGCTGCGAGGACCACACCGATAAGAGTTAGAGTGAAACCCAGGGCGGTGAAGTAGTAGTCGCCCTAAAGATTGGTATACGAAGTCAGCTTGTGTCTCGCATGTATTTCGTGCAGGGGCGTTACTTACGAAGGTCGCTAGACCGACACCCAGCATTACAGGGACAATAGACAGATATGTTATGACAGCATATCTTCTAGAGAAAACGAGGCGATAGATCAGGATCGTAAAAAGTGGACAGGTTGCCCGCATGATTTGATGGAAAGGAACTGAAACCATAGCCCTGTAAGTCCTCATTAGTGACTGACTCAAGATTGGAGAGGGCACGATTGCTTACAGCGACAGGTTAGACATTGCGATGTTCAGCGTGAACAGCAGCGAGAACATGAAATGTACCAGGTGCTCGCGCGTTGTCAGTCGCGTCAACTGGAAATGTCCAAACATCAAGAAAACCAAACTTCCAAGAGCAGCACTCCCGGTGTGTACTGCTGTCAGAATCCATGGGAATGGGAACTGTATGTTCTATTAGCTCGATGTTCACACCCAATCTGATACGTGCTACATACCGAACCCATGACTGCTTTATTGTAGAAGGTAAGACTCAGATTCATTATGAAATAAGTTGCCAGAAACACGAAAGTCTTCGTCCGGCTGACGGCCGGTTCGGTTGCTCGATGAGCAAGCTCCTGCTTCTCCTCATGTTGACTCTCGAGATCTAGCAATGGTTCGTTCTCTTTGAAGAGGTGTTCAGCAGGATACTCTTCGTCCTCGCTGGTTGATTGCTTTGGGATCGGCTCGGGCTGAGTCATCTCAATTTTTTCCATGTTGCTGTTGTCTTTGTTGATTGAGAGGGGAGAGTCGTGTGCGCGCTGGCAATGGGGCTGCGTACAGTCAAAGACTCGTCCAATTTGAGTTGGCTGAACCGATATCTGGGCCGACAAGGGGTGGTAGGAAGAGACTATAGCGCCACTGCGGCTATGACCGACAAAGCTACTTAGCTTCTCATCGTTAATTTCGGAGACTGCTGCGGTTCGCTAACGTCTTAGCCTCTTTACATGCGTGTCTATTCACGCCCCGCAAGGCATGATGTATGCCATGTCACGCGATGAATCCTCGTAGCGTAAGACGGGGATGACCGGATTTAGGTACTGTATCTCCAGCGTGAACGAATAAGGTGTGATGACTGCCTCTATGTGTTGGCTCACCGATACAATGCTTGCAATTAGCTGCACCATAGAGCCTAGCTCAGCCATCATCTTAGGCACACTGCCTCACCTTGCTGTGATTATCTGTTGCCGAATTCCGATATTAGCTCCTTGAACATGGTCTATTTTTGTTAGTGTTGTGTAGTACTTCAATCCTCTGCGATGTCCTCGGACCAGAGGGAAAAACTGAACAACTCGGCGTGGATCTAGAAATTTTGCAACAAGACTAATCGAACGCATGAACGCATAGCCGCACTTTGCTCAATCCAGCAGCAAAGTTGAGCCTCGCCGAGTATTGTGGGGTTTCCACGCTAAGGATTACATCACTGACTTTACGACCGACGTTGCTAAGGCTTGCTTGGCAGGCACCCCGTCAATACCTAGGAAGCCGTGGCGACCCCGGCACTTCCGAGGCGCTAGTGCTCAACTCCTGACCAAACGCTTCCAAACGGTCCAATACGTCAAGGCCCATGCTCGGCACAGTAGGTGCAGATTGGTACTTTGTAAATAAAACCTAGGTGGTAGAAGATGCCGATAGCCGTCCAGGCGAGTATGAGTGCGGGTGGTCGCTTGGTGCTTGTCCGCGGCTTACGGATATCTCATTCGAGATCTCGATAGCCTTGTGTACCTATAGGTATCCTTCTGGCTTCCATAGCGACTACTTCATCATTATCCAACTGAGCAGACTAGTTGAACCCCCCTTCACATTCTTTCTCAACTATCTTATACCTTTCATGTCTACCCACACGCGGCAAGATGCGCCTATTCCGGCACCCTCATACCGCTCCAGCAACGAGTCCAAACTATTTGGCCGCATAACTAAGATATGTTGCGTTGGTGCAGGATACGTGGGAGGGCCGACTTCGGCAGTCATGGCGAACGCGAATCCCAACATCCAGGTAACAGTAGTCGATTACGACAGCAAGCGTATTGCTGCATGGCAATCAGACGAACTCCCCATATACGAACCTGGCCTCATGGAGATGGTCAAACCATCACGCGACGGTATTCCAAACAAGAGGGCACCAAATCTCTTCTTCTCCACAGATGTCGACCGCGGCATTGCCGAAGCTGAACTCATCTTGTTGAGTGTAAACACCCCAACCAAGACATTGGGCCAAGGTGCAGGACATGCGAGCGAACTGTCGTATTTGGAGTCTGCTGTTCGAAAGATTGGAGCTGTAGCGACGGACAATAAGATTATTGTAGAGAAGAGCACTGTACCTTGCCGAGCAGCAGACACACTTCGAGACGTTCTGAGAGCAACGAGCAAACCTGGAGTAGAATTTGAGATATTGTCGAACCCCGAATTTCTAGCGGAAGGAACCGCCATTCAAAATCTTTCGAATCCCGACCGCGTACTGATCGGGTCTCTGAAGACTCCTCAAGGACTGGCGGCTGCACGAGCCCTCGCCCAGATCTACTCTGCTTGGGTCAGCACGGAGCGTATCATCACGATAAACCTATTCAGCTCTGAGTTGGCAAAGTTAGCTGCAAACGCTCTGCTTGCTCAACGGATCAGCAGTGTCAACGCGTTGGGTGCCATGTGCGAAGCAGTAGGTGCAGATATCGATGAGGTATCCTACGCCGTCGGACTAGACAAGCGCATTGGGTCTAGAATGCTCAAAGCATCGGTTGGGTTCGGTGGCTCTTGCTTTCGCAAAGACATCTTATCCTTAGCATATATCGCGGAGTCGCTGAACTTGTTCGAAGTCGCTGCCTACTGGCGATCGGTAGTCGACATCAATGAGTACCAAAAGGACCGATTTACCCGCCGTATTGTGCGATGCTTGTACAACTCGCTCTCGAATAAGACACTTGCGATCCTCGGCTTCGCGTACAAGAAAGACACAGGGGATACTCGTGAATCAGCAGCCATCACAGTTGTCAACAACCTTCTCGCAGAGGGCGCGAATGTCAGAATCTACGATCCCCAGGTCAAGGAATCGCAAATACGGCACGATATCGAGAGCAGTAACCCACACCCGCAAAGCATCAAAGGCAGGCTCGCCGTCTGCTCTTCGACCTATGACGCGTGTACTGACGCCGACGCCGTGGTCATACTGACGGAGTGGGACGAATTTAGCAACAAGAGCAGTTCTGCACATGCCCGTGGAGACTCGGTACGTAGTGGCGACATGGATGCAATGCGCAAAGAGATATCATGGAAGCGCATCTCGCAAGTGATGCGACGTCCCATGTACGTGTTCGACGGGCGTAATGTCGTCGACCCTGTGCCTCTGGAGGCATTGGGCTTCCGATACGAAGGCGTCGGTAAATCGAGGGAGTTGTAGTCACTTTTCTTCATTTTTCTTCTTCAGATATCCAGCTCGTATAGCATAATTGGGACGATACATAGCTAGTACCTGTAGTTCGGCGTCGGGTCAGGTAACAGACGACAGGAATGAAAGCCTGATAATAACGTTACTATTCTGATGATATTTTTCGAAGACGTTGTTCCCTACCTTTGGATGCTCGCTTCCGTCGTGTTTTGGGTTAGCGCCGGTAGCTCGTCCAGGAAGGCTGGGAAGCCGCACCTGCCTCACACTTCTTCCCAAAACACGACAGCACATGGTCGAGTAGATGGACGCTGTGATGAAGTCACCAAAAGCTTCTCACTCGGCATAGGTCACACGCACAGTTACGAGGATAACCAAAGCGTACCACAGTTTGTTGAGGCCTGCTCATTCGGAGCTCGCTTTCCCCTGTCGTCAGTCGCCCACTGGCTACGCGCATCACCTTGCCAGTTCGCGATTCTTGATTTTGTCCTTTCCGGACTATTGTCAGTCCACTCTGAGCGTTTGGATCGTTTCTTGGGTGCGTAGTCGGTCTCCATCGCAGCGGCTGCCTCATGGCGCGTCGCACGGCATCCTTCGCGCTTCCGTCGTACGCGCAATCAGCGAATTACTGTTGCCGCCACCCCATGTCGATGCATCACAAGTTGTCGCAGCCTTGCTGCGCCTTCATCCTGCAGAAACCCAGTCTTTTCGCCCCTCGATGATATCGTCTTACTGCCTGCCCCTTGCCTACGATTTCTTTGTCTTCAACTAGTCTTCCCGTCCTCCTGCAATGCCATGGCGGAACTTGCAGCCCTTAGTGTCGCTGCTAGCATTCTTCAGGTTATCGATATCAGCGTTAGGGTTGCTGAGCGTCTCAATGAATATCGCAAGAAAGAGGACAGTCTGCCCACTGCTTTCAAACATGTCAGCACCCGACTACCTATCTTTGTTCTTAAGCTTCGAGATACGAATGCGAAAGTTGAGGATATGACAGATGATGCAAGGAGAGCATTAAAGCCCGCGATCGAAGAGTGCTTCAATCAGATCAAGAAGTTGGAGACGATAATTGACAAGGTTTTGTTTAAACCTGGTGATAAAGGAGCTACACGTAGCTGGAAGTCCATCAAAAGCGTTAAATACGACAGCGATGTGAGCGAGCTAGATAAAGTCATTCGGAGATACATGGAAGCCATGAACTATGGCCTATCGAGCGTGGCACTCCATTCGAGTAGTACGTATATTCCATTCTTCAACACTATTCCAAGGACGTAGGCTAATGTCTTGTTTTCAGATGAGAAATCCTCACTACAACCAACAAGCACTTGTCCATTTGAGCGAGAGGCGGACTTCGTGGAGCGAGACGTCATGTGTGACGTTACGACGCGATGTCAAGCCGGGTCAAGGTCAGCTTTGATAGGTATTGGCGGCGCTGGGTACGTGCTCGAACTGACGCTGGCAACGGATGATACTGCCAATCATGATTTTATGTATGACTCCCGCTGATAGCTGGTTTAGCAAGTCACGCATAGCTATCGAATACAGCTATCGCGTAAGAAAAGCCGCACCGGATACTTGGGTGTTTTGGGTGACATTCGATACGCCAGCCACTGTCGCTCAGGACTTCCGGAAGATAGCGAAGGCAGTCGGTCTTCGAGGCTGGGACGAGAAAGCGGCAGACATCTTTACTATGGTACATGATTGGCTCAAAGACGACTCTAACGGTCCATGGACCCTGATCCTGGATAATGTCGACTCTGTTGACGTTCTGACTGCGCCTGCCCCAAGAGTCACATCCAGTAATAGCATTGACGATGATTCATCCATGCCGCAGATTCGAAACTTTATCACTACTTCGACAAAAGGGTCTATTCTCGTCACATCAAGGAATATCGAGGCTGCGCAGATGATCACCGGAAACTGCGCATACCACATTGATGTCGATGAGATGAATGAGTCTGAAGCGATTGCTCTCTTGAAGAAGAAGCTCAGCAGCAAGGTTATCTATACCGAAGCTGAAGCTGCTGAGCTTGTCAAGTCAGTCGACTTCATGCCATTAGCAATATCTCAAATTGCGACAAACATCAGCATGAACTATCCACGCCTCACACTTTCGAAGGCCACTGAGAGAATTCAGGCACCGAGTGAAGAAACAGTGCAGCTCTTAGAAACAAGTGCGCACGAAACAAGTCGAGATACTAGAAGGACTAACTCGATTGTCAAGACTTGGCACCTATCCTTTCAGTATGTGCGCCAAACGCATCCTTCGGCTGCAAGACTTCTGTCGCTGATGTGTTTGTTCGGTCGACAGGGCATTCCGGAAACGCTTCTCACCGGTCAATATGGCGAGGAAGTAACCGCCTCAGCAACCCCACTTCAGCCCCGCCTGAATTGGTGGAAGCGAATCAGACGGCGGCGATTATACCTAAGGCGACGCCAGCGTGTGGCTCAGCAGAAGGCAACTGGTAGTAAAACCACCACGTCTGCTTGTTTCGACGAGGATTGGAGAGTGCTTACAAACTTTGCGCTTATCAGAACGAACATCGACGGATGTCATTTCAGTATGCACAGGCTAGTGCAATACACTACTAAGAGGTGGTTGGAGATCAACCGAGAGCTGAAGGCCTGGATGCAAAGATATGTCTCCATCATTCGAGATTGCTTTCCGAAGCCAGAACACGACAATTGGCAGGTTTGCCAGTACCTCTTCCCGCACGCTCAGCAGGCCGCCAGCTACCGGCCAGAGGATAGAGTCTTGCTTCTGACGTGGGCACCCCTTATCCAAATGATATCACGATTTGCATATGTGATAGGGGATTATAGCTCAGCGGAGGATCTGGGTCGCACGGCACTGGCAACACTGGAAGAGGTTCAAGGTCCTCATTGTGAAGATACCCTTCGCAGTTACCACCAACTCGGTCTAGCGATCAGCGTTCTCAATCGACATAACGAATCGGAGAAGATGTTTCGAAGGGCACACGAAGGCAGACTGACTTTGCTGGGCTCCGACCACTTGGATACACTAGACAGTGCAAATCAGCTGGGAGCACGATTGAACAAGCAGGGAAAGTACGAAGAAGGCGAGGCCATACACATGCGCACGATTGAGGGATACGAAAGAGTTTATGGACCTCGCAGTATCGAGACGCAGTCGCTCATGGCCGGACTTGCGCTCACATACATGAACAACGAGCGTTTCGAGCAGGCTACAGCGATCCATCGACGAGTGCACGCTATACAGAAAGAAGCTTATGGCGAAGAGACCAATGATACATACCAGGGCTTACGTGCTTTGGGCGCCTTGCTCAACATGCAAGGCAAAGCCGCCGAAGCCGAGAACATACATCGTCAGGTTGTAGAGTACAGGACGAGAACATCTGGACTGGACCACTCGGAGACAATTAAGAGTGTGAACTTTCTATGCGAATCGCTCATCAAGCAACGCAAGCTGGACGAGGCAGTGGCGCAATATCGTAGCGTCATCGACATATATACCGACCTCGATGAGAAGGCGCGACAAGAAGCCTTGCTGACAATGAATAGTCTCGCTGAGACGCTTGTCCAACAAGGCCATCTCGATCAAGCGGAAGCTGTCTGCCGTCGCCTCGTTTTGGAGAGTGAAAGACTGCTGGGAGCTGATGACTGTGATACCTTGATTGGTGTTCATACGCTCGCAGACACCCTTTCCAAGCAAGAGCGATATGGAGAGGCTCTACAATTATATGAGCGGGCTTACATTGGTACCGAGAAGCGTTGTGGCGCAGACCATCCTGACACGAAAGAGTTTTTGGAAGATTTCAATCGTGCGAAGAGGACCATGTTAGTGTAGCTGATTAAAACCAGCATCTCCTTTGGGCTATTAAGCGCTTCGGCGGTTTCTCCGCGCAGAATTCTCACAACCTGAATATTTGTATATCCTGACTCTCATTGTGCTTGTTGCACCCTTTGGCTACTCGCAATAGTGCACACTGTGTATACTCCCTTCAGCCACCAAGGAGCTCTCCTTCTATTCTTATCAAGAGTATTCTTTGGCTTCTATCAAAGGAATGAACAGCATTCCAGACAAATCACCTAAGAGCATGACGTCAGTGAAAGTGAATGTAACTTATGTCTCGAACAAACGCCATTGTAGGAGGGAGCTGGTAACCCATGGACCTTGCACCTGACCCGAGCGCTCCAGTTCCCATTTTCTTAGACAAAAACCATACGAAGCCCCGAAAGAGATACATTCAACTCTATACCATTCTCAACTCTTGGTACCAGCTTTTCACTGCCAACCTCAACTTTTTACTACTGAGTCACCTTTCAAAAATCAAGCCTACGTCTGTCTCGGACGTGCGATCGAAGCTGATGGGGGCACTGTCACAAAAGATCGAGCCCAAGGCCTCCGCGCTCTTCTTATCATACGAACTCACAATCTACAAATTCTGGCGCCAGACTGTCCTCGGCGTTACCGAACTAGATGATGACGACCTCCTCCTTCCCACCGCTTTCGAACACATGGACTTCGAAGAGTGGCGTGCGAAACAGCGCGTCGTGCTTCGTGGGCCTCCAGGTTCGGAAGACAAGTTGCCAGAAACAGCGTTTGCAGGATTTGTACTGGCGGAGCGTTGCAGACACCCAATACACCCTGGTGATCCCCGTTTAGAAAACGAACACATACAGGAGAACGAATCAAATGAAGAAGGTGAAGAGCGAGACAAGATCACTTGGTGTTCTATGTGCATTTTGCAAATTCACCTTAAGCTTCTAGGAAAGTTATGGGATAAGTGGATGGAGTCTGGCGGTCCTTGGCGTATCATACCTCCAGGTGGTACTGGCGAGGACCTTCAGGTTAGAAAACGTGCATACTACAAGCGGAAGACCGATTTTGTCAATGACGTTGACAACTTGGACGACATAGCGTTCTCGGAAGCCTCATGGGAGGCCGCACATCCCACTGTGGACGTTGAAGCTGCACGCTCGTATAGCGCCAGGGCAGCTATGGAGGTGTACGCAAAGAGCGTCCAGTTTCCCGGACGCTTAGCGGAAGTCGATGAGATCGTTCCCAGAACACCAACTCGAAAGGGTAAAAAGAAGCGCCTGTCTTACTCACCAGACACACCAGAGGATACTAGACATCGCTCAAGTGGTCTTTATGCTCGGAGACACCCCAATTACGACCCCGAGTCCCCACATCGCTGTCCTGAAGACAATGGATGGGCTGAGACCTCGTTCAACAACGACTGGGAGTACAATGTACGGCAATGCCGCCTTTTGTTGTGCGACAAAGATCCGATCGAAAAGAACGTCACCTACTGCGAGCTCACCGACGAGAACTCTAAAGATGTCCTCATCAAGGGTATCGAAGAATGGTTCAGCATGATGCAGGAGGATTGGAAGGCGCCCTGGATTAACACATTGCTTACTACAACCGATTTGTTTGTCGTTTGGAGAAGCTCACCTGACAGTGAGGGGTCTGATACTGATTTCGACAGCTGGGACAGGCTCGAGACGCTCGTGGGCACTAATCTGGAGGCCCATGCGCGACGAATCGGCGACCTTACAGATGCTGATATCGAGCCAATCCAAGGAGAAAACTTGGAAGACTTTTTCGACCAGGACTCTGTCGCATCTGACTCGAGCTCCGAAACGGATGACGAAGCACACGAATTCTCAGATCCTATGGATCTAGCAAGGAATGAAAATGATGAAGTCATTAACGTCGTTGGGCAACAACACCAACCTGACCACGCGACACCGACAGCCACCGGGATGGGGAGTTGTCAGCCTGACAAAGTAAGTGAGCGCTAGGTATAGGCGCAACTAGCATATATGTGTACCCTAGAATACGGAATGTATTGTTCGTATAGAGTGCAAACGGTATGCAGGATTACTTGTCTCGACTATGAAGTCCCGTTGTGAACGCCCCAATAAGATCAAGAAGCCAGCAAAGCGACTCCAGCATTTACATGACGATGCAGCACGAGTTCTGCTTTTTGGCCTGGAAAGGGTGTTAGCGTCCAATCGCGTAACCTTGACGTATTCCCGACATACCTGTGTGTAGAACATCTTACTCTGGGCACTCAAGCCGTCACTCTTCTGAACCAGGGTATCAATCTTCTCTCCACGCTCCAGCACACTCTCGATAGTCTTGTGCAACACAATCTTGGTCTCGTCCAACTCCTTCTGAATCTTCATGATACTGTCTGCCTGTTGTGGGTCCTGGTACTTTTGTACGTAGTCTTTGAGCTCGGGGAAAGACATTTGCGGGCTGTCCTTTGTGGCGGAGGCGTAGGCGGATTTGGGGTATTTGGAAACGAATTCATCGAGGACTTTGGAGAGAAGCTGATGGGCGACAAGCTTGGGGTATTCGAAATCGGTGATTATGATGCCGCAAACGCCTTCTGAGCGGCTGTAGGCGTGGAAGATGTAGTCTGACGGTGCTGTTAGACAAGGAGCGCGCAAGAGTGCCATGTGTCGTACCTTTCTCTTCCACATCCTGTCTTTGTCCTGGTCTTGTTCGTTCGGCGACTTGGCCTGCAAAGAACGACATCTACGCGTCCCATCAGCTTGACTGTCTTTCCCACGCTGCCATGGTCCTAGGCCATCTGCTGGGCCTTGTCACGTACGAACTCGCTGATGCTTGCTCGTGTGAAGCGGCCGTAGGAGCTGAGCTCGCGCTCACATGTCAGCTCGACGCTGGGTTTCGTCTCATTCTTCCAGACCTACATACATTGTTAGCGGCTCGAGGCGATTTCTCCAAGGCGGTGAGGAGACACTTACACCAATGTAGACGACCTTCATGTTAGCGGCTTTTTGTGTGAAGTTGTAGGTAAAGGTGCGGGTACAGATAGACGACAAAAGAGAGTGTAGCAGAAGTGGGCCCTGCGGCTATCTGGTCTCGAAAGAGGCGCCTGCGACAGGCCCGTGATAGCGCATCATGCGTCGGTCCCGCCAGCAAGGCGCGGCGCTCCTGATTATGTCATGGCGCTAATGCGCGGGGGCGGGGCAAGTCCAGCCGAATGGAGCCCAGTCATCCATCATCGATTCTGCCCAGCCTGCCAAAGAGGCAAACCACGCTCCCCATTGTGACAGGCGGTCAAACGCGTAGACTCCCATCACGTTGACGACAACACCCAGGCAGGCCGCAATCATGTCGCCCGCAGTCGAGGATGCTCATGCCCAATGGCTCCAACAGCTCGATGCTATGCGCAAAGCCATTGCCGAACTCAATCTTCCTGCCGATGCTGAAAAGGTGCCAGCGTACGGAGACGACCTTGAATTCGATGATGACGATTTCTCTGGAACTGCCAGCGGTGAAGATATCTGGGATATCATCAGCGATGAGTACGAGGAAGAGTACAGCAGTGACCATCTGGACCAATTTCTGGACGGACAAGTTACAGCAGAAGCTTATAGCCAGCAATGGCTGGCAGAAAAATGTTCCGAAGTATCCCGAAGCAGTTCTGGCTTGGATTCAGGAGCCTTGAAGGAGCAGATATCAGCAATCTTGTCGAGTGATAGCAATGGTAACGCATCATACCAACCATCAACATACCTAGTATACTGACTATAATAGACGAAGAACTGCAGATGATGCTCGCCGATATTGTGGGCTACGGAGAGCTGGACCTGGTGGCGGATCTAATCTCACATCGAAAAGACATAATGCGATCCCTGCATGAACCTACTCCAGCTCAGGGCAACGGTGTCATGGGCCGTTTACAGACTCGAGCCGAACGTGAAGAAGCGTTGCGCCGAGCAGACTGGGAGCACAAGACAGCTGCATTGGCGCCTGCTATGGACCGAACGGGACCGCAATATCCTCACGTGTACCGGACTCACGAAGCTGGCAACAAGCTCTCAGCTTATGGCAAGAAGTACGCGCTACCTCCAGACACTGTGCACCGCGATAACAACCTCTACGAAGAATACGAGATTCCTGCAGTAGCTGTAGGCACTGTTGGCGTAGGCCGAAAGCTGCTGGAGATCCAGGAACTGGATGGCCTTTGCCAGCGCACCTTCAAAGGCTACAAGACACTTAACCGGATGCAGAGTCTTGTGTATCCAGTTGCATACAAGACCAGTGAGAACATGCTGATTTGCGCACCTACTGGTGCTGGTAAAACAGACGCTGCCATGCTTACAATTCTCAACACCGTGGCCAAGAACGTTGTGCCGAACCCGATTGACGAGCCGGACGCCACCGACTTCACTGTAATGACGGAAGACTTCAAAATCATCTACGTCGCGCCGATGAAGGCGCTCGCTGCCGAGGTTACTGAGAAGCTTGGAAAGCGTCTGGCGTGGTTGGGTATCAAGGCTCGCGAACTTACTGGTGATATGCATCTTACCAAGGCTGAGATCTTGGATACACAAATTATAGTCACTACACCAGAGAAGTGGGATGTTGTCACAAGAAAAAGTACCGGAGACACCGAGTTGGTACAGAAAGTACGACTGCTCATCATCGATGAGGTCCACATGTTGCACGACGAGCGTGGTGCAGTTCTGGAGAGTCTGGTAGCACGTACCCAACGACAAGTCGAGAGTACTCAATCACTGATCCGCATTGTTGGTCTCTCTGCCACACTTCCCAACTACGTCGACGTAGCCGACTTTTTGCGGGTGAACAAAATGGCTGGCCTGTTTTACTTTGACGCTTCGTTCCGCCCTGTTCCTCTTGAGCAACATTTCATCGGCGCAAAGGGCAAGCCGGGTTCTGCAAAGTCACGTGAAAATGTGGAAAAGGTCGCGTTTGACAAGGTTGTTGAGATGCTCAAGCTGGGTCACCAGATAATGGTATTCGTACATTCGAGAAAAGATACGGTCAAGACTGCTAGGCGTTTGTACGACATGGCTATGGAGGAGCAGTGTACCGACCTGTTCGACCCGCAAGACCATCCTCGGTACGAGAACGCTGTGCGCGACATGAAACAGTCAAAAGGTCGAGAGCTACGTGAACTGCTTGGTAAAGGCATGGGTACTCACCACGCCGGTATGCCTCGTTCTGACAGAAATATGATCGAGCGTCTCTTTGCTGAGGGTGTGCTGAAGGTGCTCTGTTGTACAGCGACGCTTGCGTGGGGTGTCAACTTACCCGCTGCAGCAGTCCTCATCAAGGGCACTCAAGTCTATAACGCCCAGGAAGGCAAATTCACCGACCTTGGTATTCTGGATGTTCTGCAGATTTTCGGTCGTGCTGGTCGACCTCAGTTTCAGGATACTGGTATTGGCTTCATTTGTACGACACACGACAGGCTTGATCACTACATGCGCGCTGTGACCGAACAACAGCCTATTGAGTCAAGGTTTTCCGCCAAACTGATAGACAATCTCAATGCTGAGATCTCTTTGGGTACAGTAACCACAGTGTCTGAAGCTGTAACATGGCTTGGTTACTCGTATCTGTTCGTACGGATGCAGAAGAGCCCGCTAATGTATGGTATCGAATGGTCAGAGATCCGCGATGACCCACAGCTCGTAGGACGACGCCGCAAGCTTATCATCGACGCTGCGCGAATTCTCCAGAGAAGCCAGATGATAATCTTCAACGAGACCACCGAAGATCTTCGAGCGAAAGACGTCGGGCGCATCGCCAGTCAGTATTACGTTCAGCAGTCTAGTATAGAGATTTTCAACACCATGATGCGGCCTCGTAGCACGGACGCGGATGCCTTGGCTATGGTCAGTATGAGCGGCGAATTCGACCAGGTGCAATCGCGTGAATCCGAAGAGAAGGAACTTTCAGCACTTAAAGAAGAAGGACATGTCATCACAGAAGTCAAGGATGGATATGCTACATCGCACGGAAAGACAAACTATCTCCTCCAGGCTCATATTTCACGAGCTCGACTAGAAGACTTCACACTAACCTCGGACACAAATTACATAACCCAGAATGCTGCACGTATTGCGCGTGCGCTTTTTATGATCGCGCTTAATCGGCGTTGGGGTTACCAATGCCGGGTACTTCTTAGCCTTTGTCAGTCTATCGAACATCGATGCTGGTCTTTTCAGCATCCGCTGCATCAGTATGACCTTCCACAACCGGTTCTGCGCGCGCTCGACCATAAATACCCGTCAATACAGACTTTGCGCGATATGGACGCGATGGAGATAGGAGATATGGTGCATAATAAGAAGATGGGCGGCGTGATCGCCAAGCTTATGAACAACTTCCCGACTCTGAGCATCGAATCTGAGATCGCCCCGCTCAACAGGGATGTGCTACGGATACAACTATTCCTTACACCCGATTTCATTTGGAATGATCGGCATCATGGTACTTCCGAGTCGTTCTGGATTTGGGTAGAGAACTCCGAGACATCTGAGATCTACCACCACGAGTTCTTCATCCTCTCACGAAGGAAGCTGTACGATGACCACGAACTCAACTTCACGATCCCTCTATCCGATCCTCTGCCTACGCAAGTATACGTTCGCGTCTTGTCTGATAGGTGGCTGGGCGCAGAGACGGTTCATCCCATATCTTTCCAGCATCTCATCAGACCTGATACCGAAAGCGTTTACACGGATCTGCTCAATCTCCAGCCTCTGCCAATCGCTGCGTTGAAAAATCCCTTGTTGGAAGAAGTTTACGGACAGCGCTTCCAGTACTTCAACCCTATGCAATCGCAAATTTTCCACTGCCTATATCACACACCCGCCAATGTTCTGCTTGGATCGCCGACTGGTAGTGGAAAGACTGTTGCCGCTGAGCTTGCAATGTGGTGGGCGTTCCGCGAAAAGCCAGGCTCAAAGGTTGTATACATTGCACCCATGAAGGCACTTGTCCGCGAACGAGTGCAAGATTGGGGCAAGCGACTTGCCGGGCCAATGGGTCTCAAGCTTGTGGAATTGACTGGTGACAACACACCAGACACACGTACTATCCGCGATGCCGATATCATCATCACGACCCCTGAGAAGTGGGACGGTATCAGTCGTAGTTGGCAGACTCGTGGTTATGTTCGTCAAGTCAGTCTGGTTATCATTGACGAGATTCATCTCCTGGGTGGAGATCGTGGTCCAATTCTGGAGATCATCGTCTCCCGTATGAACTACATCGCATCGCAAAAGAAAGATGGCTCTATCCGCCTGTTGGGCATGTCGACAGCTTGCGCCAACGCATCAGATCTTGGAAATTGGCTGGGTGTCAAAGAGGGCTTGTTCAATTTCCGGCATTCTGTTCGCCCGGTGCCCTTAGAAATCTTCATCGACGGCTTCCCCCAACAGCGGGGCTTTTGTCCGCTTATGCAGTCGATGAACAGACCTACTTTCCTTGCGATCAAAGCGCACTCACCAGAAAAGCCAGTTATTGTTTTCGTAGCTTCGCGTCGCCAGACTCGTCTGACAGCTCGTGATCTCATCAACTTCTGCGGTATGGAAGACAACCCGAGGCGCTTCTTGCACATGTCTGAAGACGACCTGGCCGTTAATCTCGACAGAGTCAAAGACGACTCACTGCGAGAGGCGCTGAGCTTTGGTATTGGTCTGCATCACGCTGGTCTTGTCGAGACTGATCGATCCCTGTCAGAAGAGCTCTTTGCGAACAACAAGATCCAGATCCTCGTCGCGACCAGTACACTTGCTTGGGGTGTGAATTTACCTGCCCATCTTGTTGTTGTCAAAGGCACGCAGTTCTTCGACGCCAAAACCGAAGGATACAAAGATATGGATCTGACAGACGTGCTGCAAATGTTGGGTCGTGCTGGCCGTCCTCAGTTCGACGATTCGGGTATCGCCCGCATCTTCACGCAAGATGCAAAGAAGGAGTTCTACAAGCACTTCCTGCATACTGGATTTCCCGTCGAGTCGTCACTACACAAAGTGCTTGATAACCATTTGGGTGCCGAGATTTCTGCTGGTACCATTGCCACAAAGCAAGACGCGTTGGACTATCTGACTTGGACATTTTTCTTCCGTCGTCTACATAAGAATCCATCCTTCTATGGACTCGAAATTTCGGCTGAAGAGCACAACACAATAGCCGCGCAATCCTTGGCCAACGACTATATGATAGAGCTAGTCGAGACTTCTCTCAGTGAACTAGACGAGTCGTCTTGCGCGGTTGTGGAGCCAACAGGCGAAGTAGACCCAACTCCACTCGGCAAGATCATGAGTTACTACTATCTCAGCCACAAGACAATCCGCTACCTTGTAAAGAACGTCAAGCGTGACGCAACCTTCTCGGATGCTTTGTCGTGGATTTCACACGCGACTGAATATGACGAGCTACCTGTCCGCCATAACGAGGACCTCATTAATGCTGAGCTGTCGAAAGCTCTCCCAATTCCTGCGGACGATTTTGGTCTACCCATGTGGGATCCGCACGTCAAGTCGTTCTTGCTCCTGCAAGCCCACTTCTCGCGCATCGACTTGCCAATCTCAGATTATGTCGGTGATTTGAATAGTGTCTTGGATCAGAGCATTCGTATCGTACAGGCATCGATCGATGTACTCACTGAACTCGGCTACCTCTCTTCGTGTGAGACGATGATCTCGATCCTCCAGGCTATCAAGTCTGCTCGCTGGCCGACCGATGGGCCACTATCGATTTTTGCAGGTGTGGAAGTCGACAAGGAGAAGAAACGTCTCGAACATCCCAAAGCTAGTCCAAAGACCCTGATTGAGACAACCACTGCATCTTCCGCAGTGCTTGAACGGGCAGCCAAGTTCGCTGGTGTCCCACACACTGGCATCAAGAGGTTCATGGAGCCCGTGTCTCGATTACCTGTCTTGAAGCTCGATCTAGGCAACGTCAATGCACTCGGTCTGGACTTCAAGATCTCACGCCAGAACCCAGCTAGAATGCAACAAGGCGGCATACGTATCTTTGCGCCGCGCTACCCTAAGCCGCAGACTGAGGGCTTCTTCGCCATCATCTCGTACTCCAGTACTGACGAGATCATCGCTTTGAAACGTGTCAATTGGCCTGATCCTAACAGGAATAGCGGACATGGACGAGGTGGACGCAGCGCAAATACATCTGGAGGTGCACACTCCAGATTGCAGGCTTCTACCAAGGTCTCGCTGCCGCCGGAAGCACAGGGTAAGAAGGTGGATATTAGCGTGCTGAGTGACTCGTACCTGGGTATGAAGTGGAAGATTGAGGGGGTTGAAGTGCCTGAAGCACCTTTAGTTGATGCTTACGGGAAGGGCAAGGAAAAGGCTTAGTGACGCGGATGCAGTAACCTGCTTTCCACATCACATACGCGTGACGCCAGAGGAATGCATAACATCAATGCGTGTATGTAGTTCAATGTACAACTTACAACAGCAAGTACTGTATAACCTCATCGTCCTCTATCCTCAATCTCTCCAAATCGCTTTTGTAATCAAGAACATCAACATGGTTGTCCCCCAGCAGTCTTGAACCTTCTTTATATGCCCTCTCGTACAGATGCTTCGCGTCCCCTCTTGTCCCAGCCTTCTCCATTACAAACCCCAATGTCCACACACTTTCTACCGTCTCTTGCTGCGTTCTTCCTAGAACCCTCTCTCTCATCTTCAATGTCTGTCTCGCTAATGTCTCCGCTTCCCGTATGGAGCAAGATGTGCCTTCACACGCTAGTATATATGCAAGCTCACTGGTAATTTGCAACGACTCTTTGCTTTCCTCTGGAAACAGCCGTCTGTAGCCATCAAGCGCACGTCGGAGGTACGCTTCCGCTTCCTTGTGCTTTTCCTGAGCGACTAACGCTCTCGCAACCCCAACAAGAGATTTATACACCCTTTTGTTGCCGTGTGAGTGTGTCCTTTCCTTATACGCGAGCGCCTCTTGGAGGTACGTACCAGCTTCTGCGGAGCGGTTGTCGATATGCAGGCTTAGGCCGATAAGTTCGAGAGCGTTGCACCATTCTACGTCGTGAACAGTGGGAGGTGTGTTGCGATGGTGGAAGGCTGCGTTCCATGCGTCGTAGGCGTCCGAGTGGTCATCTGCTCTTAGGGCTCAGAAGGCAAGTTCGTTGCAGCAGCTCTGAACATCAAAGCCGAGAGCTTCGAGTGCAGATGTTACATAGTTGGCGGCCATAGTGTCTTGTGATTATGGTGCAAGCACAATACCACGGCGATGAAGGAGCCCGTGAGAAGGGCATGCAATGACTTTTCAAGAACGAAGCAAGTCATGGAGATGAACGTGCACGCGTGAAGATAGTAGATTACTGTCATTGATGATGCATGAGTGTCGCCTCGATCACTCGTATACGTGCTATGAAGTCTGTTACTTCTCTTCACCTTCGCGCCGCGAATCGGCATCTGCCAACCATTGTTTGGTATCCGCTTATATCCTTTGCCTCTATCTTTATCGAACGCCGTTCTTCACGTCTGCGCAGCGTGTCTTCCCTCGTTTGTATTTGTACGCTTTGTGCTCATCGCTTCATGGTATGCGGCGCACTGCGTGTGGTAGTCATGTGGTAGTAAATGTATATCGAACCGCTGTGAATCAGCTCAGTCATCGCCAAAGACGATAAAGCTCGCCTCTTCCTCGATCTCGAAGTAAATTCCATCACCATCACCATATTCGTCACCATATTCAGAGCTCTCTTCGTCAGAATCAAGATCCTCCCAGTCACTATCTCCGTCGTCATCTTCGATCTCATTGATTGAGTCAAGAGCCAGTTGTGACTCCTCGTCTTTGGAAATGTGACTCTCGTCGACTGACTCTTCTGTTTCACCAACATGATATACCTTAACCTGGGAGTAGTCTTCCGAATCTTCCGAGATCTGATCCTCGTCCTGTTCCTCCAGTGCCACAACTGTATATTTCCCAGGCTCGTATCGAGGAGATCGCCGGTGAAAGTAAGGGTTTGGTCGTCCAGGCGCGAAATCGGTATCTTGAGCAAAGACTACTGTCGCTTGCTTTTTAGTGCGCGGTAGCTTTTCCAAGCACCCAGTTGTTTCTGACCAGTACAGCTCCACCGCCTTCGCTGCGGTTTGCGTCTCTTCGTGTCTTGCCTCTGGGTGCTGCATGGACCATACAGCCTCTTCTTCAGCCATGGCCTCCAGTCTCGACAGCTCCTTGAGTGTGCTAATCTTCCCCTTGCACCAGGCGCTATAGACTGTGTCTTGGTGCTCAGAACTGGTGAGTGTACAAGAGGGCGCGTGACCACCAGCACTTTTGAGAGCTTCAGTCAGAACGTTCATGTATCTGACATGCAACTCAATAGTACAGACGGGACATCGTGGTTGTGGCTGATGCGCTGCTACGGGGTGCATTGCATGCTGACATACCGATGCAACTGGCGAATCGAATGAAGACGATGTTACTTCGGAACGACTATCTGAGATGTGACCAGTGATATCATCGAATATGTCCGAGAAGTATCCTGAGTCTTGTCGTTTCAGCCACTGGTGGAAGTCTTCGTATTCGTGTGCTGAAGGAATGTAGCCTTGCTCAACTGGTCTAACGTTGGTGTGCAAGCACTGCCATCGCTTGTATTGCTTCAGCTCCTTGGGCGGCATGATGACGCTTGCCGGTATCTTTGTGCAACTCATGGTAGCGGTGGGTTTTGTGTCTGCTTGTGTGGTGCAGGGCTTGGGTTGCAGTGATTATGTCACGGAGGGCGTAAATCGCAATGTAGAACTGGACGTGCCCGAGGTCTCGTCCGGTAGATGAAGGACGTGGCCGGCGAACAAAGTCACGCGTGTGCGACAACCACGGTTGAGCGGTTCGTTTGCGGAGAATGTGATCACTGGTACCGGAAAAACTCCTGGAAGCGCGGATGTGCCTTCAAAGAGCTTCTATTCGGCCACTGCTGCGGGCACTGTCGTGATGGTTGTGCACGCGCTGTAAACGGCGGGTATGCGAAGAGTGTTTCGGATCGCGCAGACGCCCTTTGTCACAGATCAAGACTTGTGAAGGCGACGGTCGCTACGTTTCCGCGTCAAACGTCTTTCTTGGACGTTTGCCCTTCTCGCCAGTAGAATTTTATTCGTGTAGAAATATTCGGAGTCCCGGTATCGCGTTCAAACGCGGTGACGGGTGCTGACGGCTTCGCCCAACTTGGCAATCTTAGGGAGATTTGAGTACCAGAAAAAAGCCATGATTTTCGGGCAGATATAATCCATTCCTATCGCGGCTGGTGTTTGTGTGAATATTGGGAGGGTGTCGCCGCCGTTGATTTGGGCCGGCGTCGGATGCTAATGTGGGGGAGGCGGCGTCCCTGGAGCAGGCGGGGCAGACGCGTCTGCTATAAATGAGGCGGGTGCGAGGGTCTTCTGTCGGGCTTCACTGTCGATCGCGAGTGGTATCGCGTCTTCAGTGTGGGTAGGGGTGTAGGTCCGTTTAGGTGTGAAAGGGTCAAAGAGCTTTCGTGGGCTGGGCTTCGATGGTGCGGGCAGTCCTGCGTCATGACCCTGACTCATTTAGGGGACGCTGTGGCTGTGCCATGATTTCAGCCACTCATCTTACTTCACACATCTCAGCCGACTCTTCACAAAGCAAACAAAAAACAAAATAAGGTTTCACGTAATACCGGTTTGCGAAACTGCCACCATGACGCCCATTTTCCAACACTGTCCCGGAACTAGCTGAACGGCCTCGCTGCTCTGGCAATGAAACACTGCACCTGGCATACCTCTTCGCTCGGCAGCTCAATCTTGAGATTTTCCTGTAAAATCTCAAATTTGAAATCGCCCAGCCCAGCCTTTTCCATGTGCTTTTTCATGTCGCCCTCTTTGTATTGCGGGGGTTTGACTTGGCCTGACTGCTGAACAGCTTCGCTGCTCAAATGGCTATACAGATCCTGGATGAACAACACCCCACCAGGCTTCAACCGCCCACCCAAAAGTCGAACAGCATCTTCCGCAGATGGAAAGTGGTGCAGAGCTGACCCGACTGTGATGAGATCAAAATTCTGATATTCTTCATCAGCCAAAAGAGCGGGTTCAGGTGGCTCCGACAACAAGTTTCCGACAATGGCTGCAACCTTTTCGCGGCCAGGACCGAACTCGTTCATACTATTTCTGTACCTCTCAATCATGGCAGAAGACGCATCGACTGCATGGATTGAAGACACGTACGGCCCGAAGATCTGATCACATAGTCAACAGAGGAACCCTCACTTGCACTCCAGTTTCACACACGTTGCTGAGAAATCCAGGTCCACATGCGTAATCTAGCATCCGAACTTCCCTGCCCACCTCTATGCTACCGGGAAGTTTAGCCCAGTCGATGCCGGCGAAGAGAACTCTATCGCGTATCATCTGGGCGAGCTTCTGGCGATTGGCCTTGTTGATCGGGCGCTCTTCGAACCAGTCTGATACTTGTCTATCACACTGTTAGCTCTACAGCACTGCAGCTTCTTCGAATAGTACTACTCACCCTATATCGGGTTCCTGTAGCAGGGAAGTCATTGTGTTCAGAGATGCTCTATCATACAGTACTACATTAATATGCGAATCGCTACATGACCGTGAAGCACATTTTATACAGAATCTTTCGAGAACACTTGTTGATGAGTACCTAATTGATGTCCCTCGAATTTGTATAAGTCTCCGTCTTCACGGTTGTCGGCGACTTTTCATAACCATGTTCGGATACATGAGGGCTTCACTGGATCAACACAGGAATTGTCCGGTTGAGAGGGCAGAACATCAGAATCAAGTGAACTTAGGGGCTAACTCAACGTAGAGACATGCTGTGCGCACTGAATTGTGTGACAGAGAGAGCGTTCCTGGCGCTTGCTCACGATCGGATCGTAAGCTCTCACAGAGTGCATCAACATCAACCAGCGCGCATCGGGAGATTCCTTCCATACTAACTCGAACAGACACTATCGGCCCTCACCATGTCAACCCTTCAGTCTTCTTTCAACGTCATCTTTCAACGTCATCTGCTTTGGTTGCAGGATCCTTTCTGAGCCCCCGGGTTGTTGCATTGGTGTCCGTCAAGCCGCGCAGTTCCTTCGTAGCACTGCATACAACAGAGAACCAAACAGGTACACTCAGCTTATCCACTACTCTACAGCGTATCACAGCATTGACATAGCCATCGTCCATACATATATGTAAATAAGCTAGAAGTCTACGTTGGCTCAACACATTTAGTTTTATTCTATTACATCTTATCGTAAATCCCAGAGTCGAATATTTGTCGACTTCGGTTTGGGGTTCTCTGCATAGAGCGGAATGCATCGTATTTGCTTTTGGTGCGCAAATGCTGTCGTACATTGCCGATGCCTAGGCAATCTCTTCGTTAACAGGATCAGCACCGTTTGGACCCCAATTCTAGGTATTGTGCGCTTACCGGTAAGCTGCGGACCATTAATGAGCCACTACGCCTTGTGGAACCTAAATCTGCAAAGATGAGCTCAGCTCGAGACACGGTTCGAGCGCGAACTTTGCAGTCGCTGGAACGCTGCTTATCCATGTCTATGAATCCAAGCCAGTCACAGGATGATCTTGCGAGTTGACAAGTGAGGCGACTCGCAATGGTTATATTGGGAAAGGCTGTAGCGAGGTACATAGCTTGAGCACGCTGTCCTCTCCCCGTTGCTACTCAAGTGTGACTCCAGATTCTGGGGTCAAAGTTGCGGGGTTGTCGGAAGCCTCCCGCGCTTCGCTACATCCTCAAAGGAAGATCACTACTCGACCCCACCACACCGTATATCAACGAGCGAGCAGGGCTTATCTTCTCCAGCTGATATGCGCTCGGCATCTCCGGGCTAAGAGAAAGTGCATGCAGTAGTACTGGGCTCGGCGAATCACCAACCTAATATTAGTTCAGCTCTCAGCCCTGGCCTAAGGCCACATGCAGCTGAGCTTCCAGGAAAAGCCACAATACTGTACTTCTGATGGGAATACCATAATATTGCGCTGGACACCTAAAGGTTGGCTGTATCATACGATGAAGTTGTGTCGCGCGACCATTATCGGGCAATCGCATATTCCTTCCAGTCCTTAGGCCATGATGCGCTCACGGTAGATCTTCAGCTGTCGAAATGCATAGCATACTGGGTTTCTTGCCTACTATGTATGCAGCTGATCGAAGTATAGCTACCTAGTACGCAACGGATGACAGCGCCGTCGCCCAACATCATCCGGTTACAGCGATGCTGACAGAACGCCTTATGAATTCCGATTGGTTCTCTTCATGGCTACATATTAACTGCTGTGCTTACTATGGTGCAGGAAGCAGGCATTAGCGTAAATGCAGATGATCCATAGTCCAGAAGTATACGGGCGCACTCAGGCGTGCACGCTACCCTGTCCCTACCCTTCAAAGTTCGTTTCCCACATTCTTTTGAGGCGCAGCCGCATTGGGCCTATACCAGGCTCAAGGACTTGGATCCCTCCGTTCAGATTCCGACCCACCCTTCACACCTAGACTCTTCCATTGAACAAGATGGATCACCATGACCAACACCACGACGATATGAGCAGTCCTCGGAGTTACACCGATAGTCAATGGAGCCCTCCTCCACCAGGATTCCGAGAGCTCGATCAGATATATGCAGCGGATGGTTCACCTCATACCTACTCTAACCCGAACTCTCCACCAGCAGTATCCCCACCTCTACCGTATGAACATGAGTATCATCAACATCCCCAACCACAAAACTATGAAACCTATCAACAGGGGTATGTCGCTTTCGCTTTATCAACAGATTCATCGCACAAAACCAAGCCGTCTCTTTACCTAGCCTCGTAATCTGACCCTTCAACAGTTACTCAACGGAGAAAGAGACACCATACGGCACAGTTGCTCCGATCGGCAAACCTACTCCGGATTTTGAGGGTCCTGAAGTGTAAGTACCCCTGCTTGAACTGTTTATGATACATGTACTGATCTCTCACACCAACATCTAGAGTCCCAGGCCAGTTCAGTCATTACCCTCATGGGGGTCGACCAATGTCACCCTCATCACATGGAGGCACCACCCTTACCTCTCCCCACATTCGGCCATATGGATTCAAGGAACATGTCGACCCATACGACAATCATGAAGCTGCTCCTCCGCCCGTGCCACCGAAAGATGATCGGAAATGCGGCATGAAGAAGCGGACGTTCTTTATTCTCATCGGCGTTATTGTCATTGCGATTATTGCTCTCGCTTTAGGACTCGGTCTGGGATTAGGATTAAACAAGGACGACTCGTAAGTTTCCAATACACGTATCCTATCTCATACACAAGGCGCCTAAACTATACAGAGATGAGGGCACAGTTCATCCCTTCTGTCGCGAGAATCCTGAGTCATGTATTGGTGGCTCTCTCAATTCCGAGTACCTGTCGAAAAAGGGCGTCTTCAGTAAGTTGTTGCTCACCATACAAATTTGAACAAACGCTGATTTGATACCTACCGCGTCGCAGATGGTACAGGTATCGCTCTAGCTGGAGAGTCTTGGAACAAAGGCCAACGACGAATCTTCACGCTTTACTTCCAGCACCATACAGGCGACATCAGATTTATGCAGTATACCACGGACAGAAAGTGGATTGGTGGAGGCAAAGCCCAGACCGTTGCTGGTGATGCAAAAGACGCATCACCTATATCCGCAGTCGCTTTTGCCCTTAATGAGACCCAATATGTGAGTATCATCGAGCAGTCTTGTCGCGCGCCAGAACTGGCCAGCTCCCCACTCTCGAGCAACATCCTAACTTTGAATAGTTCCACATCTTCTACATCGATAAGAACAACACTGTCAAGCAACTGATCCAGTCCAACACAAGCGACATCTGGCAGCCAGGACCACTCAGCGACCTCAACCTCAAAGCCTTCGACTCACCGACTACTGGCTTGCAAGCTTGCTACAAGGGAAACTTCTACGGTGATAACGACTATACGAAGTTTCCCACAGCTTCAGGTCTCAATAATACAGAGCAATTCGAGGGACAAACAGGCATGGTAAGTTTCAGAAGTAAAAGCTATCCTCGAAGCATACACTGACCGCATTACCATCGCTACAGAACATCTGGTTCGCTACCGATGACTCCACCTTCCTTCAGTACGCCTGGTACAGCGGCCAAGACGACACATGGGCGAAAATCGAACCATGGTCCGGGTTCAACGGACATGCCGGCGTAGGCTGCTACAGTTGGGGTGCAGGCACCACATCGTACGCCATGCTGAACAACAAGGACAACGATGTGGAGTTTTGGTGGAAAGACACCAACCAATCCGCTCCATCCACGCCGACACACCCCATCAACTCCTGGCAAAACGCCAGCATGGGCGCCATCAAGGATGTGTACCCCATCACGTCTCTTGGCTACACAACGTACTTTTACGCGCAGATGGCGGATCGAAGTATCAAGGGGTTCAACATCACGTACAATGCTGAAAACACAACGTACATCGAAGACGAAACATTCACGGTTACTGATATATCAAACTCCGTGGTAGGACTTGGCGGCACGCATCTCACTGTTACAGCATTTGCTGAGAAGCGTGGAGAGGAAACGTTGTGGGACAGTCTTTATGTCTTCTTTCAGACGGCGGGTGATGATATCACGGCATTTACGAGGGGCCTGAATGGGGGTGAGTGGACAAAGGGGTCTTTGAGTATTCCAGATGAATGAGCATGGGGTGTGGCGACGGACTTGATGATCTGCTTACGGTCGTTTGCCATTTGTGTTTTTTTACTCGCATCCTATTGAGGATTGGTGTCAGGCGTCTGGGACGTGATACCTTTCATACAAACACAGTAGTCCAATCTGGTAGTTTGAATGTATTGCTCGGTTTATGGCATCATCCTATAGTACTTGACACGTCTCTATGATATCGTGTTATGCGAATGCACAAAATCATAGACGTTATCCAACTCAGCGTCTGAGAACGGTACTAGTTCTTGTCCTTCCAAGCACCAGCACCAGCACCATAACCAGCAGTGGGCAGTTTTCCTGGAGACGAAAATGGTAAGCGATGGAGCCGTACACAACGGGCAGATGGTGGTCTCTTCGGAGAGCGATTGCGTCGTTCAGTCCTTGAGCCGCGTACCTGCAATGTCTTCCTGAGCGTCTCTGACGAGGAAGCTTGGGGAATCGTTAGCACTAGTTACCTACAGAATACGACATGATCATTCAACTTACTTGTACCACAAAACAGTCGGCAGAACTGTGCCCAGATGCCACAGGCTATGTGCATCAATCATACCCTTCCAAGGCGGGAAATCCAACAACTCTAGACTCATAGCCAAGATGATCCAGGCAACACACAGACCAGGCCAGACAGCCCATGTCCTCCCAATCTTCTGGTACTGGACGTAACTGAAGCCACTCCAGAGCAAGTTGGCTACGACGCCAACGGCAACATTGGCAGCCATATTGTACGTATAATCCCAAGACCAGAGCGAGAGGTACAGGACGTGAAGCGTATACAAGGTGATACAAAGCCCCGTCCAGAGCCTCAGCAAGCTCTGTTTCCTTGGCTCCTTCCTGTCCAGTCTGAACACCCTAATGGGCGCGTAATACAGCCCATATAGGACATTCGCGCCAGCCGCGAAGTAATCCAGCTTCTCCGTAAGCCCAAAGTCCCTGGTGTGGAAGATCATGCTGAACGTCCAGCTCGCCAGACCCACGTATCCAAACCACAGGTAGTATTTCCGCAGCGGATACGAGGCGGGAATCTTATCGCGGAGCTGCGACATGCCCCAATCGTGCGCAAGGTAGTTGAAGAGGGAGAAGATGACGCTGAATGGCTCTTGCATGCCCATGAAGCGGTAGAAAGGCCATTTGCCGTGGAATTGGTAGATGGGCTGCATGTATGGAGGGTCGCGGGCGAGGCGTTGGGCAGTTACAATGTGTTGGCATGTGTAATCGCATTCCGAGGGACAGTCCCAGAGAAGGAGTCGGCGGTGGAAGGCTGCGCGAGTTGTCAGTACTAGGCATGAGACTGGGAATTCGGAACAAATCTGGGTAGCATACGTATCGACGTGCCATCTGGGCCGCAGTTGGCTTCTTTACAGACCTGTGGACATGTTGTTAGTCACACATGCTCTTCTGGTCGAGAAACCGACTCCCATCTACACGTACCTGTACACAGTCCTTGAAATCAGGCAATCTGTCGCCCAAAGACGCCTGCGCTGTTCCACCCAGCAGAAGCAGAACAGCGAGGGTGTGCCATGCTGTAGCTATCCGGAACTTCATCATTCACCAGTGTGAGGCAATTGCGGCTGCCATGCAATTGTGTCTTCAGTCTCCTCCAAAAGTTCCCAAGTCGCGTGTCGCAGAGCGATGGATCGACAGGGTCTTGGCGGGCCGGTAACTCCGTCGTTTCCCCTGGCCTAAGGGCAAGTCCGCTGGGAAGTCGATTGACAACAGCAACAACAAATCTCACGGCATGGACAACTCTGTGTCCCTTGATTTCGTCTATTGGGTTTCTAGAGGCTCTTGCATCGTTCTTCAGTGCTCAAGATAGCTAACGAATGGGTCGATTCTGTGGGGAGAACCCACAGTGCAGACGGCATTCGGCAACCTTTCGGCAACCCACCATGGCATTTTTGTCCTCAACACCGTCAATATTAATAATGTAAATTTCAAAATATCCATAATCAAATCACCAGGGCGTATAGCTCAGTGGTAGAGCGCCTGCTTTGCATCTTAATTGGGCAAAATTGCAGGAGGTCTGGATTTCGATCATCCATCCGTCCACAGCTGAGTAACGAGTCTTCGGGCTCGCCCATCTTTTTTTGTCAATTCATGCCCCACAGACAAATGATCTTGGAAGCCTTGCTTGCGTATGCTGTACCTCTCATGCTTTCAAGTATGTTCGTCTCTTTTTTTTCAATACTATTACTGTATCTATCGTACTCGCTGGTTCTAAACGCATATCATCGTTCGTGTCGACAGGTCCGACATCCAAACCTTGCAAAGGGAGTGTAGAATCAAAGGATAAACTGCCTGCACTCACGAGGCTGACGCCGCGCGAGCATTGTGACTATCTGGATATTTGTTGCGGTGAAGGTCACTCCCTTGGTTGACAAGTAGACGTAGTTTTGAACTACTCTTCATCGATTTAATCATTCTTAGGTGCTAAAACTACGGCAGTATGGTCTCCTCCCTCAAAAGTCCAAGTATTCTAAGAAAAAGCACCATAGGGTAATCGTAGAACCAAAACTCGGAACCCAGATGATAGCTGTGGTCGACACGAACATATGACCATGTACTTTTTCATTCCTGCGTTCTCACTCATGATCTAGCTGAAAAGCATTCGCATTACCACGGAACTACCAAAAGGTGCAGCCCGACAAAAACCGTATTCGCCGCCCATGTTGCCTCCCAGAAGACGAGATGTACGTCTAAGCCTGGATGGCACGTCCCAAAGCACCACCAGTGAACTGCTGATTCCTTCCTCCCCTTGGTCCGCCTCCTCCACGACCACCACCGCCACGGCCGCCTCCTCGGCCACCGCGGTTACCACGTCCACCTTGCCTCTCAAAGGCATTGGCGGTACCTTGTGTGCGTTGCTCCAGTGTCTTCTCATTCGACTCGATAAGGCCTGACGCCTTGTCTGATAAGCTCAGTGCGAGCGTCTGGAGTCTTGACAGCTCAACACCCTTCCTGAAGATGATGGCCGAGTTGACCTGGTCGAGAGCAGCGGCGAGTTCCTCGTGTGAGATCATCTTTGAGACGACCGCCGAAACCTTGCGCTCTGACAACTCAAACATACCCGCTAGAGTGGAAATGGAGAGTGTGTCGTAGAAAGGTGCGTACGTGAAGAGGTAAGTGCGGAGACCCTCCTCTTGGATTTGCGAGGACAGCATTTCCTTGATCTTCTCCGAATCGGCCATCAGCTCCCAGATCTTGATCGAGTTGATGAACTCGGCTGCCTTCTTCCATTCACCAGCAGACAGTGCCTTCGAGGCTTGCATGACGTGGTCACGGGTGTTCTCAGGCGGTCCAGTGAAGATCTGGCGCTCATGGTACTCTAAGAGACGGCGGTAGGTCTTGCTGATCACCCGCTTCCTGAGGTCTGGTGATGAGCCGAGTTGTGCGAGGAGAGGAATCTCAAGCAACATAGAGCAAGTCAAGTAGACGCACTCTAGCAGCTCAAGGTTGATGTGCATGTGGAAGGGAAGTTGTCGTTGACGCTCAAGACGCTCTTGCTCGGGCGAGATCTGGGAGTACCGCTGCATCTGCAGACCTTGTGCGAGCAACTCCTTCTGCCTGTTGCTACCGCAGATCTCTTGTAGCGAAGTTTGTGCTTCGTAGACGAGACCGGCGCGGAAAGCGCAAAGGCCGACCTGAACCAGCGCACGGTTGAACAAGATTTGTGTGTTGACGTCGAAGTTGCTGATAGTCTCTTGCAAGTGAGACATGAGCATCATGTCGCGAGCCTTGTAGTACTGGTCGTGAAGAGACAAGAAGTAAATCTGGCACAACATGGCGCGAGCGCGAATGATGCCCTCGCTGTTCTGGAACAGGTATGTGCATAGGGTTTGTACGAGAGAGGCGGTGTCGTTGGAGATGGCGCGGGGGGTAATCTCAGAGTCAAGGCTCTCTGGAATTGCCTTCCAAACGTTGTTCTCGAGGATCGTGATGACTTGCGAGGGCTGTGCATGTTAGCATGAACGGATACAAAAGGGTAGAACATTCGCATACCTTGAAGTAGACGTGTTCCAATCTCCGCATAACGATGCGGTTCAGTGGTTCTTGTGGAAGTTCTAGGCTTGGGTTCTTCTTCATGCTCTCAACGTATACCAATGTGCGTACGAGCTGAGCGTACAGAAGGGCCTCGTCGGTCAACCGTTCGATGTACTCGGAAGTGTGTGGGTCGATGTGCTGCAGCGAGCGAGTAAGTTCGTCGTCAAGCCTCTCAACAAAGGAAACGATGCTTCCTGGGATGCGGAAGATCTCGCCAGGTGTGATAGTGGGCAGCTTCTCGTCGTCCTCCCACTCCTCGGCGTTCTCAATGACAACAATCTCGTTGCTGTCCTCGAGGATCTGGAGGAGCTTTCCGAATTCTTGGTCCGCACTAGGCATTGTTAGCAATTAGCGGCCATGTAACGGGTCGGAAATACTCACAGCTTCCACTGCTCCTGATGCATGTGGCTGGCAGTACCGGAGGTCAAATCGAAGCGCGTCGAGATAAGGGTCAAGAGAACGCGGACCTTCTGGTAGTCGTTGACGGCTACGTCGAACAACTTCTCCAGTGTCCGGATGTGCTCCAGCTTGTCCGAGTTCTTGCGACCGCGCTGCTCGACAATAGCACGCAAGTGTTTGAGGATACCCTCAGCGGTGTATAGGACAGCCTTGCCACCAGCTCCGACTGTGATGAAGCCATCGTCGGTCGCCTCCTCAACGACGTCGGTACCGAGTTGAGGGATCTTGTTCTTCTTCTTCTTTTCCTTGGGTGCCTGAACAATCTCCTCCTCCTCGCGCATGAATTCCTCCTTGTTCTCCCGGTATGCGTTGATGTCCTTCTCGTAGTCGCGGTTGTGCTTCTTGATCTTTTGACGGACAGCGTTGAACCCACGACCGTTGACAGCGTTCATCTTCTTGGGAGTGACCTTCTGCTTCTCGTGTGTCTCAACTACAGCCGTCTCGAGGTCGGCGACGGCCTGAATGTAGAGCTTGGGGATCTTGCCATCGTTCTGCTTGGTAAGGGTTGGCACCTGGCGGATGAGCTTGTCGAACTCTGTATAACCATAATGTTAGCAATGTTCGTGTACCCCGCCACCATGGCTCATGCCGCCCTCCAGGGCTATTTCTGAAGTGAACATACGTTCGGAAATGACAGCCCAGTCGCTGATCTTTTGCGCATTCTCAATGAGCCTAATGGTTGCCTCCAACTCGTCGAAGCGCTTGTCCTTGGCACTCTTCAGCACCTTGTTCACATCCTCGTCGTCGCTCTCGCTGTCGCTGGAAGCGTCCTTCAAGAAGCGGTTGGCACCAGTTTCCGAACCCGAGTCGGAGTCGGAGTCGTCGTCATCGGACTCATCATCGGAATCCTTGTCGCTGTCTTCCTGTTCAGACTCCTCGTCGTTGGAGTAGAGTTCCTCCTCGCTGGACTCTTCCGAGGAGCTGTCGCTGGCGGCAAAGAAACGGGACGCCATGATTGCGGTTCTCGAGAGTTGGGATTTGCCGGAGGGGTCGGAGGCAATATATGTGGCAGGCGCCGGTGTGGGTTGACCAGAGTTACTGCCGCCTTGTTTGAACTTTCCGCAACCGAATTTCGAGCAGGCGCCAAGCCATGACTGTGTGCCCCGCGCCTAACCCTAAACAGACGCGAACACATTCACCCCAGTCGCACGCTACCACTGAGGTGCGCCAACGCCAGTTCCATGTTGAGATGATGCAATGATCAATGCTCACCAGGCATTCACTGAGAGTTCCCAATATCTATTGACTTAATTTTCGTCCTTGGCCGAACTACGTACTTCAAGCTTGTCCCAGTCCGATTTCATCTCACTTTTGACATCTCTGTCACACAAGCCATAATGATAAAAGCTCAACGCGCATATTCGTGGCTACGAAAACACAGCCAAAGGGTTTATGAGAATGCTTCTAAAAGTACACGTGCTGCCATACACCACTGCCCCGATTGCTGAGCGCTTTTGAGTCATGGCTCGACATCTGGCGATACCAGTCATGCTGTTGAACATGCATCTGATCCGTCCTGCTCTGTATCATCCAATCAAGGTCCAGCTTACCTCGCTCGACGAATCACAGCGCATGTCGTAGAGTCATCAATCTGACACAGCAGAGAGCCCCGTCTAAAGCCAGGTGAAGGCGCTGAGTATCAACAGGGCATACTACGATTTGAGCAGACCGTATGAACGATATGCGGCCTGCGCGGTCATCCGAGTTTGGCTCCACCCGTTGGTAGCATGATGTTGCTTATCCATGTCTCAAACGACGATACTGACGGAAGCACCATGAGGAAAATGGGCATCAAGGAGAACTCAGAACGCCGCGACTCATCCACCATCGGATCTCCACGCCGTGCAAAGCGTTGTTTTCGTGATATGAGAACTACTCATTGGAGCCGTCCCCTCACTGCCAATGATTCTGACCCATGAAACCTTCTTCAAGAGTCCGGTCTTCCAAATTTCGTACAAAGTTCTGGTTACGGTTCGAGTTGCCTGCTCGCGACCCTCTTCTCCTAGCGGCACTGCTCGCGCTTTCAGGGGCGCCATCAGGCGGCGGCGGGTAGTATGCTGGTGACGGTTGCAAACGGACGGGCGCATTTGGATCCAGATGACTCATGACCCTCTGGAGCGCGGGTGGGATCCCTGATTGTCCCGACTGCTGCTGATCCATCGTGGTTGCTCGTTGCCGTCCTGCGCGGGTCGTAGCTTGGGCATACAGGTTCTGAGGCTGGTTGTACTGCCGCGGCTGTTGTGGCTGCATCATATTCATCGGCTGGCCATATTGTGCTGCTTGAGCAGGGTAAGGCGGAGGGGCGCCCTGATGGTTTGGAGGGTACATGTTGTAGGGATTTTGCTGAGCCTGCGGACTTTGTGCAGCGGCGTACTGGTTCATCTGCATGTTCGCATACGCAGCGTGTTGGGCCGCTTGGGCTTGTTGCTGCTGCGCAACGGCCTGCTGTTGTTGCTGCTGACGCTGTCTGCTCATGCCCTCATATCGCTGTTGCTCCTGAACGCCAGGTGCTGGGGATCTGCTCGAGCCGGACTTGAGAGTCATTGGGGGTACGAACGGCCCAGTGAACTTGGCCTGAGTGATGAAAGGATGCAACTTGGCTTGTGCAGGGGTCCAACGTTCTAGAGGGTTGAGGTTCAGCAGTCCTTGAGCAAAGTCGATGAAGGCGGCTCGGTTGGACATTTCTATCAATCGTTAGTTGTGACAGCAACTTGGTTGATGTGCTTGCTTACCTCGCTCGATCTCGTTGGGTTTCATGTTCTTCCGCGGCATGGGGTAGTTTTTGATAATGTCTGGCAGGGTCGTAGCAGAGAAATATTTCTTGCTGGGTTGTTCCTTTGTGCCGTGCTCCCGTGAATACTGGTCCATCGACTTAAGTCGGTACTGCTTACGACCGTACTCATCCTGCGACTTTTCGTAGAATTCGCCTGACTGCTTGCCCATTTCGAGCATCCAATGAGGGGGCAGCCCAAGCATCTCTGTTATCCTTGACACTTGGTTGTACTCAGACGAGCCAGGAAATAGAGGTAAGCCGAGGAACAACTCGACTACAATGCAACCCAGTGACCACATGTCAATTGCCGCCGAGTATGGTAGACCCAGCAGGACTTCGGGGGATCGGTAGAATCGCGATTGGATGTACGTGTACACAGTCTGACGTTCGTCGCATGCGGAGCCGAAGTCGATGATCTTGATGATTGGACTCTCAAGGCTATCACTGGGTCAGCGTATGCACGTCACCACCAAATTGGTTACCTACTTCTTCAGAAGAATGTTCTCGGGCTTCAAGTCGCAATGTATCAGCTTCGCCTTCCCAAGCAATGCCAGACCGTTAATTAGCTGCTGTGCGAACACGCGGACCAGCGTGGTAGACAATCCACGGAACTGGTTTTGTTTGATTAGCTCGTACAGATTGACGCTCAACAGCTCAAACACCAGACACAGATGTTGCCTGTGGATGAATGTGTCCTTGAGTCGCAGAAGATGATGGTCGTCATTCTTGTCCATTTGTTTATTCAACTGCGTCACGTTAGTCTTGCCTATACTTGCTTGTCATGGGACACTCACCAGATCAAGCACAGACACCTCCATCATACTCTGGTTGAAGTATGCTGTCCGGTTCTTGATGACCTTTACTGCGACAACCTCCTGTGTCTTCAAATTCTGGCACTTGACGACCTGTCCGAAGGTACCCTGACCCAACACATCCAGAATCAGATAGCGGTTCTTGTGCCCAGATTCTTCCGATCCCAGGATGTCGTTCACGTAGAGAATATAATCGCTGTCCTCGTTGTCATAGCCATCGTTCTTGACACCCTTGCTCGGTTTCGTGAGTACTCGGCGAGGATTGCGTGATGACTGGTAGTTGAAGCCGCCATTGCACAGCTTGTATGTCATGGGCAAATGTGCAGTGAGGGCTTGCAGAGGCTAAATATCACTATCAGCACATGGTTCCTATAGCAGACTGCTCAACCTACGCTAATAAATCCGCCCTCTGGATTGGCGCGACGAAAAGGCGGCTGGGCATTGATCTTGGGTTGCAAGTCGGCAGTGTTGACACACTTTTCGAATTTTGGCACCGGGCCTCGTCCCATAGGAGGGAGTTGTGGAGGAGGGTTCGAGTTAGCAGATGCGCGCGGCGATCGAGCGTCTCTGTTGTAGACTGCGTTTAGCTGCGCCGTGGCAGATTGCGGGTAGAAACTCTCTGGGCTCATGTTTGACTGTATGGGCGGCAGTTGAGGCGCATGCGGTCGGGAGGCTAAAGCAATGCTAGTCAGTATCGCAGCGCTAAGACGGGGGTAAACCAAAGCACAAGATGGACGTACACGGCGGAGAGTAGTAGTTGTTGTTGTTGGGCGGCGACATGTAGGGATTGTTGCGCGTCGGGCTCTGCCGGTTGCCTTGACTCTGCGCTTGGGCCTGAGGGGTAAAGCTGGTGTAGTTCTGGCCAGCCTGCTGTGCGCCGGCCGAGTAGGGTGAGGTAGGAGAGAGGTTCATAGGCGAGTATCTGCGTGCGGCGGCACTTTCCTCTTGCTGCAGGTACTGCTGCGAATGCCTCTGTTGCTGTTGTGGGCGCGCCATGCTGTTCAGCCGTGGCTTGTATGCATCCTCCATGGGCACATCGCCATCTCCGTCGTTGTAGTCGGGCCCGCGGCTAGCAGTGCCGCTGGGCGATTGCAGCGGCATTGAACTCTGGCGTGACGGGGTTGCGTAGGGGTCCTGCTTGATCTGCGAAGACACGCTGGCGTCTCTCGAGGCGTGGGGAGAGGACGTCATGCTGTGCGAGTACCGATTGCCCGGTGCCTCTGAGTAGGCCGTCCACTGTGGCTCCATGGCAGCCGGAGATTGCGGGTGCTGAGGGTTGCAAAGCGACTGTGTCGCAGGAAGAGACGCCAATCAGTCGTCACTGCGGGTGTTGCATGCCGAGGGTACGCGCTGGCTGGAGAGGTGGGCTGAGCTCCGTCAAGCAGCGACTGCGGCGCAGCACTCGCGTCTTGATTGCAACGGGCGTGCGTGGGCTGGGGGTGAAGGGGAGCGCGCTTGTTGTTATGGGCCTGGCCGTACGAGCCTCGAGGGGACGGGGGTGCGTCGTCTGGCTGTTGCGGGGTGTGGTGTGTTACGTGGTCAACGGCTGTACGCTGTTCGCAGCAGGACCTGGAGCAGCCGCAGAGGAACAGACGCGCAGATTGGTGCGCACGAGCGAGTCTTCACAGGGCAGAAGGGAAAGGATGGGTTTGAGGTCAGCGTAGCGCTGATGTCGGCGCCATTGCAACATGCATGGAATTGGGCTCTGTCCTTGGTTGCGCTAGTGACCAAAGCGGCCAACCTCCTCACGCCCATCATCGTGGGGTGATTGCTGCATTTCACGCTCCTCGTCGCGCCTTGCTGGCTGCCGTTTGCTCCTCGACCCTTCCTGCCCCAGCTGCACCACACCCGCCCGCCAGAATTACGCTGTGCTGCACTGCTCGCTGTTGGGCCGCGTCCGCTTTCAGGGTCCTCAAACAGGAAGGCGCGACCCTGAATGCTACTTAGGCTCTGATATCAAGTCCAAACAAGCGTTGCTTTTTTATGCTCGCCTTCTCCACCGCGCACAACACGCAATGCAGGAGTGCGATTTGCAATTCAAGCGGCTGACGGATAAGCGAGTGGGCATGGTCAAAGACGTCATAGTAGCAGTCGAAGCAAGAAAAGTAGAAGATTACCTATGTACAGTTTTTAAAAGCACGAGCCATGCCTGCACATCACTCGCGCATCTCGTACCCTCCCAGGACATCGCCATTGTCCCACTTGGCTGGCTTCTCAAAGATGCTCCTCACCATCTCACCTCCCCTTGTCGCAAGCACCGAAAGAAGCGTGTCGCTCAGCTGTCATCGTCGTTAGCACGTCTCGTCTCCAACAGTGACATGGAGCACAACTTACACCATGCGTCGTTTCACAGCAGCCTTGCAACCAGACACCAGCATCTTCGCCAACGCTCTTCTCTGTGAAGTTGATCTTGTAGTCCCTTTGAACCTGCCACTTGGCGCCCTCGAGCTCTCCGCCGGGCATCAAGTGTCGCGCATCCTTGAGCAGCGTCTCGTGTAGGTCTCTGTAATAGCCTGTTGCTACAAAGACGGCATCGACGTCCAGCGTCTCCTGCCTTTCTTGCCCACCCGCACACTCGGAGAAATACAAGGGGCTAGTGTCTTGTACCTGCAAACGCACACCACCCTGCCGAACCGGCGAGTCAGTCACGTCAATGACGCGACGGTATGGCATTATACGGTGCGGCCAGTTCTCTTCCTCGGCAGCCGAGTTGCCATGACGAATGCGTTGTAGGTAGAGCGTTTCGTAGATGTGCTCGAGGAGAGGGAGGCGAACGACGCCGTAGTTGGTGCCCTTGTCTTCGATGAGCGTAGTTGCCCGGAGCTTGGGCGCGCGGTTGAATGTGCAGTCTGTTCGCGAAGGGTTGAAGATCTCGTTGACACTGGCATGGTTAGCAGGCAAACACTGTAGCTGGTGGCCGTCACTTACAACGGCGAGTCGTCACTTGGTCGCAGCGCTCCTCCCTTGATCAGCATTCGTGTTCGTGCGTTCGGATAGTTTGCGTGTAGGAAGTCGAAGATTTCAGCGGCACTCTGGCCGTTGCCAATCACTGCTACGCTGTACGGTGCGTTGTGGTCTTTCAGGAGCTCTTTTGACATGAACGAGAACTTCGACGAGTGGATCACTCTGGGGTGGTTCGTGGGGAACGGCGCGGGGATGTTGGGCCTTCCACCCGCAGCGACAACTACGTGTTTGGTTCTCCGCGACTCGGTGCGGCCTGTCAAATGGTTACGCGAAACCACGGTGAATGTAGTAATCTCGCCATTTGGTGACTTCTCTGGCATGATCTTGACGACTTCCTGGCTATACGCTACAACGTCCTCAAACCAGCTAGCGCACCACTTCATATAGTCCTCGTACTCTACACGAGCTGGTAGGAAGGTGTTGAGATTGGCAAACTCCACCAAACGATCCTTCTGATGCAGGTAGTTAATGAAGGTGAATTCGCTCCTCGGGTTGCGCATGGTAGCCATGTCTTTCATGAAAGTAATCTGCATCTTGGCTCCTGGTAGGAGCATACCAGCGTGCCATGCGAATTGCGACTGCTTCTCGAGAAAAGCGACTTTTGGTGATCTGCTCTGCAGACCTGGAACATCTACAAGGGAAGGGTCTGTTCCATCCAAAGCATCATGCAGGGCTACGCCAATAGCTAGTGAAGCTGGTCCAAAACCGACACAGATCAGGTCGTGTAATTCATCTTCTGGGGTGTATCGGAGGTGTGATCGGTTCTCAAATGTGGGAAGCTGGCTCTCTTCAAAGTTCTCGCTCAAGATACCATTGAACGCTCGTTGCACGGCTGGGGCCGGTCCTTCGGATGTGGTCGACGACATTTCCGCGTGGGGACTCATGTTTGCGTAAATGAACAGCAGGTGTCACTACGAAAAGCACAGCGTCGTTAGTATCGTCAATACAACAGGCGCGATATAACATGCGTCGCTTTGCTTCATAGACTCCAGAAACACGTACGCTGACGGGTTTTACTGACGCTCCAGAGGGAACTTTTGGACTGAACAATCGGCCGTGAAGGAGCTTAATCCGCAAAACTGTACGCGCATAGCCGAAAGTCAGCGGATTCATGTGATAAAACCAATGACGTCTACACTAGACGCGAATGAACAACACGAGTGGACTGGCAGGTGCCAACATACCTAATCAATCCTTTACTTGGAAATCGCAAGAGACTTCAATCGCTGGATATTCGTACAGTCGCCGTCTCCAGGTTATGGAAAAAGTTTACGAGGCCCACGACTTGTACCTGGACCATATCCGTGCCCAGGATCCGTTCTTGCGTATAGCTCATCCATGTCGATCGAGGACCGCTGCCACGCTCGTCAGAGAATGGTCCGATGTCACTTCGTAAGAGTAGACCCTGACGGTCCGTTCCAACCTGGTGTCACCACCTGGTTCGCTAACCAAATGATAGTAGCACAATCCCCATGTCACTGATCTACGGACGCGCCATCTGATAAGATGACGGAGCTCAGGCCGTCGAGCAAAAAGCTCACCTGGCGCCCATGGAACGCATGACGGAGGCAAAATTTTCAGGCATGGCCCCGCTACACTTGTCCTCAAATCGCATCGGCTGGTTCGAATAAGTTTAGTCTCCGTGGGGTCGTGGGTAAAGTATCAGCTTGGCGGAGTAGAAATTATCAGATGGAAATGGATCAATCCATCAGATTAGATGAAGAGATTTCCTGCGAGTTCGGAGCGGCCTCGGTCTTACTGGTCCATGCCCAACAACACCACCATCTGACTGCATGTCTCGGCGTTGTTACTAGGCTCGGTTAGCACGCCGCTGCCGCCGATCACCCAAAAGCAGGTCGTATTAGCGCAGGTAATGTAGGTTAATGACGAACGAGGCGCTTCAAGACCCTTTCTTGGTATCGCCCTAGCAGTTCTGTGTGCACTCAGTGACAACAAGATAGAAGGAGTACGATGGCTTAGTTTTGTAGGAACAAGTTGCTGCGTTAGTATCAATTACACCATTATGTAAAAATCGGGCTTATATGAACATCGTCGCTACACAATCCTGGCTCGACCCGGGCATTCATCATCATAGCCCACATCTGGTGCATATGATATGCCACTAGCATGCAATGGCGGCGCGGTAGACTGAATAGGAAGCACCATGGCGAAGAAGGCAGGAGGTACTTGTGTATCGTAGTTGATAAATTAAGTATTAATTATGAAAAGGACTGTGATGATACTGGTAAAGAAATTGTTGCGTGCGCCTTGCCATGCGAGTACCATATCTATAGCTGGTCGAAAAGTGAACATACAAATACATGCATATGATACAGTGCATTGATTGCATAAGGGAAGCAACCAACATGGACCGCCAATGTTGCATAATGCAAATCCGGAAAGGAATCGTGAATGATGTTTAATCCAACTCTTGCGTGGCTACCATGGCGGCGTATATTCCCCCCATAGCCACAAGCTCGTCATGTCGGCCCTGCTCAACGATACGCCCAGTGTCGAACACAAAGATACGGTCTGCGTGCTGTACGCTTGCTAACCGATGTGCGATCATAATTGTAGTTCGGCCTTTAGAAGCAGCGGCAATTGCTCTTCGGATTTCCCGTTCGGTATTGGCATCCAGTTGAGATGTTGCTTCATCAAGAAGCAGTATTTCAGGATCGCGTATCAGAGCTCGAGCGATAGCAAGGCGTTGACGCTGACCCCCTGAAAGTTTTGATCCATGAGAGCCGACCTCGGTGTTATAGCCTTCTGGTAGGCTCATGATGAAATCGTGGAGCTCACATTCCTTAGCCACACGTTGGATGTCTTCGTCACTGGCTGAGGTGCCCGGTCGTGCGCCCAGACCAATGTTGAACTTGACTGAGCCTGGGAAAAGATCTGGCTCTTGCTCAACGAGCGCTAGGCGAGCGCGATGGTTGCGAACAGCTTCTTGTCGAATGTCTTGCCCATCGAGATGGACTTGCCCTGCATTTGGATCGAAGAATCTTTCTATCAAATGAATTGTGCTTGACTTGCCAGCACCTGAACGGCCGACGAAAGCTACGTTCTCGCCCTGTCGAATTTGGAATGAGACGTCGTTCAAAGCGGGAACATTTGGTCGACTCTCATAGTAGAGGCTGACGTTGCGGAATTCGAGCTCGCCCCGTACACCAAACGTACCATATGAAGCTGAAGGGCCGGACAACAGGGCGTCTCCGTTCGATATATTAGTAATGGTAGAGTCTAAAGGCGCCCGATCTGTGATGATAGTCGGTTTCTCATCATGTAGTGAGAAGACGCTTTGAGCAGCAGCCTTCGCCCTAGTTACTTCCGGAGCCAAGCTAAAGAGTTGACCTGCAGATTGTGCGGAAAAGAGCAATGCAGGTAGCACTATGAAGAACTCCCGTTGACTATAATTGCCGTTGCGCACTTGTTTAGACCCCCACCAATACGCCAAAGAGTAGACGAAATATGTGATTGAGAGCGAAAAGGCGAGCAGAATGTTGCCAAGCACGCTGAACCTGAGGTGTTCTTCATACGGTTTACGGATCGCCTCTCGATAGCCGTCGAGAAAATGAGATTCAAGTCCAAAAACTGCAACGATTTGCATGGAAGATGTCGCCTCCGAAGCAAGAGCTGCTGCGTCGTTGTACGCCGTTTGGTGATGTTCTTCTGCCATAGCCAAGATACGAAGGCGCAAGAAGCCAGCCAAGAGCATGACAGGGACGGCTGCCAGCAGCACTATAGCAATCTTCCATGCTACTATGTGGGCCAGCACAATGCCACCAAGAACAGACGTCGCAATTGAGAAGACGGTTCCGAGTATAACTCCAGAGAGCCCACTGATACTGCCACTGTCCGAGTTCAGACGCGACATCAAGGCATGGTGGGAGTGACCAGGCTGAGAAAACCAGGCAATGTCCTGCTGCAGGATCGTCCGGAAGGAAAGATCTCTGACTCGCAGAGTGAGGTTTTCTGAGACCATGCCGAATGCAGTTTTGCCAAAGGAATGGGAAGTCAGAGCGACAATGGCCAAACCGAAGAAGAGCAAACAGTAGAACGCGATTTTACTGGTGACATCGTCCGCTCCAGTTGTGTCGTTCAGAAGCTCGACCAAGTTTCCGAATATGAGCGCCTCGCCAATGATGACTGCACCACTGAAGATGGAAGAAACCAAGCCGACAATTATGGCAGGTGTTTCACGGCGGCTTAGTGCTAATGATCTTCCAATCAACGTCAGCGCACTCATCTTAGGCGCATCGCCTTGCGACTTCGGAGTTGATTGAATCGTGTCGTTTGATTCACTCGAAGAATCTTCACGCTCTTTGTGCGATGAGCGAGTGGTTGACCGAATCGATGAGGCTGCGGACGGTTGTCCCTTCTCGAATTGTTGTGCTCTAATAAGTTCCGCGTAGACACCGTTCTTCTTAAGAAGATCCTGATGGCGCCCATCTTCTTCTACACTTCCGTCCTTCATAACGACGATGCGATCGGCATCTCGCACAGTCGCCAGGCGATGTGCAATGATAACAGTAGTTCGAGCGGCGCTCGCAGAAGAACGACGTAAGTTTTCCAGTACGATTGCTTCGCTCGTACCGTCCATGGCGCTTGTAAATTCGTCCAAGAGAAGAAGCGATGGGTTCCCCACTAGCGCACGCGCGAGCGTTATGCGCTGCTTCTGACCGCCGGACAGTTGAGATTGAGGCCCAGAGCTGATCTTCGTATGTATGCCTTCCGGAAGACGGTCTAGAAAATCGCAGTATGCCTCCGTCGCTGCAGCCTTGCACCGCACAAGTATCTCGTCCTCGGTCAATTGCTCTCTTTCTCGACTTGGTATACCATGCTTGATATTATCTAGTATCGTCCCAGTGAAAAGGACAGGATTCTGTGTGACCAGCGCGATGTGTGAACGTAGACTGTGAACATTGAATGACTTCAGATTATCATTGCCGAGATATATGTGGCCGTAGGTTGGATCGTAGAGCCTCAAAAGTAGGGATGCGATAGTGGACTAGAAAACGGGCACATTAGTAACAAGACTACGTCTCCCAAAGAATTATGCTTACCTTTCCCGAGCCGGACGGTCCAACAAGACCGGTAACTTGCCCGGACTTTATGCGTAGATCAATACTGTCTAAGATCCGGACAGTAGGTCGAGCAGGATACACGAACGAGACGAATGAAAGGACTAGGTCTTTCTCGAAGTGTACACTTTCCGCTGGCTTTCCTTTTGGAGAGTACACATCTATATCGGATGTCGGATGGTCTAGAACGTCCAGTACGGCAGCTCCTGCAGCAGCAGCCATAGCAAATGTCTGAATGAATGGACCAAACGATCCAACGACGAAAGAAGCATCTAGTATGAGAAAGACGACCGCATAAATTGTGCCAGCTTCTGCGCTACCATCTCGTAAGCGGTCGCCATACCAGAAAGCGAGTGCATTCGTTGCGTATGCCACGAAATACACCGAACCAAGCATGACAGCACCTGCAACACTCTTTCTGATTCCGATTCTCAATGCTGACCGCAGATGATGAACATGTTCCTCGCTTAGCTGCTCGAAGAGGCCAAAAGCCTGTACAATTTGGACTGCACGGATTGCACTTTCAGCGACGGAGGCAGCTTTCTCGGTGTAAACTGTGGCCTGTTTGGATAGATCGGAAACCTGCTTAGTGCCGTAGATAACAACGAATGCCATGGAAGGTATCACGGTGACGAACCTGGCTATATTAATGACTTTTCCTTGGCTCGGCGAAGATGATTATTACATTACTCCAGTCAATCTCGCATTGAGCATGAATCCTACAGTGAACGCAGAGATAAAATAACTTATTGATGCGATGAAAAGGCCCACCTTCTCCGAGGTGCCAAGTTGGATGGTTTGCGTCTTCTCTGTAAGAATGCTAGACAGATCAGGTGAGACCGTGTCTGCAGTAGGCATCTCAAGTCAATATGCGATCTACGCAAGGCAAGTTTCGGGCATGTACGCACCGTAGTAGGTCATATCCATCCCCAGCGCACGATGCAGAAGTCTTTCTCTGGTTTTTCTACTCACGCGTTCTCCTATAACAGCCCAGCAAACAGCCCAGGCCCAGGTAACGACGAAATAACCGACTGCGACTGACATAAGACGGAACAACAGATGCTTCAACTCATCTGGATGAGGTGGGAAGTTGTTAATAATGCGACCCAGGACGACGCCTATCAATGGAAGCGGCAGCCCAGCCAAAACCGCAGTGACGATACCCAACACGAGAATGATTTTCGACCCAGCATCGTCCAGTTGTCTGTACAAAGTAAAGTAGGAAGTCTTAAAAGGGTTCAAGCCTAGGATTTGGCGGATGAACCGTTGACGAAAGACAGTAGGAGCATCAAAGGCTTGAGGTTGGACGGTCGCCAGCGATGGCTCTACGTGTCTTTCCCATTGCGTACTGTGACGGACAGACGGTTCGTCCTCGATCTCACTTTCCTCTGAGTCCAGAAGGGGCTGGCTCTCAGAGCTGTCATCGTCATGATAACGGGGCATTGTGGCGCGCGCCTGGCGTGATTCAATGCGATTTCGGTATTGCAGTGCTCAAAAGCAATTCATCTGCACACAAGCGAAGGGGACGGTCTCGCGACGAGTACGCGACTGCGGGTTGTGATGAAAAAAGATGCCATAAAGGCGATATTGAAGTGGACGTGCAGCGTTGTTGATGTCAGAGCTACCCATGCGCGACATGGAAGACATGGTAGGAGCGTAGAACTAAATTAGGGTCTTGGCATGGTCATAGATGGCCCGCCTTGCTATATTTCTACGCACCAGAATGGCAGCGCGACGAGTTTTTGTTCAAACGGTCATGGAAAGCGCATGTGAATAAGTTTATAAGATATGCCCAGTCGTTGGGTAGGGGCATGTGAGCTTGCGCTAAACGGTCTGGTGATAGACAGAGGGATATGCAGCGTGCATACCTAGTTGTTCCTGTAGGGCTGGGCTACCAGCCACCTGCGATCATGTCAGGGGTAGACTTCATCTGATAATTCTGTTTAGGGATGACCCGCCTTGCATGTCACTCAAAGCACGGGATTTTTCGGCGGCAGGCCCGGCATGCTTCTTCCCCCACCAAGTAGCGGCAGCGCTCCGAGATCGCGTCCAACACTACATCTCAACGGGATCTTGCTGCCTGTTTGCACCTGACAAACAGAATCCTCTCGGCAGCGTGGGGAGATAGGAAGAGGCAATGAAACATGACGCCCGACCAGCCAACGCGACGGCGTCGTCGTCATCGGAGCCGCGCCCACGCCTTTACACCCATCAATTTGCGCTACGATCCAAGGCTAGTATGATTTGGTGGAGCTTCGGTTTTCAGTCTCGATTTAGTCTTGTCTCGAACAGTTTTCGTTCCTAATTCCCGTCCACTTGCAGAGCCGCCAAAAGCGTCTGCTTCACGGTATCAGATCTTACGCGCCGCTTGTCGAATGACACGTCCACTTGCCAGTCAACCAGGATGTATGACGCTTCAACCACGGACAAAGCGCTCAACATCACGGAGGAAGCTGTGACCAAAGAAATTATCGAAATACCTGTCGCCTCAGCTTAAACTTTTATCCTTCCTCAACACTGCTCGCTCGCTCTTTCCGAATCGGAGGTCGCGACGCGTTCTTGAAGGTCGCTTGTTGCCTGCACCTACAACAGAGCGCTGCGGTCTTCGTGATTAATCTTCAAACGCGCTACCCAAGCACAGAGTATTAGAACTCGTTCTCACGTGCACAAACCTCGTGTGTACTGGTTTCAAGGTACTTGAGGCCCTTCAACCAATCACCGTGCTGCAGTTTCTCATCACTGCAACTTGCAACTAAGCATTATCGCATTCTGCAAATTTCCATTCAGCAATAGCGAATGCATCTTCTGCAGTTCTTTTCTCTGACATTCATGGAGGTATCGCTAGGGACGACAACGGCTCAAATTCCCTACCAGTGAACATTGCCACCGGCTACACTATTTAACATCTTACACGACATGATTCAAGAAAACGACGCAAACCAGCGACTATCGATACTTAATGAGCGACCTTCGATTCTGAGCGGACCGGATCTCCTCCACGAGCTTGTGCGGCCATTTGATCATGACGCAACTGCTATCGATTTCCTGGAACATGGATCGAAAAGGCGGAAGTTCTCCTACAGAAATCTGCACCTTTTGAGCGACGTCTTGGCTGGCAGGATCACTGAAAGACTGTCGAAGCTCGAAAGTGTCTCGCCCATCATTCCGGTCTTTCTGCCTCAGTCTCCAGAACTATACATAGTCTTATTGGCCGTCTTGAAGGCAGGGAAAGCGTTTTGTCCTCTTAATCTCGACACACCTATAGAGCGATTGAAGTTTATCCTCGATGATATATCGCCTGACCTATTCATCACGTTCTCAACTCTCGATGAACGTATTCGAACAGCAGTCAATGTCGAAGTGGTCCTTGTGGATAAGGAGCTTTGCGATCGTGAGGATCGCCTCAGTATCGAATTACCAAGATCGAGTACCAGGGATCTAGCCTACGTGCTGTACACCTCTGGTTCTACTGGCAAACCTAAGGCTGTAAGCATATCGCACCATGCGGTCACTCAAAGTCTGCTGGCTCACGACCGACACATTCCTGACTTTGCACGTTTTCTCCAATTTGCAGCCCCTGTAAGTGCATAAGCATAGTTGAATTCTGTCATGTACTGACACAGTGCTAGACCTTCGATGTTTCCATATTTGAGATCTTCTTTCCATGGTTCCGAGGGAAGACGTTAATTGGCAGTACACGTGCGCAAATGCTCGACGACCTTCCAGGAACCATCAACAGCCTGGAGATCGATGCAGCTGAACTCACGCCAACAGTTGTGAGCAATCTTCTTCAGGGTAGAGCGAGCGTGCCTGGCTTGAAGTTGCTACTTACAATCGGTGAGATGCTCACCCAGCACGTCATTGCCGAGTATGGTGGCGACGAGACAAAGGAGAGTATACTGTGGGCCATGTATGGACCGACTGAAGCCTCGATCCACTGCACGTTGCAGCCACAATTCTCGACGTGTTCACCGACTAGCACGATAGGTCGCCCCTTGGACACTGTTTCGGCTTTTATTATCGCCCCTCCAACTGGAGACCTAACATCGATTGGTGTTGAGATTCTCAGAACCGGAGAAGTTGGCGAGCTTGCTGTTGGAGGACCTCAAGTTGCCGAAGAATATTTGAATCGCCCGGATCTCACTTCTGCATCGTTCATTGAACACCAGGAGTATGGTCGTTTATATCGTACCGGTGATCGCGCAAGGATCAACGACCATGGGATTTTGGAATGCTTGGGCCGCATCGTTGCTGGTCAGGTAAAACTGAGAGGGCAGCGGGTTGAGCTCGGCGAGATCGAACAGGCTATCATGAGGATACCGAACTGTCGTACAGCAACAGTGATGATCGTCCAAGAATCCTTGGTCGCGTTTTGCGCTGCTGATTGGCGTGAAGTAACACGCACAGATGTTCTCAACATTTGTAGCCATTGGCTTCCGGCATTCATGGTTCCTTCAGACGTTTTCTTTGTAGATGTCATGCCACAACTCCCATCGGGGAAGGTCGACAGAGACTCTCTCACCAGAGAATTCCTTAGCAAGGCTAGCTCTAATGGAACGGCATCGTCTACCAATATCAACTTGGGCGATCATGTGGGCCGGTCCGTCCTGAATATCATCAGGCACCATATCTCTCCAGATCTTGGATCAGATTTGGATCTTGCTTTCGCTAGGATAGATTCACTACAATCAATTCGCATCGCATCTGCGCTGCGACGAGAGGGATTTGAGCTGGGAGCAATGGACGTACTGTCAGCTCAAACGTTGGAGGATCTTATTGCGATGTGCAGAAAGCCTACAACAGCCGCCAGTCTGCATGGTCCAACAAAAGACGTTCCAAGATCACTCATCCACATAGAGACCCCTCAGCTGGAGCGGTGGCGTAGCAATATCGCCTATGTACTGCCTTGCACTTCCTTGCAGGAGGCTATGCTTGCGGAGACGATGTCTAGGCCTGCCGCTTACTGCAACTGGGTTGAGGTCGAACTTTCGATCTCGCAGACGTTCGAAGACATCCGAGACGCCATACAATATTTGGCTAGCAAAATCGAAATCATACGTACAGGTTTCCTTGCGCAGTCACAGCATTCCGGAACCTTTTCGCAGATAATCTGGAAAGAACTGCTCGCCTCTCAGATCGAGGAAGTCGACAGTTTTTCAAGACTTTACACACTGCAGTCTGAGGAAAACTTCCTGCGGCCGTTCCACACGCAGATAATAACAAGCTCCGAACGACCTCGCTTGCTGTTTCGCATGCATCATGCTTTATACGACGGGTGGTCGTTCGATCTGTTGCTGCATGATCTGGATATGCGATTGCGTAGAGAGAAACTTGCATCACGACCACAGTTCCGTGAAGTAGTCCAATATCTGTCCCAGATAAACTCCGAAGATGAACAGTCATCTAGAAATTACTGGACTAGTCTCCTCAGTGGCTACCTTCCGATCTCGCTACCTAATTACCACGGGAGGGTTGTTGGTGACCGAGTTACACGGCGCTTCACTCGGCTGTCTGCCATCGATCGGTCCCGGCTCTTTGAATGCGCTCGCGAAATGGCTATTAATCCCCAGGTATACTTCCAAGCGGCTACTGCGTACGTGCTTAGTCTCTACAACGGTACAGCCGATGTTATTCTTGGAAATGTTTCATCTGGGCGAACTATCCCCGTGGCTGGTGTGGAGGATATCATCGGCCCTTGCATCGCAACTGTCCCCTTCCGCATAGACCTCAACAACGCTCATAGCACCCATGACCTTTTACATTTGACACAAGCGTTGAATCGAGAGAGTCTGAAGCACAGTACCATCCCCCTGCGCGACATAGTAAGGGCAGGCAACATACCACCGGGAACTCGGCTTTTTGACGTCTTGTTCGTGTGGCAGCAGTCAATAGCCTCGGATTCAAACTCAACACTTGCGGCCAGAGTCATCGACAGCGCGGATGACCTTGAATTCAGACTCACGCTCGAGTTCGAACCGCGTGAAGGTGACATATCGTTACGAGCTACCTACGATACATCAACTTTCCCGGAGCAACAGATCGAATGCTTGTCACGCCAGATTGACGAAGTAGTGGGAATAATGTTGGAGAGCACCAACCACAACATCGATAAGATGAAATGGTGCTTCACCACACCTTCATTATCAATCGCGAATCCTACCCCTCGGCAGCAACCAATCGAGAGTGGCCCTGCTTATGCAGTAGAACAATGGGCTTTGTCGAATCCTGGAAGACCTGCTGTCAAGTTCGCCCGTGTCATACGTGGTGGTCTAGAAGTTGAAAAGGTAGCGACCTACGGGATGCTGAACTCCTGCGCTAATCAGTTTGCCCGTGTGCTTGCCGATCGTGGAGTTGGCAACGATCAATTAGTTTGCGTCATGATGGGAAAGTCAGTCAACCTTTATATCTGTATCCTCGCTGTTCTCAAGCTTGGTTGCGGATACCTGCCGCTCGTTCCTGATACACCGATCGAGAGAGTCAAGACCATATTGAATGACGCGCGAGTCAAGGTCTGTGTCTCCGACTTGTCGACTTCACCCGATATCCGAAAAAATCTCCGAGTCGAATTAGTAGACTTCAACGCCACCCAGCTTTCAGACTACTCTGATCAGAATCTGAACGTGCCGTACAACGGGCAGCATCTTGCCTACGCTGTGTTCACTTCTGGCAGTACTGGTACACCGAAGGGGGTTCTTGTTACCCAAGATAACCTCATGAGTAATCTGCAGTATCTATCGACGATATACCCCTTCTCCGCGGAATCCTGCCTGCTCCAATCCTGCTCCCAGGCATTTGATGTCAGCGTCTTTGAGATATTCTTCTCCTGGTACGTTGGCATGTGTTTGTGCACAGCGAAGAAAGACGACCTGTTCCGCGACTTTGAGGCTGCAATCAACTATCTAGGTGTCACACATCTGAGCCTAACACCAACAGTTGCGGCACTAGTGGATCCTGAGAATGTACCAAAAGTCGAATTTTTAGTGACTGCTGGAGAAGCTTTGACAGAACACGTTCGAAGAAGGTGGGCAGGTAAAGGCTTGTACCAAGGGTATGGTCCTTCTGAGACCACAAACATATGCACTGTTCGAGCAGCGGTTACTCCAGACGACCTAATCAACAACATCGGCATGCCCTTCACCAACACTTCAGCCTTCGTACTTGATCCCGAAAGCGAAGCTGTTCTGCCCCGTGGCGCTGTAGGAGAACTTTGCTTTGGAGGGTACCAGGTCTTTCGTGGTTACCTGAATCGCCCGGAACTGAACGCCACAAAGATCATCAACCATCCTACTTACGGGAGGTTATATCGGTCGGGTGATATGGGTATCCTGTTGCCTGATGAATCCATACTTTCCAGGGGCCGTTCGGACGACCAAGTTAAGATTCGTGGTCAGCGTGTCGAGCTCGGCGAGATTACCTCAGTCATGCTCGATCATCGGTCGGTGCAAGACTGTGTGACGCTTCTCTTACCGCGTCCCAATAATGCACAAACACTTGTCATCTTCTGGGTACCCATTACAGCCGCATCTGACCACTTCCAACGCTTGGAACCCGCCGAGTTCGAGATGGTGAAATCAGATCTATTCGGTCTGTTATCGCAACGCTTACCTCCATATATGGTTCCCTCCTATCTCATTCCCATATCATGTCTCCCAATGACAATGCAGGCCAAGATTGACAAAGGCCTCCTCCAGAGCTTATTCTGGAATCTGGCGGAAAACCAATTGGAAGCCACCATGCAATCGACCGACAGCGACGAAGGTCCAGAAATGTTATCGCCATGGGAGAAAGACGTAGCCCAGGCTCTTGCATGGACACTCGACATATCACCGAAAGAACTCCGGAGGACTTCGTCATTTTTCAACGTGGGCCTGGATTCCGTGTCAGCTATACGCTTTTGTAATAGACTTCGAACACTAGATTTAGGCGACTTTGCCATCTCGACGGTGCTGAAGAACTCGTCAATTGCTCGGCTAGCGTCTGCTCACGACCTGCGCTCGCACTCGCCAATACACGAAACGACCAAGCCCCCGACCATCAACGTGAAAAACTTCCTCAAGCCAGATGAAGTGTCTCGAATTCTTGCGCGTTATGAAGAAAGCGAGTTCAAGGTGGCAAGGATACTACCATGTACACCACTGCAAGAAGCAATGCTATCAAGTGGTCAGTCATTCGCAGACTCCGCGTACTGCAATACCATGATTTTTGATGTCAAAGGAGACATATTTCGGCTGCAAAACTGCTGGTCGAGCATGGTTGAGCGACACGAGATTCTTCGTACTTGTTTCGTTGGCACCGAAGACCCATCATTCGTGTTCGCGCAAGTCGTCCTACGCGATACTGGTTTGAATTGGCAATTTCATGACTTTACAGACGCGCTGCCATCCTACACGCACAGCATCATCTCAGATCTTCTTCGAGCTGAGAAGCCTCCAGTTTACTTTGCATTGGCTCAGGATGGACCGTCCACGAAGTTGCTATTCAGTTGCCATCATGCGCTCTATGACGGCATTGCTATCTCCACTCTTCTTGAAGAGATACAAGACCTATATCTCGACTTCAAGCTGCCACCGCCAGTCTCTCACGATGTGTACCTGCAGCACATGCTTCATCAGAACTATGCAGAGGGTGATGCATACTGGGCGGCTCTATTGGAGGGCCTTGAGCCTACCCTCTTCCCCACCCTCACCAGTAATAGCTCGAGAGTTCTGGGAAGGCCCGCAACCTCATCAAGACGTCTACAACTACCGCTCGACAGTATACGGGGAACATGTCAAAATATGTCAGTGTCATTACTGGCGATTGTACAGGCTGCATGGGCAAAACTGCTGCACTTCTACACTGGTGAGAGTGACATCTGCTTCGGAAATGTCGTCAGTGGGCGCAGCATTGCCGGAGATGGCGTCGAGCGCATCGTCGCTCCTTGCTTTAACACTTTGCCAGTTCGCGTCAACTTCGATTTCCAGCGGTCCAATGATGCTTTGATGCGCCTGACGCATACCCTTAGTATTGAGTCGCTTGCTCATCAGCTGACTCCGCTTCGTCGCATACAGAACAGGGTGCTTCACGACGGTGGTCGTCTTTTTGACACTCTTGTCATACTTCAGCAGCCGAAATCATCGTTAGATTCTTCTATTTGGACACTTGAACAAGACCTGGGCGATATGGACCTACCCGTGGTGTGCGAAATCATTCAAAACCAGACTTCGAATACCATGGAGCTAGTCCTACACTACCAAACATCGCTCCTATCTACGACAGAGGCTCTTTTGGTTATGGAGACTCACGAAGCCTGCCTATCATCGTTAATCGCGTCTCCCAATGCAACGGCTGTCGATATGACGAAGTTGCCAACACACCTCCGAGCAGAGTCTAATATAAATTACGAGCGATTCGAGACTGGAGCAGCCTTGCTACATTCTGGTTTCGAACTCATGGCGGCGACGTACCCAGAACGTGTCGCGCTAGACTTCTTGCTCCCGAATGGCGAGAAGACGACTTGGTCTTTCAAAGCTTTGAATGAGAACGCAAATAGCATTGCGCATACGCTCATCGAAGCAAACCTCAGGCCTGACGATATTGTTCCAGTTCATATACAAAAGAGCCCACAGTTCTACGCAAGCATCCTGGGAGTTCTTAAAGCCGGAGCCGCTTTTGCGCCCGTACATCCAAGTCTACCTGAAGCACGCAGGAAGGTCATGCTCCAAGAATTGAAGCCAAAGCTCGTGCTTTGTTCGGATAACTCGATGCTTTCCAAGAATCTAACCGAAGCGATCGTTGTCAACGTTCAAGCTGTTCCGCCCACGCCAAATAGCAATCCTGCCATTTCTAGCCTAAACGACTCGAACCTAGCCTACTGCCTCTTCACCTCTGGCTCCACAGGCGTACCAAAAGCGGTCAGCATGGAACATCGCGCTCCAATTCAAACTATCCTCAGCTCCAAATCTCGCATTCCTTGGAGCTCATCTTCACGACTACTACAGTACGCCGCTGTGACGTTTGATATGTGCTATTACGATTGTCTTCTGGCCTGGACATTCGGCTTCACCCTTTGTACCGCGGGACAAGATGACTTGTTGAATGATCTACCTAAGGTCATCAATTCTTTGCAGGTCGACTTGCTCGATCTTACACCTTCAGTTGCCGTGTCAATCAAGAGAGTAGATATACCAAGTGTCAAGTGGCTGTACTGTATCGGAGAAGCCATGTCGCCCGCAGTTGTAAAGGAATGGGGGAGTGCGTGTGTCAACTCGTACGGGCCTACTGAAGCTGCGTTCTGCACGACCATTAGCCCCACCTCAAGCGATGGAAAAACTTCAATCATCGGCAAGCCCTTCCAGACGACGTCTTTTGCTATCTTCTCATCTCAAGGCGACTCGCCTTTGCCGATGCTAAGTACTGGTGAACTCTATATTGGAGGTGCACAACTCGCGCGAGGCTATTTCGGCAAACCTGATCTCACAAGTGAGCGATTTGTTACCCGTTATGGTCAACGATACTACAAGAGCGGCGACATGGTCCGAATGTTGAGCGATGGTAATTTCGAGTTCGTGGGACGCACAGACGACCAGGTCAAGATTCGTGGGCTCAGAGTGGAGCTTGGCGAGATCAATCATGTCATTCAGGACACCCTTCCAGACATTGCTTTTGTGACCACTCAGATCCTGAAGAAAGAACAGACGGGCAAAGATCAGCTTGTGTCTTTCCTGGTCTCGCACAACAAGATCGAGAAGATCAAACTTGCCGAGCTGCAACAAGAGGTTAAGAAGGCTGCGAGCAGCCGCCTCCCGTCTTACATGGTCCCCCAATTTTTCCTCTTTGTTGATGATATACCAAGATCAATGGCTGGGAAGGTCGACAAGAAAGCATTGATCGACATATTCAGAGACCATGCAGGTGTCGATGCCCTTACTAACGGATGTCGATATGAATCGGACCATCAATGGAGTAAAACAGAGACCGAGGTTCGGGACACTTTTGCGCGACTGTCCAATACTTCGCGAGACGATATATCGCCAAGAACCTCGATTTACCAGCTCGGTCTTGACAGTATCAGTGCAGTTCAAGTCGCTGCTGCGCTTCGCAAGCAGGGTCATCCTGTAAACGCCACTGATGTTCTGAAGCATACTACTTGCACCGACCTTGCGGGATTTATAGACCAGGCGAGTCCATCAGACGTGTCTACATACTCAGAGTTCGACTTTGGTGCTTTTGAACGCAAGCATAGGGCGCAGGTACTGAGTGATAACAACATTCCGGACAGCGACATCTTAGCCATCCGTCCCTGCACTCCGCTCCAGAACGGTATGGTCTCGCAATTCCTGGCCAAAGAAGGAGCTGTTTATATGAACTCGCTTCGCTTACAATTGGAGTTGAATGTAGACATCGACAGACTCAAGAAGGCATGGACAATGGTGATGGAATATTATAGTATATTGAGAACTGGGTTTGCTCATGTCAAGGATCCGCTTTACCCTTTTGCTATGGTTGAGTACACTTGCGAATCCCTTGATTTGCCGTGGACTGTCACCTTGGAAGATACGTCAGACTCAATCGATCAATGGGTCCAGCAAATCCAGCATGTGGCTCTGAAGCAGCTGCAGTCGCCACCTTGGGCCTTGCGCATCGTTGAGGGCAAGGATCACTATGCTCTTGACCTGGCCATTTTACATGCTCTTTTCGACGCGCAAAGTCTCCAACTTATTCTCGATGCGGTTACTGCTGCATATCTGGATCAATCTTTACCGTTACCAAAATCTATCGACACAACTATCAGTAGCATCATTCAGTTTAGCGGTGCAAAATCGCCCACTCGAGAGAAATTCTGGACTGACCTCGGAAAAACTGCAAACACATGCCGCTTTCCCAACCTTGCACCTTTGAGATACGGTACAAGCTCTCCATTAGTTTACACGCGCCAGTCCGCGAAACCACTTCATGTCCTAGAAGACGGATGTCGTCATGCTGAAATCACTATCCAAACTGCTGGCGTTGCGAGTTGGCTCTCCTTACTGAGCGCTTACACTGGAGAAAGCTCAGCAACATGCGGAGTTGTGTTATCCGGCCGAATATTCGAAGGAGCAGAGGATTCCGTCTTCCCCTGCATCAATACCGTACCAGTGGCATGTGCAGTCACGAACGACAAAGTCGCATTCCTCAAAAGGATCATGGAGCTGAATGCCCAGATCCAGCAGCATCAATTCACACCACTCAAGGAAATCCAGACGTTGATGGGCTTTCCGAATGAAGCACTTTTCGACAGCATTTTTGCCTACCAGAAGCTTCCCGGCCGCACAGAGGCCAGTACCATATGGAAAGTAGCCGATGAAAGAGCAACGATTGAGTACCCGGTTTCGATCGAGTTGGAGCCAGTGGATGGATATCTGGAGTATCGACTCACGTTCTTACCGCATGTCGTACCAGAAGAGCAGGCCAAATTGATCCTTGAGCAACTAGATCACTTGATGGAAAATTATACTACAATCAGTCCTATAACTGAGACCAGCCATACCGAGCAACTCTACTCTATCACGCCCGCTCAGGAGCCTGAGTTGCCGTCTAATGCCAGGCTACTCCACGAACTCGTCGAACATACTGCGATGGACTACCCCAAGCGCATCGCATTTGAGTTTGTGACGGCGAACGACAAAGGAGAGCGGACTGTGGAGCAATGGACTTATGCTGAGCTGGATGCAGAAGGGAACAGAATTGCTCGCTTACTCGTCTCTCATGGAGTTCAGTCTGGTAGTCTGGTTGGGGTGTGTTTCGACAAATGTCCCGAAGCATCCTTCGCTATGCTGGGAGTATTGAAGGCCGGCTGCGGCTTTGTCGCTATCGATCCCGGTGCACCTTCTGCACGTCAGACTTACATTATTGAGGATTCACGGGCTCAGGCTGTGATAACTTTGTCCTTTCAAGCTGCCAAATTTGAGGGAACCGTCAGTGTGCCCGTAATGAAGCTCGATGAGATCGACTGGCGTACACTCTCTGGCTCGGCGCTTTTGCGCAACGACGACATCGACGCCCAAGACCGTAGCTACTGCTTATATACTTCAGGCACTACGGGCACACCCAAAGGCTGCGAACTAACTCATGAAAATGCGGTGCAGGCACTTCTTGCCTTCCAGCGTTTGTTCGCTGGACATTGGGATACAAACTCACGATGGCTTCAGTTTGCTTCATTTCACTTTGATGTTTCAGTACTTGAACAGTATTGGAGCTGGTCTGTTGGAATCTGCGTTGTTTCAGCACCTCGAGACCTCATCTTCGAAGACTTGGCAAAATCTATCTCCGATCTCAATATCACGCACATTGATCTAACGCCTAGTCTTGCTCAAATACTTCACCCGGATGAAGTACCCAGCCTTTGCAAGGGTGTTTTCATCACCGGTGGCGAGAGTCTGAAACAAGAGATCCTCGACGTGTGGGGTCCAAAAGGCGTGATCTACAACGGATACGGACCGACGGAAGCAACAATAGGATGCACTATGTACCCACGCGTTCCGGCCAACGGCAAACCCTCAAATATTGGTCCTCAGTTCGACAATGTTGGATCTTTGGTCCTCCACCCGGGCTCCGATGCCCCTGTTCTACGAGGCGGCGTTGGTGAACTCTGTGTCTCAGGCAAACTCGTCGGCAAAGGCTATCTCAATCGTCCAGAGTTGACTGCGGAGCGCTTTCCTTATCTCGAACGTTTTGGCGAGCGTGTATACCGGACGGGTGATCTGGTTAGACTCCTGCATGACGGTACATTCGACTTCCTAGGACGTGCAGACGATCAGGTCAAATTGCGAGGCCAACGCCTCGAAGTGGCTGAAATCAATTCTGTCATCAAACAGTCCGGCCAGACGATTTCTGATGTTGCAACGTTAGTACTGAAGCATCCGAAGCAGCAGAAGGAGCAGTTGGTAGCTTTTTTGGTGTGTGGCAAGTTCTCCAGGGCTCAAATCCAGGTCCGGCTAGATGAAGCCAAGTGGATGGCGAGTGCGAAGCAAGCTTGTTACGAAAAGCTTCCTCCATATATGGTCCCCACACACTTCGTTCCTCTCACGACAATGCCACTGAACATCAACAACAAAGCAGACGGCAAGAAGCTAAAAGAACTTTACGAAGCACTTTCCTCCCATGAATTACAGGCACTATCAGCCACTACAAGCGATCGAGATGAAACTTGGTCGAAATATGACGAGAAGCTCCGCCATACACTCTCACAAACACTGGCTGTGAGTGAGCAGTCTATTGGCAAGGATACCAGCTTTTTTGAGCTAGGTATGGATTCAATTTCTGTGATCGAAGTATCGCGTAGACTCAAGCAGGCCGGCTTCGTAACTGCTAGCGCATCTTCGGTAATGCGATGTCCTACCATCCGTCGTCTTGCGAAAGTTTTAGACACTGGCAGTTCTGTCGATCAAAACAATGGGTCTTTTCTCGCAGCACAACAAGCTATTCACGCAGTTCGACATCGCTATAGACATTCCGTTGCGCAGTCACTATCGATCGAATCTAGTAGAATCGACGTCGTCGCGCCAAGTACTCCCTTACAACAAGGCATGATCGCAAGGTCGTTGGAAAGCAACAACGGCTTGTATTTCAACACTTTTCATTTCAAGTTGCATGACAGCGTCAACGAACAACAACTTCAAGCGGCATGGGAAAGTGTATATGCTTCAACGTCAATACTTCGCACGGTCTTTGCGAACACAGAAGAAGGGCACGTGCAAGCAGTTCTTCGTGGTGTCCCTCTTAGTGGAGTAACACAAACTTTGGCCAAAGACCATCAACTTGCCGAGCACGCAGAAAGGTTGAGACACAACTGGCTGGAGCTTAACCGAACCCAACTCAGACATCTCTTCGAGGTACATCTTGTCACTACCCTAACGCAGAAGCTGCTGCTTGTGCATATCTTCCACGCGCTCTATGACGGCAATAGTATCGGATTAATCTTCCAGGCTGTATGGGACTCCTACAACGGCAAGGACGCGAATTCGGTCGCGCCTGCCTTCCATGATGCACTCGCCCATGGCCCACTAAACGTCGCCGATGGAGCGAAGAAGTTTTGGCAAGACCATCTGACCAAAGAGTCTTCTCCATTACCCACCATTTCCAGCGAGCCAGCCAAGACGACTGTCGAAGTCACCCGTAAACTGCATGCCTTTACGGGCTTTGACTCTGTGAGACGTCAGCTCAATGTTACAGCGCAAGCCGTTGCTCAAGCTTGTTGGCTGTTCGTGCTGCAAGAGCACGTCAGAAGTCCTGTGACAACCGGAGTGATAGTTTCTGGACGAAGCATTGACCTGGAAGGTGCAGACCGCATCATAGGCCCAATGTTCAACACCATTCCTTACCAGCATTGTCATGAACACGGCGAGTCATGGAAGTCGATCATCAAGAGAGTGCATGACTTTAACGTCGAAGCTCATATCTACCAACACACTGCACTAAGAGACATCATGAAGTGGTGCAAGAGAACCCCGAATCAACCGTTGTTCGACAATCTTTTCGCATACCAAGTCGCACAAGGAGACGAGGAGTGGGCAAGGAACGATGTTTGGGAGATCTTGGATGGTGACGCTGTCGCTGACTATCCTTTGGCTTTGGAAATCGAGCAGAAGACTAGTGGCGTGTTCAAACTGACCTTAGTTACTCAAGGTCATGTCGCAGATGAAACCCTAGCAGATGAACTTCTTGATCGATTCGAGGCTGCATTCCGGCAGATCTTGCAAGATCCGTCTTGCATACCAGAATCGAATGCTAGAGTGAACGGTATAGCAGAAAACGGAACTGTTCTGGAGACTGAAGCGATCCGGGATATTGGTGACACAACTCATTTCGAATGGACAAGCGAAGCGGTCAAGATCAAGGAAGAGATTGCTAACCTATCCGGTCTTGATCTCGATGGTATCAATGGAGCTACTTCTATCTTTGAACTTGGACTCGACAGCATCGATGCTATCAAGCTATCTTCAAAGCTAAAGAAACGTGGAGTGAACATTCCCGTAAGTGGCATTATGCGCGGACTGACCATCTCGAAAATGGTGCAGCACATCTCAACCAGGGAAACACCAGACAGAGAGTCTTCCCAGTGGGATCTTGACCCCTTCAAACAGTCAATGAAAAGATATCTCGAGCAACGTTCGTCTGATACCGCTGGCATTCAAGAGGTGCTTCCCTTGACACCATTACAAGAAGCCATGGTGGCAGAGATGATTGCATCAGGATACATGAGATACTACAACCACGACGTGCTCAAGCTTCGTCCTGGAGTTGACATCGGGAAGCTTCGAGACGCCTGGAGTGCAGTCATTGCAGCCTCGCCGATCTTACGGACTGGATTTGTAGAGGTAGATGACCCAGAGATCGACGGTTCTTTTGCACAGATCGTCCACAGAAGGTGCCATAACTTCTGGTCACACCTCAAGCTGGAGAGTACGCCAGACTTCACGTCAATATTCGACGAACTTCGACATGACATCGTACAGAATTCGCTGTCAACACCTGCCTTCCGACTTAGCTTTATCGATACTCCGGATCAATCCTACCTTGTTCTCTCTATCGGACACGCCTTATACGATGGATGGTCACTTAGCTTACTGCACGTCGACGTGCACCGAGCATACAAAGATCAATTCAGTCCTCGACCCGACTACGAACGTTCACTGGCAGACATTATCGCGACTTCCGGATCTGCCTCTGCAAGCTTTTGGCAAGACTATCTCTCTGACGCCGAGCAGAGCCTTTTTCCTCGACGATCGGATGCCTCTAGTGAACTCGGTAGCTACGTTCATCGCCATGAGCAAAACAGCGTAGTGCGAGTAGACAAGCTTCAAGCTTTCGCAAGGAGTAGCAATGTGTCACTGCAAACCATTGGTCAATCGGTCTTCGCTCTCGTCTCTGCATTCTATACTCAGAGCTTGGATATCACTTTCGGATCCGTACTTTCTGGAAGGGACGACAGTGAGCGATCTCAGCTGATGTTTCCAACCATGAACACAGTCGCCATACGGGTAATTCTGCATGGATCTGGAACAGATATGCTGCGTTACGTACAAGACAACTTTACAAACATCAAGCAGTGGCAGCACTACCCCCTGCGGAAAGCTCTATCCGCGGCTGGTGTTGATGGTAGACTGTTCGAGAGTTTGTTTATCTATCAGAAGAGCTCAGACACAGGGCAAGAACAAGATGAGGAAGAAAAGCTATATTCCAGTATTGAGGGCCACAGTGACATCGAATATCCTGTGTGTATGGAGATGGAAGTAGTGAATGAGGTGTTGGTATGGCGTTGTGCGGTCAAAGAGGAGGTTCTTGACAGAGAAGCGTCGAAGGAGCTATTGAATCGGATGGATGACGTGCTCAGCTACCTAATCGACCGATCAGAGGCACCTGTCATCGAGATCACCGCAAAGGGCACGTCAGTATGTGGCTTGCCGGCTTTCACGAAGAAGTCATCTCGTACGATCGGTAATTCCCAGACAATCGGAGTAAACAATGCTAGAGATCTACCAAGCACGGAAACAGCTATCAAGATCCGCGAAACCCTAGCCTCGGTATCCAAGACATCCGAAGATGAAATCACGAGCGATATGACTATCTTCCACATGGGACTGGACTCTATTAGTGCGATCAAAGTCTCTTCCCTTCTTCGCAAGCAAGGCATTGTTCTCAGCGTTGGTGATATGCTTCGAGCTGGTACGATCCAGAACATGGCCAGGCTATTGGACGAGCGTACCGTACAGACTCTGGAAAACAATGCCGATCCTCATGAAATCATTCAAGAAATTACAGGAGGTCTGGATAGAGCAGGAATCTTGAACCGAGCTGGGGTCGACAATGCCGGTGTTACCGATATTCTGCCAGTTACTGCCGGACAGCTTTACATGCTCTCGATGTGGCTGAACACCAAAGGGAGCAACTTCTACGCGGAGTTCACTTACGAGATACATGGTGTTATGGAATTCGGTGACCTCAAAAACTCATGGCAAGCCTTGATCGAGACAACTCCTGTTCTGCGGACTTTCTTCGCATCTTCTGGCGATGAACGAATGCCGTACGTAGCAATCGTGTCGAAAGATACAAGAGCATCTATCACAAACGTTACTGGCGATGAGCATGACAACCTAGGCAAACATTTGCTAAGTATCGCTACCAGGCAACCCTTGGTGCACCTCTTCGCCTCGCAAACGGCGAGTGGCTGGGCATTGAAACTCAAAATCCAACATGCACTGTACGATGGTGTTAGTTTGCCCCTCATGATGCAACAGTTTCAATCTATCTGCAATGGCGCCACACCACCTTTACCGGATGATACGTTCGCCCAGGTGGCCGCTAGCGGCCACACAGCATCAGCGATGATGGAGAAGAAGACCTTCTGGGCGGGATATCTCGCAAGTCTGTCACAAAGCCATCTGATCCAGCCGTCTAGGAGCCCAGGAATGAAGACAGAGGTTTTCGTTCCAGCCTTGCTATCGACCTCGAATCTGGAGGCCACTGCTCGTCGACATGGTGTTTCAGCGCAATCAATCTTCCTCGCTGCGTACGCAAAAATCTATGCTGTAAACTCATCCAGCCGAGACGATGAGGACGTAGTCATTGGAGTCTACCTTGCGAATCGCTCGCTGCCTATCGATGGTGTAGCATCTGCAGTTGTACCTACAGTCAACTTGTTACCACTTCGCGTGAAGACGCCACTCGGTCGAAAGCTTACAGAGCTAGCTGGCGAAGTTCAACATGATCTCCAAGACATCAGTAACCCATCGAATGCGTCTGCAAGCCTTTTTGAGATCAAGGAGTGGACTGGTGTCCAGGTCGATACATTCGTCAACTTTCTCTCTCTACCAGATACACAAGTGGTGGAGGGAGATGCCCATAATAGGGAGGGCATCACAATCAACCCAGCTCAACACTGGCAGGAATCAGTCGGTAGGGTATCGACAATCGAGGATTGCAGCTTTGAGATACCTGCTGGGCTAGTGAATGAGCGCGTGAACGGGGCATACTTGGTAAGTTGATATGAGCGACAAGTTACAGCTGAATTGGAGAGAGACTAACAGACACATAGCATGCTGTCGATGTCGAGGCCACAATACGCAATGGTGCTCTGGATGTAGGCATCTTCGCACCAACTGAGATGACAGGTCTACAAGACGGCGAGGAGCTGGTACGAGATCTGAGGAGACAACTCGAAGAGTTGTAAAAGTGTATCTTCTTTCATTAATCTCTGGAATTGAAGAACAACAGGCGTCTGGTTTCTTTACAAGTACTTGATTTTCATAGTTGAATCTGTTACAGCTTCTTCATGACTTAATCTGGATTCATAACTTATATAGACCTTCCACAATATAGTTTCGCTCAACCTACCCTGGTCCCCTTCAGCTACCTGCCTATCCGCCCAAACGCTCCACTCAGCGTCAAAACTCTCATTGTCCAAAGCACGACTGTAATTGCCACATTCCCCATCATAACCTCGTTATAGCTATCGAAATTCCAAAACACCTCGCTGCCCATGCCTATGTAGTTCGCCCACATGTGACCCATATCCCCGCACGCCAGTATCATCAGGTAATATCGTGTGGTGCGTACATCTCGTGTGACGGATGTGCAGAGGATGTTCAAGGCGGCGAGAATCAAGAAGAGGCTGCCAAGGGAGTAGGCGAGGAGTATGGCAGTAGGAGGTGGTGGCGTTGGGGAGAGGGAAACGGGGAGCTGTCGCTCCGTGAAAGAGATGGGATCTGTAAAGGCGGCATGGGCGCCTAGGAGCTCCGACACTATAGGTTGTTAGCTCTGGAGGGCTTTAAGTTGGTAGAGAAGGTATTCCTGGTCCCGTGGGACACGTCTAGGTGCTGGCGCATAGCGTTGGAGAAGAAGGAGAGACTGGGCTTGCTGGGCTCTAGGTAAGTAAATACCAAGGCTGGCCAGAAAGGAAGGCTTGTTCCCAATGCCATAGCAAAGTCGACTAGGAATTACGGGTTTTAAACCACAAGCTGAGATTGGCCTTGACTTGATAACGCGTACCTGTGTGCGATCTTGTTATATGGCGCGCCATGGCTCGACCCGCGCGGGCATGTGTTCGGAATCAACTCGGGAAGATTCCGATGCGTTTCGGCAAAAACAGGGCTTCACGCTTGGATGGAAATCCAACAGTAGTTGATACAGGTAATTATTAAAATTGACTCTATACTATAGTATCGTGGTATTCCCAGAGACCATTAACGCCTCGCTATCATAATCGTCAAATCAGAGTTGCCAACTTGGCATCTCCAGTAAACGCCCTACTTAAGCTCTGTTCCCAGTGTTATATCAACTGCACCTCACAGCACTCGGTAGATACGTAGCCCTATGCTACAGGCTGACATATCTGAGATTTCTACCAGCCTAAGCTGCAACTTAGACCATCTGCTCACCATGCCTGTCGGCACCGACAGGTTTCCTCTGAACACGGCTCGAGGCACTGCCGTGGTGGCCATGAGCAGGGCCGTCAGGGTGTGGCATCATGGTACCCCTAGGACCATCTGCAGCATCGAACGGCGCACCGCCCCAGCTAGTTCCCTCAATTGTACCCCATCCGGCCTTGCGAGTGAAGACGGCATCGTGGAATCCATCGAAAGAGCTTGGGCCGGCGCCATAGACGAAAGGAGCGTGACGCATGAGAGGGATATGGTTGAAGCGAAAGTCCCAGACTGAGGCGTAGGTCATGCGGTAGGCGCTGAAAGCCATGAAGGTGCCAATGACGGCTCCAGCAAGGATGTCGTACTGGATATCTGTTAGCAATGATCTCGATATTTGAAGCGACAGCTGTAAAGACTTACCCAGTTGTGGTATTCGTCGATGGTCAGGGCACCGCCGATCAAGCAGGCTCCAAGAATAGGTGCGTAAAGAGCGATGAGCTTCCACATAGCCGGGTGATGGTTGGAGAAGACCTTCAACTTGGCGTTGAGGTACAGATACAGGTAGACAAATCCAGCGAAGGCAGCCGTGGTGTGACCAGAGGGCATGGACTCGAGACTGTCGTTGATCTCCTTCCTGTCACCCGTGCAGATGCTGCGGTCGAACATGATCTGGCGGTATCCATTTGCGACGTTACCGTAGCCGCTACCAGCGTCAACGCCATTGTCGTTGGTGCCGACGGTCGGGAGAAGTTCGGCAGGGATGACAGGCTTGCAGACAGCAAGGAAGTGAGGGCGCAAACCACCAATAAGCCACTTGACGAAGACTTGAAAGACAGCGGCAGTGATCAAGGCGTAGAGCAGACCGATGGTTGCGTTGTTGATGTCCCAGAAGCTGCGAGCGCGGATTTGAACGATCAGGAAGACAGCAAAGGGAATGAAGAAAGCCATCAGAGCAGCAGCCCAAATCGGAACGATCTCGTTACGCATAGGGTAAGCGAACTGGGGATAGACAATCTCACCATCTTGGAAGATGATGGGGAAGCTGCGGCTTGGTGCTGGGTCAGCGAAGTAAACACCAAGACCGACAGCGCCCATGAGAGCCATAGTCAGGATATCGAGCCAGGTAGCCTTGAGCCATGATCCAAATCCAGGTCTGCTGTTGTAGGACGATGAGCCGCCCTTGGATGAACGCCTGGGTCTAGTCCGCTTCTCGTGAGCACCAGTTGCCGTTGTAGTGTCTGCGGCGACAGGCGTCGTGTTGCGCTTGTTAAAGAAACCCATGTTTGTGAATGGTGGGTATGGTTGTCGTGATGCTCTGCTGAGGTACTGGAGTGAGGTATCTATACGTCGTGCCGATGACGTATTGTTGTCTTTGTTGTGATTGTTTGCTCCGGAAAGAGTAGTCTGGGACAGCAAACCGCGTAGCGTGCCAGCAAAGCAAGCAGTACCCTACACTTAGCGTACCGACCGAGTATTCAAAGTGAATGAAGATAGGGATGGGCCTTGTGAAAACTAGACAGGAAGGCTTGCGATACGTCCCTTATATTCTAGGTCGGCAGCCCCCAAAGCTAATCTTCCCACGACACACCGTCACACGCTCACGTATTCTGCGAAACGACATCATTTCTCGCACCTCTCCCGCCGCATTGGTAAATTATCAGCCACAAACCTGTTACTAACCCTGCTTTCATCCTCGATCTGAACGGTTGGCGGCATAGTGATGTGGAGGAAATGAAGATCTTAACGCGATCAAGCGACCTGAGACAAGGAATCTTGGAAGCTGGCAAAAGCTTGGTTCGCGTAGCAAAAGCTTGGTTATGCTAGCGGTGGCTTCTGTGTGGCTGATAGAGTGGCAGTGATGTAATAAGTGGCTACACGGCACATCTGATGCCGGATTGTCCTTTATTTCTTCACGATGTGTGGCGCTGCGTCGATGGTGTCGCGTAACCTGCATGTTTCGATTTTCAGTGTGGATGACCGCGAATGACCTTAAGTGACGTCAGATCGTACAGTTGTTTGAGGTCTAGAACGGTCACTCTTCCATGATTTAGCAATACTTTAATTTGTATCTATGCGAAACATATTAGCGACGTTCTGACTAATGAAGAACGGAGACGCGTCTCCAGGTACAAATACTGGCTGACTAGTTGTGCTGCAAAACTCGCCTGTCTCACGCAATCGTTATGGAGCATCGCAGGAAAATACGTGTAATTTCAAATACAATCAAATCTGGGTATGACAACGACGCGCAACACGTGAAAACTACATTCAGCCCAAAAAGCCCCTGAAAGCCAATAGGCGAACCCTTCAACCAGCCGCTTTAACGTCCTTACTCTCTCTCTCTGGGTATCATCCGCCTTCAAATATCTCAAAACTCCTTCCCCCCTCGACTGTGCGTGTATGCCACTATGTGCGACCCCCACATTGCCTAAGAGTGGATGTGTACCTCAGTGGTTCCACTGCGGTGCCAAGTCGCAAGCAGCACACCACAGCGGCCACACTTGTGCTGAACGTCCTTGAGCGAGTTCATCACGTAGGGGATACATCCTAAGCAGCAGAGGCAGCACAGACCGAGAGCCCAGGCGTGTGTGGTGTTTCCCGTCTCAAACGCGACGTTGGTCATGGCGCGTTGTCCGCACGCAGGACAATCTGCAGGCGCAGGACCGCGGTTTAGGCTTGCAATTGGTGTTGCGTTCTGGTAGACGGCTCCGCTTTGTTGCTGGGGAGGCATGCCAGGCTGAGCGCCAGCATGGTCGGGCTGGATGTATGCGCCTTGGGGGTGTTGGGGTGGCGGTGAGCCAGCAGGCTGGCCTTGAGGATGTTGCGCGTACATGGCTGGTTGCTGTTGATAGTGTTGCGCGTTTGGATCTTGATGATAGATAGGTGGTTGGCCGGTCATGTCTGGTGACTGAGGATATTGCTGCATAGGTACTTCAAAACTGTCAGCAAGAGAGCCATTGTGTTTGAGGTTTGGGAATTAAAGGCTGGAGAGCGGCGTGGTTATTCCAAACAATCATGCAAGTTCACTCGAATGCATTGAATTGTGTGAGGTTGAAGCGCAATGTCATAAGGAAGGCGACTGCTTACCATTTTGCTTCTCCATTGCGAAGGTTTGTATTGTCAAAGTCAGTAGGATGTTAAGTCTGGGTGTTGCGGTGGTGAGAAAACAGCCAGAGTTGTCGAGTAGTGTTGGAACAGCGGTACACTAGATATAAGAATAGTCGTGGGTTTTATCAAAGCATTAAGGCGTTCCGTATCGCTTGGGTCCATAGCCAAGGGGGCTCAAGGCCGGGTGTCGCGAGCACAGCCCTCATTTCGCGTGAAGATCAGTCGCCCTTGTCCCCGCGTAAGGCTCCTAGCTGATGAACGAGGCCAATGAACAGTCCCAAGCTCCTACACGTAGCATGATTACATGCACGCCTTCAGCCTCAGCTGCCTGCATTCGGGATAGGTTGACGGGCGTTGGCGACGTTGGCGATGGAAGGGTGTCAATAGCGCGCCAGGGAAAAGCGAGCCAAGGCTGCAATTTCCCGAACCAGTTTGGTGGTGTGCTAGAGCTTGGGGGCCAAATCTACACCACCTTCGTCTTTGTGCAAAGTCGTGTTAAAACGCCTTGCTGACTAGCTGCGCCGCAACGGGCATCGGCATGTTTTCTCGCCACGTCTGCTTGGCCACATCACTTCAATCCTCGAGAATGGACACCTGATTGAAGTATGATGATATTCAATATTAGGCGTAAGGCTGTGCAGTCTTCAACAGCGATCAGCACGTGAATACAAGAAATGTATGTACTAGCGTTTGGGGGCTGGCTGTTCCTGCAGGCGCCTATATTTGAGACCATGTGCCGCTTTTGGCGTCCACTAAGCTCGACGAAATAGAGTGCGCGGAGTGTTTGCGGTGTCTTTTTCCATCTCACCGGTCATGCACGGTCTACTTAATCCATCAGTATCGCGTATCCATGTCATCCAGATCGACGTCGTCTTCTGACTCTTCGCCATTTGTATGCTCTGCGCGACCGATATCGCTCCCGCTTAACAGCTTTTGCTGTTCAGGAGTCAAGTCCACGATAGTGGGTGCATAGTCGCCTAGCTCGTCGTCTGCATCTGCGCCGTTGACTTCCATCTCTACCCGCTCGCCGTCCTCCAACTCCAACATGCCGCGCTTCAGATACGAGCCCTCTGGTTGCCATCCAAACTCTTTCTGCATATAATCCTGCAGATCGTCCAGTTCGTCTACCAAATCGGCTTTCCATTTTCCGTCGAAGTCGTCGAGAGCTTTACGGAACTGACCGAAGAGCGGCTTCAAGAAGCCCCCACCTACGTCGTTCATATCGAACAAATCACCCTCCATGTCGGCACAATGACCAAGCTGTATCCTTAGACATTTCAAAAAGTCGAGGAACAGGTGGGATCGCTGTTTGACTGCCTGGCGACAAGTGAGTAAGAGTCGCAGAAGTCGTTTCCATTGTTCGAGACAGGAGTTGTTGTTGAGTGTCAAGACCATGAGGAAAGTAAACTGCAACTCGCCCAAAATCTCGTTTTCTCGACCCCGTAAGTCCCCTGCCTGGCAATGGTTGTCGATAAGATCACCGAGGAACCAGGATCGGTCCTGTGCAGCTTCTGTGCGTTCCCTTCCAGTCGCGCCTTCTCTCCAGGTCTTTTTGAGATCGATGGGTAGGAAGCGAAGCTCTTTCTCTGGATGTAGCATGCTATTGCTAGTCTCTAGGCCCGGTATGTCATCCAGGTCCTGTGTGGCAGAAGACGCGGATGTCAAGTTCCAGTGGTCGGGGTTCAGCCCGCATATCCTCGATAGCATGGTGGGTGTGACTTGTGATGTAAGCTTGCTCCAGTCTGTAGACTCCTCGGACCAGCCTTCTTCAGCTCCAGAATCACCCTCTTGTACACTTTGGCGATATGGCGTCAAGCCGTCTTTCCATATGCTTCCAAGATTTGCCTTGTGTCGCAACACTTCTGTCTGCGAAGTCTCGGCTACCAGATCTTCGGCACTCTGGTCCCACTTCTTGACGAATACTTGTGGCGAGCCTACACCAGGTGTGACATAGAACCATGCGCCATGTCTTACAGACAAGGTGCTGTCACTTGCAGTAAAGACGAAATGCAGGCCAGGCGGAACATTCTTGACACCCTGAAAACGCGGTGATGATGTAAAGGAGAGTAGGTCGATGCCAGCAAGTGCTTTTGGCGGCAGATTCAACAGTAGTACGCAGTTGTTGATTGTCGAAGGGTCCATGCTAGGGCGGAAGATTTCCTCGAACCAGGAATGTCGTAGAATTTTGAGGAGAGGTTTTTCGCAAAGCTCTACTCGAGCAGGTGAGAAATGGGGTATCATAAATTCCAGAAAGGGTAAGACGCAAAAATATTAATACACGTGAGCGCGGCAACCTAGCTCTGGGCCAGGGTCCAGTCGATGAATGGCGTGGGTCAACAAAGTACAGACGAAGAGAAAGCGAAGGGAAAGAAGAAGTTTGCGTCCAGGCGTCGCGCCCAGGGCTTAAGATTATGTTGTCGCATGAGTAGCTATCAGGTAACGTGTGGCCATCTGATGCCCTGTACCGGAAAAGAGCGCCCGATATCTCACCGAGCAGGGCGCCATACGTCATTGAGTTAGCATGAGGCTCGGCTCGGCATGACGATCTCCCCCGACTCCGCTTGTGGTGGAGGGAACTGTGTTCCTTGACGAGAGGCTGCTGTGACAAGCATCTTGCTGTCTAGATGCGATCTGCGTGCACGACGTCTTGGCCGTCTGCCTCGTCTGCCCATCCGACCTGACCGACTACCAGTAGCCCTTACCGTGCAAGCGGATCTCTCAACAGACCCTGCATCACGCCGACGTTTTGGCTGCATTCGTCGGAGCTACCAAGCACCAACACGCGCACCAAGACAACGACGACAACGACAACGACCATGGACCGCCGCCGCGCTCCGGGGCTCTCCTCGCTCTCCTCACGCGGTCTACAGAACCACCACTACACGTCCCATGGCGCCACGCTCCGCACCCGCAATGCAGACTCGCTCTCCACCCAACTCTCCGTCTTCCAATCCCTCGTCCACAACTTCGCCGTCACACACTCCAAGGACATCCGCGCCAACCCCGCTTTCCGCGCCGAGTTCGCGCGCATGTGCTCGGCGCTGAACATTGACTTCCTCGCATCGTCGTATCACCGGGACAGCAAAGATGGCAAGGCGAGTGGGGGAGGTGGTGAGAGCATCTGGGCACAGCTGCTGGGTGGGAGTGTGAATGACTTCTACTTCAACCTGGGCGTCTTGATTGTCGAGGAGTGTCGGGCCACGAGATCGGAGAACGGCGGGCTGATAAGCGTCTCTGATCTCAAAGCACGCATATCCAAATCACAGCGCATCGGTGGAAGCATGCAAGTGAGCGATGACGACATCAAGCGCGCCGTAGACTCGCTCGCTCCGCTTGGTTCGTGCTTCTCCATCATGAAGATCGGACATAGAAGCTTGATAAGAAGCGTGCCCAAGGAGTTGAACACGGACCAAAGCACGGTGCTCGAAGCCATACAAGTTCTCGGCTACGTCACAGTATCCATGCTGCAGCTGAATCTCAACTGGGAGAGACCTCGGGCCCATGCTGTCGTCGAAGACCTCATGGCAGACAGTCTGGTATGGGTAGATACACAAGCTGGGGAGAATGAATACTGGAGTCCGGCCTTCCTGACTGCGGCCGCGGGAGATGTGACATTATGATACCCGGTGTTACCACCACCAACGACTTCGCAGACGGCCAGAGAGCTGGGTTTGGGAGCAAAACTCATCATTATATATACAGTCTATTGTACAACATTTTCATCACCACAGGAGTTCAGTGTTGCAGATCCTAGCCTCTTCACTGTCTCTCCACGCTCCCTTTGTATGGCTCAATTCAGGCAGCAGTCTACGGTGCCACCGCACACTCCATCTCCGAGCAGTATCCTCGTCGTCAAAATCCAGCACCCATCGATTGTACACGCGATTCATGACCAGTTGGTTCTGCTGACTCGGGCTATCTTCATCTACACCACCTAGCATGCTCTGGATCGCCGGATCATCATACGTCATCTCCGAATCAGAACTCGACTGATCAAACGTGCCGTATGCGCGCGGACGGCTCGACGAGACAGCCTTGGACGACACCTTAAGGTTGATCATGTCGCGGAGACGATGGATCGACGTTTGTGATTCGTTACGGAGAGGAAGAATCATGCCGTGCTTGTACGCGTCGCGAGAGAAGATCTTGAAAAGGTCCGAGGGTGTAGGCTCGTAACCTTCAATATGCATGAGTACCCTCCAAATTGGATTTCCCTTTGCGTCGACCGAGGGTGCGATGGGTTGGTAGCCGCCTCTCTCAACCAAGTTGCGTAGGGCAGGGTTGTAGGGCTGCATCAGAACGTTCAAGCTCATGGGGTGGCGTGTAGGTAAGAGGTTGTAGGATGAGATGGCGGCCGTGATGTCTTCGCCTTCTTCAATGAACCCCTTAGGTGGTGGAATGGCGGAGAAGATATTCGCAGGTTGATGGAGGGCGCTCAATTTGTGCAGCCGCGAAGCGTTCTTCTGGTACGCAAGAGCTGCTTCTGCGCTCTTGAAGAGGAGGTAGTAAAAGGGTAGACGCTCGAGACTCAAGGGGTCGCGACCAGGTACGACCTTGTACAAGTCATCGTCTCGATGCCAACCTTCAATGTGCTTGCCCTTTGGTATGATCCGACGGAAATCGGCTTCAGTCAACTCAGTGCTGCAATTTGTGAGCTGGAGAACAGTGACTTGCTCTCCTTGCTTATGCAAGGATTCAACCACTCGCTCTTTGAATGACTGAGTATGATTGGAGTTTTCTCGACGAACGACAGGCGTTGAGTCGGGGAGGTGGAGCTTTGGGTACCGGTCTCTTGGCTCAGACTGAGGTTGTGAAGTACTACTCGTTTCCGGGAAGAGCTCCTCAAGAAGCGATTGCTCACTCAATCCAGATGTATCGGGTGTTGGTTTGGAAGGCACATCGTCCGTAGTAGTTGTAGAACGCTCTAATCTCAGCCTTGAATCTGGCGGTACTTTGTCCTCAGTCCCCAAGGTCTCCTGAAATACCGTGCTCTTTCGGATACTATCCTCAGTGGTCGTGTTGATAGGGTTCGATGACTTCATCGAACGGGGCTGCGTATGAAGCCGACGCGTCAATCTCTCACTATCGCTCTTTTCCTCCAAGTTGTTTGACACGATGCTACTCTGAGCCCTGAGCGTGGTTTCTGTATGATCGCGATTAGGCTCAGCCCCTTCTGCGTGAACAAGGTCCCAGTTTCTGTAGCACGATCGTAGTAGAGTCCTAAGCTTGAGATCATTCTCTAGTTTTGCGACTTCATCTAACACACGCAGGCGATTGCGAACATGCCTGGCAACAGGGGCTACCGCAGGAGAACGCATTGCCTCTAACCGGGTAGCGGTCTTGCCTAATGTGACAACTGAATGACGCCAAGCTCGTTGACTATGCGGAAGAGCATCAGAACGAGACCTTGAGGAACGAGTCCCTGTATGCGCATGACGAGAGAAATCCCCACCCATGGCCAATGGTCTCCTCATTGATAGCGACTGCATCGACACAAATTGTTGCTCATTTCCCTCTAACGGTGCATGCTCCGTGGATGAAGTGTGATTTTCCTGGCGAGTCGAAGATGGTTGCCGATCCACCACGGTCTTAGCTTCCAGAGCGGCTTCGAGAGCTTTGACTTGCTCAAACAAGCCTTGAATCTGCTGTCGTATGATCGCAATGTCGTTGGTTTGAGGGCTTGTAGCAACGTCCTCGCTGATCGCTATTGGGGGTTGTTTCCGTTGGACTTTCTGTATGGTGGGTTGCTGCTCCCGTGTATTTTCACTCTTCTTGTGAGTGTCGGGAAAAGACGACACTTTTCTCAGAACGACTGGTTGATCTGATGACTTCTCTGAAGGAGTGTTTGACGTCCTCACTGGAAGGAAGTCTTGATCTCGACTCTCGGTGTTGTCTGCCTGTTTCCCGTGTGTACGTGCTTCCGAACGCAGTATCCTTCGCTGACGCTCTGCCGGCGATTCCACTATTCTTGCGATCTGCCCAGCCCCAATTTCCGAGGTTTGCTCTTCAGACAGGTCCTTTTTCGCTTCGCTTGAGTACGAGGTAGGAGTATCTTGTGGTTGCGGTTGCGAATCTGGCCGTGGTTCGGCAGATGATGTCTGAGAGTCCCATGGTGTAATTCTGCTCAAAGCTGAAGTCCACCAACTTTTCCTCTCTGTGTCGTGGCTGTTCGTAGTCGTGGTTTGCGGGGACTCATCGCCGACGGTCGAGGATTGTGCGTAGGTCCTCCTGTGGGCGCAGCGGATCTGGTACGCGGTCCCTGAGGGATGACATGGCCGAAGATGTCCGGGAAGGCGCGGCGGTGGCATCAATTGTGCAGCTTCGTTACATTGCAAGCTGCCCTCTTACGAGCCCAATACTCAAAAGCTTCGGAACAAGGCCGCGCTAGCGTGTCCATTAGGCCTAGTGCCTCGGTTCGCTTAGTCACCCCAATACTCTCCACCACAGTGGGCAGCATGCAAAGATTCTGGAAGTGCTACGCTAGGAGACACTGGTGGAGCTGGATTCGGTCCACCTACTGCTCAGAGGCTTGAGCGTGAGAGACACTCACACAAACACGTGACGTGAGTCACACCAATATACCAAACCATCTCTGAGATTTTCATCACCTACCTTCGCCGCAGTAGGAAGTGATAATATGAGTCCAGCAACGTCCTACACTCTACGTCCGCTGGAGCGTAATCCGCCTAGCATACCCGGCAATGCGCTCGAGGGTGGCGCTTTCCGTGTGCATCTATCGCAAAAAGAATTAAAAGCGCTGGGACTTGTCAACGGTGACTGCATTCGACTAAGTACAGCTGCTGGTTTCAAAGGTCACGGAGTAGCTTGGCTAGCCTCTCAGACGAACCCTGGAAACAAGCCAATTGCCAAGGTGACTGACCTTCTGCGAGAGCAATACAATCTTTCTCTCAACGATCCTGTTTTCATCGAAAAGGTCGACTTCTGGAAGCCTCTCAAATCCATAGAGATCGATCTTGCGGATGCTCAAAATCAGATCGCCAAATTCAGCTCAAATGAACAACTTCTGTACTGGCTGCGACATACTTTAGGTAGGTCAACGGGTACTTCCTGACTAGCAGTTCTAACGTTCCCGTAGCAGTCGACTCCGACATTATTCTCCCAGGATGCAGCTTTCCAGTCCAGCAGAAAAGCTTCAAGCAGAAGAGCCACAAGATGCGCGTCACTGTGCAAAACATTGACCCGCATCCGACTGAAAAGCACGCAGTGTATTTCGATGAGCTCATCACTCAAGTCACCACCACTGGTGGCGTTCCCATTCAGCAAGCACCGAGAGCTCCTACACAAAACTTTCAAGTAAGGTTCGATGGGATTGGCGGCCTCTCTAGCCACTTTGCTACCATAAATAAACGCCTCTCTTATCTCACGAAAACCCTGCCTCATCAACGCGACCTACGCCTGTGTGGACCTACTTCTTTCCTACTACATGGCCCTGAGGGAACTGGCAAAAGTCTTCTGCTCGAGCGACTAGCGGAATGCCCATGGCAGGAAGTGTACCGCATAGATCCGGATACGCAACCAAAGGCACAAGCAAAGGCAATATCCGAAGCTTTTGAGGACGCTCGTGAAAACCAACCGAGCTTGATCCTCATGGACAATCTTGATAGGTTCCTCGACAAGGCTGATACACTTGTGAACAAACTGCGGACCGAACTAGCAAAGTTGGGTGGCAGCCAAGTAGTTGTCGCGGCAGCAGCACGCAGCATATACGACATTGATACTAGCCTTCGGTCACCGTCAGCTTTTAAGACAAAGCTCGAACTCTTTCCACCTAATGCTAAACAGAGAGAAGATATTCTAAGACAGATCTTGGGCACTACTAGCAGACTTGGTGACCTTGACTTCACGGCGCTAGCAGAACGCACCCATGGCTTCGTCGGGCGCGACATTCACGATTTATGTCTTCTCGCAAGAGACCAACGAGAACAGCAGATAGACGAGTCGATAAGCGAAGAGGAGAAAACCACATTTGGCGAGAAACTTGAGCAGACAGACTACGTGCGTCAAGAGGACTTTGATGCTGTATTTGGCGAGGTACAACCGACGGTATTGAAGGACAGCATTCTCGAAGTTCCAAAGGTCAGATGGACAGATATAGCTGGTTTGGATCACGTCCGCGCCGTGCTTGAAGCCATCACTATTCGTCCTTTCAAGGTGAGTTCCAACTACGCATATTCTCGCATGTCGCAATGCCTTGTATATGGTGTCCTGCGCTTTCATCAACATCTGCAATCTGTTCACCATACTAACAGCGTTTCTAGTATCCCGACCTCGACGTCAAATTTGGTGGACCTCAGTCTCGCAAAGGTGTCCTGCTCTACGGTCCACCTGGTTGCGCAAAGACTTTGATCGCGCAAGCCGTCGCAACAGAAAGCAAACAAAACTTTCTTGCAGTGAAAGGCTCCGAACTCATCAAGATGTACGTTGGAGAATCTGAGCGAGCTATTCGCGACGTGTTCCGCAGAGCACGCGCAGCGAAACCTTGCATCATCTTCTTCGACGAAATCGACTCCATTGGTAAATCGCGTGAGAAGACGCAGGATAGCGGCCTGAACGTCGTTACAACGCTATTGAATGAAATGGATGGTATCGAGGCACTGAAAGATGTCTTCATCATTGGTGCTACCAATCGACCTGACATTCTCGACTCGGCGCTCATCCGTACTGGCCGTTTTGATGCGCATATTCACATCGGCCTCCCAACCGAGGAAGCGCGAAAGCAGATCCTGCAGATTCACACGCGAAAGAGGCCGCTCGCAGAAGACGTTGATCTAGACGTTGTTGCTAAGAGGACTGAAGGGAGCAGTGGAGCAGATCTCAGTGGGTTGTGCGCTGTTGCTATCGAGTTGGCGATTACAGAGTATACAGAGGATCCGAGCCGTGAGGCAAAAGTGCATATGCGGCACTTTGAGCAGGCGTTACAGCAGCACGTTCCACATACCATTGCAGCGGAAGCAGAACGGTATAAGAACTGGCGACCAGGCAAGTCGTTATCGGAGGACTAGATCGACAGTGTCATCGGTTTTACCTGACAATGCATTATCTACCCATATTGATCAGGCTATTTGGGCCAACGTATTTTGTCCAAATCGTACCCCAGAGGGCTTCGCAGTGTTTTGCTTCTATAGTATATCAATACAGGACACAGCTGATACTTTCGGGTTACATTATAACACAATCAAGCAAGGGTATTGTGAAACAGATCCGCGACGCCGTTCTCTCCTCTGCACCAAGATTCAAGGTTGGTTTTCTTCGCTCAACCAGCAAGCTCCGTCTCTTTAAAAATTGGTATGTTGATGTCGAACTCCTCATCACACTTTGCCACTCTGCCCAAGATACAGTTGACTTTCTTCCTTGTCTGCTCGCTCATGTCCGCCACATGCGTCAGCGCGATATGATTCATGAGTGTTTCCACTCCGCCATAAACCCCCGTTACCTTGTCCTGTGCCAGGCAAAGTACGCAGCCAAAGTTGTCGTCGTTCGAGGTAGGGTCTGATGCTTTCTTCTTGACGTGGGATTTAGCGAGAAATATCCATCGATAGCGTATTCCCGACATCGAGATCTTGACTCGCGGATCAACAATTTCGACAGTCTTGTTCTTCTTGGTGGGATGCGGTGCAGTGAAGACGTCGCCTGTGAACGTGCTGCAGATGTAGAAGTACCAAGTCAGTGTATGTCTTACATGCATTTCGTACAGTCACAACCTACCATGACTTGCAGCCCCAGATTTGTCTCGTATTATAGTAACCCAAGGGCTGGGTACGAACGCTGATGCCCTTCTTAGGGTCCTCTCTTACAGCCCAGGCACCTTTACAGAACCCCCAGTAATCGTTATCCTTATTCGGGCGCCCGTTCATCATTCTTTCTCCGCCTGCAGGTCCGCCCTGTATAGTATCGGATCTGATGCTGTTGCGCATACGGTGACCTGGAAGGATACCGATCGGAGCAGAGCTACTACTGTCGGTCGAAGCGACAGAGGGCGTGATGCTGGCGTGTCGAGGGCGGAAGACAGCTGTAGACCCTGGCACCGAAGAAGGAGAAGCTACAGTTGGGGGAACGTACGCAGTAGTTTGGCAATCGCTGTTACTGCGTAAACTAGATGTACCACGTTCTGTTGGAGGCGTCACGTAATACTGAGGATGCGTTGATTTACTAATGTCCACGGCGTCCTTTTCAATTGGCACACTGTATGGCTGTATTGGGTTATATTGTACTGGTGACATAGACTGCAGCGGAGGGGGAGAATCCTGGTGGGGCCATGGCATATGTGTTGGTGCACTCACGTCATTCTTGGGAGAACTAGTCGATGGCGCATTGGTTTGAGGACGTAAGGGTGCCAGTGGTGCGATAGGCGAGGGTGTATATCTGTCTTCTGCAGTTGCGTAGGGAGAGGTATACGGTGAGCTTTTATAGATCTCATCGTGTTGATCGTATGATGACACTGGAGGGCGGACATGGTCACCTTGCGATGAATTAGAGCTGTTGCGACCGAGAGAAACCGCATTCGACTGCGCTGAGCTAGAGGCATCTGACCATCGAGGATGCAGCGTTTGCGTTTGTGTCTGGGGGTACTGATTGTTTATCTGTGAGGATTGGTTAAGTAACGGGCCATGGGGACGTCGGGGTACGCTTCGGTCCTTCTCTTTCATTGCTTCGTCATAGAATTCTCTGTCATTGAGCATGGTCAGGGTATCGCGTCGGGCAGGATGACCTCCGCTATGCGCATGGCCTTCTGGTGGTCTTTGTTCGTTCTCAATACCCAGTCCTTGGTAAGAGCTTATTATATGTTGAATGTCTCTCAGAATAGATGCACGGTCTCCAGGGCGGAGTCCATCCAAAGCTAAACTGAAGTTTGGATCTGCAGTTTGTGCAGGTGTGTAGGCCGATCGAGAGCCGCTAGACGTATCTCTAGTAGTCTTGCTCCCGCAATAGTCGGCCAAAGTATATCCTGTATCTCCAGGATCCATGTGTGGTAAGAAGCTTGTGGTAGGATAACTGTCCGATAGCGAGTGGATCCTGCCGTAATCATGCGCTTGTGCGGTCCGCACGGATGCACCCGTATGATCTTCCCCAAGCGGCCACAATTGCCGCACCATAGGCCTTGCTATGTATATCCTCTGTTTCAATTCGTCCAATGTCGTTAACGTCTCTGTCCGTTTCGTGATCGAGGCTTCGTGTAAGACATGTAAATTGAGAGGCAAGACCCCGCTAGACATTAAAAGTAAGTATTGTGCTGATATGAGTCGTCGGACTACTTACTTTGTAGCAGCTTGCTGTAAGCTATTGATGATCTGAGCCTGTAGCATGAATCCTATATGGTAGAGGCGCTCTCGAGCGGTATCTGTGCGCAGACATCAGCTCTGAAATCTACCGGAAGAACTTCTATCATAAAACTCACCGTCTCCTACGCGAACATAGTCGCCTAACTCTCTCTGATCTTGTTTCCACCTTAGGTCAATCTGTTGCTCCCCTGCCAACAAAGAAGCTTGCAGTTGCTCTTCTTGCCATTCTTGTTGAGCTTGATCGCGGGCTTTGCGAGCGCGGCGTTTCTGCTTGACAAGTTTGAGCAGCTCTGATCCACCATGGAAGGCTGATACGACAGCAGAAACAGCTGCGACAATCTAGATAATAGTAAGTAATAGCCAAAAGGTGAGGTCGCGTGCCCAGTCCAGAAACTAGGGAGGGTATATACAGAGCTCCAGAATGATGTCTAGGACGCAAGATAGCAACTTACCTCAAGACCGGACATCCTGTAAACGCTTGTTTCTTGCTGCTACAGTCGCTGAACTTTGTGGATTGGCTAGACAGCGCATCCAGCTCGTATCAATACCATTGGCGCGTAGCCTCGGATCGGTATTGCTATATGTCGAATGAAAAAGAGCTAAGGTCCAACGGTTCTCAAGTTGGCGGTCCCAGTGGACTCTCGAAGATCAGGTTCACTAAGCCTGAGAGGACGTCCAGTCGTGTATGGTGGTAAGCCTTCTATGGTCCTTGCTTGATCCGCGCGAGGGCAAGCAGAGCTAGGTGTCGAGCCGTCGCGTGGGATTATCCTGTCTAGGGAAAAGACACTGACGCCGGAATAAAGTGAAATGATTGTAAAGCGATGAGGGAAGTTGCTTGGAAGGCTGGAGAGGGTTCCATGCCATTGGTACTCAGCCTCACTCGAGCCGGAACGGATGGCATGCGACCGCTGTATACATTAGGCTAAGCCCTTGGTGAGCCAACAGCAGGCGACAGCATTGCTTGACCGAGGTGCAGTGCTCACTGTGCTATCTGGGGAGGTCTCTCCAATAAAGGAACTGTGGCTGTAGCGCCAGGCGGGCTATGTGGTGTCGTCTAACCTGAAAGCGAATGGCATACGGTATCACGAAGCGGGAAAGACTTGGCCGGTGGCTTTCTTGCAATCACACTTTCGACTAGTACAGATAGATGTACTGTGCTGCCAGTAGGATTGCTTATCGTATCGGGGGAGGCTTGAAGTTTGCTAGCAAGGAGGTGGAGCTGGACGATAGCCCGCGCCCCTGGCAGTCGCCTAAAAGCCATCTTTGTATGGAACGAACATAATGCTGCGCATGAGCTCCAAGTCTCGGAGGCACAAGGCTGGAGCTTGATGATTCCTATTGAAGCTTGGTATGGATGGGTGCCAGGAGATGAGAATGCGCCTTCTCGCCTGTCGCGCAGTCGCGGGACATCGCGAGCGGGGTCGTTCGCGCCATAGCCACCACGCCGCCCATGTGCCCTACCGAGAGTCCGAGACGAGTTACGGCCATGATCTGTGTATAGCGAAGCTTGTCTCTCAACCTGATGCACTGGACACCGAAACGTACCCATAAGCAGTCCATCTCCGTAAATATGAAAAATATTTCCAGACAGAGGCATGCAACTCATCCGTGGGGTTCACCGGTCGGTCCCATCCCAGGAATTCGGATTTCGATTGCACAGCCTTAGGCAGTAGCCTGGAGCTCACAAGCTGCAGTAAGCGACGCAGTAGCAATGAACGTATTGGTGTAAGTCACAAAGTATCATTCAGAAGCCTGGAGGCCTTTCAGTGGTATACCATTTTCCGCCTAACACCATTCTTTCCCATCTAACTCCTTCAAACCGACCAGCAGTACGTTTTGGATCATTCCTATCCCTATATATATGCACATAAGGAAGCCCAAGGATCTCCTAGAGAATGCAACCAGAACGACCCCCGCTTACAAGAAACACACCGCATGAATCAAAATGACAGGCGAGTGCATGTGCAACTCGAGCTGTGTCAGCGCGCAACGCCAGAGGAACACCAAGTCCTGATCGCTGGAAACGCGATTCAACGTCGACGGACATAGAAAAAAAAATCGGGTTAAAGAAGAGTTTTAGAAGCGAAGAAAGACAAGAAGTCTAGGCATCCTCAAGTTGCACTCTTTGGCTCTTTCGGTTCCTGACTTCCACCATCGTAGGGGTCAGAGCCAATCGATCCACAACACGATCCTCATGCGGGCTTGTCATGGTACGAACCACAGCTCTTGGGCTGTTTGCTCTGCTGACAGATACACTCCTCGCAACGCCGACCATGGCCTTCGCCGTAGCGACTTCTTCCGTCCTTCCTTCCCTTCTTCTCGCTTGAATCTCTGCACGCTTCTCACCAAGTCTGCTGGCCGAATGTGGCGGAGTTGACAAACTTTGCAATCGTTGTAGAGGCGAAGGTGCGTCGAGGGGAGCTGAAGCCGGGTGTGATGAGAGCGCACTGAGTTTTGTGACTCTTGGCTGCTTCTGCGAAGGAGAGCGGGAGAGTGGGGAATCTGACACACTGTTGACCATAAGGTTCTCGCTTCTTGCAGTCTTGCCAGGCTTGGAGCAAATCTCCCACTCGGGCTCTCGCTCATCGAGGCGTAACTTGATGGGTTTGGAATGACCAGGTGATGCCTGAGCAACTATAATCGTGATTGATTCGGCCTCAGATTCGAAGCTGCGGATCGAAGTAGGGGTCAATGATGGCTTCAGGTACGGAGATGCGGCAGGCTTCAGTTTTGTAGAATCAATATGTACCGTTGGAGTCTCTGCATTTTGGGCGAAGGTTTGCTGAAGTGGAGACTTCGTAGGCATTGTTTTAGATCGCTTGAGATCCTTCCTGCTGCGGTTCATGATCGATCCGGAAAGAGGTGATGGTGCGCGATTTGAGTTGGTGGAAGGGAACAGCGAGAGTCGGGGTGAACCAGACACTGGAGTGGGCGATGTTACACTGCGGTGAAGGCTGTAATCTACAGGACTTTCGTCGTTTTCATTGCCCTGCTGTGCTATTAGCTGAGATCCAACGTAGCTCAAGCTGTGAGTACACACCTTTGCGGACAGCTCCTGCAGTGGCTTGACCCTCTCAGCATTGCCTTGTCGCCGTGCCAAGAGCGATGACCGGCTCGGGTCTGACTGCAAAAGATTTCCGAACATAACACTGTATCTCTCCATCGTTATGTCTGGAAGACTGACATCAAGAAGAGGCCCCCCGTCGTCTACAGACGTGGTGGGACCTGTTTTCGACACTTCAACCTTTGGCACAGGTGGGGGGGCGTCGCCTAAAATGTCTCGTGCTCCTAGATCCGGTGTTGTAAAAGCTCGTTGCATGGACTTTTTAGGTCCATGTGATGGGACACTTCCGAGCGTTAATGCCCGTTCCCTGGTCGCAGACGTCTCTGGTGGCGATTGAGGCGGAACAAACTCCCCAGGTGACCACTTGCGTGATGCTCGGATGTTGGGTCGATAGGTAGGTGGGGACACACTTCGCAGTTTCTCCCTCTCCTTTTCCTCCGGTTGAGATGCCTGAGGTGCCTGAGGTTCGAGTACTTCGTCATCATGGTGGCTGTCTGCTCGAGGTGCTGCAGCAACGGTCTGCGCCAGCTGATAGAATGAGGGCTTTTCCACTGGAGGTGGAGGCGCTTTACGGAATAACGACTTCCATCGACTGAGTTTAGATTTTGGTGCTTCCGGGCGGCTGGCCAAGGAAACTGAGGAATCGTTGGGTTGGCTTAACATCGCCATTGAAGAATCGGGAAACTTGGGATCTACTGTTGATATCGCCACCTGAGATGCCGCTTTCCAGTGTGAGCTTGAGGTAGGCGAACCAAGAGCGATTCCAATGACTCCCTGCTCTTTCGTGGCGTCCGGGCTGTAGAGTACAGTTGTGGAAGTGGTAGGCGATTGAAAGGAGTGGATATGATCCTGAGAATAGATCGATGCTACAGGATTTGTTTTCTTATGGAACATGGGTAGACGCTCTCCAGGTCCGCCTGACGTGCTTGGTCGCTTTGCCGTATCCGGAACTCCTAGATTTCCTTCAGTCCTCGAATCAGAAGTTGTTCCCTTGTATTTGTCAAAGTCTGTTTGAGGACCCTTAACGGGCGGCATTGAGTCCCCATTGTCTTGCTCCGTGGCCTCCCTGCGATTGTTTCTCAGAAACCTCAGCGATTTCGACCTTGTAAGCATCCCGGGCATCTTGGGTTTCAAGTTCGTTAGAGTATCGGAAAGTAAATTGAGGTTGAAGGAAAGACTAGAAGATATGAGCGCAGACGTAAAGGAATGGACGGCTCTATTGAGCCAGAAAGATAGAACAGGCCGCGACACAGTCGTGGGAAGGTTGAAAGAAGAAGAGACTCAAAGAACGGCGGGATTTGCGCAAGTATCACCACCGGTCCGCCAGGAAACGAACCTGGCGCCTCCACACTTCGCTGTCATCATACCAGCGGCAATCATCAATCCACTTTCGCGCGTCTGAGAGAAATTGCAGCGTCGAGAACCCGTCACGAGACCAGGGTCAGGGCAATGCACATTGTGTGAGACGGGCGAATTCGATTGGCTCCCCGGCTTGTCGCGCCAACATTACCCATGGCCGTTGACAGGATTACCTCGTAAGTGTCTTTGCAGGGTGACGATGCCGGGGGAACAAGCGACAAATGCTGCAGGGCTAAGAAGTTGTGGATAAGCACAAGCCTGGTTTCAAGATGACGCTGGGCCGAGGAGCAATTTCGCGATCCGCCGCCAAGACGATCTGACCGACATCACTGGCTGTGGTAAGATTGTCAAGCAGTCAAGGCTGCCCACAACTCAATGTGCTACGAGACGAGAGAGCTCAGATCTATTCTTGCGATACGAGAGCTGAGAGACACAAGTATAACAGCAAGTATGGCGGCACTTGGTTGCGCTGAAGCAGCAAGTGCTCGCCCGCCTATGATCGACGGGAAATGAGGCCCCAACACACCATGGATAACGGCGCGACGTTTCGGAAATACCCAGAGATTGCGCGCGAGGTCTCGCCGCCTTCCTAATCAGAGGCAGGCATGTATACGCGCGACGGAAGATTGAAACGAGACCTAATGGCCTGGCCTCAGGCACTTACGCGATGTTGTGTAGGCGGCTAATTCGCCGTACATGCAAAACGCATCCCACCTGTGTATGCTCAATCCAGAGGATATGCCGAAGGCGAGTATAAGCATCTTGCTTGCCATAACCCCACAGCCTGCTCGCGGAGCGTGCCGATACGCTGCTTCGCAAGCTCACCATGCAACTAATCGAACGACTGTTCTCGAACATCTCAAGCACAACTTGATGCTGGCCGTCGCACTATGTTCAAGTGCACACGAAGACGCGTGTCAAATGCAAAATCCTGCGAGGTATATTAGCGACCAATATACTAGCCTGGACAGCCTTCCAATGTTGAGAGAAGCGACCCTCTTCTTTGAAGAAATCCGTCTCAGGCTGGCATCGCGAACCTGATATCCTGATCAGCAATATCTCTTCTCGTCATCCTGAACACCGTGTGGCAGCATATGCGAAGCTCAGAACGGACTCGAGGTCACATTCAGCTCTTCCTGTTGGTCGCTTTCTTCTTTCTTATGTACTGCACAACACGCGTGCTCGTTTCTTCTCATTTCCTTGCTTCGCCCGAGCCGCTCATAACGATTTTGTGCTGTGTATCGTGTGGTTATGGTCGCACTCTGCAAGGAGTGTCGCAGGCGCTACGTCTGCGGTTTGTTCGAGTAGGGTACGGTGGTGCGGGAAAGCAGGGGTTAACGGAACGCTTGCTGTTCAGAATGTAGTAGCACAGGTGGGACATTCGTCCAAACTAGTTCTACCTATTTTCCTACGTATAGCTAGATTGATCAGCGAGGTTCTGCAATACTTATCAACATATCGTCCAGAGTCGGCGAAGGTGTTCACTAATCGAGAAGCTCAGAAAGCGTCCGTGCGGGATTGGGAGAGAACGGCGGAGACTCCGAAGAGGACCCTAAGAGAATGTGTTCAGTAATCTTTTCGAAGTTTGCATGCATCTCGCGGCTTGTGGGAAGGTTACGCCCAAGCAACATGCAATGTGAGAAACTTTAGCACTCTGTGTTGTTTCGATCATAACTTGGCCTGATAGCTGAGTTGACGCGTTGTTACAATTTGCCTCTCAACCGATGGGAGGGTAGGTACCGGTGAGCCTTCCAGCAACCGCATGCCTCGATTGTATGCTGGCCATAAAACACATAGCGAACGACGATCAAGAGTGTGGAGAGAAGAACGGCGGGGACACCTTCGCCCGGTCGGCCACGAGTCTTGCCGAAAGTCTAACGACAGACCGGCAAGACCGCTAATCGGGCTTCTTTTGTGACTCTTGGTCCTAGAAACAACCAGACTTTTCAGTTCAGATTCTAATTGCCAATCTTCGGACGAGATCCGCGATGTATTGACAGCGGCGTCTACCGTTGTCGTCTTCCAAAGCAGATATATAAGGTTAACACCACGTTCAGGTTCATCTCTTGAATATACCACTCAACTACCAGTACCTATCAACAACCAATCTATCCACTCAGTCATTGTTCTTCAAGAATCCTAAAAGACCTCACGATACACCACTCCACACAACTTACTAGCTACCACCAAAGCATCCCTTTCTTTCCCTCTTTCTTCTCCAAATAAGACGCTACAGTACATCCGAATATCGTATCCATCGACCACAACATTCTGAACATGCATTTCAATCCCGAGAAAGAGATACCAGATCTGTCGGGAAAGAGAATTATCGTGACGGGCGGCAGCAGTGGTCTCGGCAAAGAGAGCGTCCTCCAACTCGTCAAGCACAACCCAGATAAAGTGTATCTCGCAGCCCGAACAAGCAAGCGAGGCAATGCAGCAATCGAGGAGATTGAGAAATCAGTCCCCTCAGCAAAGGGAAAGATGCACTACCTTGAGCTGGACATGGCATCTTTCGCGTCCGTCAAGCAAGCCGCCGATCGCATCCTGTCCGAGAACAACCGAATCGACATCCTTATGAACAACGCCGGAACAAGTGCCAACCCTGCAGGTCTAACCAGCGATGGCTACGAGATCCAATTCGGCAGCAACTACATGGGACCAACCCTCTTCACCAAGCTTCTCCTTCCACTGCTTCAGCAAACCGCCGAGCAACCAAACAGCGACGTCCGCATCATCAACCTCAGCTCTGAACTCTTCAAACAAGCACCTAAAGAGGGAATCTCGTTCCCCACGCTCACGACACCCGCTGAAGAGATAAGCACCGTAGCTCGCTACGGTCAATCAAAGCTAGCAAACTACTACTTCAGCAAGCTTTGCTCCCAGAAATATCCCAACATCACATCAATCGCTCTACATCCGGGTGTCGTCAACACGGGTATCTGGGACCACTTCAAGGAAAGGAGGCCTGTGCTAGGAGCGGTGCTTTCTGTCTTGTCTGGTCCTTTTATGACTAGTGTCCCCGACGGTGCGAAGATGCAGTTGTGGTCCAGTACCGCACCGAAGAACCAGGTTAAAAATGGTGCGTTCTATACCCCAGCGGGGAATGGTAAGGAATACACGCAAGCGATACTGAAGAACGATAAACTTGCGAATGAGCTATGGGAATGGACTGAGAAGGAGTTTGCTAAGCATGGGTATTAGTTGCAATCTTTGTTTAACCGTCTGAGCAAGATTCATTCATTTAGCGCGTCTTGAGATACCGACTTGTACTTGTATAGAGGGATGGCGATTATTGTTTGTCATTTAGTGAAACGCCAACGCCATGTTTATAGAGTAATAATAACGGAACAATATTGCTGCTGAATATCAGAGTGAAACGAATTGATTTAGTACCTAGAAACGGTAGCGACCACACACACGTGAAGCGTCCCAAACATCTCACGGAGCAACGTCATACTGCACCCAGAGACTTGAAACAAACCCTGCACCAAAGACGTGTTTATAAAAAAAGACATGCATCTATACAGATGCTAAATTCGCTCACTGTCAAAAACCTATCAAACGCCGCTGATGTGAGATTTGAAAATTCATAACCAAAAAACTAAATACCATACGTCACAGCTTACACTCAAGCCTGCGCCTGCTGACCCGCCCTGCCCAAGTCCACGCTCTTATGATATTTCTTACATGGCAAGTTCTGATGTGAGTCTTCCTCATCGTCCTCAATGTCAAACATACGCTTCAGCTCCTTGCACGCTACCATATATTGCTGTCGAGCACCGGGGCTCTCCCTGAGAGGGTTAGGGGCCTTGTCCCAGCCATGCGGCACACCAGGCACACAGTGATAATGTACGCGCTTTCCAAGATCCTTTTGTAGACGGTCACGGAATCGTTCACCTTCAGCGAGAAGCATGTCCCATTCACAGCAGAAGAGGACGATGTCGTCAGGAAGGGCCTCGAGCATGTGCTTTGGCGCCATGCCGGGGCTGAGCCATGGGTGTGCAAGATCGAGCGAGGGTGGCTGGAGGTATGAATCATCGAAGAGATCGGTAAAGACAGCGGGAAGGTTCTGGTCAACCCTTGAGCAGGTCTCTCGACGCTGCGCGCGCGTTTGTGTGTAATCGGTAGGTGGATAGAAGGATACTATGCCTCTTATCTTGAGAACAGTGTTGGACGCTTCTGTCATGACTGACACTCCCGAAGTGTCTTTATAGGAGGATACGAGTGATAGCGAGGACGCACCTGTCTGGCGGAGCATAGCAATACGATCGAGGCGAGACTTCTGGCGCACGAGCGGGACACGAGAGCCGTTGGGTGTGAGGTTCTGGCCGAAGGCGGGAGGAGGCTGGAGGCCAGCATTGGGAACGTTACCAGCGCGGTTATCGATGATCTTGGCGCCAGACGTAGTTCGATCGAAGAGCTCGCCCTGCAGACACAGGGGAACGGTAAAGCTCATGTTTCCTCCCGAGGAGAAGCCCGATATAGCGAAGCGATCGGCATCGAGCATCAATTCGTCGGCATGTTGTGCCAGCCAGAGCACCGCGTCGGCACCATCCTCGACGGCTGTAGGGAACGGGTTCTCTGGCGCAAGACGATAATCGACGCTGACGACGACGGCTCCGACCTCGTCGACGACAACTCCACACCAGCGCGCATCGTCGTGCGCGGTGCCCAGAACGAAACCGCCTCCGTGGAAGTTGATAACAACAGGGTATCTCTTAGTACCCTTCAGCTTCTTATGCTTCTTGTATTCCTTGGGCACGTAGAAATTGAGGCGAAATTTGCCTTTCAAGGGCGAGACGGTAGCATCGATGTCTCTATGGAAGGCAGGCTTGGGTGGTCGTGGTCGGGCGAGACGATGCAGCATCATACCGATGCCCATAAGGACGCGCCAGAACTGCGCCTGGACGTGGAGCATCCATCGTGGCCGGCTGGTCTTGGACTGTGGTGGTGGGTTGTCGACTGATACCGTCATGTTGACTGTTGATGGGGACGTTGGTCGGATCACCCTAAGCGGCGCGCGCCCATCAACGAGGCCGCGGGCGATAAAAGAGTCGAAAGGGGGGCTGTGCTTGTGGCAAGCCGCGTGCGCAGGGACAGATGAGTGATGTCTAGTGTCCCGATGGTGTGGACCTAGAATTACAGCAATAGCTTGCAGTCGGGCGTGTCAAGTCTGGAGTTGTGTGGGCTCCGTCGCAAGCGTTGGGATTCTAGAATTGTGAGACCTGAGGCGCGCATTGGTCTCCGATAGGCGATGACGTATGCTAATCAGCCGCTGGCCAAGCAACACCCCATGTATGCGACGTCGCGCTTTCACCAACTTGGACAAGCACACATTCAACATACATCGCTCGAGATCGGTTTGAACGACATGAATTCATGTCGCTCCTAGTGATATCATTATCGACTACTGTGTGTGTGTATGTGCAGCTACAGGGTGGAACCCACAGAACACAAGGGGTACAGGCCACGACCCCAAACTAAAAGCAAGCAAGCCGAGACGGGTATATGGCTGCTCAAGTCCTCAGAAAAGCGCCAGACGCTCGCCTATTGATGCTGCCAACGACCATAATGCGAATGTAAACAAGTATGAGAGAACCGTTGGCCAAGTTGAAATCAGATGTCAAAGAACGCCAGAAAGCTGTGTGTATGCAAAACATGTGAAGAAGAATCGATGGGAACGAGGGCAGGCCAAGAGGGCAATCGACGCAATCATGCATCGACAAACTCGTACTCGTCATCTTCAGGAGCCACATGTCGCTTGGGCCGTGGCGTCTCATCGTACAAGTCAAGCACCTCATACTCGTTCTTTACCAGCTTCTCCGTCTCCTTGGTCTCAAAGCGCTGGACGGCTTTCTCGAGAGCGTGGTTCAGGATCTGGCTGCCATGGCTGGGACCCCGATGGGCGTCGAACGAGTAGGCGATGTCGGCATCTGGAGCAGGTGCAGCGGACGGGTGCTCAACGTCCTCGTCAGCGGACGACTCGTCACTAGCGGAAGCCATGTCCTTGTTGAAAGCGGTGCGCGCCTTCATGGGGCCGTGGGACGATGCCCTGCATACGTTAGTTCTCCGATGATCCCTCTTGACGGGGTCGAGAGGCGACTTACTTGACGTGAGGGTACAGCTTAGCAGGACGCGGCTTGCCGTCTTCCTCCCGCCGTCCAGGGCCGAACGACTGTCCATGCGCCCACTTCGCCCTGCTGTTCTTGTCGCGGTTGAACTCCTTGGCATCGCTGCGGAGGTCGCCCGTGAAGGTCTGGGAAGTCGACATGGCGGTGTTGCGGCTTGGTTTGGTGGTCGAGGCTCTGGTGTATATTGTGACTGGCTGGTAGGGTGCAAACGGAGAGTGTGTATTGGAGCTAGCAGGTAGATTAGGTGTAATGGAGGGAGTAAACAGTGAGAAGTGATAGGCACGACAGGTATGGCAAGGTAATATGCTCGGGAAAGAGGGAGGCGCGGCGGATGACTAGCAGCTGTCTTATGAATGACTCTAAGAAGTGACTCAGGATGATGAGGTCTGATCGGGCGAGGCGAGTGGCTATGCAGGCTCTCTTATGGTAGATTACGGATTACGGCTCGTGTCCGGGCCAGGCAGTTGTTTACTTGCGCCGTCCCTATGTCGTCAAGGGCGTAGGCACCATCCCCGCCTTTGTCGTGGTTCCTGATAAGGGGAGATGTGGGAGCTCATGACCCAGCTTCTAGCTTCCGACTCGCCGAGGCCCATTTCCCGCTTTAGCCCGAAGCGCATCCGGTTTGACGCTGTTGCCCATGATGCCATCATGGCGGTTTCAGACGGCTTGGGTGGCCAACGTGGGCGAGCTGGAGGCTGCCGTGTTCCTGGTTGGTGTCCAAGGACATGCGTGAAGCTCCCAGCTCTCAAGCTCTCAAGCGCCCCAAGCTGTGCTCCAGCTTCCGATCGCCGACCCCACATGGATCCTCCACACCTCAGACAGCAACAGTCACGGCATGCATCCCAACAATCGCAGCTTATTACATGACGCCCTTTACCACGCAGCCTTGATAAGATCCCGGACTCGGCCGCCGTGGCCGTGCACTCATTGCTAGCTTGTAACGTTAACCTGTTGTAATTGTCATGGTTGACCAAGACAGCCATTCCCAGTGCATCCTCAGGCGTATGCTTCAGCTATGTATGGTACGCGGCCTCCTCCTCATCCTCCTCGTCGCTACTTTCGACTAGACCAGCCTCGCTGGGAAGGACATCAGGAAACCAGCCGTATCTCCCAAGATCCACTGTATACTGCCCCATAGCATCCTGGCTGACCTCGACTCCTTCCCTGCGCAGCGCATCTGCTTGCTGAGCCGCTGCGCTCGGTCCTCTTTGTTCCAGTCAGCAATCGAACAGCAGCCAACAAAGCCTTGTTATGGCAACAGGAGGCGCTGACCTCGGACTGATGCCGCCTTTGGCGTTGATCACGCGCTGCCAAGGCACGTTGCGGCTATGGAACGTTGGACTCTTCTTGCTGCTATCGGTCGATGGCGAAGGCAGGTTCTTGAGACACACTCCGACTTGTCTTTGACGTCATGCGTTAGTGATATTGCGACATGATGGCAACGTCTTTTTCCATGTGTTACCTTGGACATTCGGCTACGATGAAAAGAAACATGTCAGCAAGTAGTCCTCGTCATCTGGTAATACAACGCACGCTTCCCTACTAGTCTTGCAATATGACCATAGCTAGTGACCTTGCCGGAAGGCACCTCTTGAATCGCCTCGTATACTGCCGTGTACCATAGCCAGACTTCTTCTGAGCGCTCTCCTGGTGCCATGGTGATTCGAGGTGTAGAAGTGACTGAGACCAGCTGCAAAGAGTCGAGCGGGATCTACATCTGCAGCACGCGACAACACGAGAGCACGTGATGCGGAACAGCTGCGCGCGCCAAGCTCTCAACTTTCCGTACCGAGCTTCGCGAGTGAACGTTTGCAACAACACTCGACCAACGCGCTTTGAACATGTCTGGACTCGCCGATTATCTGGCCAAGAATTATCTCACAGCAGACTCGGAAAAGAAGTCCAAGAAGCGCAAGAGGAAGAACAAGGATGCCGGACTCATCATTGACGACGACGACAGTCTGGGCTGGAAAGACAAGGCAGACGACGACGACGAGGATGCGCCAATGATAGGTATGGACATTGTAATCTCTGCACGTTGCGCAAACTTGGCTCTAACAAATTACGCTACAGTCGGTGGAGGCACACTCAAAAAGTCCAAGAAGAAGTCCAAAGGCACCAGTGCCGCAACATGGACAGCAGTGGGTGTCGCCGCGCCCTCCCACGCCGAACAACTCGCAGCCGATGCAGCTGCCGCCGACGCCATTATAGCAGGGACCGCCGCCGATCGCCAAAAAGCTGCTGAAGCCGAGGATGAAGCACCAGAGATGGTAGACACAGACGGCGTCATGAGGATGGAGTCTGGCGCTAAGGCAGGACTGCAAAGCGCCGCTGAGGTCGCGGCAGCAACGAAGAGAAAACAAGACGAGGACAAGCGCAAGGCCGAGGAGGTCGCAAAGGAATTGGGGAGCGCCGCGCAAGAAACTATTTACCGAGACGCCAGTGGTCGCATAATCAACGTCGCAATGAAGCGCGCAGAAGCGCGCAAAAAAGCCGAAGAAGAGGAGCGCATAAAGCGGGAAAAGGAGAAGGCAGCTCGCGGAGATGTACAGAACGCAGCGGCCGAGCGCAGGAAACAACAGTTACAGGATGCAAAGACAATGACCATTGCGCGGTATGCAGATGATGCAGAACTCAACGACGAGCTGAAAGAACGGGGGCACTGGAACGACCCGGCTTCAGGCTTTCTGCGCAAGAAAAAGGCTGGACGTAGTATTACCGGCAAGCCTCTGTACCAAGGACCATTCCAACCAAACCGGTACAACATCCGTCCAGGGCATCGGTGGGATGGCATCGATCGGGGAAATGGGTTCGAGAAGCAGTGGTTTGATTCGAGAAACCGCAAAGCAAATATCGAGAAGCTGGAGTACCAATGGCAGATGGACGAGTAGGCTTCTGGACCTGTTCTTAGCAAGCTCTCCAGAGCTCTTGTAGGGACATGACATGGATATTATTTGCATAGCGAGGCGTTCGGATTTATTACATATAAGACGCTGCAGGATATAGATCTATCGTCGTTTTCATGTTAGACCCTGTTACAGTCCATTGGTATCTTGTGAATCGTAAAGTGATGTTGAGTGTGCGAGTCAGTCCACGCCCTCACATGACGTCGCGACGACTTTTTGTCCCGCTCGTAAGTTCCGACATCCCACTCGCGACAACGCGCCGGTGATGCGTTCCACCCTCCATGTCCCTCTCCAAGCATGCGAAGACATACTTGGTGAATTACTCGAAATATAAACACCTCAATGCGTTCAACTCGTTCGTCGAACCGGCCGTCCTCACACGCAACGATGCCACCAGATCGAGTGTTGTCGGCGAACAAACCGCCTACAGCGTCACCGACAAGCCAATCGCGATAAAAGACAACATCTGCACGAAGCAATTGAAGACTACTGCCTCGTCTGGAATCCTCAAAGACTTTACCAGCCCATACGATGCGACAGTGGTGAAGCTGCTCCAGGATGAGGGTGCTGTGGTGGTTGGCAAGACGAACATGGACGAATTCGGCATGGGATCGCACTCGACACATTCGCATTTCGGACCGGTGAAGATGCAGAGATATGACGGAGAGGAAGCAAGTGTTGGAGGAAGCTCAGGCGGAAGTGCGCTCGCTGTCGCGACTTCGCAATGTTGGGCGTAAGTGTTTTATAGCCGACGATGATGGATTACGTGCTGAGACAATTAGTGCACTAGGTACCGATACTGGAGGCTCGGTACGGCTTCCTGCTGCGTACACGAGTGTCATTGGATTCAAGCCAAGCTACGGATTGATATCGAGATGGGGGGTGATTGCTTATGCCAACTCTCTTGATACTGTTGGAATATTTGGTCGGAACGTTGCGGGTGTGAAGCATATTTTCGGTGAGTTGATCGAGTTGCAAGCTGCCAAATCCATATTCCTGACCAAACACAGACAAGCTCAACATTCACGATGCGCGTGACCCGACTTCGGTTTCCAATACCACCCGTGCGAAATTCCGTGCAGAAAGCCGACCAACTTCACTGAGGATAGGCGTCCCTCTCGATTACAACATTGACACACTGCAACCCGCTGTCCGGAAAGCCTGGCTCCTTCGACTCAGGCACTTGTGGGATCGTGGTCATACTTTGCATCCTGTCCGGCTGCCAACAACACAGCAAGCGCTATCAGCTTACTACGTCCTTGGACCAGCCGAGGCATCTAGCAATTTTGCAAAGTATGATGGAGTACGCTTCGGCAGTAGAGCACCAGGCATCGATGGAACACCAGACAGTGTCCTTTTTGCTAAGACTCGAGGTCAAGGTTTCGGTCCTGAAGTTCAGCGACGCATATTGCTTGGGGCTTTCTCACTCAGCGCTCAAGCCATGGACAACTACTTCATACAAGCGCAAAAGGTTCGCAGACTTGTACAACAAGACTTTAACCGAGTGTTTGCGTTACCAAACCCACTGTTCGACTCCGAGGTACCTTTGTCAAAGACTGAGGGTGTGGACGTGATTATATGTCCTACGGCACCATCAACGGCGCCATCATTGGCTGAAGTCAAGACACAGGACCCGTTGCACTCCTATATGAACGATGTCTTCACTGTTCCAGCTAGTCTTGCCGGATTACCAGCAATCACGCTTCCGACAGCCGCACCCTATAACGAGGAAAAGTCAGAGAATTCAGGATCCCCCGACCCTTTCTTCAATACCATAGGACTGCAAATCATTGGCCAGTATGGAGACGACCAACTCGTTCTTGATACTGCCAAAATACTAGAGGAGATCACATCTACTCCGCAGAACCGTACCGGGCCTGAAGTGGATGCGTGGGGCAGCGGGGCCAAGTCGGATACATAAAAAGAACAAGCTGAGTAGCTTATGAATAAGTTCGTAAAGGTGCTAGAGCCATGCCGTCTTGCTGTTGCTGCCCTGTGCAAAACGGGTCCGACAGCGTTTGTAAATACTTTTGTTGGTGAAAAATATCCACTCGCTGCTGAGAGGAAATGCTTCGACACAGCTTCTGATATCCGAGAGACACAAGGTGGCAGATTGAGTAGTGACCCTATAGTCTGATGATTGAATGGATCCATGTGCTGCCAAAGGGTTGAAAGAGTCAGCAGAGTGCATGTAAATTGTCATTACGCTTGTACATGTAAATCTTGTCGTCCGATGCAACAGCAAGTTTGTGTCGAAGTATCCAATGATTATGGCCGAGGCAGCTGCTACACTTCAGGAGAGTCTTTAAATGTCGATCTTCAACTGCACTTGCACTCAACGTTGTCACAGTATCGTTTCATTTATACGAGCATCGCTTCCGCTAGATAACAGACTGTAGTAGGGGCAACCAGGGCGACCAGTCACACATGACTGATCCACTTGGACTATTGGGAAATGATGGCTGCTTTCTATGGACTACTAATGCAGCAGTGTGCTCAAGTGTGGGGATAAGATGTGTACATCTTGCCATGTACCTAGGTACCGCGGTAACCGCCGTCCACTTATGTGTCAAAGACATCCGGACTAGATCTCTTGCTGGGAGTATCTGTTCGCTTAGACGCTGCTTCACTTACGTGGACGATACATCTCATGATGTACTATGCCACATGCCGTTTTATCAGGGTTACCTAGGCATGTCCCCACGAAAACTACGAGGCTCCTCCCCACGTGTTGCCCACTAGCTGCATCATAGCTCGAGTGACGGACCGTCGCGATTGGCTTTTCGGTTGAGCGCTATGCATCATCATCCGATCACGCGCTTGAATTTAGTGTAAGATCTAGATTTGTAGCTGGTACGTCACATCAAATGCATTCACAAGACTTAGGAGCCGAAGATTCTAACGGTAGAAAATGTAGTTCGGGTTTCAAGATTTGAGTTATGTGCACTATAACGAAGGTTCTGGAGGGTATGTACTACAAGCTGGCACTGCCAAAGAGCGGGGAATACACCTGGGCAATATGCAGTGTAACCACCCGATTACCACGCAGCCAGTAGACGGTTGAGACGTAAGCACTCAATTACAAGTCACTAAGCTTATCCCACGTTGACGGTGCCGTGCCCGTGCCGTTCCCTAAGGTCCAAGGCACCAGGCCAACGGGTCCTGTGAGCGATCTGCAGCATGTCTTACATGTGCAGGACGTCAACTCATACGCTAGAACATGGTAAGGAAGTGAATTCCGAGGTTGTTCTCCATGTTAGTGGTCAGATCGCAACTTGGAGTGAAGCAAAGGTACAGTGGAGCTCACTATGGTGATGCGGCTGCAGCGGCAGATAGTGCCATGCCCAATACCATCGATGGATGCTCGTATCAGCCTGACGCTGTGAGAAAGCGTCCTTGCAACCGGCCCGATCAAGTATACCGGTAGATGCGGGAATTGTGCGAGAGGCCGCCTGAAGCGGTAACTCTCAACATCCAACACACCCAGTGTGGTGAGCCATGCCACCCTTCGCCGGTGAAGCTCCACCAACCAAGTGTCGCTTCCCTCTATCCCGTTTGTTTTGTATGGTCGACGACGAGCGTAGCGCACGCTTAAATGCGGAGTTGCGGTAGACGGTCTGGGAGGGGGCCAGGAGGCAAGTAGTAGCAAGTCGATATGTCACTCTTCATCTGACCCCACCGCCATGGCCAGAGTCGCGCATGATCAAAGGGCTTGGTATCCACCGCCGCGTGGGTAAGTAACCTGTTGGGCGTCGCGAGCTGGCGACCAGCCGGTCTATATAAGTGTCTTGCCCTCAGCACCTTGATGGCTCATCACGCTCATCACTTTCACAATCTAACCATCCAAACCAACCAAACAACCAATCACCATCATCAAAATGGCTCCCTGGTACGTCTTGCAACCAATCTTTGGTGTTTGGCACATACTGGTGTGCACCAAGGTCGCTGCATCAGGGCTAGCGCCAGCACCGTGATGGACACTTTACTTGGAAGATGGAGGGGCTCTGGCTAACGGATTGAAACAGCAACTGCTCTACCTGCAAGTGCGCTGGTGACTGCTCCAGCTGCGGATGCGGATCCTGCTCCGTAAGTATATCCTACGATGCATCGATACAGTGTTTCTACCTATCTACTCGAATTGGCACTAACGTTGGGAAATAGCACTAAGCGTCAAACTACCCTGAATCTCGAATCTCTTCCAACAATAACACACCCATGGAGCGATTTGGACATGGAGCAATAGCATTGTTGGAGGTCGGGGTGAACTGCCAATGTTAGGGTTACGACTGCTAGAAGTATCAGATGAGATATGACTATAAATCAATCATCATTCACTACAAGATTTGACCTTTGTACTGTGTTGTATATGTCTGAATGAGCTTGCTTGAGATTTTGGCAGGATAGGTAACTAAAGATATTGATATTGCTTTATTGCAGATGATTGAAGAAAGACATAGAAAAGACACTACCACTTTAGCAAACCGTCCACCAGGGCATCACTCGAATCTTCTGAACGAGCATTAGAATCATGGAAGAAACCATTTGTATTAGCGTGCAAAAGCCCCAAAATAGAGAAAGGACTCAAACAATACAGGTAGGAAGGCAATAATACATATACAGTGTCAAGGGTGCTTCAAGCGCACCACTACCTCAAATATCAAGATGTTGACGAATGTCATCACCAAGCCTCCACTCCTCATCCCTAGCCATGCGGTCAAGAGGGCTTTGCACATCGTCTTCATCACTTCTACGTGTACCAGTCGTACCCGCGTCGCTAACGACTGTAGCACCGCTGACACTACCGCTTGTGCTCTTGCTTCGCCTCTTCTTGAACCAACTCCTTTTGCTCTTTGTACTCGCTGCATCTGTATCAGAAGCTATCGACGCAGCATACTCGCGTCCGTCACCCTCGACTAGAGTAGGATCAGTGCTGGATGCTACACTGAGATTGGAGGAGAGCTTTGTGAGATGGTTAGGATCAAGATCTCCGGAGGTATCGATAGGACCGGGTTTAGGAGTGGGCATAGGAGTGGTATCTGTGGAAGAGGTGGATTCGACGAGCTCGGCGTCGCGATACCATTTCCGACGCCGAGTGTAACGTCCCCAGCCGTCTTGGCCTCTTCGTCCATCTCTCCACTATTCCAGTTAGTATCAACACAATACGAGGACAGTTTCCTAAACGTACCTTGTTATCATAGTATATCCACGCCGAGTCCTCTTTAGACACCCCTTTCTCGGCCTTGGAATCTTTCTCCGCGCCTTCGACCTTCCACTCACTGCCTTGCACCCACCGCCATCTTGACTGACCTCCTTCAACTTCAGGCAATTCGAAGTGTTCTTTTGGTGGAACAGGGTTCAAGTGCTCATCCGTCCAGGAGGCTCGCTCGTAAGCAAGCATAGAGGATGTCCATCCAATACCCAGCCACCTTCGCTGGTTCTCGTAGATGGAAAAGGTAAAGCGCACACCCGTAGATTCGGGCCGGCGCTTAGCTGCCAGTGAGGCTGCGACCTCCTGTGTGCTCTTCTTTCGAGGGGGCAGAGGAGGCGCACCCTTTCTGTCTACGGATACAATCTCGCCAAAGTCCAGGCCGGTGATAAAAGCGCACGTGCGTCGTACTGTCCTCGACCTCCAAAGTAAGGTGCGGGTTACGCGAGCGGGTCGTGAGTGCCAACTTAGCATTACTGTGCCTACTGCCAGCACGACTCGCTTTGTAGTCAGGATATAAAACGGCGGTAGAGTGAGCGCTATCCATAGTGGTAACACAAAAAGAATGCGGATGAATAGCACAGTGAGAGCTGGCCGTGTAGTAGCCGAGGTCGCCGTCCTCTGTGTGGACAGGAAGTCTGTGAGGCGCAGAAAGGGATCCAGTAGGATGTTGCAGCGTGAAGTGAAGAGCTTCAGACTATCCACAATCTCCTCCAAGCTCTTGTGGTGCTTGATGTTGGTGTCCGACTCGACCCGCTTGTGCGCCTTCTGTCCCTTCTCGCCTGTCCACCCCGTCGACGACAGTGGCGAGTATCTGCGCGTGTACATGCCCAGTATCAGGCCAGAGACTACTATGATGGGCCCTGCATATCTTGTCACGGCATCACCATACAGGACTACAGCCCAAAAGGTCGCGACTAGGAGAAAGCTCTCCCATGGATCTCCGGTTGTCCATGTTACCAGGCCCGCAAACTTGTTCAGAGGTAGTATGAAGGGATGCGAATATGCGAGCACGCGAGTAATCTGCGGCGGAGTGGCGGCGAGCAGTGGAGATTTCTGGTGTACGAGTATAGCGGATCGCAGTTTTGTTTGCGGTGTCGTCTGGCCTAAGTTGGCGGGGGAGAAGGACGCGTATGTTGGATTCTGGGGATCACCGGCCGGCTGCGGGGACGACGCATCGTTGCTGGACTTGGAAGAGGTGGACATGTGCACAATCCAGGGTGTATCTAGGTGGATATCAGCATGTTGTCGGCGCAACTGGGTTTCCACGAACGTTGTTGCGGGTTTGGAAGTTACCAACCTAGTGCTGCCATGCATGGAGATGTGCGTCATCGCCTGGCTGCGCAGACGAGGCTGAGTGCCGTGCTCGTGTCCAGCCACGCTCCGTGTGTATACTGGAAGGGCGGCTTCTAACAATGCAAACTTGGAGCTCAAGGGAAGTAACAAAGTGTCATGTAAGGCTGCACATGATGCTGCCGCCGGAAACGATGCGGGGGATCTTTGAGCATGTGAATGTCTTAGTCCGAGGGCGACTTGCGGAAGCCTCATGGCAGCCCATCCCGGGACAATTTCCACAAGAGCACGAATGGAAAGCGCGTACTGGGGACGCATTACTCCCACTTGCATCATCATCCGTACTGCACAACCACAGCCACGGTCAAGCGCACAGAGATGCTTGCGGAGATGGCAGTTTGCGATCGTGACGTGATTGGTCGACATTGCAGGCATCACGTGCCGGCTGCGGAGGCACCTGGGCAGGCCGAAAGCGCGGAAGGCGACCCAGAATTTTTGGACATGCCCTCATTGACGACAGCGCCCGCCCACCCACGATAGACAGGAGCCACTCACACACAGCTTTTGATTGCAAGTGGACATCGCGCACTCACTCTGCAACTCTTCTCTTCCCACAATGGTATGTTCCTGATCTCTGTCACACCATCTTTGACTAACGTCTACAGGCCCATCGCATAATAACACAAGTCGTCTTCTCCGGCGCTCGAATAATAGGCCGTGCCGTCTCCGAATCCTATCGTCAAGCCGCCGCTTCACAGAAATACGCAGCCGCCAGTCAAAATGGTGGAGGCAGTGGTGGCGCCTTTTCGTCCTCCAACATCACTATGGACGAGGCCTGTCAAATCCTCAACGTCGGTCCCGGAAAGATGGGCAACATCGAGATAGAGGCCGTCACAGAGCGTTTCAAGAGGCTTTTTGATCTGAACGATCCGAAGAAGGGCGGAAGTTTTTACCTGCAGAGCAAAATATTGAGGGCGCGAGAGAGGATCGAGAGGGAGGTGCAAGGACACCAACGGGTGGCGGAAAGGGAAAAGGAATTAAGAGAGGGGTTCAAGCCAAAGTTCACAAAGGATGAATGAGGTTACTCGGAAGCTGGCTACACGTCTTCTCGACTAGTCGACATCGAGGGCGAAGCCTACCGGCGATCCGTCACAAAATACACGGAATGATGAAGGAACATAATGTTGCATTTGGGGCGTTGGGCATAGCGTTTGAGCCTTGTATATTCTATGGGTACAGTAAGCGATGGCGCTTCGACGTTGAGAGTGTGGTCGGATAGGCATGAGTATGCTTCAGTCTCTCCACTCTCTTGTGTATTTTATTTCTTCCCCAGTGTTCCTATACTGTACTATCAACGCAGCTACGTCCTAGCAATCAACCCAAGGTTACTACCGCGTACCACTGAAACTCTTGTAATTTCACTGACTTTGGGCAAGTCCGTCAAGAGACTCTGTGTACAGACCATGTAGCATGGCAGATGTGAAAGGCGCTAGGGCACCAGCGATGTTAACGGATACTGTCTTGGACTGGCTTCACGCACCGACCGGTTGGAGGCAAGTTAGAGTGAACACCGGGGTTGGGTCGCGCTCACCCCACAAACCCACGGGCCGCGCTAGAGTCTTGGCTTACTCGCATTATGTTTCGACAAATCTTTCGCGCCCAAGAACCTTGGTTCATTTCGCATCACACCGCTATCGATCATCCGCCCACAACAAACCAACTCATCCATTGCGCGCGACAACCCCACCCCACTGCAAACGCGACTCAACATGGGAGACTCGTATCGCCCAGCGCGGCGCCCGCCACCGCTTGTAGACCGTATGACCTTCACTGGCAATGATCGCGACAACTATCGACCAGGCGGCGCGCGCAACGGCAACCAGCCCCAATTCACTTTCGAGTCTAGCCATCCTGCCCCCCGCTTTCCGCCTGCTGGAGACTCCAATGTACCGCGTGGCCCTGCGTCATCAAGAAGGCGCGGCCGTGGTGGGGCCTCGCGAGGCTCGTCTCGTGCGGATGGCAGGAACAACGCAAACGGCTACCGTCGGGGCGGTTTCAAGAAGGCCGCCCCTCATGAGCGCGCCCTTCTTAAACACCAAGACGAGGGTAGTCCGGAGCGCGCACTGGGTGTCGGAGACGGTCCTAACCGGTTTCTCAACCCGGATGACCTGTCTGATGACGAAGAAGCAGATATGTCAGTAGAGAGTGGCGACTCTGCCGATGAAGATCGCGAAGGTGGTGCGCGGGAGCCCAAGGCAGCCCGGACGCAAACCAAGCGTGCTGATGGCGACTCTGTTCCTAAGTGGTCCAACCCTGACCCGTACACTGCCTTGCCGCCTCCCGATGAGACCACAGGCAAGAGAACCGACTTTGTCAAGTTGATTCGAAAAGCAAAGAACGAAGAGGCAGAGAAGACTGCCGGACACAACTCAGTTGTTGCCAACGACGACTTCATCTCGTTTGGTGACGATGATGACGACAATGATCCTGATACTGTTCAAGGCTCCTTGAGCGAAATCGCACACATTGACAGCATTGTTAATAGGCAACAAGCTGCGCTAGCCGAACATCGGGCACCTCGTCCCGCGAGGAATAACAACAAGCGCAAAGTCACCATGAGCGGTGTAGTAGATGAATGGTTGCCCGTCCCTAACATCAATCCAACGCCGTGGCTGCCCTCACGCGACCCTTACGCACATCTTGCTACCGAACCCGAGAAGTGGTAAGTTCTTTGTATACCTGCAGCTAGATTTCTAGCAGAGGTTCGCAATGCCAGTTAGATCCTGGGACTTTGCACAAGAACCTTTAGACTTTACAATGCGATCTTTGTACTAACGCGATGCTAGGCTTCACAACGAGATTCTCGACTTCTATGACTTCGTCGCGCCCAAGCCCTTCGAGCACGAACAGCGTAATAGGCTGGTCAACCGTGTCAACAGCGCCATGGGCCAACGCAGGTTTCCTCAAGAGAACGGACGCATCTTGTGTTTCGGTTCCTTCCCTGCAGGTCTCTACTTGCCCACAGCCGATATGGATTTGGTATATGTCTCCGATAGGCATTACAACGGTGGAGAGGCCGTCGTGGACATGTCTGGGAGGAACGCCAACAAGAGTCTGCTTTACAAGGCAGCCAGGAGGCTTAAAGACACCAAATTGGCCGCCAATGGCCATGCTCAGGTCATTCCTGCGCGTGTTCCCATTATCAAGTTCGAAGACGCTCTCACGGGGCTTCAAGTTGACATCTCTTTCGAGAATTTGAGCGGAGTGCAAGCGCAAGCCACATTCGCACAGTGGAAGCAACAGTATCCGGACATGATATATATGGTAGCACTCATGAAGCAGTTCCTTGTTATGCATGGACTGAACGAAGTTCATACTGGCGGAATTGGAGGGTACAGTATCATCTGCTTAATTGTCAGCTATATTCAGCATTCCCCTAAACCGGACAACCTCGGAGAATGTTTCCTAGGATTCCTAAGGTACTACGGCGATTTTGATTTGGCCCGGAAACGCATCCAGATGCATCCACCAGCGATCATTGAAAAGGTAAGCATTCGCATGTCGATACCAAACAAGTTTGGTTAAGTTCATACAGCTGACAATCTCAGACCAACTATGGCATTGATGGCCGCCCAGAGAGGTACGACGGTCTTTCCATCCAGGATCCTAACCGTCCCGAAAACAACATCTCTGGTGGATCCCACAAGGTTCAGCTTGCATTTGATGCCTTCAAAGAAGCGTACCTCACCCTCGAAGACCGCATGCAGGCCGCCCGCTCTGGACAGAACATCGGGCCCAGCATTCTAGAATGTGTCTTTGGCGGTAACTACGAAACATACACAAAGCAACGAGACCACATGAGGAAACTCAAGTGAGTTGTGTTGTACTAGATTTGGAGCAGGCGCTACATATTTTCGTATGTACGCTGCTGGGATATAGCCTTCGTCCCTCTCATGAGCCCTTTTGGACTCCCATGATACTTCCCAGACTAGACTTACTTCCTCCTTGGCCAAAACTGGACCAGGACACCTCTTAACAAGGACATCGATGACGCCCAAACTTGGAATGACGAATGGGCACGAGTCATGTGGAAGAAGGTCCAGGCGCAGTTGAACGGAATGGTAATTGCAGCTTAACGGGCCAGCAGGGATGTCGAGTATCAGAAGAGTATGGCGTAAGGCGTCGTTATGGGTAGGCGAGTACGAATGCTTCGGCAGGGTCTACTCACGATGCGAACAGACTAGGGCGGCATGAATGTTTCAACCATCGCACGATACCCAATTCACGGCGCTATAGGCGTTTGGCAGCTATCTACGTACACTATCTGGACGGACGCCTCATCGACCGGAACAGGCCTCGCACACACCATGTTGATCCCACAGATCTCGACGCGGCGACACGAGTCCTCCCCGCCACCGATGTTGTTTCCTGTCTGGTCCTAATTGATCAAACGACACGAGATGTACAGTCTCTATATGTTTCCTATGACCCCTTTTCTTTGTACCGTAGACGTTCCATGATAAAATCTGTTCTCTTTTTTTTTTTCGCTGTTCTTTTGCTTGCTCTTATGAGCACCAAGATGATACTAATGATACGCTGAACGCGGACAACTATATCTAGCACATACTCCTGCTATTGTAACGCCGAATCGGAAGCCTGGTCTGATCAAAGGACGTCGCATTGCGATTTCCAACGTCAGTCCCTTCTTCAGAAATGTCGCCAGCAACAGGACGTCTTTTCTCATTGAGTAGCAGGCTTTAAGCATGCGCTTGAGGAAGAAAGATTAGTCTATTCGGATGTTCGGTCAAGGCAGATCCGGGAGCGAGCTCTTGAAAAGCATCAAGAGGTATTGGTAACTCTCCATCAGTTGGTCTGCGTTAGCATAGGCACGAGATCAAGGGCCAAAGCTCGCTGCATAATAGGTACCATATTATTGCCAGTCGTCTTTGTATACTGTCATCGACTGGTAGTTTTCCAAAGCAAGATTTTACATAAGACAACGCCAGGCTAACAATGCTAAAGTTAACACAATAAAAAGTCTCGAAGGATTACCACTCTCGTTACTCCCCATCACACGCCGACTACACCGCACCGCCCGGGTAGCGAATGACAACCAGACTGTTGTCACCCTTCACAACTCCTTCTTCGTCTCCACAATAGTCTCATTCTGCGCCCTGCTGATGAGATCCTTGGCGACCGCCGCACTCTCTCTCCAGCTCCTCTGGCGCTGCCAGAACCTAATTACTGGAGTAGTTTCTCTAAGACTACCCTGCCTAGCTTCTTCTTCGAGACTCTTCCTAGTAATCTCGCCACCCTTGTCACTCAACTTGGGAATATTCTGCAGCTGGCTGAGATTCTCCTCAAAGTATTGCTTGCGCACCAGGAAGCGTTCACGGCGTTCCTTCTGTAGGCCTGGGGAATCGAGTTTGGACAGCACAATGCGAACGCCCCAGCGGAAGAGGATGAAAAGATGTTCAGAAAAGAAGACAGTCAGAAGGAGGGCCCAGAGCTGAATGTTGGAAGGACTGCCGCTGGGACCAGTGCGGTCGTTCCAAAACATGTAGACAAGAGCGGATGTAGTGAGGCTGCCCATCCAAGTAAGGAAGGAGAGAGAGTCGAGCCAAGGCCCGATTGTATCAGCGCGCCATGGAGTGGGTCGTCGCATCTCAACACAGATCTTCATGGCGTCGGCACGAAGCTCGATCCAGTTGTTGATCAAAAAGGACACAGCGGTAAGTGGCCAAACCACGGAGAAGAGTGACAGGTAACCAAATTGCACAACCATCTCACGAAGATCGGCGGTGACATCGTAAGAATCCAGTTCTGCTTCCTTGCGGACACGATCAAGGAAGGCAGCGTCCTCAGCAGGGTCATTCTCGGCGGTGGCCGGTGCGGAACCGCCGTTCCTTGCAGCTCTATCAGACTGCATCTCCTTGTATTTAGCAAGGCCACGACGCTTGAGGTACGGAACGATAAGCTCCATGCCAAGGTTGACGAGTTGGGCGGTGACTGTGAAGTATATGACTTGCTTGCGGAGGCGATCGGGGTTGATGCTCCAGCTGGAACTCGTCGAGTTGAGGTGTAGTTGCTTCTCGTCCTCAGCGAAGGGCCGGACAGCAACGTTGAAAACGTCAAGGTAGGGTACAATAACCTTGCCAAATGGAACGTAGACAAAGGCAGTCAGGAAGATTCCCAAGTAAGACATGATGAAGTTCATGACGAAGATCTTCTGGGTCAATGCCTTGTCATACGCCTGCGACGTCTCATAATTCTCGAATTGGGTCAAACGGGTAGCAGCCTGGGTCAGGATGGTATTCAGAATAGGATTGACAGTTGTGAGAATGCCAGTTGGGATGAAGACCTTGTAGGGTTAGTCAAGTCATATGCTGCGGATCGGATTCAACACTCACAAGAACACTCTTTAGCGGGCCGTTGTAGACTTCAGAGATGAAGACCTCTATACCAAAGCAGGTCGCAATAACGGCTCCAAGCGAGCAAGCGGCAATTATGGCGAATGGAATCTGCAGCAACTGCCTCTGGAAGCGCTTGGATGCTGGGAAGAAACCGACTTGTTCGCCCGTGACTGGGTCGGTGATTGTTTTTTCAGGTTCAAAGTCTTTTTTCCTGACGTCGATTTTGGAAACACCCTTGACGCCCCAGCGAACGCTCAGGTCGACTTCCTGGTGTTTCCAGTATTCGGTGAAGACGGTGCACCACAGGGCGCTCGCAAGACCGTAGATGGGCGAGAAGGAGCCGAAGAAGAGCCATGAGAAGAAACCGAAGGCGGCAGCGGGGATGAGGAAGGTGAAGTAGGACTGTGTAAAGGCGAAATAGAAGGCAATCTGACCATGTTAGTTTACCACGACACGAGACAGTATCTTGGGAGCCTACCTTCTCTCCCAGCCGGTTTCTGATGTCGTCTAAATCTTCCGTCGTCAGGATGTACTGCGAGGTCCACTTCTTAATCCAATCCTTGTTGTAGGCATGGTCGTGCAGCGCAAAGACGGACTCGACGTTCTCCCATTCTCCCTCTTTGGGTGTTATACCAGCCCCACCTTCAGAGGGAGGGTTGGTGATGAGCTGGTATATGATGCGCAGTCTCTCGGCCTCGTAGAGGGGCTCGGCTTCGAGCGATTCGCGGGTAACCTTCTCGGGGGCAGCCGTTCGAACGCCGTGGATCCAGTCGCGGACTCTGTTGGCAATTAGTAAGCGGCTTTATAGGTGGTATGAAGTCTTGAGTACCTGGACCTGTATACTTCACCGAACAAGTGCTCGTCTGAAGCTACTCGCACGAAGAGGAGTATTGAGTGCGACTCTCCATTGCGGACCTCGGTCTGCAGCCCAACGTTGGCCAGAGCCTCGCAGAGCTTCTCAAACTGCGCGATGGCCTTCGCCTTGTCTGCGCGCCTGTTAGCATATCTATCCTGAACCCCGCGTTGGCACACCCATACCAGTCTTCGCAAAGCGGTAGCTAATCACGTAGTCGACGTCCAGGTTGCTCTGCAGCGCCTTTGATTTGGCCATGTCCGACGACGAGCCCGAGGTAAGCAGGGCAATTTTGATGCGGTAAATAGACCAGGAGAAATTGGTGAAGTAGGGAATGGCAGCTTCGGCGCTTGTCCCCTCTTTCTGGGTCGACATGCCCAGAAATGTTGTAATCGGGGTTCAGGCCAAGCTACCGGGAAGCCAAAACGTCATCGTCGCGAAGATCCCGCCTACGCCATCCCTGCACCACATCGCTCAATCTTGTACAAGACACGCGCAAACAGGAAACAAGTCTCTGAGCCCATGCGTGTCATATACAACTACGTACAGGCCTAGATAAGTCTCACCCTCTTCCTTCTCAGCTCACGGGACATGATCGGCCCAACGTCTTTAATATGAAAACACCCCACCCTTTCCGCCGTGACCGAGTCCTTCCACTTCACGGCCAGGAGTAACCCTTTGCTGCGCCCATCGTGAGAGAAGCAGCCAAGCAGTAGGAAAGACCAGAGACCCCGAATAATGTTCGTATATAATTCCTTTCGGACAAACAAAGACTCGCTGGGAAACATCTTTTTCAATTTTTGCTCCTTGCCCATGTCCCACTGGGTGGATTCAAACATGGGCTCATTGGACCCGGGAAAATCCTGTACAGTCACCAAATCAACGTCAAAGTGAATGACGGATACGGTGTCGAGAAATGCTCTGGAGAGCTCCTCGTAAATCGAGTGTGTGTTTGCAGACACGCTCTCCGACTCTAGACGTGCGTTTCGTGCCAACGGTGTAAAAGTTCCTGGAACATCGAATGGATTGGCCATATCACCTATCCAGCCCGTCCAAGACCAGGATGGAAACCCTTGCCTCCGCCTACACATGCTAGGAAGGAGCAGTTGCCACCCCAATGAACGAAAAAAGTACTCTTCTTTGAGGCCGGCATCTTCCATTGTTCCTGGTAAGTATGGCAGGCCAGCGATATGGTAGAGCAAGGGCTGTATTTCTGACAAGTACCTGAATGTAGGTATACGAAGTCAGTGCATGTCTCGCAAAAGCCTCGTGAAGGGATATTGCGTACTCAATCGCCCCAAAGAAAGCATTCAGTGTGTCTGAATCGTGGCTCAGTTTACGTGTGGTGTATTGCGCAACTAAACGCATGAAATTCTGATGTTGATGAAAAATACTTTCAGGATACGGCGCAGTCGAAGTACAGTGGACGGAACCGACCGGAGATAACTTCGTGCTCCAATCATCCCATGTGACACCATTGGGGTCTTTAATGTGCTCAACGCCGCCAATCGACTCCGTCCACGACGCGGTATCGCAATAAAAGGACATCTCAAAATCGGTGAAAACAAGGAGCCTTTTTGACATCAGGCTTTCCTGGAACGTCCAGCCGCGTTCCATCCATACTGAACTTCGGAGTCTCGTAAAGGCATCCCTTGATGACAAACAAGCAATGTTTCTGTTGTCGATAGAGAAGACTTTGTACTGCGATTGGCGGTCACAATTGACTCCAGGCAAACCGCTGTGCTTACTGGAACCAGTGGCGACAATTGTGAATTCTGCGTACCGATAAATCTTGTCCATGTTGCGTATCTGGTCAGCCTTATGTATATTGTTGTTTTGCTCGATGCAATATGCGTCACACCACAAGTAACGAAACCCAAGGTCAACAGTAACAGTCATGGCGTCTGCTACTGTTCTGGGAATGCAGGATGGCCACGAGTATCGTTCGACATTTTTCTTCTGGTTAGTCGACGCCGAAACATCATTCGGGCCCCAAACATAACTCAATGCAACCCAACGTGAGCTTGGGTCAGCTTTGACAATCTTCTTCTCGTAGCAATCCATCAGTCGCATCTGACTCGGGATTTGTTTCCCAGTGCGACAGCGTTTATGGTAATGTAAACAGTTTTCGACCCAGATTTTTGCGCGACGGTAATCATAACGTTCCGGGACCCGCTGACCTCTGAAGATACTGGGACTTCCTTGCAGGATGGTAGGACCCATGCGATAGTCCCCCTCTTGTGTAGGCCTCAGCAATTTTTCCCATGGATGGTTCTTGGGAACTCGCACCATATTAAAAGCGTCGGGCACCCAGCTATTCCTTGCGTTGAGGTGAACTGTGCTCAAGACGCTACACAGATCACAGCCAGGTTTGTATGGTAAGCCCCGACGAACTACCATCAGTGTAACTCCATTAGCGTAGTGCTTTGTTTCCTCACTAGGTACGACTAGACTGTCGCGTGGAAGGTCAATGAATTTGATAGAACGACATGATGCGCATGTTATGGGTTGTTGACGCTCGGTAAGCCCACCCCCTTGTAACTCGCCCCCGCTGCTTCCCATCTTTACCATGGGCAGCATGCTCAAGCGGTGCGAGCAATAGAAGTTGTAGGCACCATCCATGGTGGTAAGGCACTGCGAAAATGGAGATATAGAGCTTTTTAAAAGGCACTCTACTCCAAGAGAATTCATCAGGCCCACGAGACGTGATATGCAAGACAGTGGCACAGTCTGAGGGGTTCACGTCCCACATGAGCTTCATGGCCAATCACATATGGGTTGGAAGAATGACACGATTGATAGTCTTACCAAATTGGCTTTTCGTTTCTCTACTAGACTAAACATATCAAGGATACCAGCTTGTCTAGCTATGTCAACCACCTACGCCTCCACAATCGACATCCACAAGCCATGTACTCCAACTGCAACAAGCGACTGCAAATACCGGTCAGGCATACTGTAGCCTTGTACTGCATGTAGAAAGGCATGAACGTGATTTGCTCTTTCGGCCAGAAAGGCTTGAGACCAATCAAACAATTTGTTACTGTCTACCTAGGCAGATCTTTTCTTTGACTTCGTATGTTGACAATTCCAACGTACCGCGTGTCCTAGGAACTTATGAAGTCAAGTTCTCTTGTATTAGTTTATCGAACGTGCTAGCACTCGTCTGTTGGTTTGTGGGGCGTGTTGTACATAGCGTAGCGTTATGGTGCGTCTTCTGTATATGCATACTACCAGTGAAGTGTGCTGCATACAAATCTTAACCATGCTTACAACTCGGAATCTCACTGTATTGTAGCAAGAGAGGCGACAGTATGCCCTAATTATGGGTTTGACCAGAGAGACGTGTTCCACTCTGCTTCTGCAGAGCTAGCTGCACCAAGTGGCATATACAATACTATAATATAGACTGATAGCCACGACTCTTCGTCCTACTGGTTTGACACTTATAGTGTCCTATGGCATTGTTTACGGTTTCGGAAGTATAGTATCATTTCTCGACGCAATCGGTAGATATAAGCGAGTCTGCCTTGTAAGGCATCATCAGACAGACTTCAGGCCTTTAGGCACTCATGCATAAAGACTATTCCTCTCCCGGTCCTCAGAGAACAACACTGACATAGAGCCTACTCAATGAGTGGGCTCTGTGATCATCACTGCATAACAACATTTGATCAACGAGCGGAATTGAATTCATAGAGTGAGGCCTTTTTTATGAACGTATGAATATTAGGAGAAGAGATAGGAACTAGCTCTTGAAAGCACCAGTACAACAATATAGCGCCTATGGATAAAGCCAGAGAAACGCATTCAGATATCCGCCCAACCGTTCCATGCAAAGTCGTGTCATGCGGAGCAGGGGGTATCATCATGCGTATGCAGAAGCCACCTGCAAAGTAAGGACATCGAACCACCAACTCCCGCGATAACACCACCACCTACATAAAATACGTAAGAAAATCCAATCGATGCGAGGAACTGTATCTCTAAACGTATAAGATCGACGAATCTGGACAGCCCCACCATCATGGATCCATGTAGAAGCAGACCATACTGGGCTAGCTACGATGTAAGTCCTTGGAATTACGATCCCAGCGCCTGTTGACGGCTCCAAGCCTAGATGTGAGCGTGCGAAGTCAGTATATGTCTCATATGCAGTTCGTGGAGGCGCATTACTAACACTGCTTTGAGTATTCCGGCGCCAGTAAGTTCAGTATCCCCTTCACCGGTGAAAGGTATCGTATCTACCATATCCCTACGAGTCCCATTGCCGGCCTCGCGAACCAGCTCAGGTAGATCGTCATCAAGCTGCTTGAGATGATCTCGCGCACCGGGTTCCTTCCCAACTTGGAAAAACTGAACACCGACTTGCCACGCTTCTGCGAACTCCGCATTGAGCCTTACCGCTGCTGAGACAATAACAGATTCGACGTCGTCCGACGGTACACCATCGGTGATGACAATAACGTTCATGGGCTTGATAGTCTTGTCTTTCTCAAATCGCCGAATATATGACTTCAAGATCTTATTCAACCGCTGACCGGTTGGTGTACCACCGCTGGGACGCACAGTCTGGAAGATCTCGATGATGGTACTCGCTGATGTGACGTTCTTGTAAAGGCTAGAATCTGGGTGATTGAGGAAGTAGATATCGATCCCATCGGCATCCCGCTGCGTACAAATCGGTGCAATCATCTCAAGAGCCTTAGCAGTCTCCCTCCAAGAGCGACCGGCCATGGATCCTGAGTCGTCGATTAGAAAGACTGTGTCGAAAGTTCTGAGGAAGTCATAAGGATCATCGTCCAAAGGACCGTTAGCTGGAGCTGAAATTGCTACATGATCGTTCTGAGTTGGGCTTGGTGTGTAAGCTGGCGGGGCTTCGCGATTAGAACTAAAAGGATTTACATTTGAGCTGTCTGTTAGGAAGTCAGTATTTGAAGGAAACACTCGTGTTATGCCCAACAGATACGGGATGTATAGCACTTACTGGGCCTTCGTGTAGCCGGTGATGCCGATGCAAATGGATTAGTACGTGAGGGTGGTGCGAGACCATTGTCGCGGGATCCAGAGCTTCTTTTGCTGACCGGTGCAGCTGCAGGCGTACTACTCAGTGTCTGTCCAGCACCTTCTGTGTCCCACGAAATGTAATCGTTGCTTGACTTTGAAGGTTTGCGGGTTGAAAAGGTTTTCTTCAGTTTTTGATACATACTTCCGGACTTTGTGGATAGTGTATTCTGTTGACAGTAGGCAGAGGTAGTGCAATTCAGAGAGTGGGTGTTGTCGAGATACTGGAGAGCCGAAAGTGAGCCAGACATTTGAGCAAGGGCGAACGTCAGAATGAGTTCAAGAGCAAACCGTAATGACAGATGGAAGCTTGCTTAATCAGAACACCCGTGTCTTGATGTAAGAGGGAAGTTTGTTGTATGGTTCAGGTGGATCCTTATACTACTCACAACATCTACGATTTTACGGTGTGAAGACTATCAGAAGACATTTTTTTGCCCCGTGTGTGCCTTATCATCCGCCTTGAGTACCGACTCATCAGAAATGAGCAGGAGTGTATGGCATCTTCCGTTATGTGGCTCGGGTAGCTGCAACAAAAACGCCATGTGCTGCGCAGCAGCAAGCATGCACAGCCGAGCTGCTTAGATAGCGCTGATGGCTGACTGCGCAGCCACCACCCAATCACATCACGATGCTGGTCCCGCATAGCCGAGCACGTAATACTTCACGAGATGGTCCACAATCATCAACCGTTTTCTGAACGAATCATGCGCAATGGATTTAAGGAACAAACGGCGCGTGAACCACTACACTTCATCCAGGGAACTTTCTTGGTAAGTGTAACGAACACCGAGTCGACCAAGTGGGTTGGTTTTCATCTCGTTCTGGCGCTTAAGATGCAAGCGACCTTCCTTATTCCATCAGAGTTCCTAAGGCAGACACAACCTCAAGTTTGTCCACCTTTGCGATACCTCCACAGTGCTTGTAATAACTGAAAGATCTTTCGGGGTGGCACGCATGATATCTCGTAGGTACCTAGGCACTGCGCAGGATTTCAATAGATTGCGCAGAGGTTAGAACTGCCCTAGCCTGCCCTAGCGTACCAGTATCAGACGCAGGCATTCTGAGCGTAGGCCTGTGTGAGGCTCAAGAAGGTTTCAAAAGCGGCCTTGATGATGTATTGTCTCCTTGATACACGTCCCTTGAAGTCCAGTCGCGCTCCACAGCCATGAAGAGGTCCCTGACCGCCATATGCCTACTCAGGCAGCTACTGGGCGTCCTCTGGTGACTTTTACGCGGGGCTGCGTTAGCAAAAGTCCGATTGCCGGTCAAAGACTTTGGATGCGCCCACACCACTGGTCGCTTGGCTAATTGCCAGGCATACTCCTTGCGATGGTTCGTCCAGCACTCTGCACAAATGCCGATATCCAAACTGCCTGTGTCGAGACTGAGCTGGTTCTGTATGAGGTCAAGGAGCGGCAGTATTCGTGACCGCAGTCCACAGTGCCCATGATTGCTGTCGACCTGGTAGTTGGAGCACTGGCGGAGCGATGATAGAAGTCGATCGATGTCTCCAAGATAGTACGTCGGCTCCGTGTTGTCATAGATTTTGCCTTGCAACCGTATAGTGTCGATCTTGGAAAAGAAGCGAATCATTTCTCCTAGTTGAAAAGAATCGCATTGCAGCGATGTATCATACCAGAGCTTGCATTGACGTTCTCCTGACGTGTACAGCTTAAGGAAATGAGCCTGTAGAGAGTTGATGGTCTCAAGTATGTACTCTCGCCGTTGTATCAACTCGTCCTCGACGTCTGGTATGTCCCACCATAAGGCTTTTGTATGGTCCTCCTCTATTCCCGGTCGCCACTGGACTGAGTCCCGCATGATCAAATGCTTTGAATATCGCGTCACCCATGATGGATGATCGAAAAGAAGACCAACAAAGAGCTTTTGTCGTATTCTCTCTTCCGTCTGCGTTGTGGCCGGCTTGCCTCTCGACTTTGCATCGATCAACTGCAGGTACTTCTTTCTCTGTATATGCTTTGACAGGCACGCGACAGCATCGAATCGGTCGGCAACGACGGCGAGATTGGCGAGATTGGCCACGGGGGGATTGGCCACGGCAAGGTCGAGACCGTGGACTGCGCGAAGGAAGTCTGCGATGAGGTTTCGGATGGAAGAGACTTTGGCGACGGCTACACGACCGACATTAACGATCGATATGTGAGGAAGCGCATCGACAGGAACATCAGCGATTTTGGCACCCTCGCTCAACTGGAGTGCTTCTAAAGCTTTCGCCAGCTGCTGCCCTTCGTGGAAGCGATCACTGAGCAGGTTCTCAAAGTACCGCGAGTTGTGCTGCAGTGTTTTGGAGTCTGCGCGATATGAGAATTGCTGTCCGCCCTCTTCCTGTGCGACCTCAAGGACAAGGTCGCCATTTGCGGCGATGACCAACAGGCCCTCCTCATCCGACATGGTGTAAGGTTGATGTTATAACTCCCCAAGGCGTATTTCCTCATGGGTAGGGCCAGAACATTATGACTTGATCAGATGGCGATTCGCTTTCGGTGTGTTGGCTGAGAAAATGGAGAGTGAGGTCACAGCCCGCGGCGAAGGCTGAGCGGCCGCCATCGCTGAACCGACCAATGGGCAGAAGCGAGCTACGGCCAGTGGCGCTGGGCCGACAGCCAGGCGTCCTTCAGCTCTCTACACCACTTCACACCCTAGGCACAACATGTACCATCTATTCATTTCAAAGAAACATTCTCAAGACTCGGTAAAGTATTTTCGCATACAACTTCCACTGCTTGCTATTGAGACGGACCACTGTGGTCTCGAACATGACTTGTAATTACCTACACCCCTCTCAACACCACCCAGTTAGCAGCTGTAGTCACATTCTGAACATCGTCAAGAAACAAAAGCAGGTTTTGATCATGAAATAGATTGATCTTGGCAGCGTAACGAACTCCACGCTGAATGCATATGCCGGGTATATCCTATGCGAAAGGCCACTGATCCGACGCCCCCAAACCCATTACAAAAGAGATAGTAGATCGAAGAAGTGTTATGATCCTCACTTCAGACAGAAGCACACCGAAACCCAATAAAAACCGCCCGACTAGCTCCAGGACACGATGGCCCATAACGTGTCAGTCGTAATGTTGGCAGTGAATAGCCACGTGCGCATGGCGATATGCTAGCACTTGCGGGAAGGAAGCTTCATCCTCATCCACTCGTCGCCGACGATGGCATGGCCGACGCGAGACTCAAAGAATTGACGCTGCTTCTGGGCGCGTTGGACATAGCTGAGGCGGCGCTTATGTACCCTGCCCTTCTTGTCGCGGGTGTATTCATATTTTTCTTCGCCCTAAATAATTGTTAGCACAATTATTTCCAGACATGAGGTTGGCAGAAGAGTACTCACGATGATGGCCCAGAGTGATTGCTCTTGTGGGTTCATGTTGCAGTGGTAGGCCGGCTTCGGAAGAGGCTTCTCGCCGCTAAGCCGGCTGTAGATGCTGTCGACACTGGAGCGAACGGACAACATGGTGAAGTGTGTGGTGGTGGCTTGAGTGCTTGTGTCTTTGTAGTGGGTCTCGGATGAGGTGGCTGGAATGCTCGCCGCGGACGGCTTTGGGTATACGTTACCGGACGAGCTTGTGTTCGTTGTTGCAGTTGTGGTATAAGAGAGTGCGAGGTTGCAAAGTCATGAAGGAGAGGAACGAGTCAGTGGTCTTATGCGGCTAGAGATGTGCTGCACAGTGTTTGCGGCGCGAACCGTAGTTCGCTTCGTTTGTTGAAAAAAGCTGTGATTTTAATCGCGCAAAACGGGGAGCGGTACCGGCATTGCTCAGGGCCGTGGACCACGAACTGCAGCCAACACATGTAGAGGGGGACCGTGTGGATTATATCTGTCAAGTCGACTAGTGGTGGAACGGAAACAGGTAAGCTGGGGCATCATGGGACACGGGGTCACTACAGCGTTATTGCGCCAACCGCGATACGCGGATAGTGAGATGGTTCCAAGCCCCATGCCCAGAGCAGCCAGTCCAAAACGCATCTCCAACACGTTTACTCAACCCAACCACAAAGCTGCAGATCAGAGTACAAATTGCACAACCACCGACCAAACACTGCATCACGATATTGCGCATACCTTGGCGCACCGGACTACGCAACGTCCTTGCGCGGCGCCCAGAAACGCGGAGGCTTGTCGCGAAAAAGATGCGGCCGGCCGCGACTTATATAGGAGACCACGCACTGGATGTGAGGCGCAATCGAGGATCTTCATATACCAAGACTCTTGGCTGTGATCTGTAGGTTAGGAAGCGTGTATCGAGAACCGAATCGGGACTTGCAGCTTGCGCGTGGGGAGTAGATCTGCGGAGGCTGGTGCACGAGAGGTTAGACGATGCGCCATCCCGCGCGTTGATCACAGAGCCTCCACGACGCATCACTGTGGCCTGCGGCCTCTTCCATCACTTTTCCACCCCACGGGGTCTTGGTTCTAACTAGTACGGGCGGGAGCTTTAAACCTTACTGCACCGATTCCACGTATTGCTTACTCAAAACGCCAAACCTCCAATTTCCCAAATCGCCAGTCGTGCAGCATCCAAAAGTAACTTCTTCCAAGACTTCATGGCATGCCTTGATCATCATATGGTAGTCACACGTCCCCCAAAGGTTGGTATGCATGCTTGTTAGAGATAACGAGAGGGTGGTGATAACTCTTGCCCCCCCTATCATCCACGTCGTCTCACTGTTATGCCGTTCAATAACCATAGGGGGCAAACGCGGCCGTACATCAAGGGGTTGTTGCCGATTGGTCACTTGGCGCTCCAGTGGATGAAGAAGCGGTATTCGTAATATACACGTATACTTGTGGCGGATCAGGTTACAAAGGTCCTGCACATGCCCATACTTCTACGGTCAGGTCCCCACATGAGAACAGTGGCGCAGGAGATAGAAAGGATGATGGAACGAGCCGGCGATCCGCTTCGGTACTGAGCGAGAACAACACCAAATTGCGCTTTGATCCAAACCTAATTAATAAGTCAAGGCGAACACGTTCTAGCCCTGGAGACATAGCCATGCCCAGGCGGAATGGATGGAAGAAGAAAGTGAATCTACCAGCAATCGTTCCTGCTTCTGTTGTTCATAACACTACAGTAGCAGCCGCGGTGATTCCCGCAAGCATTGCGATAACAGTGAAACACGGTTCTGCAGCGGTGTCGTCTTGGTCGCCCTGAACTTCATCCCGCATTGTGCTTGTCTATACTCATGTATTTGGCGAATGCGACACTTCCGGTCGTTATGCTGACGTTAGAGAGCTTTCCTGCTGTCGCCTGAGAATTACTCGGCAACGTACTGTTTTCTTCCTCTCAGGAGAGTTGCGTGGATTCGGCGATAAGACTTGGGGTCAGAGCCTGCCACTGCAGATGCCTGCACTTCCAACGACACATGTGCTGGACGATTGGACAGACTCTAATGTGGGAATCATTGAAGCCAATATCGGAATGGTCTCTTTCTTCCGTTCTGTCTTTACATTCAATACATCTGCAGGTAGTCAGGTGAACCACAGGAGTATGCTCCTCAAAACGAGAACATGTATTCTGCTTCTCTTGTTAATATGTCATATCTAGACAGTTCATAAATCGCACTGGTGACGAATCTAACGATTGCATCAGTGTATAACGGTTCATTGTCGTAAGTGGTTTAAAATCTTGTCATGCAGGAGAATCTCACCTCTTCGTGAGTGTCAATATATGCCACTTGTGTAGGAGGAACAAGCGTATTGGAGCTACCAGCGCGCAGTGGCACGGAGGGTCATGCATAAGAAACACTGCTTCGCAGAAGGGTCAAGATACTACAATAAATATACAACATGATGGTCAATCTCGTGGGAGCAGAGACAAATCCGTATGGCGAAGAGCGATAGCTAGAATGGTAATTTGGCTCCAATCAAAGGTGTATTTGCTCACAAGAAGCGGCCACTCTGGTTTGTGGGTAATCACTCGTACATCGGTACAATGTGCTGTGCTCTCATGGTGCAGTGTGAACAAACTCATTCTACTTATGCTGTACCACGAGACATATGGTATACTATAAACTACGTCGGGTCCCGTAACCCAAGTCATTTTTCGTCTATAGGAATCACTAATGACACGGGAGGCAGCAACGAACAATGCGACCTAGCGATATCGGAATGCTCGCAAGTGAGGTTGAAAAAGCATAACTTGGTCGTGTTTGTGGAGCCTCGAATGGTGAGAAAGATGAGCGGTGGCAGGTCGATGTTCGGCGCAAGGCGGCCGACGTCGGAGGGGCGAGGCATCTAGCGGGGCTGGCATTGCACCGTGGGGTAGCTTCACGAGTCTTTGGTAAAACTTGCTGAGCGTGCAATACCCATCATCGAAACTCATATATACTCAATTCATCATGACTGCTCACAATATTGTTGTTCTTGCTGGTAAGCTATGTTCCTGGAAATAGGACAAGCAGAGTGCTAATTGCATCCAGGTGACGGTGTCGGCCCCGAGGTAATAGCAGCCTCGACACTTTCTCTGCGCAACTACTCACGAGCATGTTTAGGTTGTCGCTGAGGCGATCAAGGTCCTCAAAGTTGTCCAAAAGCACACAGACAACACTTTCAACTTCAAAGAGCACCTGTTTGGAGGAGTAAGTTTTGAGCCATGACGTAAAGAATCCGCGGTAACATGTTCTAGTGCTCGATAGACGCGCACAACAACCCTCTCACAGACGAAGCGCTCGAAGCAGCCAAGTCAGCCGACGCCATCATTCTCGGTGCTGTCGGTGGACCGGTATGAGCCTCCAGTCTCCAAACTATGCAACGCCTTCTGACAATTCATGTAGAAATGGGGAACCGGCAAGGTGCGCCCTGAGCAAGGAATCCTAAGACTTCGCAAAGAACTCGGCACCTTCGGAAACCTGCGACCGTGTTTCTTCGCCTCTGACTCTCTCGTCGACTCATCGCCCCTCAAGGCTGACAACGTCCGCGGCGTAAACTTCAACATTATCCGCGAATTGACTGGTGGCATATACTTTGGCGACAGGAAGGAAGACGAGGGCGATGGCAAGGCCATGGACACGGAGCCATACAGCGTCGAAGAGATTGAACGCGTCGTACGGTTAGCAGGTAGTCTCGCATCCGTCGAGGACCCGCCCGTGCCAGTATGGAGTTTGGACAAGGCCAATGTGTTGGCAACCTCGAGATTATGGCGGAAAACTTTTGAGCGCATCATGAAGGACGAGTACCCGCATCTCAAGTCGGGCACCCACCTCATCGACTCGGCGGCTATGCTTATGATCAAAAACCCAAGAGCGCTGAACGGCGTTGTAGTTACCAGCAACTTGTTCGGTGACATCATTAGCGACGAGGCTAGTGTCATTCCAGGAAGTCTGGGTCTGCTGCCGAGTGCCAGTCTGGGCGGCATCCCAGATGGCAAGACCAAGCTGAACGGAATCTATGAGCCCATCCATGGTACGTCTTCTCATCTATCACTGCATGTGCGCCTGCTCACAAATACTAGGCTCTGCGCCCGACATCGCCGGCAAGGGCATCGTCAACCCCATCGCGACCGTCCTTTCTATCAGTATGATGTTCAAGTACTCTTTGTGCCTACCAGAGCTTGCGCAAAAGATCGACGAGGCGACCAGGATTACCATCGACAACGGTATCCGCACGGCTGACATTGGCGGAAAGTCAAGTACGAGTGAAGTCGGTGATGCGATAGCTGCGGAGCTAGAGAAGCTGCTCCAGAAGTAGATTTGAATAGTGGAATCACATACTATGAGAAGCTAGCGATCATGACACTGTAACGTGAATCTGGACGCCTCCGACACCTACTTGACCTGGGAGGGAAATGTATCGCTGTCAGCAGGTGCCAAGGAATGCATGCCTACGCCATTCGCAAGCACCTGATGCATACAGGCCAGCAAAAGAACATACATGGACGTTCATTAGCTGGCAAGACGATCGTGTAAAGTCGCAGTGCGTGGGGAAGGACGTCGAAGGCGAGCAGAAGCGATAGAGCCTTATTGTTGCCAGCTTACCAAAGTTCTCACCTCTTATTGATTCGTCGAAGCAGTCATCTATTCAAGCAACAAGTCCGAGGTCATACGTCCAGGAGTGCGGTCCAACTTCCCCTGTTGGACACTCAATGCCATCGGTGGAGGAGCTGGAAAGGCGGATGCACGAAGGTAACAGAGAACTGCATCCTACGCTAATAGTGCCGGACTATGGTACGACTCACAAATGCAGATCCAACGCATGGGAAAGTGGCCCGATGAAGCTCCTGTCCTTCTCCAGCTCTTATGGTGGAACTACGGCTCGGGATCCGCAAGCAGAAACTAGGATCATCGCTGCGTACAACTGTCTCATCCACGCGCTGAAGAGTATCTACAACCAAGCACCTCACACTCCAACCACCGAGTACAAGAATTTCATATGGCACAGTCTGGCGACGTATCAGTGTTCGGTCGCTCAGCTGGGTACGTTGGCATCCGAAGGAGAGCGTATAGAATAGAAACCGGGCTTCGATCCTGTGTAGCAAAGCGCAACAATATCAGCTCTAAAGTGTACAGGGGGATGATGAACAGTCTCACGCCCACTCTGTACCAACTACTAAATGCCCCTCTTGCTGATGTATGCGCCAGGGGCTACAGTAGCATAGATAAGACGATTCAGTTGCCTATACTCTGCATAAACCATGACGCCACTTCGGAGAATGGGTTACAGCACTTGCATCATGGCTTAAGAACGGAGAGTAAGACCATGAGGTGGCGTATGTGGAAGTAGAAAGCTGAGTGGTGGAAGTTTAGTACTTGTAGATTTGATGATTTACAAGGGAGATTGAAGTATACCGCTCATGCAGAGAAGAGACGGACAACATGACTAGCCATCGTAGTATCATCTTTGAGTTTCCGTGGTATATTGGTACGCTACATTGGCATCCTAACGCACTATATGAGCTGGAAGAGGTCTCGGCTATACAGGTATCTAGTGGGTTGGGTTAACACAATCGAGCTAGGCCTCAAAGGCCCGGAACAAATTGTCAAGACTTCGATGCAGGAGTTGCAGCTAGCAGAAGCGCCAGGAATTGGATAGACTTGGTAGACCGTGTACTCCTGATGCACACAAGCACTGTAGGTTGAAAGAGGTGGCATATTGCCGTGCATGAAGTGATACTGCCTAAACATTGCTTTTTTCCCGAGAGGACGCCAGGGCTTTCTAGGACTTTGAAACCAGATCCAGTCAGTCTTGTACGTGCTGCATGTACAATTTACTTCTCGCAAAGGGATATGCTACGATTCTCAAGGTGTTGTGGCAACTGGTTCACAGCGTACTGGGCAAACAAGGTCTGGATGCCCGTTAGCTTCATCACAGCATCACAAACGTTCTGGGCGTGACGGGGCGAGCGCATCGCATCGCTGTTTGTCGTGAGATTTGCATTCACAATTCAACGGCCTGACGGCATCTCACTGGTCCATATCAGATTCCAGGGCGCTGCACCGGCGCCTCCATATACATCGTTTGTTGAACAACGGGTCCCAGATTAAAGGCATCCCCGGGTGACTCGGGGGACCAGGACAAGGAATACCTCGCTTGTCATTCCAACTGGCGGGCCGCGATAGATATCCGTGCAGATATCGCTTCCCAATCGATAAAGCAGGTGATGGTGAGGTGAAACAATCGGGCGGTTGGGATTAGCGGGATCTCGTTAGTTGTCCCACCAGGCGCTTCATGGTAAGTCCGTGTTTGCCTGCCTGGGCGATCAAATGGCTGCCCGGAAATGGCGCGGGAATCCCTAATGTCAAAATAAGCCTTACTGAGATTTGACGGGTTAAGGCCACTTGGAAGCTGGGATATTGTGAACGGTGTTGTAGGGTTCTAGGTATCTCTCATGACATGGGACCTGGATGTCGTCGACGATATAGAGTGATGGTGTCTTTCAGACTACTTTGTACTGTGTCTGATGGTGGCTGACGATAGCACCTATTTCGAGGCATACCGAGGAGAGCCGACGTCACGATAGCGGCCAAGCAAGCGATGTCCTCAGGATTGTCTTCGTGTAACGAAGAATTGACTCTGTTCACAAGACCCCTCTCGTATTACGTTGCATCCAAAAGAAGCGAATTTGGAACTCGTGCCTAGAGGCCGCCTTGGATGCCCAACGCCGATAGTTCCGATTACGTATATGGAGCTCTGATTCCAGGCGAGCGTCTGGAAGCGCGTCACCGAGCGTCCCCTGCAGCTGTGGATACACATGATGACACCCCTCCAGTGGGAATGGCAAGAAGGCTAAAAGCAGGTAGAACATTTACGGAAGGTGGCATATGTCGCATAACGGCATCCGCAGCCCGCTTCGAATCCCTCTTGCAGTTGACTGTGTCACACATCAACTTTTCCCAAAGCAAGTTTGTAAACCTGAATGTTGATACACTATGTATACTGCAGTCGGAGACAGTAAAACGAAGGGACATGGTGAAAACAAACGTTCGGGAACGGATGATCACACACGCACGTGGCGAGCTCAAGCGAGTGCTCTTATCGATATGAGTTTTGTCGCGCTGAGGGACCCCTTGTACGTCAACCCGCACTGGAAAGCCAGCCGAAAAACGTTGATGATCTCTAATGGTGAAACATAAGGCCTCGAATCCTGTGCTAATCATTGTTAGATGAGGTTTAGATGGCAGGCAAAATCTCGTGTGTGATTCCCCGCCTTGACATCCCTTGGCAGGAACAAGCGCCGCTCCTATGCTCAAAAGGGCAACGCTTGAAACATAGTCCGAGGCTCTTCAGCCAGGAACAGTGCAAACACCTTTGCGGTCCTGAACGGGGCTGCTCCGAGACCCCACAGACTCTCGCGTCTCGCTGTTTCGAAACAGTAAGGCCAACTTCGTATCCGCACGTACGCGAGCTGGCCCTCACTCACATTGGTCGCGACGTAGTTAGGGGCTACCAGTCAGCTCTAGTGTTGGGTAGACTCGACTAACATGCTGGTCACAACGGCGTCCAGCCGCTGGAGACTGGCCGTGCTAGGCGGGAATACATACGAGCCCGCCGGCATTCTTGGTCCAGTCGTCGGTAGACGATATAAAGGCTCGAGGCCACCCGATGCGGAAGAGGGCATCACTCCCAGTGGCACACATTCCCTCCCGACAAGCAAGTCTTCGTCGACATTCATTCTACATTCACTCTTTTGTGTTCGAAAACGCTGGATCGTCTTCATTTTGAGCTTCTTTGTTGCTACCTAGGAGATTTCACCCAGACACTTCCAATATTCACAGTGGGACATTGTCAATAGACTATCCTTTTCGAATATCCAGCACTTAAAGCTCCAAAACCTTCATTTGATACCCAGAAAAAGTCACTCATCGCGAACACGGTCTTTACGAATCCATCCACAAACATCATCATGTATACGAACATTATCTCTGTGCTCGCCCTGGCTGGCGCTGCTCAGGCCCACATGTCGATGTACTACCCGGCTCCCTTAGGAGGAGCCCCTGCCATCAACAAGCAATCAACGGAGCTTGACCCCGAGTTCAACTTCCCGCTTGGCTGCTGTGGACCTGACGGTGGTGACAGCAGGCCCTCTCCTGGTATTTGCCGCGGTCACCTTGACAAGTTCGACACTGAGGATGCTACTGTCACCTGGCAGCCTGGACAAGACGCTTACTTCCAACTGACAAACTATGACTACGACCCAGCGGCGCCTGGTGGTACCCACTATGGAGGATCTTGCCAGGTCGGTTTCTCGACCGACAAGGGCAAGACATGGAAGATGGCCGCTTCATACCACGGTGCTTGCCCACATGCCACCGAGGATGGATCACCTGAGGCCCAGACCTTCGACTTCAAAGTACCTACCGGTATGCCTGAAGGTGATGCTATCTTCGGTTGGGTATGGCTCAATCGCGAACACGAGGTAAGTCGCGAGTGAGACGAGATACATGCGAGATGTATGCTAACTTCATTATAGTCATTCATGAACTGTGCTAAAGTCCACATTGGTTCTGGCTCTGGTGCTGGCTCTGGCGATAGCACCGAGCCCAGCGAGCCATCTCAGTCTGCAACGCAGCCCGAGCAACCAGCATACTCCGAGACTGAGCCTGAGGAGACTCCTCAGCCAACTTCCGCACAGCCTGAGGCTCCCGCCGAGGACGATAAGAGCTCCGAGCAATCGCCACCCGCTTCGCCTGTCGAGGACAGCCCGGCTGTCGTCGTTACCACTGTCGTAGCTACTACTATCTACGAGCAGTACCAGCCCACACAGACAGCGACCAACGACTCTGAAGCTTCCGAAGAGACTGATGACTCAAGTGACGGCCACTGGTGGAACCGTCCTCACCAGAAGGTTAAGGCAGGCACTCGTCGTTATGCAGTTGACGGCTCTCGCTGTGAGTGCCGTCGTGACGAGCTTACCCTTGCGGCTCGCTGCTCCTGCGATTCTACCAACAAGGCTGTCGAGCGCAAGGCTCTTCGTATGCACCGCCGCACCTTCTACAAGCGTGTTGATGCGTGTGATTGGAACTCGGCCCCCAGAATGGAGGTCTCGTACTTCACTGAGGATGCCAACTGCGCCCCCAATGCTAAGGCTCACATGCCTGAGAGCGACACTTTTGAGTTGGGCTGGGATGTCAACTGTGGTGTCGTTGATGGCCAGAGTGAGTATGAGATCAAGACCATGAGCTGTGACATGTATGGTTAGATGGTGGGCCGTCAGAGCGTTTCTTCTTGGTGTATGCCACATATTCTTTACATTCTTCACACTCGTTCATCACGTTCCTGGACGCTGGGTTTTTCTTCTCTTCTTCTTTGGGAATCAGGGGTGCCTATCATACGCCCTTGATCTTTCCACTTTGGCACTGCACATGCAGGGCGGATTGGCTTGTTTGGTTGCATCTGGGAGGCTTCACGACATCCACACATACATCTTATGACGGTTAGCCTGGGTTGGCACTGGGAAAAAGACATTGTACAACACTAGTCACACTGCGAAACAATTGAAAACGTTCGCTTTCAAACAGGCTTCACAGTATGCTGATTGCAGGACTAATCATGATAGTTATTCATTCACTGACTATTCAAAGTCCGATTATAACCCTCTTGAGTGAAAAGCAGGAGCAATACCGAGTTGTGATACGCAAGTAACAGCAAATGGCGATCTAAATCCTAGGACGATTGTCCACCCTTCCTGCCAGCTTCTTGGCCTTCTCACTGTCAGGCTCGAAGATACCGGATGAAGCCTTACGACCCATGGAAGCAATGTCGTGCTGTAAATATTAATAGTGATCGTGCTGAGTAGTGTGTTGCAACAGATGGACTCGGATGCTTCCACGAAGAATCGCCCAGTATAACTTCCAGATCCAGGTGCTGAGCTGTACGAGAGCTGGATGAAGAATCAAACATATTAGCATGGCTGGTAAGAGCACGCACCGGCAGAACCCATTAATTGCACAAAATTGTACAGAGTGGTTAAGACTCTACTCTTCCATGTACTACGGGGCGCACCTAACATGCGCCAACATAAACGGTAGACAAAAAATAGATAAAAAAGAGCTCGAGTACCTAGGTAACGATCCTTGACAACGCCAGCGTCCAGATCATCATGCTCGTAACCAAGTCAGCCCAGTATACGCTTCCATCACGGCGCCGCCCCAACTCCATGTTTGGGTGGAGATTTCCATAAACCCGGAGTTAATTCCAACGTTATGACCGGTATCTCATATCCAAACCCTTTCATAGCGCGTACAATAGGAGGCCAGGCATCCTACTCCTGTGTCTTTCCTCCACCCATACGCTCAATGTTAGACAATAACCTGCTCTTCCCGCCACTTTGGCTCCTGTTCAGTCCGGGAGTACCCTGAAATTTTAGACCACCTGGTGCACGAAGACCGGACGGCTTGGCGATGGCACTACCTGTGCGCTCATTCATGGCCCCTAGACGGTCACCCATAGCACTGCCGGGGCGTCCGCCAACGAGTGCAGACGCAGGGCGAGGAGTGCTGGTGCCACCAGCAAGGAAGCCTGTGTTGCGCATTGCTTGTTGGGGTGGTGCTTGTTGTTGAGGCGCAGTAGGTGGCGCAGAGCTGATTTGTGAACGGCGAAGGTCGTCTTGTTGCATCTCTTCCATCTTCTCACCGCACATAGACAGCATTTGTTCGGCAGCTGCTACCAGCTCACCCTTCTCAATGCGCTCAGCCTCAAGATCCTCCACAAGTATATCATGGGACTTGCGAAGGGAATGAAGCTCAGATTGCAGACCAGCGAGTCTAGCTTTGAGGTTCTCGATTTCGGCTCTCTGCGCTTCTAGCATCTGAGCGTCTTCGGCGTTTCGTGTAGACTTTGTGGGGGATGCTCTTTGGTTTTCGTCCTCGGAGTTATGCTGATCGGGGTTGATCCTGCTGAATGTGCTGTCACGCTTTTTCTCTGCCTCCTCAACTTGTCGTTCGAGACTAACAATCTGCGTCCGAAGCTCCTTACACTTATCATCGGCCTTCTTCTGGTAGTTGTCCTTGAGGGCCTTGATCTTCTTCTCATGCTTGGCCTTGTAAGCTGTATGTAGGTCACGTGCAATCTCATTGACCTTCTCAGCAATCGCAGATTGGCATTCGAGCTCAGAGTAGACCTTTTTGTTCTCGTCTCCCTCGTCGTTATTGATGAAAGTCGTCATGTCCACGTTCTTGCTTTCAGCGTCAATGACCTTGGTTTCAAGCTCAGCCGAGCGGCTCTCAGCATCATCCGCACGCTTTTCAGCATCAGCTAACCTCGCTAGGAGATCTTCACGCTCAGCGTCATTACGAGCCATCTCGGCCTGGACGTCTTGCAGTAATCTTTGGACCTCTTCACCCTTTGATTTCCAGTCGACCATTTGAGTCTCTGCATATTCGCGAGCTGAGCGTTCGTCGCGGACGGTCTCTTGGGCTTCGCCAACCCGGCGCTCAGCATCGGCAATAGCTTTTGAAAGAGCGTCGATCTCGGCTTCTTTTCCAGATAAGCTAGCTGTAAGAGACGAGACCTGAGATTGGAACTGGGATTTTACAGACTCCAACTCACGAATAGTGACAGTAGGCAGTGAACGTGGTGTTGGTGGTGGAGGCAGCTCGAAATCTAACAAATTCAACATTTGACTTCTCTGGTTCGGGGTCGCAGGTACTTGCGATCCACCTTTGGCCGGTGATCGCTGGTTTTGGTAGTATGCGCGGAGGTTTGGCTCAGCAGCGGACTTGCTAGGCGAATGGCGGCTGCGTCCTGCTGACTCACGGCGGGATGAGGAAAAGGATTCGATCTGAGCTGTAAAGTCTAGGAGTAGATTTGTAGTATCATTGTCGTTGTATGCGCGCCGTGGCGTAGGGCTAGGTGTACGTTCGGACCGGCGGACTGTGGACGGGGTCATTTGAGTGCGAGCGCGAGGCGTAGCCTTGTCATGTTGTCAGTATCTTGTATCAGACGGATGTCGTACGAACTCACATCTGGCATCTGGTTTTTGGCTGGGCTCTGCTTTAGGCCGGCAAACTTTGTCATATCTATTCCGGGCATTTCTGAGAAGTTGCTGAAGCAGGTATCGTCAACATCCAAGGATGTTACTTTTGGGCCGTCTGGGTTGAAGTCCGTGTTGTCCATACTCAGATCGATCTCGTATTCGTCGTTTCGCAAAGATTGTTTCCTTGGAGTTTCCCGATTTCTCGAGCTACTCTCTTCCATGAATTTCATTGCAGTGGTCAAGCCTTCATTATCACGAAGGGCTGGCTCTTGGTGAGAAGAGGCCGGTCGTTTTGATGGCGTAACAGATATTTGGCGTTGGTGTGTATGTGTTGTCTTGCGCTGAGCCGTTCCGGGCGAAGGAACGCGGGACGATTTCGAGGGTGACTGGCTCTTGTGGGAGTTGCTGCTCATTGCGGAGCCTGGTCGCTCGATGGGAGTCTCCTTGGCTGAAGAGATATCTCTCTTGGGCGTGTGTTGATCGTCGCTGCTAATTTTGAGTGCCGCGTCGTCGAAGTCGTCCATTAAATTCTTCACCGGGAGCGTCTTCATTGGGCTTGTGCGCTCTTTCAGCCCATACTTCTTCTCTGGCGACACTCTGAACACAGATTGCGGTGCGCTGTCCTCCAGATCAACTAGTGGCTTCACGGGTGTGGCCGCTGCGTTGGGGGCAATATTCTCTTGGTCTTCGACATCGATGTGGTCCATAAAAGGCGATGAGGGAGGGTCGTTGTACGCCATATCGATATCGTCGATGATGATGTCGTCAGAGTAGGTGTCTAGCTTCTCCGACGAAAGACTTGACATTGGTTCCGTCATGTGTGCGATTCGGAGTTTGCGGTGTCTAGAGTCGGCCACAGTGTCGATGCGGAGCGCACAAGAGTGTGTTGTGGCTGCTTGTTTACAGTCCGTGCGCACTCGTTGCCCCTTCCTAATACGGTAACCCCCGTTTTGGCCGAAACCCTGAGCCAGCCGCTGTTCACGACGTGCTGCATTGCCAAAATCTGCTAGTAAAAGCAATATCACAACATACGCACTGGGTTTGCACAGGTGATGTGTATGATTAGGATTCTCGGTCCTAGTTAATTGTGTATATATTTCCGCCCAAGTGCATAATCCATTTCAATAGTTGATTGCTCCTCTCAATGCGCCCGCAAGTCTTTGGTACTCCTTTAGTAGCTCTTCAACCTCCTTGAGCTTCAAGTCTTGAGCATCCTTCGCCTCTAAAAAGCGTTTGGAAGGCGGTGCAGTCTTCTTTAGCTGCTCTAACGCAGCAACTGCTCTCGCTCCCTTGTCATCTATTGGCGGTATTTCATTCGTGGCTGTGCGGCTCAGCGGCTCTGGAGAAGGCGATGCCTTGACCTGCTCTTGGCTCGGGGATGGGAGTACAGGCGTGCTACTGCTGCTTACGGCGCGTGCAAAGCGGGGCAGTACGTTCATACTGGACAATCGGTTCAAAGGATTGAAGTTGTTGCCCATGTTGCGTATAGAGTCAACAGCGGAAATGTTGCCTGGTGCTGGACCATCCGCCTTAATAGGAGCTGGTGATGGTGCCTTCTCTTCTACATTCTGTGATGTAGCGAATGCAACACGTCGTCCGCTACTGCTTCCCCCGGATTTAGTGGAATCGACGCTACGATCTCTAATCTGCCTTTTGCCAGCAAAAAGATCAGCCATCTTCGCGTCCAACCCTTTGCTAACTGGGGTTTCTGTAGACTCGTCACCATGTACTGAACTCGCTGCACTGACACTCAAGTTGTCATCATCCCGCTCTGCACGAGTGGGAGAGCTCACAAGCTTCCTTGCATCTTCCAGTGTCTTGGGGAGTACCGGTTGTTCCTGCATGGGTCCATCTGGGTTCTTTTCCTTTAGACCACCGAAGAAGAACTTGAAGCTGGTGTCTAATGTGTTGTTAATTCTGCCAAGTGCTTGGTCGGCGGAATCAAGAATCGAATCCCGAACTGCATCAGAAGCAGCCTCAATTTTGTTAGTCTGCGTTTGGATGAGGTTGCTCAACCGACGCTGAGCTTTGGTAGTTGTCGGACTTGAAGGTTCCCTGGAATGAGTTTTGGAGATAGGAGTGGCTGGAGTTTGGATAAGATCCGGCGCGTCCGAAAGTCCCAAGGGCATTGGTGTTATCTCGGATTTGGGCGTCGAAGGCCTCGAGTCTGACTTTGTAGGAACGGCTTCTTCGGCACGTAGGGAAGAAAGATCGACAGTTTCCAAGAATGAGATGGCTGCCTCCAAGTTGACCAGGCAATATGCGGTCTCACCATCCATACGGCTGGATCCGCGGAACCGATGTATGAAATTCAGGTCGCTAATAACGTTCAAGTCGACAGGTGGCATAGTGATAAGTGCGTAGATCAACGTTGGGAGGATTTCATCAGCAGACGAAGTGGAAGGAAATATCTTTGACAGAGCTTCGACAATGGACTTGTGTGCAGCAGTCAGATGTTGGACCTTTCCAAGCGGATACTTCTCCTCATTCATCTTCAAGATGTCTTGACGTGCGGCAGATAGGTATTCTCGAATTTCGGGCTCCTTCTCTTTGGCTTTCTGACGTTCCTCCTCAGTCAACTCCTCGCCAGTCATCAAGAGCTCTTTCAAGCCAATGCCAACAAGCGAGAGAGCAGCTGTGCGCGATCTGAGCTTATGGTCCCTTTCCTCATCATCAGTGCTCCTGTGCCGCCATATCCGCTGGTAGACCTTCTCGCACACAGCGCGTTCCACGGCCTCTTCGAGTGCGAATCGCTTGAGCTCGAGCGATCTCCGTGCCTTCTTGCGGTCAGCCATTTCTGTTGCACTAAGCATCTGTTGTTCCCCTGACGGATCGTTTCCCTTGGATATCGATGATGGTTTGCTTGATGGGGCGGCCCCCTTCTTGGCGTTTGCAACATAGTTATCACTCGTTAATCGAGCAGAGAGGGTGGCTATGTGTGTATTGATTTTTGCAGAGGCGCGGCCGTAGAAGTCTTGGAAGAGATGGGCAAGGGCATCGGCGGATAGGGGGGTAGGATGGACTTTGGCTGTGAGGGATTCGAGGAATCTACGGACGGGTTAATGCAGTGATGCGTGACATGGGCGACAGAAGATACCTCTCGGTCAAGCTGCGGATCTCGATGGGAAGCTCCTCAAAAGTGTCGGGTACTGCGGGTTCCTCACCCTCGGTGTTGTCGTCACCGTCTTCCTTGTTGGCAAAGACGTCTCCATCAGTATGCTCATCTTCCTCTGGCACCATGGCAGCCTTTAATGGATCTAGCATATCTGACGCGTTTGGGCCCTGCAGTGTATTCGCTCGACTTCGCGAGAGCGGACTCTTGGGCGCAGAGTCGAGACGCGTAAAGGAGCGTGAAGGATGCAGGTTTCTGGGCCGCCCGGTCATGTTGTTATTGTTGCAGGGCGTGGAATGGAAATCTAAAAGTGTCGTGCGCCTGCATTGGAGAGCTCATGCGTTCACGTCATGCGGCAGCAATGGGCACTTCCGATTGTACTGGAACCCGTCTTGGTGCGCTTGAGACGAGGATGCACTGCAGCAGGTACAAGGGGTCAGATGGGCTGGCTGCCAACGGAAGCCGGCAACGAGTGACGTTGGAATGGACGTTGGTACTTGTGGTGGTGGAGCTATCTGGAGCTCGCTATCAGATGCCAGTGCGAGCTCCCCCGCACCGACCCGCCGCCACTGGATGCTCCTTTTGCGGAGAGCTCGGGCATGGCGTGAAGCACCGATCGTCATCGATGTTCGCCGATGGAGGCAGCCATCACCTGCTGTTTGGACTTGCCATCGTCTTCTTTGTCTGGTTCGTAGCCCCTTTTCCTTGTCACACTCTCACAAGATGCGACGACAAACCCCCTGCCCTTCTGCATCGCGCGTGGCTGCGTCCTTCTTGCTGTCGTTCGTGGCCGCGAGCGTTGCGGGCGCGGCTGACATGCCCGTCTTGCCGCCGCCGCCTCTTCCACATAGTGCTCACAACGCCGACAAGGACTTTACCCTGCGACACATCTTCCACCACGGCACCTACAGGTATCCCGAGCTTCACCGTCGCATCGACGTCCCAGAACATGCCGCAGTATGGACGGCCGGAGACGAAGACGCGGCCAGGCGCGAGCCTGTGCCGCGGTTGCGCGTCAAATCCGAGACCATGAGCATACAGAGACTGGCAGATAGGAGCAAGGAAACCATCACTGGCATACTCGAGTGGGGGAGAAGGACCGGGAGAGGCGTGCAGTTGCCCGAAGAGGACTGGACAATCGACGACATAGCAGGCCCCAACGTCACCGACCGAGAGACAGTCCTAAGCTTCGCACGCATGGCCTCGGACGCCTACATACTAGAGCCCGGTACGGGGGAGTGGGAGGACGTCGGTGGCGGCTTCAACTACACTGAAGACTTCGGCTGGGAATCAGACGGTCTGCGAGGCCACATCTTCGCCGACACCGAGAACTCGACCGTCGTCATAGGCTTGAAGGGCACGTCGCCCGCCATGTTCGACGGCTCCGAGACGACTACAAACGACAAGATCAATGACAACTTGTTTTTCAGCTGCTGCTGCGGTCAAGGCGGCCAGTACTTGTGGCGACAAGTCTGCGACTGTCAAACCTCGGCCTTCACCTGCAACTCTACCTGTCTCGTCACTGCCCTTCGCGAGAAGAACCGCTACTACTACGCTGCACAGGATTTGTACCACAATGTCACAGCATTATATCCCGATGCCGAGATCTGGATGGCCGGCCACTCTCTCGGCGGTGCCGTGTCGTCTTTCCTCTCCCTCACCTTTGGACACCCTGCAGTCACTTTTGAAGCCGTCCCAGAAGCTATGCCGGCGTCGCGGCTGGGTCTTCCGGTACCACCAGGCCACCAGATTGGCTCGCTGCAGCAGCGCAAGCTCACCGGTGGCTTCCACTTTGGACACACCGCTGATCCCATATACATGGGCGCATGCAACCAAGCTACCAGTGCTTGCACAATTGGCGGGTACGCTTTGCAGAGTGTCTGCCATACTGGGCACAAGTGTGTATATGATACAGTCAAAGACTTTGGCTGGCGTATGGGTATTGGCACCCACAAGATTGTGGAAGTCATTCGAGACGTTATACTCAAGTATGATGCACCGCCCAAGTGCGAAGCCTACGTCGACTGTACTGATTGCTACACCTGGGAGTATTTTGAGAGCAACGGCACCGAGACGACTACCAGCAAGAGCTCAAAGCCAACAGCCACATCGACGTCAACCAGGTCTAGTCGCACGCGAACTGAAACATGCAAAACGCCAGGATGGTGGGGATGTCTCGACGAATCTACAACCAAAGCACACAGCAAGACCACGATTACGACGACATCATCGACCTCGATATGTAAGACGCCCGGTTGGTTCGGCTGCAAAGACGAGACGACTTCTACTACGACCATGACAATCACTACCACGCCCGCCCCAGCACCTACTGTGACAACCACGTCGTCGACACCCACATCTACTTCATCGTGCAAGTATCCAGGCTGGTTTGGTGGATGCCTTGACGGTGATGATCCACCTGCGAAGACACATCATACACCCAAACCAACCCCGACAGCTACCTCCGCCAGCACGTCGTGCACTTCTGAAGGCTTCTTTGGTCTTATATGCTATGACAAGTCAAAGAAGCACGGAAAGACGAGTTCCAACCCGCCAGTGACTGAACGGATGGAGATGTAGACATGACTTCAGAGAAAACTAGGTAATTCAGAGTGCTCTTTTTTGTTGATTTTAGGCGCAAAGGCAGGTATTATATCCAGGCGTACATACGGCTTTTGGCATGTGGCATTTACACGCATCGTGATGTCTCTACAACAATATCACTAAGCAAACAAATAAACACTACATCATACGTTGTCTATTTTTGGTTGGCTTTGTAATGGAGATGCGGAGATAGCGGGAATGCATGTTCGTTACCGTTCCCTTCGGAATGACTGCGGACCGCCTAGTCTCGAAGTCTGTGTAGTCTGTGTGCACAAGCTTTTGTTTGACACGATCGAGAAATTCTTGTTGTGAGACATTGGTGGCTATTTGTGCCGAAATTCAAATATCGCTCAAAGTCATAGCCAAGGGCCGGGCTTCGGCATCTTGTACGAACTCGATTGCGTCATAGAGAACCACGCCATTTTGTGTGCGCGTATGTGTGTGTACAATCAACCCACACCGCTACGCATGATGTGTTCCCTGTTGCTGTCTGAAAAGGACGTGTTGTTGCAAAGTCAGACACGGTACCGTACGAGTTGGGCAGTACTTGATAGCGACCGAACCATGTGTCCGTATGAACTATGGGATCTGCAGCCCGAACAACATGTGCGACAGGGATAAGGCGAGAGGAAGATGCTTGCTCTGCTTGAGTTGGCGGCTGATGTCGTTGGCGTGACAAAGTGGCGGTCTGACTTGGTGGTAGAAGTCTGAGGATCAACCACTCTAGAAGATTAGAAGACGTGAAGCAGACGAGTCGCGTCGGCCGTAGCATCTAGCATCCCCACCTACCCTTTTGGCCAGAGAGCGACGGTGTGTTTCCCAGACGCAGCCTTCTGCTCTGCACGGTCTCGGGTGCCGATCAATGTAAGGGTCCCCGAGCGTCTTGCGGTGGGGCGCGTCGCGAGGTTTCAGGATTGCATGCTTGCAGCCGGCGCGCGCGGATGCACGCAGCAGGTTTTTCTGCGGTTGAGGCAGTATCTCGGTGTCTTGAAGGCCATCATGTGCGCTGCAGACGTGAGGTCGCGGCCGTCATGGTGCGAGTTGGACAGTCGTGGCGGCAACCTCGCAGCCGTTGACCTGGCGGGTGACGCTAAATAGCAAATGTCGCAATAGACAGGGGCGGCTCGACGATAGCCCATACAGCTGACAAGGCGGTTTTAGCATGCGATTGTCGGGCCCAGAGCGAGCCAGCTAGTCTTCGCAGCCGTGCCTTGGAAATGGCTTTTTCGTCGATTCCTCTTAAGTTGCTCGATCGCCGATACATCCAGCTTCTGTCTACTCGATCTTTCCGCTCTCCGCCCCGTCCTCGTCGCCTCTCCGCTGCGCCTATTTGCCGTTTCCGCCCACAGCCTCAGCCCTACCGACCTAGTCACGGGACCGTTTGTTTTCAGGCACCCCCTCCCCTTTGCTGGTTCTCAGAGACCCTGCAGCTGCGGCATCTAGCCAGCTTTTCCTGCCCTGACGACATCACCCCTACGGTTTGCCCGCGCTACTGAGCTCTGATACCACAGCCGCACCGTGTGGCATCGCTTCTTGCTGCGAATACATTCGGCTGTTTTCTGCGTTCGTCGGCTGTACCCAGGGCTGTGCCTGCACATCATCGCTCGTGCGCCCAGCAACACAGGGAGATTGCCTCATTATACACCTACGTCATTGTTCAGCGCAGCGGCAATCCCCACCAAACCAAGACCCTTCACACCGCACCAACCACTCCTGCATTACTTGCACACACACCCTCCCGCTGCCATCAAGTCCCCATATTCATGCACCTATCTCCTACCACGACTTAATCTGCCCGCCCACCAGCCACATTCACGCTTCACCCAGTTGACGCGTGTGAAGGCCTCACACCATGTCCACGCCTGCCCTATCGCCTAGGCCCAGAGGTTCCTCCCACACATCTTCTCGCCCACGAGGTTCAGGATCGACGCCCATGACGAGGCCAAGTGCCTCACTACATCCGACGTCTGCGCTACCCCCCCTCACGCCCCGCATGAACGGGGTAGCCAAAACACCGAGCCATGTAGCCTCACAGAAGACGAAGGAACCCTCGACCCCCTCACCTAACTACTTTGGTCTTGCCGTCAACAGCAATGCCGACCACTTCTCCTCTAGTGCTGCCCAGCACATTCGCGGAAACTGGAGCCCACCCACTTCCAACGTGCGCTCGACAGCTGCCGCCTCCCCACGGATAATACCCGTTGAGCAGAACCCAGAGTTTGAGCAATTTAGGAAACAGTCGGAGAACAACAGAGCTTTTGCTCTGGGCAGCTTCGACTTTGCATCGCCCGGCCTGAAGGCACAATCCAAGAGCCCCTTCTTCGCCAACATCGACTCCGCACAGCCCTCGTACTCACAGTCGCAGTCGATGCCACCGCCCGACCGACCAGGCGACAAGAGCGATACCAGCGACGAGCAAGAGTTCGCCCCCAAGCCACGTTCCCCAAAGCGCATGCTGTCGACCGAATCCTCCATGTTTCCCGACCGACCACGAAGGAATTCCCCAGCAAGCTTTGATGGACCCGGTCGTTCAGATGCTGTCGCCCAGTTCGCCGAACCCCGTATCCCACGGCCATCGTTACCTTCAAAGAAGATGCATCCCCAGCAAATTTCAATATCCACTCACCGTGCTGAGACGCTTCCCGCGCATTTTGAGGAAGAAGGCAACACTACCGGACCCACTATGGTCACTGCTCAACATATCGTCAACATCCTCCAGTCTTCCATTGACGAGGTCCTTGTGCTGGATCTCCGTGTGTCGACACAGTATGCCAAGGCTCGCATAACAGGCGCACTGAGCCTCTGTATTCCTACGACGCTGCTCAAGCGCGCTTCCTTCAATGTCCAGAAGCTAGCTGAGACCTTCAAAGATGACGAACAAAGGGACAAGTTTGAGCGATGGAGGAGCAGCAAACACATCATAGTATATGACGCCAACTCATCGCAAATGAAGGACGCCACAACCTGTGTCAACACCCTCAAAAAGTTCACCAGCGAGGGTTGGTCAGGTGGCACTTTTATCATCCGTGGTGGATTCCAAGAATTTGCTGAAAAGTTCCCAGCCTGGATCACACACCAAAGCTCTGGAAGTCCGACCTCCGGCACTGCTGCTCTGAACCTCAACTCCGATCTCCCTGCTGTCGCGCCTGTTATCGGTGGCTGTCCCATGCCTGCAACCCAGAACGCTGCTAACCCTTTCTTTGGCAACATTCGTCAAAACATGGACCTCATCGGTGGAGTTGGGCAGATGCCCGTCAAGCAGCCAGCAGGCATGACCCAGTCAGTGGAAGACGATCTTCCACAGTGGCTTCAGGCTGCATCTGAAGAGCAAGACAAGGGCAAGACAGTCGCAGAACGATTCTTGCAAATCGAGAAACGTGAACAAAAGCGTATGCAAAAGGCTTTGTCTGGTGAAGTTGTCTACGACGCTCCGTCGTCATCAGGAGGCAAGGGACAGCATATACAGATTGCAGGTATTGAGAAAGGTTCGAAGAATCGCTACAACAATATCTGGCCATACGAACACACTCGTGTCAAGCTCGAAGGAGTTGCTGAAGGAAGCTGCGATTATGTCAACGCCAACCACGTCCAAGCCGCCTACTCCAACAAGCGTTACATCGCAACGCAGGGACCCATACCGGCTACCTTCAAAGTATGTTCTCATTTATGTATATCACGTCACCCACTAACACTTTGACAGGACTTCTGGAACGTTGTTTGGCAGCAAGACGTTCGTGTCATTGTCATGTTAACTGCCGAGCAAGAAGGTGGACAGGTCAAGGCCCACAACTACTGGTCCGATAAGCGATATGGCCATCTACACCTCAACCCACTTGGCGAACGCAGGGCGTCTTTGGAGCCGTCGAAGATCCATCGTCACAGGGAACAATCGAGGCCATCAGTGGGTCAGCGCAGGTCAACGAACCCACCGAAGCTTGCCAACTTCACCAAGGAAGCTACTACTGGTTCTTCTAACCAGGAGCAGCCTTATGTCATCGTGCGCAAGTTCACTCTTTCGAACGATGATGAACCCTTCGCGCGTATGCGCGAAATCACACAGTTGCAGTACTCGCATTGGCCTGATTTCGGAGCCCCAGCCCATCCTACGCATCTATTGGGCCTGATTGAGCAGACTGATGCTGTTGTCCGCTCGGTCAACGGTGGCTCGCCCTCGCAGCCTGACCCACCCAACAGCCGCCCGATTATAGTCCATTGCTCCGCCGGATGTGGCCGTACTGGTACTTTTTGCACGGTTGACTCCGTCTTGGATATGCTCAAGCGGCAAAGGCAAGCTCGCAACGCCAGGCAGTCGACTCCAATGGACACCGACGACAAGTTAGCCAAGAACGAGCGCGAAGAGGACAGCTGGGTGAACAACGAGGAGACCGATCTTATTGCAAAGACCGTGGAGGACTTCAGACTGCAGCGGTTGAGCATGGTACAGAGTCTGCGACAGTTTGTACTATGCTACGAAAGTGTGATGGAATGGCTCGTTGAGCAGCACCCCAAGTCTGCGTAGAGCGCGGCGACTCAAACGATGTCTTCTGCTGACGGAAACATCTTTGTGCCCGTAATCATAATATGGAAATGAGAAACACGAATTTGTTAACGACCAAGGTAAACGGGGCAAACGGCGGCGCATGCATCATCATCGGTGTAGGACTGGGACTCATTGGGAGGCGTTCTGCATGCACGCAGCATTGTTTGGCTTAGAGCATATACATACATTGGGTATGCATTGGGACAGGTGTCATGGTGGTTTCGGCGTACAAGGGGCTTTAGCATAGTGTTCTTTGGTTTTGCTTAGATAATTTGAGAATTGCATCCTCCTACATATACTCTCTGTTGCATGTCGGTCTGCGCCATGATGTTATCACAATCACATCACTAAGAACGTAACGATTGTAAAAGAAGCCATTTCCTCTCCATGGAGAGATATTATCTAAGAATGGCAAAAAATAAAGCAATAACACCATATTTCTGTAATACTACAAGCACCAATACCCAGGTAGACTCAACAAACTACTCCCACTATTGACTTACAAGCAAGATAGAATAAGCTAATAAGCAGCATTCCCCTGGTCATGCTCCTTGATATACTCGGCACCCTTTTCCAGAAATTCCTGCCTGGTGATAAAATGTTGCCTCGACTCCTTCTTGCCCGCCCATTGGGCCGCGCCACGCCAGGCATCAAGTACACAGTCCCCAGCTTTTCTCACGTTGATGGTTTGTTCAGCGGGGAGCACGGCACGGAGTTCAGAGCGCAGGCGTTCCTCGAAACCCTGGAACATGGTGTTGCCACCTGTGAGGAAAATGTCCTTCAACACGTCGTCGCGGTGGGGCGAATCTGCCAGTCGCTCTGTGAGGATATTCGAGGCAATTTCTACGATACCAGCTTGGTCGAGACCTGCGATTGTCGGTTGGAAGACGACTTCGGGAACGCGGATGCGTTCAACGTTGAGGTGGATTTGGTTCATTTCCCTTTGGGACTCGGCGTCGTAAGGGTAGGGACCGTGGAGGAAGGAATGGAGGATGGATTTTGTCCAGTCTGTTTGTGCTTCGCGGGTTGATTCTTCGGTGAAGTCGGGGTCGTGTTGGAGAAGCTGGGATTCGATTTCTTTAAGATTCTTGGAGAGATCTTCTTCTTCTTCGTCATCGGAACCTTCACCTGTAGCAATGGTGCGGTAGACGCCCCAGTCTGCATCGTCGGCGCCAAAGGTGTCATCATCACCACCACCTCGTCGCCGCTTCTTGGTGGGTGCGTCCGAGGCAAGGTTGGCGATGGACTTCATTCGCATTTGGTTGGCGAGTGACTTGCGGTTTCCAAGTTCAGCCTTGAGACGCTCACGGTCCTTCATCTTCTGGATAATGGCTTGGCGAGCTATCCGGCGCTCTTCTATCCAGCCTTGAGGATCGGTTTCCCGCCGTTGGTCGTCAAGTCGTTGCTCTTCTGCTTGCCGTGCCTTCTCCTTCTCCTTTTCAATCTTCGCACGTTGGCGTGCATCGTAGTTTGACTTCATCAATCGTTGCTGTCGCTTTTGCTTGATACCCTCCTCGTCAAGCTGATCATCCGGAACCTCCAACAGGGGGAATGTAGGTGCTTCGACCTGCTCCTCCTCTACATCGCCAAGGTCCTTGTTACGAGCCTTCTTGATGGCAGCTTCCAGTTCCTTGACTCGTTTGTTGAGCTGGTTCTCGTCATCGAAGTCATTTGACTCCAGTACCCGTGCCTTTTCCTTTTTCGTGGTAATCTCTTCCAGCTGCGTCTGCAACTGCAAGCACCACTCCAGCTCTTCTTCCTTCTTCTTCAGCTTCTCCAGACGCATCTTTGCCGCCTGGGCCTGCAGCCTACGACCACTCTCCTTGCGCTTTTCCGCTGCAGCTGCCAGCTCTTCCTCGGTCTTTTGCACCACTATCTGCTCAGTATAAGGGAACTGGATTGTATGGTCTCGGTCTTCTAAGCCCGTCCAATCCAGGTAGCGGCTGAGGTCATTCTCGTAGTCTTGTGATACATAGCAATGCTCTCGAACGAGGTCTTCAGCCTGGTTGTCGCTAATCTTTCCGGGGAATGTAGGGTACTTCAGCCTCAGTAGCTTGAGCAGGTATTGCGCGGACTGGAAGCGACCCCAGTTCAGACGCGTGGTTTGCGACAACAAGGGCTTGGAGTTTACTACGGGAATAATGTGCGTAGAGGTGTACGAAGAGTCCATGACCAGCCCGTTGCGCCCGCCATTGTATGAGTAGGAGAAGAGCGAGTCGATACCGTATGCGACGGATGGTGCGCCGTAGCACTCGAAGAGGATTTCCGACATGGCTGTAGAGTTGATGTTAGCTGTACGCACAGTCTCATCTGTCATTGGCTCACGTACTCTTTCGTGAATAGCCCAGGTTCGCAACGGGCTCTGTCATGACGATGGGTCTATCTATGCGCCCGGAGCGTCCATCCACACCCATTTTGACAAAGCAGTAGTCAAGCACGCCCTCCATGACGTCCCAATTGTTTACGACGTTGCTGCCAGGCTCATAGACAGGCTTGGACTGTCCTCGTGCCGTACCGTCGGCGTAGACATCTGAGCCAACAAAGGTAAAGGTTCGGTTGAGCTTGCGGTCGCGGTACCTCGCCATGTTGGGCAACACTGATAACCGGGGTTTGGAGTCAAAAGACCACCCAGCGCGGACTGCGGACGAGCCTACAGTATGTTAGTCTGGGTAGAAACACGGGCGCATGTGCATTGCGAGCGTACCATTGTCAATTACGATGGCAGTTTCGCCGTTGCTACGCGACCATCCTTCTTTGTCGATGGGCCTGAAGCCTTCAAAAGGCGGTTCCGACACGCTCCAGAGCTTGGGTGGAGGTTTGGGTGGATTGCGCCCTGCGAGTTGGGGCGCCTCGTCGATAGCTGAGGGGGCCATGGCGGTGAAGTTGGAGATGGAGATTGGCCGAGGATCAGGTTGTTATTTCATATCGCGGACGGGAGATGTGGCGTGTGAGCTTGTTTAGCGCGACTGGTACTGAGGATGCGCGGCATTGCGGTTGCCATGTGGTGAGGCTCTTGCGATGCTCGGTGGTCCGAGCCCGTCTCCGTCCAGGGCCATGTTACGCTATTTCACATGACGACCATGCTCATTGCTGTCGTGCACGAAATTTGGACATGGTCATATCTCATTATTGGCTATCTACCCGCTCCATTCTGCTCCTTGTCTCCATAATTCCGGCTGTATGCGAGCTTTGGCTGTGCCGCGGGAAATGCAAATTGCACACCAAGAATACTCTACGTCGTATGCTTACGCAGGATCCTTCAGACCGTTTGTTGCTTTGGCCTGTCAGCTATGTCATACAGGATTCTCTACAGGACCGTATACCTTCCAGGTGAAAAAGAACGTTGGACTGGTAGTTCTTGAACATCTGAGCTACGAGCTCCGTGTCCATGTTCTGGATATTGATCTCTTGGAGATTTTTGTTTAGCATCATGATGGCCTCATTCAACTTCTCCTTTGGAATAGTCAGCATGCTTGTCTTGACTGGACCTGGAAACGTTTGGCTTGACTGACAACATTCACGATGATGCGAGAGAGCAGTTGGCTCTGTTGGTGCTCGTGTGGACTTTCCTGGAGACGTGGTCAGATTCACGCGCCGCTCAGGGGGCTGCTTCGTGACATCTCACCATTATTGTACCTCTGTGATATTGGCGTTGGTTGTACGCGTTCAAGTTGTCTGGTGGGGAGGATGAAAGCAGTTAGTGTGGGTATGCAGGTCCAGAGGTCGGGCGGGAGAGCTCCACCTCCGCAAGCTCCATCGCGATACAACACCAACGCTCTGCCACGCTCACATTGATTCCCGCCACAGCTCACGCACCAGCATCGCGACTTATCAGATCAGCCCATCAAAACCGGCCCCGCACGCGATCAACGTGGAATAACAACAGGCCGACAACGCGACAAGACAACACGGAATCGCAGCCAAGACACCGAAGCCCATCGACTGCGATTTCTTGAGATCCCGGCATCTCCAAGCATGGCACCATTAACAGCCGCCTCGGATGAGAAAACGCATCAGGCGCTTCTTGACAAGCTTGACATCTACGCAGTACCCAAGCCTTTCCGCAACCCAAACTGGAAGCCACCGCAGCGACGCAACAAGAACCTCAAGCAGATTCTCGGCGAGGCGTCACGCAAAGAAGCCTCAGTCATGGCCACACAGAACAACAGCGGTAACTCGACACCTGCCGTAACTGCTGAAGGCAACGCTGCTTCCGGCCGCGCACCGAACATCGCCCAAGCAGCCCAGAGTCTGAGCACCCTGGTATTGGAGAAGAACGGCAGAGCTGCTGCTGGGCCGGCACCTACATACACCAACATCGAGTCGGCTCCGAGCTTCCACCCGAGCAGTCAGAAGAAGTACTGTGATATCACCGGTCTTCCTGCACCATACACCGATCCCAAGACGCGTCTAAGGTACCACAACAAGGAGGTGTTTGGAGGCATCCGTACCATGCCACAGAACGTGTCAGAGGGCTATCTCGCCGCAAGAGGTGCACACACAATCTTGAAGTGAGCGTTACCTCGATGCCGAGGTAGCTCCTACTACTCCAAGGTTGATAGTATGACATGCGTCCTTCACAGTCGGCGCAACGCTGCATTCGACAGAGGCTCAAGTTCATTCACTTGTCCAAGGTCTTGCATCAAACAGGCTAATGAAATGGGTACAAGCCTGGTCAGAAACCCAGGTGTAATTGAGGTTATGTATGATCATCAAAGTCAAACTACTCTCCACCCACCACATGCCTTTCGGCTTATGGCTCAAGGAGGTGTTCCGGCTTAACCGTGATCCAGTATTCTTCTGCGCCCATAAGACAGTATACCAGGACCTCGAGGGAGGATTCCTAGTTACAGCAGCTTGAAGCATGCTGTTGTCAAGGCGGGATCTACATTGTAATAGTCATTCAAGTATCTTGTAGCTGTAGAAAAGAAACAACGCATCAATTGCTCTTTCTTGCTGAGTGTTTGAATGTTGACTACCTGTTCTCACTTTGGATGGACGAGGGTTGTAGAGACTGAGAAGCATGATGCCAGAATTTTATGCGACAACCCGCGGGAACTCCAGCGCTAGCAGGGGTAAACTTTGGGCCGACCACCGACTGCGCGCGCCGCGTCTCAACTCTCACCAAGGGGACACGAGACAAGAAACCGACAGATACCGCCTTCGTGCCAGACGTACAGTGGAACCAGGTGCCAATCTACTACTTGTTCGCTATCTCCACGTCTTAAGTCTCCTCAACTATACAACCTCGCACGTTGCGCGCTGTACACATTCCGAATTTCCAAGATGCCGACTATGTGGCTTTCAGATACCCAGAGTATGTTGCGCCAACATGCAGCTTCGCGGTTACTGCATAGAACACCTGCTGACAACAGGAACAGAGATAGGGGTCGCTTTCTGCTCAGGGGGTAGGTACGCGCCCACTGCCACGAATGCGCTTACTGTTCAACATCGGATTGACAAGACGAACAGGCGGACTCTTTCTGATGGGAGGTGTCATGATGTTTTTTGACCGCGCAATGTATGTCTCATCTCTTCACATATACATACTTGCTTTGCTGACATGGTCATAGGCTCGCAATGGGAAACGTACGTTTATACCACACCTCCAAACCTCTACCTCTACCATCGAACCAGCTCTGATACCCCCTTAATAGATATTATTTCTAATTGGCCTCACACTCATCATCGGAACAACCAAAACCGTCGCGTTCTTTGCTCGCAAGCAGAAATGGAAAGGCACGGTGGCTTTTGTCGCTGGTATATCGCTTATTCTGATGCGATGGGCTTTCATCGGCTTCATAATTGAGCTATACGGCATACTCGTTCTGTTTGGGGATTTCCTGATGACAATCGCGGGTTTCGTCAGTAACGTACCGGTGATTGGACCGTATATTGCTAGGGCACTGGAGGCGATAAGTGGTGCGAGACGGAATGCCGATCTGCCTGTTTGAGATGGCATGGACAGCATCGACGTTACGATATGACGAAGTATGGATGGAGACTTTAGGACCTTGTATGATACACAGACGCACGAAGAACGGAAAGGCATTGCTTAACGCTGGGTCGGTCGTGACAAGCAGGATAACAGATAAGGATTAGCATTCGTATTCACGGCTAACAGATATTGCTTTGGATTGCTATCCATTCCAGTCAAAAAGAAGCATTACAATCTCAACGTAAACTGTAAAAACGTATTCCTACTTTGAAGTTTAGTGGCGCTATTCAGACGTCCCTGGGTACTCCAGATACTCAGGTACAGACTTAGAGAAAGGTCACAGCTTGTGTCTAGTTCTCTCAATCGATGCAGATATTCGTCGTGTGAGTCTTTGGAGCTCTCCAAACATACCGAAATGCTCTCAATTTGATACCCGGTCGTACTGGTTTTGCAGCGTCATCGTACAGCCACGACGGGTGAGGCAATGTGGTTAGAATGAGGAACACGTGCTTTCGCGTTCTCGCGTTTCCGGAATTTCCCCGCGATCGCGTAAGTACACCTTCTCCACACTCTACAGTACTTCTGCCGCACTGTCAAAGTTCCCCTCCTCTCGAGTCACTCACATTCAATCTCGCGCCAACATGTCCCGTGAAGAGTCACCCTTTGTACGCGCTCCTGCCGAAAGCGAGGACTACAGCTCGATCCATCGCGCGTTCCTACAAGCCTTCCAAACGCACAGCGTCCTCACAGTGGATCAAATGAAAGCTATCCTAGCTCATGTGATGACTGCATACAGTCTGTTTTCGAGCCCTCGGTTAGTTTCATACTCTGACAGCTGCAATAGACCCCGAACGCCCATGGACAGAAGGCGACGTGACCCAACCCTACATCACCTCCACCATCCAGACCATAAATGCCAAAATCGAAGCATTCGACTACGAGATCCGATCAACTCGCGATCAGCAGAGCAAAGATAGCATATATGCCCTTGTCAACAATGCCAGCGATGCCGTCACTCAACTCGCTACTACTTTCTCCGCAAACGAAATCGCCTACATAAGACGCGTCCTTGACCACATGTTCGAAACCAACAACACCAACATCCGCGAAGTCATGGCCATAAAACACACCGAAGCCTCGCAGCTCGCCCGTCTTTCACGCAGAAATAGGCAAAGTCAGGCAGCCAGCAGACAAAGTCAGATCAATGGCGATGTGGAAGATTCACAAGCCAACACCGACACAGGCATTTCCATTGCGGAAGCCGATCTCGTCCTGGAAACCCTTGTCAAGGAAGCCTTCTTTCAAAAGTCGAGAAAAGGTTACTATTCTCTTGCCCCACGCGCACTGATGGAACTGCGTGCTTACCTTAAGGAGACGTACAATGAGTCTGCTGAGGAAAACGAAGATGGGCGCGAAGTCATCAGGATCAGGGACTGTGAGGGATGCAGGGAGATTGTCACAATTGGCATCCGGTGCAACAATCGAGAATGTGGTGTCAGGTGGCACGATGCGTGCGCGAACAGTTACTATAGGAGCAGAAGAGGCAGCAGAGTATGCCCTCGATGTAAGACAGAATGTTCGGGAGATGTGTTTGTGGGAGAGCGAGCGGCTGGGACGGATGGAAGAGCGAGCACAGGCGGCAATCGGCGCAGCACGCAGAACAGAGACGAGGAGGACGAGGACGAAGAGGAAGATGAGTGAAGGCGCGGGCTGAGAGATTATAGCACTAATACCAAGATACCCATGAGTTCTCCGGCGTTAGACTCCATCACAACTTTGTACATGCGGAAAAACTTGTTTGGTTCCATCATATATTTCATCAATTGATCGTAAATCAGTCCCTATCATCACACCCATATTCCTTTCTGTCTGAACTTTTCCCAACGCCAGATATCCCCATACTATATACACAGTCCTGATCAATGCTCATCTCAATACAGATGTTTAGTGTACACCGTTAGACTTGGTCTTGTTCGCTCGCCTCTCAGCGACAGCAGACGCAAGGTTCTCAAGAGTGTCGACGGTGCTCTCCCAATCAATGCAAGCATCGGTGATGGAGACACCCTTCTTCAGGCCGCTAGGGCCCTCAGGCGGGACCTTCTGGTTGCCTTCGTTGATGTTGGACTCAATCATGACACCGACGATGCCGGTCTCGCCGTTGCGGATTTGGTCAGCAATGTCCTTGGCTACGAGGGGCTGGTTGCGGTGGTTCTTGTTAGAGTTACCTGTCGAAAGTTAGCGCCTATCCCTCTGCGATCGTTGGATTATAGAGCATACCGTGTGAGCAATCGACCATCATGACCTCAGCGAGACCCTTTTTCTTCAAAGCTTCTCTCGCGGCTTTGATGCTGTCCTTGTCGAAATTGGTACCCTTGGTTCCACCACGGAGAATGACGAAGCAGTGCTCGTTACCTGCCGTCCTGGTGATAGCAGCGAGACCCTGCTTCGTTACACCCATGAAGTGATGCTTAGCAGCGGCTGCACCAATTGCATCCACCGCAACGGTTAGGCCTCCATCAGTACCATTCTTGAAACCAATGGGGAACGAGAGGCCAGAGGCCAGCTCACGGTGCAATTGCGACTCAGTTGTTCGCGCACCAATGGCGCCAAGGGAGATGAGGTCTGCGAGGAACTGGGGGGAGATGGTATCGAGCATCTCAGACGCAATGGGCATGCCTGCGGATGTGAGATCCACGAACAGCTTGCGCGACACTCTCAGACCCTTGTTGATCTTGTAGCTCTCATCAATGTCTGGGTCGTTGATCAGTCCTTTCCAGCCGACGGTTGTTCGTGGTTTCTCAAGGTAGGCGCGCATGATGATGCAGAGGTTGTCTTGAAGCTTGTCGGCGAGAGCCTTGAGGCGCTGGCAGTACTCGAGTGCCAGCTCTGGGTCGTGTAGCGAGCAAGGCCCTACCATGACCAGGAGTCGGTCATCCTTTTGTGTGATGATGCTGGCGGCTTCTTTGCGACCCTGGATAACGGTCTTCTCGGCGTGTGCTGGAATGGGGATCTCGGACGCGAGAAGTTGGGGCGGGATCAGTGGGTCGTAACCAAGGACTAGACAGTGGTGTTAGTACTGGCATCGAGAAGCAAGCGCTGGTGGAGATGTACCGCGCACGTCGTCGCTTGGGTTGGTAGAGTCATTGAAGGAAGACATGTCGGGTGTTTCTGTAGTAGCAGGAGCCATGACGGTAGTCTCTCTTTATATGTATATATATATTAGCGTGCGCCCTCTGAGCTGAAACAGGAAGAGTCTTGTTGCTCCGACGTACAGGGTGCGTAAGCGATGGTCGACTTGCGGTCAGTATTACTCCGACTGTGACACAGACGAAGGTGAATATACAAGTGCCAAGTGGTGCAGGGCGTGTTGTGTGACTTGACTCGAGAAATCAGGCGAACCAGATGTGCAATTGTTTGTCCTGGCGAGTGTGCAGACAATGTATGCAGGCGCAGGTCCGAGGTCGGCGAAGACTGTAGGTAAGGGACACAGCGAGCGCGTAGCAAATACAGTCATATGCTATCAAATTATTTGGGAGTGGCTGCGAAACTTTAGGGTAAGGTGGGGCTGATGGTTCGTTCTGGGTCCCGCCAGTTATCGATACACCGCCGCCGGAGCTTTGCACCTGCAGGTGCGCCAAGCTTGTTACCGTGCTGGAATAGCCACGTTCCTGTTGGTCGATGCATGTTGCTTTGTTGGAATCTGACGACGGCGTGAAGATGACCCTTTTGTGTTGGAAGACTCGAGCACCGCGTCGGCGGCACTCGTTGACCCAAGCTGCAGCTCAAATCATCCCTCGTCCCTCCCAGTGACCACCAACATCATCCCTTCCCTTACTCTTCTCTGGGGGGCCTGTATTCAGCTTGCGACATGGGTACACGCAAACACGCCTCCTGCGACCGCCGCCATCGCATGTAGAAAGACGCTTCACTTCTCCTTGAACATGCATATACGTAGCCCACGTGATGCCGTGCCTGGCTTCCAAGATTCGGCGATTCCAAGGTTTGGCCTCAGATGCCACTTCACCACTCCGCCACGCTAAGCCACACCATCGTCGACATCATCGCTACTACCACTTAGAGGCTCCGCATGCAAGCGACGGGTTACCAACTTCCGACAACCAAGTAAAAGGTTTCCCCACACAGTCGCTCTGCCATTAGAGGCGCGCGACTCCACTACACAAGCCAGGGTTCTTTTCATGCGACCTGAAACAGCGCCCCTGATAGTCATATCGACCCCTCGCCCGCTTGCTTCCAAACATATCTACCAGGAACCTCCGACCGCAGTCGCGCTTCTCCAGCTACGCTCCTCTCGAGCGTTCTATTCATCAAAAGAACCATATCGTCTGAACTCCGTCATCGCGTTGAACGCGGCTACATAAGGATCACTCATTTCCCAAGATCACCATGTCCATGTTTCAGATCATGGCCAGGAAGCGAGGCCGGGACGACGATTCAGACTCGGATTTTGATGAGGACAGATACCCCAAGGTACGTCAGCGATACCTTCTTCCTGGGGTTGGCTAATTGTAGGATAGAAGTATCGACCGGAAAGCCACGAGCTGGTCAGCCATGACCAACTTCATCCCCAACTACTCTCGAACCTACCCCACCGGGGCGCACACACGCCGTCTCCACCAAGATTGTTCACGGACATCCGGTCAATGACGCCAGCACAATCAGAACACGGAGGAGCCTACTCGCCGGATTCGATATACGGTGGTCCCGTTCGTATATCAAGAGAGTCAAGTGGCACAGACATGGATATGGACTTGGACGACGATGAAATGGACGTTCGCAGTCAACCACCAGAGTCGCCCGCCTTCAGCTCGTTTGGCAACAACTTTATGCGACCGGCTATGCTCCAACCGTCTTTATTCAACTCAGATACTGTCAACAACAATGGTCGCATACCTACGCCCATACATCCTACCTTTAAGAGAGGAGGAATGAATGGATTGGGATACCCCATGAGTGGCTCAGCAGGTGCCATGGCTATGAACAACCTGCACCTACCTTCAGTGCAAGCACCTCCACCAGCCTGGAAGGGATCGGGACAGCATGCAGATGACGATCGGAGCAGACGTATGCCTTCGCCCATCTCAGAGGACGAGGACATTCCAGATACGCCGACCGCACTTACCCAGTCCCAGCTATCGCGACTTAGTTTCTCGCACGCCAGTACGGCCGATCAAATGGATGCCGAGTCTTCCTCAACACTGGCTCCACCGTCAACGCCTCGTGGTAGAAAACGAAGCGGTGCATTGACGGGTATGGGTCGTTTCAGCATGGGTTATCGGGAAGACTGCGAGAAGTGCAGGCAGAGGGTCCCAGGTCATTATTCGCATTTCCTACCCTAGAGGGAATGGACCCAGATTACGAAGAAGTATACAACAGCATGGTGAGCCATCATGTTCGCCCATCACACTCGCATCATGACTTTCACATACACGAATTCTTCCATTGTCTTATCATCATCACGAGTATGAACAACATCACGGGGTGACGTGTTCATGCCTCAGAATTGGCGTTTCATTCAGCATGGCGTTCCGGGAACAAGATCCGAGTAGGATCATGCGTTAATGATATCCCTCCCAATGTACGAGTAGTCTGCTTTTCAATCAAAAGCAACGTCATAGCATTCTGCACATTACAGTCTCACTTGACTGGTCTGAAAATTCTGCATCAGTGTATTCCTTATATGAGCCCAACTATAACACCAGAAACTCAGTCGGACCTTTTCTCATGACATAGCGAGATACGTCCGATGAGATGTGTGACGCTACGGTTAATCTCATCGAGCTACCATTAGCACAATGTGGAAGCGAGTAAAGCATGGTACGAAACATGTGGGTACCGGGGATCGTCAAACGAAACGAGACGGCATGGCATCTGGTGTGGCGCAAAGCCGAGTTCTGTCATCTTGAAACGAACGGTCCGAGGGTTCAAGGAGGTCTAGACCAGGCTCGCGGGTGGGATATGTCGTCTTGTGGGGCTTCACTCGTGGAGCTTCACTCGTGAACCAGAAAGTCAGGGGGTAGAAAGAATGGATTGGCCTGAGGCAAACGTAGTAGTGTCGTAGGAACTAGCAACGGAAGAAAGGTACTGTTCGGTGAACTTCTCGTGGTAAGGACCTGGCTTCAGTCTGTAGAGCTGTTTGGTATTGACACTATCAATAGCAGAATGTGAAAATAGAAACATCTTCACAAAGTGGTGGAGCTTTCAATGGCAATGAAGATAAAGATTTTACAACGGTATTTGTAAAGAAGGGGACGACGTCGGGAAACCTTTTCTTGTAGGCTACAGGATATGGCACGGAGGTAAATAAAGTTAGTTCCTAAAGCATACTCTAGAACAACTAAATCAACCTTGGAAATGTTGCTCGTCGACTAATGGCGGCCACTTCGCGATTACTCGTGACATGAACAATAGGATCAGGTAAATTCACTAAAGGCTTCTCGTAGTACGGAATGTACTTCTGGCGACGTTTTGGGGTCGTACAACTATCTCTAGACTGGTGGTCTTCGGTTTTTCGCCCAAGTGTGTTGCAGGGGAGGATACAGTATACAAATCCCCCTCTCTCTGTATCCAATCTGATGAAAAGCACTATTTAAAGATAAGCGTAATCTTATGAACGACCATATTGGTGATGAACCAGCCATACCACGGAGCATATCATCCCATATGCTCAATGGTTCCCTATCCAGGTATCATGCCAGCAGAATTTCATTCTCCCTTCAAGCGATCGGCCATAGGAAAGCTACTTGTAGACAACGGATCTTACTCTGAAGCTTAGGGAAGCCGCCTATCAAAGAGGCTGAATAGGGACACATCTTCTGGAACATGCAGTTGTCCGGAGTTGCTATTGCTCGCCTTTGATAGACCTCCGAAGTTCAAGGTGATTAGAAGGGTCACAGTAGATATCAAAGCCGCCAGTAAACAAAGTGGCCTTATGTCCCAACAAAGGTCACCTGCGACATAGAGATAGTTCTGGTGCATTCACATGCATGGCTATTCGATATGCCAACTTCTTCTCTAAATATTGTCAGGTGTGAGACATCTCAAATGACACCTTACTGCACCCACCACCGCATCGTGATACAGTCACTTCCAAACATAAACAAGCTGCGAGGGACATGCTCGTTGCCAGAAGGAACTTGAAATTGCAGTAATAAGATCAATACAGTTATCCAGACCTCGGCCGCAGATGGGTGCAGCCTATGTGGGACCACAGCCTCTTAGCGTTGACGCTTGTAGGAATAAGGCTAGCGTAAGCGCTAAGGGTCTGGCAAAAATTGAGCTTCCGACGAATTTCTCGAACACCACTTCAACATGTCGTCGAAGTCGTAAGTTGTCTCTGCACCGCACACCTATTTCAAAGCTAACACGCGCCTCACAGAACCGTTCCTACACAGAGCGAGGTCATTCTCGTGCCTGAGAACCTCCTCAAGAAGAGGAAGTCTCAAGAGAAGGCACGCGAGGAGCGCGCGATCGCAACACGCGAAAAGCGAGGTACGGCCAACCCCGCATGCTTTCAGAGATCTCGGGAGGGCGATCACGATGATTATAACAACCACACTATCGGCTAGACTACGGTCAATGTTGTCGAATTGTTAACCATCTTTCGGGAATGATGCGATCGCCCTCTTTGAAACTCATGGCATGCCATACTGTTTTGAACAGCGCTGACATGAAACAGACAAGAATAAGAAGAAGCGCGAGGTCATCTTCACAAGGGCTGAGAAGTATGTGAAGGAGTACCGCGATTCTGAGCGTGAGCGGGTGCGCATGGCGCGCGAAGCCAAGAAGAGCGACAGCCTCTACGTCCCCGCTGAGCCAAAACTCGCCTTCGTCGTTCGGATAAAGGGTATCAACAAGATTGATCCCAAGAAACGCAAGACACTGCAGCTCCTTCGGCTCCTCCAGATCAACAATGGTGTTTTCATCAAGCTTACCAAGGCGACCATGGAGATGCTGAAGATTGTTGAGCCGTTTGTTGCTTATGGTTACCCAAACCAGAAGTCGGTTCGTGAGCTCATCTACAGTAAGTTTCGACTCAAGCTCAACTTTGTTGTCGGACACTAACTCATGTACAGAGCGTGGCTATGGCAAGGTCGACAAGCAACGACTCCCTCTGACCGACAACGAGATTATCGAGGAGAACTTGGGTAAATACGGCATGATCTGTATGGAGGATCTTATCCATGAGATCTGCACTGTTGGACCAAACTTCAAAGCGGCCTCCAACTTCCTCTGGCCGTTCAAGCTAAACAGCCCTACTGGTGGCTTCCGTAAGAGGAAGTTCAAGCATTTCATCGAAGGTGGTGACTTGGGCAACCGGGAAGACAAGATCAACGATTTGATCAGGCAGATGAACTAGATCGCCCATTGGTCGAAGTTCTTGGTTTTCGTCTCTGGTTTGGCGCGTGAAAAGCTTTTGGGATATACCACGGAATCAGCATTTACATCGGCGTTTGGGATCCTGGACCTAAGTATATGGTCGTCTTATGAGTCTACGTGCGAAACGCATGCAATCTGAATGAACTACGCAGTCACTGCGCCATCCTCTGCCTTATCCAAATTGCTTGTCTTGACCTCGTGCGCCCGTAACTATCGTGTCCTTGTCTGTGTCATGCGATGTGGATTAGCTCCATTGGATGCCAGCGCATATCGAACGCGTTGGGCACTGGGTGAGCCGAAAAGCCTGTGCATCGCGAAGGGGCCCAACTGAGTAAGGCTATTGCTAGGTAGTCACGTAGTCCTTACCATGAAGCCTGGTCGTAATGTCACTGCAAGCTCAGCGGGTGAAACTGCTTCCTCTGGCCTTGGAGCCTCGTCTTCCCAGGTTGAGGGCTTAAGAGTGGATCACGTGTTTTAGTGCACTAAGCTATTTTGACCAAGTATCGTGTCTGCGTCGTTGCTCGCCAATCAACAGCTGCCTGCGTCTCCTTGCCGGCACATGTTTTTTTCCTTCTTCTTCAACGCATAGTGTTCGCCCTCACCGCATCGCTTGACGTAAACAGCCGTCAAATTTTATTATTGACGACATGGCACTTGACGCCACGGCAGGCAAAAGATGGCTTTGATGTGGGATAGTGAAGTCACATGTGTGACGGCAGGATGTTTCTGGTGCCTGATGAAAAATCACGGTAAAGGGCTGCAAGCGTCACTACGGGTATTGATGAGCTCCAGGGGGCCAATCCGAAGCCAAGGAACTGGTCAGCAAAGATCTTAGACTGTGTGAGTGGAGAAAGTGCTGGCCTCGAAGGCTCGAACTTCCTCACATGCATCCCAGGTGCATACGGTGGGCACCTGCTTACGATATAGCACCGAGCCCAGAGGGGGGCGCCGAGCGCTTGGGTTGCGAGTGACGATTGCACGAGCAGTAATTTGGCGATGGGGACGTTGATGACGCCCGCCGACAGACGCACGGCATTCCGGTTTCGCCGTCAACGTTGTCACTGCCACGCTACAATGGTGTTCAGATTTGGGATCGATTTGCATAAGTCGCGCTGATCGCGAGACCCCCCTCATCATCGTGGTAGGACATGGCCCCGCCGGCGGATACCGTAGGTCTGACTCTTTGGGGCCAGACGTCGCAGGAGCACTCAACGGCCGCGGCACAATTTTCGCAGTGCGAACGGGTCCGAGTCGATGGTGAAGTGCGCGATTGCAATGCTATTCTTGGGTCCGGCGCATTGCCATGTCCACGACGACACAAGAAGCAGCTGGGCTGTCTACCCAAAACAAAACAGACAGATGCTAAGCGTAGGCGTCGAGCACGGGGTTGTCTGTCGGCCAGTGCAAATTGTCTCCTGTCTAGATAAATAAGGCTCTGAAGCACTGTTCACAACCCAAGGAGCTCAGATGACAGCTGCTCATGAAGGCGCAGCGGACCAGTAAGGCCGCTACTGCAGGCGCACCAAAAGAAGACGGCAAGCCGGGTTGCAGGAGAGGCGACTGGCGATACGTGGCTTGCTCCCCTCGCGGGTGCAGAGGGTGGTCCCTGGGTGCGTTCATTGGCCTGGACATGCTGGGGACGCATGAAGGCGCTCGATTTGTGCACCAGCACTGCAGCGCTCCTGCGTCGAGAGTCATGAGTGGTAGTCACCGCAAAACGCGGGCTGGGAGTCGACATTTATGACCCACTAACTGCAAGAGGCAGAGTTTTCATAGCACATGAGTGGATAGACAGACAGGTAATGAACCATTATTGCAGGTGCGGCCTTCGGATCAAGACGGTCTTGCTGGCTCGCCATTGCTAGAGAGCCCCTTCGCTGCTAGGCCTCGCTAACGGTGTGCGATCGAATACACCCACATCACCGCCTTCTGCTCTCCCCATCCCCATCCTCCCTCACCTCCTCCCCCCGTCTCCCCCATCTCCCGCGTCCTGTCTTCGTCGCAGGCGTTGCTCGTTGCGACACAGTCCCCAAGCCCCAACGGACGTGCGCTTCCAATCTCGGCTGTCCGGCATCCCCAGCCCGCTCACCAGCATCACCCGACGCTTGCTCTGTCTCGCTGGCTTTGCAAACGAGCAGTGCAGCACTCACGGGTAGACTCGTCCGTCTGGCTCTGACACCCAACGCCTCGTCACCTCCGCCACCTGAACACAGGCTGCGTGTGCATTTCTCGGCTCTGGTTCTGGCTTGTACTGTCTAATTGCGCTCCGTTTCAACCTGCTTTTCTTTTGCCGCCTGTCTCCAGGGACCTCGACGCTCCGCGACATCATCAACAACAACGACCTCGCGTCGCCGGATCTATTGACTTAGCCCCGGCCTGCCTGCGCTCCATCACCCTCGAGCTGCACTGCACCTGTCGACGCACACTTTGCTTCCATTCCAGCCCCTTCTCCGCCTTCGCGCAACAAGCACCACCAGCGCGACACTTTGCTACCACGCACCAAACACCTCCCAGGCGACACTTTTCCTTGCATGAGCACATCTTTCTAGAGGGTCCGTAGGCTACTCTAGAGGCGGCGCGAACGAGAAGACTGTACGTCACCAACAAATTCTGCTAGCGATACGGCTCACTACCAGACTCCTTCAACTTCACAACAAGGCATCGCTAACACAACATCAGGAGCCTCGCCAGTCTTCTCTCTGCGGCGGTCCAACACCATCATGCCCTCCTTCTACCCCCGGCATAACATGCCACGGCTGTCTCCTCAGGAGTTCGTCCCCAGCTACCACTCTGCCTGTGGCGCATCATACCCACCGCAGCAGCCCGCGTACGCTGGCCCTACGATCCGGCAGCAAGATGATGGTTACGACTTCGCAGACCGCTACGGTCAGCTGGCCATCGCCATGCCACCCATGTACCCGCAGGCCGGCACCTACCTAAGCAGTGCGCCTCCTAGCCTCCCACCCGCGAGCTCGTTCTACGACCCCATGGGCGCAACCACACTGCCACCCATGCGCGCACAGTCTGGTCACTCACTGGCAGAGGCAGCTATGCAACACCAGCGCGTGCATGAGTACAACCAGCGAATGAACCAGCCGGCTAAGGAAGAGAAGCCTGTCGGCGGTGTGTCGGCGAAACTGGATTATGACATGGACGTCATGACCGACTTCGTCTGCGAGACAGCCCTACGACTCATCACGCCTGGTCGCATGATGCCTTCGTCTTTCCGCAAGTGGGTGCACCAGGTTCTCTGCGCCACGCGCCTGCCCTCGGCCACCATCTTGCTCAGCATGTACTATTTGTCCAGCAGGATGCCCATGCTGGCTCACGAGCCGAAGACCGACACCCACCTGTTCCGTCTCCTCACTATCGCACTAGTGCTCGGTAGCAAGTTCCTCGACGACAACACCTTCATTAACCGTTCGTGGTCTGAGGTCAGTGGTATTCAGGTCCACGAGCTGAACGAGCTTGAGCTCGAGTGGCTCGTAGCCATCAAGTTCAGGCTTCACCGCGATCCTACGGAGCAACACGGTTGGACATCGTGGTCAGAGCACTGGAAGGATTACCAGAACACTGCTGCTGCGCGTTCTGGTCGTAGCAACAAGCTTAGCCCCATCGACACGTCGGTACAGCGACGCTCACTCAACCCTAACAAGCCGCTCCCTCCTCTACCGATGCAGCAGGCCTACACTCCCCCGTACGACTATGTGCCCAAGTCGGCCCAGTCCGCCTACAACCCTCCGACCTACTCGCAGTACGACCCATGGCGGTCCGCTAGCGAGCACTCTCCTGCGTCAGCACCCACCACGGGCCCGACTACCCCAGAGTACTATGGCACAACGGGAACTTGGGCTCCGGCCGAAGGATACTCGCGTCGCACCATGTTCGGTTTCCCTCCCTTGTCTCAGCCCGCCCCTACGCAAGCGCTCCAGCAACCGTCCAATTACGGTCCACCCGCTTACTCACAGTACACCCCGTCGGCTTGGAACCAGCATGGTCTCAGCTGCGGATGCGCCTACTGTGTGCAGAGGCACCCGCCCTACTACATGGCACCTGGTTACGGGCCCCAGGCTGTTGCCGTCTAATCGTTTGCTCCTCATCGGCCGAGCACCATGGCGACATCGTCCACTTGACGTTCCACGGATAAATATTCGACATCCCATTTCAGCGCTTCATATGTTCAAAAGTTACTCTTCCGTTCCGCGAAGTACCATGGCCTACCTGAGCCCACCCAGTTCCGACCACTGGATACATTTGGCTACTTCGATTTCCTCAAGCCTAGACTACCGGACATTGTCAAGGCGCAACTGCCTCATTCCTTCCGCTATCTGCAAGCATATTGGTGCGCCTCCGGATCTCACGAAAACGCACAAGGCTTGCGATCATCTTGCATGATAGATTTCACTGGTTTCCTTTTCTTTCCCTTTCCATCACTCTTTCCTTATTATCACCGGTATTACGTTTTAGACTTTGGTTTGCCCATGGTCTAATAGGAGCATGTCAGCGAAATTGTGGGTTACGGCGTTCCTGCTTTCATTCGGGTGTCATATCGCACCTTTACGATGTTCATTTCTCTAGCGCTACCTCAATGTTTACGGAGGTTGCCTTTTTTCGGTTTACGGATTTCACTTCTCAGGAGTCGGCTTTCGCTTTCAGCATGCGGAGTCACCCCACGCGACCAATCCTTCGGCAGTGACCATGGTCATGCCGCCACTGGAGGGCCGCTTGTTACGTTCACGACTTCTTTCCTGGATCCTCGCCTTCCGCTGTAGTCGGGTTGTAATTAATGGCACAAGATCAGCGATGGGATTCGCTTTATTTCTTTTGGAGCGGCGGAAAAAATACCTCTTGCTTTATCTGGTTTCTGCACCGGCATTGTTTTGGGCAACGGGAGGGAAGATTTGTTTAGTGTATAACTGCGATACAACGAAATATCCTGATATTGGGGATACCATCAGAATGCGAAAAAAAACATCCTAGAAAAGCGATACAGTCGCACAGGAAACGACAAATCAAACTCCACTTCACCTGGTGATCATTGTTCCCGTTCCTCATTTGATAAAGTGATCTGCCCTGCTTGTGAGTAAATCCTATTCAATCCTCTTGAGCAGCACTCGGATGATAACCACTGCAGTTACATCATTGTCGCAGCACCGAAGCTGCTGGGTTTGCACGAATACAGGCTGTTGTTTCAGCTACTTCAGCCCATCTTGAGACAGCCTGGTTTGTTGCCCTCGGTCCCAACGCCATCCGATCCAGCGATCCAGATGCCCTGTCGTCCCGGAGATCCCGTCCCAACAGCAGGCGTCAGATCACTCGATCTCGCATTCTTTCGGACAGGGGCATATTACGCGCAATGTCTTGGACATACAACGTACACATTACGTGACAGTCTGTCAAACTGGGCCACAAGGCACGGCCAAGGTCGAGTTGACCATTTTGACTGAAAAGCACAATGGTTTGTTCGTATGTCTTATATGTGTATCTTCTGTGTGGTCACAATGAAGCAGAGATGCTTGGACTATCTAGGTTCGATTGAGGTGATACCTGTTTCCAGTAAAGATTTTTCCAACACACATATTGTTGCCGAACATTGCAATTTTATAGATGTCAGAGTGGCATCCATCAACAGTATTCGGTATGATTACTACACCATAGCTGATTGATGTATATGAGTACCCTGTACGTATTAGGGGTGGTTGTGAAGGCAACACGAGCTTCAACGGTCTAAGCTGCTACATTAATGGCGTGGCGTCTTCGAAGCGATACTACTGGTATAGTACCAGTAGCTTGTATAGAGAGAAACCTCCATGACTATCATAATATGTAGTGCTGTCTCTCTGGGGGCTGGCAGGCTTTAGTAGTGCGTATTGAACCCAATATACTATTTACTCGTTATTCCTTGGCGGAACAGACGTACTGAGGTATACATCCATATGTTCTTTTCTTTCGTATTAGTTGAAGCATACCTTATTCACACTCACATCATGAAAGTAGCCACTCCTGAATTGTATTTTCGTGTGTGTTGTAATTGCATGATCGTCCTGTGCTTCTATATTATCGCACTTGCTATCGCAGCTTTCATGCCGATAGCTTATTCGTATAACACCGTATTCTTTTCTCGCGCGACAGCATAGCCACTTGTAACCGTTCCATTGTCGTCTCGCCTATCGCATGCCTGTCGGGTCTATCACGCTCTGGTTCTGCGGACTTAAGCAGAAGCCCCACGCACAATGCGTGCTCTAGGTACCAGTAAGACGGACGAGGCACCACGCCACGTTGATTCGGCCGCGAAATAGTGCGAATTACGATCGCGCGAACCACACGAAAATGCCCAGAGAGGCTCGATAATGCTTGAACTTGGATGGACGCCAAAACGAGTCGGACAAACAGACTGGCCGCTTGTCCGGATCCGATGTTGCCTTGTGGGCTAGCCATTAGCGAGCATGCGCCATTACTAGATGATGCATCATGGCCTCCACGTTAATAGTGGTTATCTCCGTCTGGCGCAACTTTTACCCGAAAGGTATTGTGGCTGTCGCAACTGGCGGTGGACGCGTATGATAATAATCTCGCGCTGCTTGGAGAGATCCTGTGTTTGGCCGCTTGAACTGAGTCAGGCGAATATACATATCTAATGTCGCGCCTGTCGCTCTCGTCTCGTGTCATACGCCGATTGTTCAGTGAATCGCGAACGTACCGGAAACTTGGGAAATACCAGAGCTTCTGGCAAACACCGCACTTTGGTACTACTATCACAATGAGCTCAATAGGTGGTGCGAGCATTGGTGCAGGTTTCTATGCTGTGGTAAGCAATCCAGCCCAGATTGCTGCTAAGCCTGAGGAAGCGGATGAAAAGAAGCACCATTTAAAAGGCGGGAAAGGGTTTACGAATCCGTGGGATAGCTATGTTGAAATAAGTCCTTGGGAGCTGCTGGTCAAGGGTATGATATGGTAAGTCCAGTCTTCGGTATCATCGTATAAGTACTACAATTGCAGGCTGACACCATCGTAGGCGCAAAATTACAGGTCAAGCCAATAACCCAGACACATCGCCTCCAACAGTACCAGTCCGCACACCAGAATTCCTTCCCTCACGAAAAACGCCGAAATTACGTGCAACATGGCTTGGTCACGCATGCTATTACATCGAGTTCCCAAGCGGCTTCCGCGTCCTTTTTGATCCTGTCTTCGAAGACTGTTGCGCGCCCATTACTATGAAGAACCTAAAACGCTTCACGCCTCCTCCCTGCGAGATTGAAGATCTGCCAATCGTTGACGCAGTAGTCATAAGCCACAACCACTATGACCATCTCAGCTACCCGACAATTCAGCGCCTACAAAAGAAGTTCCCTGAGGCGCATTTCTTCGCACCATTGGGCAACAAGAAGTGGTTTGAGAAGAGCGGAATTACAAAAGTTACAGAGTTGGATTGGTGGGAGAGCAGGGATGTTACATTGGAGGAGTTGTCGCAAAAGGGCAATAAGGCAGGTTCTGTTTCTGTGGGTTCCCCAGACATGGGGGGGAATGGTGACATAAAGGCAACGATTGGTGCGCTGCCTTGCCAGCATATCAGTGCAAGGACACCGTTTGACAAGGCCAAGACGCTCTGGGCGAGTTGGAGTGTGGAATCTGGTGGTGCGAAAGTTTACTTTGCTGGGTATGTCTGCTCCATTCCTTGCCTGCTTATAATAACATCTCCGCAGCGACACAGGCTACCGCACAGTGCCGTCCAGCATTCCCGCCACCGAAGATGATTACTCTGCTGCCTACTCTCATCTACCCACATGCCCGGCCTTTTCTCAAATCGGTCAGCATCGCGGCCCCTTCGACCTTGGTCTAATTCCCATTGGCGCCTATGAACCTCGCTGGATGTTCAGCAATGTACATGCTAGTCCCAAAGACGCTGTCAATATATTCGCGGACACTAAATGTAAGAGGGCGCTGGGAATGCATTGGGGTACGTGGGTGTTGACCGAAGAAGAGGTCATGGCACCACCAAAGGAATTGCAGGAGGCTTGTGAATGGAAGGGTATAAAGGGGGGCAAAGAAGGCTTCGGAATTTGCGATATTGGTGAAAGCACTGAGTTTGATTCTGGAGATGAGGCAAAGAGGTAAAAACGAAAGACCTTGATACTGTCACACTCATGATACCCAAGAGCGTAATTTCAAGTGTAAGGAGTTACTGTTAGGTAGGAGAGACAAATATGTAAAGTGGAAGCCTCCGGGCTCTCACTCCATAAATTTGTCATTTCTGCGACTCAAATCGTCACTTGCCAATCGGTGTGCATGACTGTCGCAATGCTTATCATTCATTCATTTACCACATGTTCTATGCATATTCTAGGCTTGTACTCATGATTTCAAGTATCCTGGGTCTTCTGCAAGATGACCTTGATCATCTCATTTCCCAACTTGGTCGCCTCTGGGAACCTCGGCTCAAAGTATTTTTGGATCTCCTCAAACTTCTCCCGATAGCCATCGAAGTTACCCAGACTGACACGCGAGCTCCAGTCTCTGGCGGCGAAGGTAAACTCCAAGTCATCGGCGCGGAAAGTGTTGTCATCGATAGCTGTGTCGATGGCCTCTTCGAGTAGCGTGGGGTTGCAGAAGAGGTACTCTGTGATGCCGAGCCACATACGCGATGGCTAGATATGTGTTAGTAATCAAAGTTGCAGAACGAGTTAAGCGGCAATGAAGGGGGATCATAGACTTACAGGTGTCGAGCAGATCATGTGGTCGTAAGGTACTATGCCTAGCTTCCACCAGCAGTCTACCATGGCAAGTAAACTGAGATGGTTGTTCTTGAGCTTCTTCTCTGGGATCGTGCCTAAGGCGAATCGGTCAAGCAAATCGTCTCGTAGAAGCAGCTTCTTGCCATCCTCATTGTCACCAAAGACGGCCTTGCGTGCAGTATGAACACGTTCACGGAGTTCGTCCCGTTGCCCAGCGAGCATAAGCTTGAACAGTTCGGTCACTGACTCGGCATACTGTTTAATCTGCTTTTTCGCATCTGGATTGAGAATTGCAAGACCTGCATAAACATGCCATTTGTTGGAGTAGATGCGGAGGGTGATGTTCATCTTGACGTTCTCGATACCGCCGACATAGCGTGAACTGTCCCATGGAAACTGGTTGTTCGCGAACCATGCACCACCCATGCTGAGGAAGGCGGCATGGGTAACAGCTTGCGTATCCGCCGTGATGCGATCATGCTGCTCGGCAGAGAGATAGACATGCTTTGACCCCAGGCAAGACATGACGTTTTCTGCGAATGCGAAGTCGGCGTCTGAAGCCCTGTATTTGATCAGGACCAACGGCTGCCCCTTGGGGTCTATACCGGGCCCATGGAGAGAGTGCACCGACACGATGCTAACGTCCTTGGGAAGATGTTTGTCAAAGGCATCCATCTCTGGAGCTTTGCATGAGGTCTGACCGCCAACTATGGCACCAACCTTAGTAGCTGAATGCGGGAATGAGTTAGTGGTAGCATGTATCAATATCAGGAGACGGCGTACAGGGGCCGAAAGTCTTGACGACTGCATCGATGTTCTTCGCCTCGACGCTGTAGATGATGAAGTCGCTGCAGCGAGACACGAGATGACCACTTTGCATGATCTCAACTTTGGACTGGCGCAGTCTCAGTATGCGTTCATTGATTACAATATATAAAAGTGCTATCCTACAAAGTCCCGAAACTCTTCTACTAATGTATCGAACTTGTCCGGCAAATCGCAGGCGTGAACCCTTCAAAGACAGCATGTCAGCGTGTTCGATGAGAGGAGTCGATCTGTGAGGCAACTGGTTAGCAAAGTTCGCGCCATAGTAATGAACAATGCGATGTAGTTGTTTGTAGTTCAGAGGTGTATAAAATAAGGTAGCGAGAATTCACATCATGGACAGCAACATGCCCAATTACTGCAAACCAAGACGGCAGCAGTGTGGACATGCGCCGTACTCGAGCCAAATGCACTCACGGTCATCATAACGGGGGAAAGGGTGTGTGAAAGAGGGTGGAGGGCTTACCATTTGCAGAAGGCTCTGGAGCTTCGAGCTATCAGTCGCGCGAATGCACTCACTTCCATCCAGCTGTGCTCAGGCGGCGGGCGTACATCTTGCCCATGTCGCCCATGCCTATGATACCGACACTCTTGCGGTCTTCCATGGTTGTTGTCGTGTCGCACGCTCCTGTGCGTGAGTGAGGTGGAGGATGTCAGCCCATTGCGAAGCGATGGAGGACCTAAAGATCGCTTGCGGCTGCCAAAGAAAAGTTGAGTAGTTGGGCTTGGCACGCTAAGCACGGCGTTTAGTTCCTCCGACACAAGCGAAATTCATCACCCACCAAAAGTTCGACCTCACGATCGCCGCCAGCGTTACGAACCGCCAGTCACGTCAAGAATCCCTCAAATCCGCCAACATGCCTCCCAAGCAGAAGGTCGCCCGCGCTCCCCAGGAGAACATCCAACTCGGACCCCAGGTCCGCGAGGTTCGTGAACAACAAGCATTGGAAGACGAGAGACGATGAACTGACAGCCGCGCAGGGTGAGCTTGTCTTCGGTGTTGCCCGTATCTTCGCTTCCTTCAACGACACCTTCGTCCACATCACCGATCTTTCTGGCCGCGAAACCATCTCCCGTGTCACTGGTGTAAGTGCAGACATCAGGACTGCATGCGACGTGCACTAACCAGTACAAAAGGGCATGAAGGTCAAGGCCGACCGTGACGAGAGCTCTCCCTACGCCGCCATGTTGGCAGCCCAGGATGTTGCTGCTCGCTGCAAGGGTAAGACAGCCTGGAATCGATAAGCTGGAGCAGAAGCTAACTTGGCTAGAACTCGGTATCACCGCTCTCCACGTCAAGATCCGAGCCACCGGTGGTAACGGCACCAAGACCCCCGGCCCCGGTGCCCAGTCCGCTCTTCGCGCTCTTGCCCGCGCTGGCATGCGCATTGGACGTATCGAGGACGTTACCCCCACCCCATCCGACTCCACCAGAAGGAAGGGTGGTCGCCGTGGTCGTCGTCTCTGAGCATGTGCGCAAGTTTTTTGCTCAGTGGTGGGATATGGCATGGCATGGTATGCACGATTTATGGTTTAATGACCACAATCAAATAAAGTCGCGGGGAACGGCGAATCGCCTGGTCTCCTTGTTGAACTTGGCTTCTCCTGCGAGATAGTCGAGCGAAATCAACAGAATCCTTTTTAGTTCGAAAAGGTTTCCCGACAATGAAGTGCTTACTGCTGTGTTGCTCAAGAGGTTTATACATTACGATTACGACTGCTTTGGGTATACTGTGACGGATCGTGTTAAATGTCGACGACCTGGATGGGATTACCCAACTTCCCTGTATTGCCAATTGTTTGGGCTGCATTGACCATGATTGTGTTGGGACTCTGTCCACCCCACACGCGATCCCACAGAAGCTCTCTTATACCACGGTATGCGACTCTAACAATGTTCCACCACAGCTTCGGATTGAGTAGGCCTCGCGTCCACTTTGACTTTATCGAAAGCCCTCGCACATAGGCATCATGGGCTTTATCCCAGTATACTACAGTTCGCCCAGCTCCCCAGTGCACATGGCCGAAGACATGCAATGTAGGTTTTACTCGTTTGACCTCAGCAAAAAGGTATTCACAGCCAATTCCTGTCGGTAATGATAAGTCCAGATGGAATCTCGGCGGTGTGTGTGTGATCAAGATATCGATATCTTCAGGCACAGTTTCTGACCAGGCGTCTCGACCTCGTTCATACTGAAAAGCATGGATGTCCATTGGTCCGCACGCTGGAATTTGTGGTGCGCCATAGATCCGTATCCGCCTCTGGTTTTGTTCCGCTGCGAGTAGGGGTGTCGATGCATCTGTCTGAACACCGTCCCTAGGCTCGACCCTGATCGTGAGGCTCAACCGCCGGTGCTGCAAGTAGTGCACCCTTTTCCAGTTCAGCTTCCCAGTTCTCTGCTCCTCAGATAGCGAAGGTCGGGTCCTTGGATCTAGAAACGTATCGTGGTTTCCACCGACGACGACAATCTCTCTATGCGGCAGTGAACTCAGCCAGTCTATTTGTTTCTGTATCTCCGCCACGCTTCCACCATTTGTCATATCCCCGGCATGGATGAGCAGGTCGCCTTCTGGTACATCTTCCGGTATGTGGTTATGCGTATCGGAAATGCAGACGACCCGAACAGGTGGTTGCTGTAAGGGTTTTGGGGTTGAGCGCAGGTACGCGAGAAGGTGATACGAATGGTAGAGGAGTAGCTTTACGGGGGCCCGGAATAAAAGCGCGACGAAGGGCGTGGGTTCGAAATCTGATTCGGGGCGATACCAAGGATTGAGATACGCGAGAAGCATTGCCAGAGAGCGAGAGGCCCGTTGTCTGTCAGTGGTGAGCAGATGGGTGACAGCATGCGACGCGCTCATCCGACCAGGGTCCATGTCCAGTGGCTTGCTAGCGTGGCTGTGCGGACCGCAGCTTCCTTCGAGGCACACCCGACTCCCCTACGTCGACGTCAGGCCTGTCTCTCGTGGCACTAGACGAACTCAACAGAACACCGCTCAGCCACGATTGCAGCATTTCTCATGCGTAGCAGAACGCCATCGCGATTCCACCTTGACCGGACTCCACTAGCCCAGACTGTTTGATTAGCCTAGGATTTACAGACGGCCTTCAGCTCGAGACCATGGAGGCAGTGTTGGTCACAAATCAGGCTGCGCGCGCCTGCATGGCAACGTACTATTTGCTCATGTAGCCCTAGCGATATAACTGAAGTATCAGCCTTCTTCCTGCTCACTCTTGAACTACTACGCACATTCTGTATTTATCTTGCCGCTTTCTGTTCTTCCCTAGTGAGATCATCCAAGTGTCCTGTTCAAGGGTCTTTTTACACAGAAACCACCTGTCTATCAGGCCAAAACAATGGCTGAGCTAGCGATTGGAGGTGTATCCTTCTTCTTCCAGGTGTTTGCAGGATGCATCCAAGGTCAATACACCTATTTGTTGCACTCAAATGATATCTGACAGATCTCATTAGGTTACGAACTAATCGCTGATGCTTGTCAATTCCGTAAAGACTGTCAAGCTCTTCTGCTTAACTTCAAGGTCGAGGAACATCGACTACTCAACTGGGCAAAGCTTGTACAGCTTGACTATCGAGATGACAAGCTAGTTTTGAACCACATGTCGAAAGGCCTAATCATCAACATCATGGAGCAGCAGCAAAAGCTTCTCTTCTCATTCGGCCGACTAGACAACAGATATGAGAGGCTCACTGATCCTCTCCTGGAGGAAGCAGCTGAAGAGTTCGTGCTGCAAAATTCGGACCGGTTGATCGAGAATGATACCAACGGCTCCAGCGAAGGGCCTGTAAAGCCCGTCCGGTTTCCGCCCACCGAAGAGCTGGTCAAGATGTCTCTCAAGTTTGTGCAACAATTCAAGGATGTGCCCAAGAGACTAAGATGGGCGACTTTCGACCACCAAAAGATGGAAAAGCTTATTGCGAAACTGGCCAACTTCAATGACAAGATGCACGAAGCGCTAGACAAGGCTCAAGTGGACCTTCTCATTGACATGCAGACACGTACCAATGACCAGATAGTCCTGCTGAACAGGACTATGTCGCACATGGTTCAAATCTACCAATCTCAGCAGTTAGAACAGATCAGCTTCCAAAGATCACACTCATTGCTAGAGATGGACAACGCCCAGTACGATGGACTAATTGATAGTGGCGCCGTCATAGCTCGCGGTGCCGCACATCAGCCTCTGGCCGCCCTGGCCCAGCAAAACTTCATTCACCTTGCTATTGAAGACTCTCGCGAAGATCTCACATCAAGCTATGCACGGGAGATCAATATGCCAGATCTCCCGAACGACATCCGCGATACTAAGCTCCACTATGCAGACGTACGACCTAGGCAAGGCACCCAATTTCCTCAAGAGATTGATGAGGGTGTACGTACGGAAGCATACTACAAAAAAACGCCTGTATGGATCGAATGGAAAACTCCTGACACCTCCGGTCCTATGCAGCAAGATGGTGGAGTCGATGCCAAAATCCATGCTCGTGTCAAGAAACTAGCTGCTTTGCTCAGTAAGCACAACAGGACAGTCAGGTTCAGAGCACCCTTCTGCCGCGGCTATTTCATCGACGAAGACGAAGGACGTTTTGGTTTGGTTTTTGAGAAACCTGCATCTGTTCCGATGGATACGGAGCCTACATCTTTACATGCGCTCATTACTACCCCTGAAAACGACATTCCTTCATTGACGGATCGCATCACGCTCATGCGCCTGCTTGTTGAGACAGTCGAACGTCTACATGCAGTTGATTGGCTACATAAGGGTTTGCGATCCGCCAACATCTTACTGTTTCCTAAGAAGGGGGGTAAAGTTCACAACGGCCGGGTCATGGAAGGCGAAATCAATTATGCGGATCCTTTCATCAGTGGCTTTGACTACTCTCGCCCAGCTACTAGCGACGATATGACCGAACGCCCTCTTGACAATCCTGCCGCAGACATCTACCGCCATCCGTCTGTACAACACAAAGGAAATCGTGAGGACGCCGGCGGTCGAGAGTCTTACAAGAAATCCTTTGATCTTTACTCGCTCGGTATTGTCCTGTTGGAGATTGCTTACTGGAGGCCCATCGACCAGATTGTCTGTATTGACCTCGAGAACGCCCGACCTAAAGATACCTGGGGTGTTAAGAAGAGATTGTTGGAGAAGGAACCACAACATCTTCGTGGTGTGAAAAGTCACCTAGGCAATACAGTAGAAGGTGTGATTACGGCTTGTCTTCAAGGTCCCGTGGCGTTTGACCTCGATGAAGATGCAGACGAGAAGAGGGAAGTTGTCGCTGCACAGTTACAGAGAGCATTTGGGGAGAAGGTCGTGAAGAAATTGGGAAGCATGAAGGGACTATAGATTTTCATTTCGTTCTCGGGTCGGATGTCGGCTTATACCTTGATACAGTCCTTCATTTTCCATACTGCAGCCGCCAACTTAACCATGGCTGTCCTTACCATGATGATTCTCTAAGGTTCGTGATTTTCGTCGAACCTAATTCATTTTCGCAATGACACATGTGAATATGGAACGCTACAGCTCATCCATCCTATCGGCGATGGCAACTTGAAGCTTAATACTAGATGAACCTCATTGGCGGGGTGAATCACAGTATCAGTCTGAGAGTGCAGTAAAAAGGGTCAGGCCTTAGGGGTTGAGTTTGTCATTGTATCGAAGAGGATCCTTCAATATCGCTATTTCGTCCATCGTCAATCATATCTATATCCATGAGCAGTCACCCATGATGCCATTCATCGCTCCTCAACTGGTTATGCAAATATCCCTAAAGTACAGACAGTCTCGAATCGAAGGCGCTTTACATTCCGTGCTTCTTCAGGTACTCGCCGAGCTCAACTACTGAGTTGAAGGCGTTGGGGGTCTGAATGGTGTCGGGGTGGTGGGCGATAATGACGGCTTGGGTGGTCTTGAAGGCGACAACGCCCTCTTTGCCCTGAAGTTGTTGTCAGTATCTGTATGCTATGTTGTGGACTGTGTCTGGTATGGTACCTTCTTTGCCTTGAGCGAGTCATCGCTTGCCTCGATGGTCATGTATTTTACGCCATTGACCTTGACACCCTCCGAGATGACCTTCTTGGGCTCTGACTTGTCGCCGAAAGACCTGGCGATGGCAGCCCTCTCCTCAGCGGAAAGCTGTACTCCGTCAGCATCAATGCATCGTATATGCGCTACCAGAGCCTCGCATCAGGGACGCTTGCAGCATCTGGCGCGTGTTAAACGGACGACGTACCGAGAAGTCGGCGGATGCGGCCCAGGCAGTTGCGCCCTCGACGTCGCAGATGAGGGCCTTGTCGATGTTGCCGGTGCCGACGAGGCTAGATAAGAGCGTTAGATATGGACGGCTACTCGTTGCGAGGCAAAGCGTACCTGGTGTCAACGTATTCTACGTTCAATGTTAGCCACCACCTTTCCAAGTTGGCGTCTTGAGCTGCTTACCTTGCCAGGACATGTTTGCGAGGGGTTGATGTGCGTGCTGTGGAAGCTTGTAGTGATGAGAAAGTGAAGAGGGGTGCGACGAAGTGATGCAGGTACTTTTGACTAAGCAGAGCAAGAGGGTAAATGCGGTGAGGGTGTTCAAGGCTGCGTTGTTGGGCTAAAGTTGCGATTTGATAGTGGGGCTGTTTTGACCCCGCCTCTCGCGATCAAATCTCACAGACGCTATTCACTCCTCCAATTTCAACATGCAAACCTCTGAGCTTCTAATCTAACAACTCATCACGCGTTTTTTTGCGCCATCATGCAGCTGCTTACAGCGTGGGGGTCGATACTGCTCTTGATGCCTAGACGCAAGGGAAGTGAGCGCGCCGCATTTAGCTATGTCCACCGCGATACCCGCCTAGTATCCGCCGCTCTCTGGGGTCGACAACGGATAGCGGGTCAAAGTGCTGGCAATCTAGCAATCGGTCCAACAGTCCAACAGCGGCAGACGTCGAACGAAAAGTCAGAGTCCTTCACACGTCTAATGCGCAGGCTGCCTTTGACCTGTTTGAAGACAATCTTCACATGAGATTGCAGCTACGTAACATCGAGCTCCGCGGGGAGGTTGACACGATAGTAGCTGAGGGCTATGCAACATCCAGGTCTTTACATTGCGTTTTGGTTCACTCTTCAAGTCGAGCTCTTTTCCTTTCAAAAGCGTCGTCACATGTCCATCGTGCTGGCTATTTCTGCTGTTATTGCGCCGCCGTTCATGGACTTCTTCTGCTCGTCACGTGCTAACGCCAAGATAAGCTTCCAGAAGCTTACAGCTCACTACCCGAAAGTTACGTCGCGTTTGGCGTCCTTGATAGAACAACACCAAATCCAACTGATGAATGCACATTGACGAGCATAGAGCAAATATAAGACACGGTTATAACTGCGCCACTATCCAAAGCATGCCGTCTCGTTCTCCATCTCCCGCACGCTCACGCACGCGCAGCCCTTCTCGCGACAGGTCGCGTACGAGATCACTCACTCGTCCTCGTTCGGCGCATTCAGTATCACCGCGACGCTCAGTAACACCGCGGTCGCTCACACGTTCCCGTTCAGTCAGTCGATCGCGGTCGCCTAGATCACCGTCACCAAGGCGCAATGGGCGAAGAAGCTACACACCGGACAGCAGGTCGCGTTCAAGAGGAAGGAGCTATACCCGTAGTCCAACACCAAGAGATGGGTCGCCAGCACCTAGAAGCGCAAAGGTAAGCAAGTTTATATTATTAAATGCAACTTTCGTAGCTTGCTTCTGGTTCAGCCTTCCTCCACCAGCACCTTGCTCATCCTCCAGCAGATCGTAGTAGAAGCCTTGACCAGGAATGTCAAAGAGGATCATGTGCGCGAAATATTTGGCAAGTACGGTACCATTAAAGAACTCAGGATGCCCATGAATCCGACTTGTATGTCTTACCCGGCCTCTTCACAAACGCAGGACTGATTGCCAAATAGTCAACATCAATCGCGGAATAGCCTATATTCTCTACGGAGAGATCGACGACGCCGAACGTGCGATCGCGAAGATGCACGACGCACAATTAGACGGAGCGAAAATTCAAGTTTCGATTGTCCTTCCTCGACGTCGCTTCTCACAGACGCCTCCGCCGGCGCGCAGGGGCCCACCACCGCGCGACGACTACGATGGTGGTTACGGACGCGGTGGAAGAGCGCCCAGAGGTGGAGGGCCGCCTGGCGCATACAGACCACCACCTATGGACGGACCATCGCGTTATCGCTCCCCACCGCGCCGAATGTCGCCTGATCGAGGACACTGGGGTCGAGGAAGAGGTGGAGGCGGCCGTGGTGGACGAGGGGGTTATGGAGGACGACCCCGGTCGTACACACGATCTCGCAGTCGATCACCACGGCGAAGCATGTCGCGGTCTTCTTACAGTCGGTCTCCATCCAGAACACCACCAAGACGAAGTGGGGGAGGAGGCTACGGCAGGCGGGATAGTCTGCCAAGGAGAGGAGGCCGTGGAGGTGGAGGAAGGAGAAGTCCCAGTTATAGCTCCTATGGAAGCGACCGTAGTCGGAGTCGGGACCGCAGATGAGAGATGCGAACCTTTGGCTGCTATCTTTGGGGAAGGCCTGGTGATATCTGCATGTTCACGTAGGAGAATATTCTTTTAGCCAGGCTACCGGCATTCAAAAATCGAAGGCCCATTTCCCTAACTGGACTGAGTTCATGTTCCCCATATCGAAACTGCCCCCCACGTGTATACACTTCGCTTCATCTCTTGATCCATCAAGTCATCTTGAGCTGAAACCCAGCTCCCTTCTCTTCCTCCTCTCGCCCTTTGAAGATGCTGCTAAAGTCCAGGTTGCCCTGCATCCCCCCTGGCGCCTCTCCCCTCTTCGGCGCATTAGGACTCTTCTTCCTCCTCCTCTCTTGTCCTGCCTTACTTGGAAATGTCGGAAACATTTCGGTCTGTTTCGGTTTCGGTTGCTCTTTGAAGTAAGGATGTTCCAAGACTTCTTGTGCTGTGGGCCTATGGGCGGGGTTCAGGGATAGCAGTGAAGACAGGAGTTCGATACCGGATGCTGTTAGGAAGGGGAACTTTGCCCGGTTGAAGCCTGGGGCATTACGATGGTCGCGTGGTAGTTTTAATGATTTGGAGTTTGGCAGGCGATAAAATTGTGGCCAGGTCTTTTCCGAAGGAAGGCCACAGAGCGAGAAGATGAGGGAAAGCTCATCGACCTCGTTTTTGCCCTGTAATAGTGGTTCTTTGGCAAGTAACTCGCCGAATACACAACCTACGCTCCACATGTCGACTTCGGTCCCGTAATCTCTTGTGCCTAACAAGAGTTCTGGGGCGCGATACCATAGCGTGACGACCAACTGTGTAAGGGGCGCATTCGCAGGTGGGACATATCGCGCCATACCAAAATCAGCGAGCTTGAGCTGTCCGCGGTTGTTAAGTAGAATGTTTGATGTTTTCAGATCCCGATGCATAATGAAGTTGTCGTGCAGAAACCCAACCCCAGAAACCAATTGCCGTAGGAGCGTCTTGACTTCACTCGCCATAAAAGGCTCACTCATGTCTTCTTGTAGCGTCTTGAGGTCATGCTCGAAGAATCCCATGACTAGGACGCATTCTTGTGGGTCGTCGCCGGATAAAACCTCCAATAGATCGACAATGTTGGTGTGTTTGCAGCGTTGCAGGATCGAGATTTCTCGTAGCGCGGTGATTGGGAAGCCGTCCTGATTGTAGTCCATTTTGACTTTCTTGTGGGCGACTACTGAGCCAGTGGTAATGTCGCGCGCTCTTGATACCCAGCCATATGAGCCTTCTTCGATCTGGTTGAGGGTCTCGAAATTAGAAATATGTCGGCACGGACCCCAAAGTCCGCCTTCAAATTGTAAGAGCTGCCTCTCAACTTGGTCCTCTTTTAGCTTCGGGGTTTCCTCATCATCGTTTCCTGTTGATAATCTTCGTCGCTTTGCGGGTCTAGATTCTGCCTCTTGCGCTGCCTGTGCTGCTGCCTCCGCCTCTTGCTGTTTTTGGAGTTTCAGGCGCTTCTTCTCTTCTTTTTCTTTCTTTCGACGCGCTTCCTCGGCCTTGTCTGCTTCCTCATTCGCCCACCGTGATGCCATGGCGCTTTCTGTCTCTCTCTCTCTTGTACGCAGTGAAACTTTCGCCTATTCTACTCCAAATTACCTGCTTATTGACGAAGGTTTATGCAAATTCTAAATCTCCTCGTTCGGTTTGTACAAAGAGTTGCTTGGTGTACTCTGATGCAGATGGCGTTGGATCGACGGATAGCACGTGGGAAGCTTTAAGTGATGGTCATAGCTTCGTTCATATTGGCGTTCCGATCTAAACTTTTTGTAGTTCCGAACGCGCCGACGTCATGGAACTTCGGTAACGCATATCGACATGAGGACCAAATCTCTGAATCTACTACGGACGGCGACAAGGTGTGGTGGTTCAGGGCCACGAGCAATTTCGAACCGAACAGCTAAATGCACTTCTCGATGGTCTTCTACTTCTACATCAAATGGTCCGGAACGGCAATGGTCGACGCCGCTTGCGAAGACGCTGGCTGAAGCTATCACGGTATGAGCCCATCATCGATTAAAAAGGCATTGCTAACTTTTACTCCAGACGACGGGCCCAATTTCCGTAGCGGCGTATATGCGGCAATGCCTTACTCACCCCGAAGGCGGTTATTACACGAGACAGACGTCAAGCGGACAGGATCAGTTTGGTACAAAAGGCGACTTTGTGACATCACCAGAGATCAGTCAAGTATTTGGCGAGCTTATTGGTATATGGCTGTATGCGGAGTGGCTGGCTCAAGGAAAGAAAGAAAAGGTGCAGATTATTGAGGTTGGTCCAGGTCGAGGAACGTTAATGGACGATGTTCTAAGGGTAAATACATTCGCAAGAGAAGAGAAAGTAGAGCATACTGACACAGAGATAGACTATATCGAGCTTCAAGGCTTTTACTAGAAGCATTGAAGCCATTTATCTTGTCGAAGCGTCACCTTACTTGCAGAAACAACAAGCAAAGTTGCTTTCCGGCACCGAGGATCTGAAGAAGAGCAGCATTGGATTGACTGCACAATGCAAATATATGCCAGCCTGCAAGATTGAGTGGTGCGAAGACATACGGCTTGTACCAAAAGGTGGGTTCTGAACTCCATTCGCCTGGTTGACATAGGGCTGACAACATTTGTAGAGCATACGGCAACCCCTTTCATCCTCGCTCACGAGTTCTTCGACGCACTCCCGATCCATGTCTTCCAAAACATTGCGCAGTCCTCAGTGCCAGCCTCATCGACCATCATCACACCCACCGGTCCCATAAAACCAAAGCATGGAGTAACGACACCCAAGAACACCTGGCATGAGCTGGTAGTATCGCCAACCTCGCCGTATTCCAACTTGAATGCAGCTAGTTCTTCGTCGTCAAATAAAGAAGATGAGAAACTGGACTTTGAACTGACCGTTTCGAAGACACCAACGCCACACTCTTTGTATTTGCCGAAACTGTCTGATCGTTACAAGAAACTGGAGGATACACCCGAT